GACTTGCACCCAGATGGCCCTCGTGCATCTGTGGCAGTCATGGGGAGTCCAACCGGCTGCAGTCATTGGCCACAGCCTGGGCGAATACGCTGCACTGCATGCTGCAGGTGTGTTGAGCACCGTGGATACGATTCATTTAGTTGGGCACCGTGCCCGGTTGCTTGAACAGCACACAACTGCTGGCACACATGGTATGATTGCTGTAAATGCATCAATTGATGAGCTTCGTCATACCTCAGGTCTACCCACATTCGACCTAGCCTGTTCCAACTCTCCCAATGAATCGGTTCTCTCGGGAAGCAGAGAGAATATCCAGAAGCTGGAACGAGGGTTGACTAATGCCGGATTCAAGTTCAAGGTTCTGGATATTCCATATTCGTTCCATTCAGCCCAGCTGGATCCTATCCTGGAGGAATTTGAATCTTTAGCATCGTCTACGATCTTCAACCATCCGAATGTGCCAGTTATATCCCCACTACTGGGGGAGGTCATCTCTACTGATGGAATATTTAATCCTTCGTATCTCGCCCGCCATGCCCGGGAGACTGTGAACTTTGCTGCAGCCGTTCAATGTGCTAGCAATGCGAAGGTCCTGGATGCTAAGACAGTGCTGCTGGAGATCGGCGCTCATCCAATCTGCTCGAAAATGGTACAGACCACAGTTGGTGGCAGCATGGTAGCCGCCCCTTCCCTTAAAAGAGGTGAAAATTCCTGGAAGACAATAGTAGCTGCGACGGGGACGCTTCTTACTGCGGGTGTTCCCATAGACTGGCACCAATTTCACCACGAGTACAAGGCCAGCCATGAATTCCTGCGCCTTCCGCAATATCGCTTCGACAACAAAAACTACTGGATTGACTACGTAAATGACTGGTGTTTGCACAAGGTTGATCCACGCAATGGCAAGGCCCTGCAGGGTATGGAGCCTGCTTCCGTTGCGCCCAAGCTGTCGACGACTTCCGTGCACAGGATTGCCTTTGAGGAGTTCAATGGCGACAAAGGGCGGGTAGTCACGCAGTCAGACATGTCGGATCCGGCCTTGCGCGCAGCTATTCAGGGACACATGGTCAATGGTGCCGGGCTCTGCCCTTCATCCCTCTATGCGGATATGGCACTTACGGTGTGTCAATATATTGTGGAGGAGCTTAAGCAGGACAAGAACAACATTGGTCTCAATGTTGGACATATGGAGGTTATGAACCCACTGATTGTGAAGGACAACGTCACCACTTCTCAGCTCCTGCAGCTCTCTATCACTGCTGATTGGGCGCAGAAGCAAGCATCTCTGCAATATACCAGTGTGGACAGTAACGGAAAAGAGCTTGCAGTCCATGCCAAGTGTGTTGTGAACTTTGAAGACAAAGTGAGCTGGATTGCCGACTGGGAAGAGAACACATTCTGGATAAAAGATCGCATCTCGATGTTGCAAGACAAGCTGGACCGCAATGAAGCAGACAAGGTATCTCGAGGGACCGCATATAAGCTCTTCGCCTCACTTGTTTCGTACTCGCGTCCCTTCCAGGGCATGGAAGAGGTCATCTTTGACGGCAAAAATGTTGAAGGTACCGCTAAGGTTGCATTCCAAACCGAGGACAAGGATGGGAAGTTCATGGTCAGTCCGTTCTGGATTGATAGTTCGGCCCATCTTTCCGGATTTCTGCTTAATGGTGGTGGTGCTGCCGGGGCAGATGCTGTCTACATTTCTCATGGCTGGAAATCTATGCGATTTGCTCGGGCATTGGATCGCTCCACTGTCTACACAACCTACGTGAAGATGCAACCTGCACCAAATAATGTTATGGTCGGGAATGTCTATATTCTCCATGGAGATGAGGTCGTTGGTGTTGTTGGAGGATTGAAGTTCCAGCGTATTCCACGCAACATTCTTAATCGCCTATTACCACCAGCGGGTGTAACAAAGCCTGCAGCTTCAACTCCAGCAACGGCTCCAGCAACGGCTCCAACAACGGTCACGGCTAGGACTTCTCGAAATCAAAGACCGGAGCCGACTCGCAAGTCTCGTGAACCTCAGCCAGCCCCCTCAGTTCCCAAGCCTTTCGAGCAAGTGAAGAGGATAATCGCCGAAGAATCAGATCTAGCGATCTCAGAGCTACAGGATGACTGTGAATTTGCGAATCTCGGAATTGATTCCCTCCTTTCCCTCCAAATCTCTGGGAGAATTCGCGAAGACTTAGGGCTAGATATTCAGGGCTCGGCGTTCTTGGACAACGCGACGGTTGGTGAATTCATGAGGTATCTGCAAGATTTTGTTACAGCTGAGACAGCATCGACATCATCTACCACCTCGATGGATGATTCCTGGGAGGTCACTTCCAAGGTGTCCATTGATTCTGATGAAATCCCTCCAAGGAATGACGTTCCTGACCCGAAGAAGGACGAAATCCGTAAGATACTTCGCGCAACGATTGCGCGAGAGATGGACATTCCATTAGAGGATGTTACCGGCTCCGCTGATCTCTCCTCCCTCGGCCTAGACTCTCTGATGAGTATCGCGATTTTGGGTTCCCTCCGGGAGCAGACAGATCTTGTGCTCCCATCGTCACTCTTTATCGACTATGGAACTCTTGACTGTATTGAAGAATTCCTTGGCCTCAATACACCTACGAACCCTGCCCCTCCCATCACTGTGCAGAAAGCCCTAAAGTCGAGTACCCCAGCCAGGGAGACTGCGCCAGGCTCAGCCATAAGCTCAACACCGCGGGCTGTGTCTATCCTGCTCCAGGGCAAGCCGAGCAAGGCAACGAAAACACTCTTTTTGTTCCCCGACGGCTCCGGATCAGCCACGTCGTATGCCACAATTCCACCAGTCGACGCTACCATCGCGGTTTATGGGCTTAACTGCCCCTTCATGACTACCCCTTCGAAGTTCACCATAGGAATCAGTGGAGTTGCTACCGTATATCTAAATGAAGTTCGTCGCCGCCAACCGAGGGGGCCGTACTACCTGGGGGGCTGGTCCGCGGGAGGTGTCCTCGCTTATGAAGTTACGCAGCAGCTGATTACGCAGGGCGAAACCGTGGAGCAGCTTGTCTTCTTCGATTCTCCATGCCCAGTTAGCCTTCCCGCACTTCCGAATCGCTTCCATGCTTTCCTCGCAGAATCTGGTCTTCTCGGAAGCAACGGCCAAGCTCCACCGTCCTGGCTACTTCCACATTTTGAGGCCACCATTAAAGCGCTCTCTGAATATAACGCCGTTCCTATCCAGCCTCACACAAAAATCCCCAAGGTTCTCATCATTTGGGCACAACATGGAGTGTGCCGCCACCCCACCGACCCCCGGCCTGTGAAGACTGACGATGAACCGTGGAGCATGACGTGGCTCCTTGATAACCGTACCGACTTCGGATTTAATGGATGGGACAGGCTCCTCGGTACTAACTCGGTGCAATTCAAGACGGTCGACGGTAACCACTTCACGATGCTGAACTATGGAGAACAGGTAAGCACCATGCTCCTTTCCAATATGACTTAACAAACCGCCAGCTAACTTGATCCAGCTTCATGCGGTGGCCTCTTACATTAGGGACTTCCTCTCCTAGGAATTACCGAAAGTCGAGACTGTTCGTATCCAGGTCGCATTGGATGCCTCCGACCAAGGGGCCCCCGTGCGTACCTATCGGGGATCTATTACTTTACCTGGGTGCCTCCGTTACTTCTCGGCTTTCATCTGCACGATCGTGGCCGGAACGGTCCTACTACTGGTGTTTGAGTGATGTCAAAAGGAGAGGGCTGAAGAGATCAGATCTATTGATGCTTGTCTCTGTCCTGTGTATATATATACGTAACAGCGGCTCACTTGCTGTGGTAATTGTGGAGTTCCTAGAGGACTAATATTCCTACCTTGAGCGACTCCGGGAAAGGCCTTTTATTCTTTGGTAGCTCGGATAGTACTTTTATTTGGTAGCCATGGCTTAATATGTATGAACTCTGTTTACCTTATTGGTCACCTCCTTCCCGGCCCAACGTAGATTCTTTTCTTCTCCTAACATTGCTCCCACTACGTTCTGTTGGAGGGATGTGGAAACTTGGTGCGTTCTACCATGTCGATCTCATCCTCCTGACTTCTGTCCTCTCCGCTAGTTTCCCAAGTTGATTGGTTGCAATCATGCTTCTCGCATACCGAGGTATGCTACTTGATGCTACCTCCACTATGCAGCTTACCGGTTTATGGCCAAGAATAAAAAAGGTTATGTCTGTATTACCTATCCCTTTTCACACTTCCTTGTGCTGACCATGGGTGGAATAGAACTGGTTCAAGATCGTTCAACCTACAGACATGGGTGGGTGACATTGGTTACCTGATTTTCCGATCACGTCAGTGGTGGGCGAACAGTAAGTATAGGGCAGCCGCCATCCATGTTATTAAAACACGGGGGGGGGCCCGAGGGACCTGGCAAACGCCCAGAATGACATTGGGGGCCCCCTACAGAAAGCCAGCTGCGGTTGATTTGTAATCTTGATCACCGAAGGCCGAGAAGATCGGCCACCCCGACGATCACGGAAGCCACCCACTGGGTGACCGAGCGGATTGGAGGGTGGGATCTTGTCGGCGCACTATGCTGCGGACGCGCAAGAGGGTTCTCCCGTAGAGTGGCCTATCATATCCTCTGGTTTCTTGGTCCGAAAGGTGGGCTTGAGCGGATACCGAATAAGTAAGGTAGGCTTAATAGTGCGAATTGTGCCGTGGAGTCTGACTGTCTCTGGCCTTGAAAGGGAGTGCAGTGAGTGATGTGTATGGAAGCGTATGCAATGTTGATCTGAATAATTTTTTACATGGTGTAGTTGAAAAGCTAGGAGGAAGTAACATGGGATGCCGTAGGGACCCCCTCTAGGTCGTTGTGTGAGCCCTTTTTCGCCCAAGGTCGATTTCTGAAAGTTTTGTCCGCTTCTGTGAGAAGCTCACAAGAGCTATATTTAAAGCTTTCCGTTCGCTGAATGCTCGTTGTTGCGTGAGGGCTACTGTGTCAATTCTGGCCAAGATGACAGTCGAAACACCATCCGACTCGCGTGCCTTGCACGACGACGGTCGATCAGGCACCGTAACGTCCAAGGAGGGCGCCGAGGACTTCAAACTGGGGACACGTGGACTGCTGGTGTTTTTGGCGCTGTCGGTGTTGTCGCTGATGGCTGCTCTTGATGGAACATCTGTGTCTGTTGCCCTTCCGGTATGCAACCATTGCACCCGACTGCGCCGAAGAAGTGGAAGAAGGGTGCTAAAGGGGAACCAACGTCGCTCAACGGCTGACACGAACAGTAGATCATGTCGGAAGACCTGCATGGAACGGCTATTGAATCCTTCTGGACTGGAACGTCCTTCCTCTTGACATCTACAGGTGAGCCTGACAGGCGTCGTGCAGTATAATCTGACAGATCTGACCGATACACCGCCAGTGTTTGAGCCAAGCTTTGCCAACCTATCAAATGTGTTTGGCCGACGCCCAGTCATTCTGTTTTCCATTCTACTCTTCTTCGTCGGGGCTCTGGTGTCGGGGATCGCCAAAAACTTTACATACATGCTCGTCGGACGGTCCATTCAGGGTATCGGCGGTGGTGGAATCATCGCGCTCACTGAAGTCATCGTGACCGATATAGTGCCTTTGAGACAGCGCGGTCAGTATCTGGGCATTCTGAGCGCGATGTGGAGTATTGGATCTGTGACTGGTCCTATCCTTGGGGGTGGATTCGCGGAGGATGTCACCTGGGTAGGGTCCCCGGTACGACCCACAGGAAAACGCGCTAACAACGCTGTAGAGATGGGTGTTCTATATCAACTTTCCCTTTATTGGAGTCGGAGTAATCTTTGTCGCTGTTTTCCTGAACCTGAGCCCGATCCCAGGTTCAGTAGTGGAGAAGCTCCGCTCCATAGACTGGCTCGGCGCGGTGATCTTCATCGGAAGCATGACGTCTTTCCTCATTCCATTAACTTGGGGCGGGGTCCTGTACGCCTGGGATTCATGGCGTACTCTCGTGCCCATTATCGTGGGCCCCTGTGGCCTGATCGCATTCGCATTTTACGAATACTACGTCGCCGACTATCCAATGATCCCACCCAGTATCTTCAATAACCGGACAGCCACCGTGACTTACATCGGAAGTGCTGTCCAGGGACTAGTTCTGTGGTGTGTCTTGTACTATCTTCCGTTATACTTCGAGGCCGTCAAGCAGTACTCTCCAATCATTGCCGGTGTCGCCCTGTTTCCTCAGACCTTCACCGTCGCCCCCAGCGCTGTTATTGTAGGATTTGCAATTACTAAAACAAGCGCCTATCGGTGGGCGGTCTGGTCCGGATGGGCGCTTTCAACCCTTGGAATGGGGTTGATGTGCTATATCAAGGCGGACAGCAGCATCCCCCAATGGCTTTTCATCAACCTGGTCAGCGGCCTGGGGCTGGGCGTCCTTTTCCCCGCCCTAACATTCGCCGTGCAGGCTGCCACACCCAGTGAGAACCTGTCCATGGCCGTGGCCATGTTTAGTTTCTTCCGTGCACTGGGCCAGTGTATTGGCGTCGCTGTGGGGGGTGTGGTTTTCCAGAATCAAATGAAAAAGAACCTCTTGAAATATCCCAGTCTGGCGCCAATGGCTGACACGTATAGTCAGGATGCAGCGGGCCTTGTCAGAGCCATTGCGGGTATGGCGGATGAAAGTGAGAAGAACAATTTGAAAGACGCGTATACAGATAGCCTGCGAGTCGTGTACGCTGTCTGTTGTGGCATCTGTGGGGTCGCGCTCCTCACAAGTCTATTGACGAAGAGCTATGACCTGGATCAGGTTTTGAACTCAGCGCAAGGACTGCAGAGGGACAGAACGGCGGATGAGGAGGAAAGTAAGGAGACAGGCATATAGGCCTCTGCGATAGCTACGGCCGAGATCCCCCGACTAGTTATAAAATCACCATTATTATGTAATTCAGCCTCTACTAAGTAACCCTACCTTACGTTTGCATGCTTGCAATGATGGTCTCAAAAGCTCTGAATCTTATCTCTAGTGGCGTATGCGACTGTACTTGTAGACCTGTCTGTATATATAACCGTGTTGCTGCATTGAGGGGACTTTCCCTCAGGCATGGCAATGCTACTGAAATATGACATGGAAGCACAACAGCTGATATACTTGAATAACGTCGTTATAGCTAGGTTTCAATGGTAGGTGGGCGAAATTTCTGATAGTATATTATTCTGACCCAAATCTGTACAATTCCTTTCTAACCTAAATCCCAAACATCTATTCCCATACAATCTCCAGAATCCAAAGTAAACTCGCCGGGTTCGGGCGGCGAACATTAATAAGCTTGAAGCGCGAGTCTGCCTCGGAGAGGATGCCCTTCCATTCTTCTACCGTTCGCTCGTTGCTATTAAACATACCCATCATGCAGAGGTCCAAGCTCCTGTAGCGCCATGTCAGTAACAAATCTCTCCGAGTCAAAAGAATGGTGGGTGAACAGACCGGAGAAGTCGGTCATCCCAGGGAGATAGGCTCTCCTGGTCCGGCAGAACTCCCTCGTTAATAATGAGCAGCGCACCAGGCGTCATCGCAGGGACTAAGTTCTTCAGAAACTTGACGCAGTACTTCCTCGGCCAGTTTAGGAGCACAGAGCGAAATATGTACGCTTGTGCACCGAGGACGGGCTGTATGTGATTCATATCATGGGCCATAAACGTCACACGGTCCTTCAAGGCTGCATCGAGCATCTTGCATCCTTCGGCCGCGGTTCCGCTAAGGTCCTGGACGACAAACCTGAGATCAGGAGCTTCGGCCGCGATGGCAGCGCTGATGTGACCGTGGGATCCCCCAATCTAGATGAACGACACTGATTAGTATTTTGCCAGGGTTACAACTGAGGCAGGCAGATCCAATCTCACATCGACCACCGTTCCTTTCCCGAGCGCCTTCCAGTCATATCCGTGGACGAAATGTTCGATCCGATGACTTTCCCCCTTGGAAAAATTAGCCATAGCACCACCGAAAACCTTCGACCGCTCCGGCTGCTGGGCAAGGAACTCAAAGATCGTCTGGCCGTTGAATGCCAGCCCGAACCCAGTCTCTTTCTGTTCCTCGCTCCCTGGGTACTTCTGGAAAGCGTCCACAGTGCGCACCGCAGCCGGACCCCATTCTTCGAGTGTCATATCCAACCAGTCTCGCACTCCTTGGTTGCTGGACAGGGCCTGAGAGGAGGCCGTGTGCGCGACCTTGCCTGGCTCAGGCTCATAGAAGATATGTGAGGTCATGGCATGACGAACGATACGGGTGAGCAGATGTTGATCTACCCCCGTCGCTTCCGAGAGATCGGAGATTGTTATTCCCTCTGGGGGAACTGATTCGGCGATACGGAAGCGAAGAATTGACTGAAGGCTGATGTTGTCATTGAATTGCTGCCATTTCCGGTTAGTTCCACAGCCATGCCACCGTGACGATGTTAGATATAGGGGGCTAGATACTGACATTCCATGCCTGCCAACGCAGGTGTTCGGACGGTCCGAGGGCCAGGATCGCCAGGTCCGCGGCAGCCTGAAAGAGGTTGCGCCGTGCAGCTGTCAGCTCCTCGCTTTCCTCGGGGATTTGACTGTTTGGTGGAAATGTCGCATCGAAGGAGGGCTCTGGGAGATTTTCCGTCCTGCAATGGTTTGAAATACGTTCCGACTCTTTCGAAATCGTGTGTACTAGATCGTTAAACTGCCCCATCCTGTCTGAAGGTTGTTTAGAAGGATTCGCGATATCGGAAGCGTTCTTCGAATGGTATAGGCGAACGGCTTTTCTCGTCTAATTTGGAAATTCTGTTTATAGGGGAGACTACTAAGGAGTGTTATAACCACGGTGTCACCAGCCCTGTATACGATCTATGCCTTATCTACCGGTCCCTCTTGAGTTGTGCATTTCGCACGCTCATCTATATCGACCGAATAGTTCCCATCACGGCCAGCGCACAGAACTGCACCGAGCAGCGGGCGCAGTGTATAGATCCGATTTCCATCCCCGCGGTGGCATGAGCCCATAGGCCCAAGGGAAGGGGTCCCCTACTCGTCCAGCACTGCTCAGGTATGCCATGCCCGAAGGGGCGGGGCCCAGACCAAGCCCCATGACATTACCAATGAAGACCCACTCTCGGCCCTAAGAATCACTGTCTAGCCCGAGAGGAATGTCCAACTGTCCAAGGCAGTGCGGTGGGACCTCGCGCCCGGACATCCACTGCCGGGAACTGGCCCTTGCGGTGGGCCTCCCGGGCATTGCGATTCCCGGTGCTAATGCACGCTTCAACCAGTGAGATCGTCTTGGATGTCTAGTGGATGGACCCCTTGCGCGGCCGTGATCAGCTCGCATTGCACGAGCGATGGACGAGTCAGATCGCCAAGCCCGAGCGGATGCAGTTACGAGATAGCTACGCCTATGGTCCAATGGTGATCATCCCGAGAGAGAAGCACTAGTGATTTGCGAAGTACCAATAATGGTGCCACCGTGAAAGTAGACTAATTTTCTATCACACCTAAGAATCTGCGCCGAGCGTCCTCTGAAAGACCCCCAGAGTATGCTCCCATACCTTCTTCGGATAGTCCCTCGCGCGATAGTCTGCCATTAAGGTCTTATTGGTTGCATCCGTCCCATCATAGTTCAGCAGGTATGAGCCACCACCGGCCTCCCCGGTCGACGCGGTTGCGACCTTGACCTGCTTCGCGGGGGGATCACCGGTATGCGCGGCCGGTGGATACGCCATCGAGGTTGCCAGAAAGACATTGCGCTCCCCACTCTCCTGCTCCGATATCGACAGCAGTCGCGTGAGTAGGCCAATCACCGAGCCAAGTAGACTGCCAAAACTCGACGTCATGAGCGATGTGCGTACCAGTCCTGGGAAGACGTGGATAAAGCTCATCGAGGGATACTGCGACGCCAGATACTCGATCGCTAAGGAATTCAGAGTCGCTCCATACACAGCGGCAGTCCCGAAGGACCAATTGGCCTGTAGATCGAAATTGCTGTCATCAATCTCGCCCTCCTTTCCGGCGGCGAGAATCGTAAGCACGCGCGCGGGACGCTCGGCGGCTTGTAACTGCGGTATCAGGTTTTGGATGAATCGCATTCGGGCGTAGTATCGGAGGACATGGTTATCGTCGAGTCCCTCCGCCGTGTCTATAGCTTGGTCAGTCCGGGACAGGGCAACGAAATCATCTCCGGACGCGTACTATTTTTCCGAGTTGCCAGGTGGCCCGGCGTCATGAAGAGAAGGTCCACGGCAGCTTCCTGGCTCTGGATCTCTTGACAGGCCGTGTCAACCTCATGCAGCAGCGACACATCCGCCTTGATAAATCGGTATGTGCCGTGGGCATTCAAACGCTGACAGTCGGCCAGGATCCGAGAGCCAGCCGCTTGGTTGCGACCGACGATGTAAACTGTAGGTGAATGGATTGTTTTTGCCAGCTGCTTTGCCGTCGCCTCTCCAATCCCACTTGTTCCCCCTACAAAGACCGCCACCATTCGGGGCCGTTGCTCCCCAACGGTGGCATTCGCCTGACGGACAAGACGCAGACTAGTCATGATCGCGTGCGGCAGGGCTTGGGAGGGCTAGCGAGACGGTGTGGACGATGTGCAATGTAGAATCTGAGGTGGATAGTATTCAAATGCGCCGGGTCAATAAATAGATGCGTGGGCTTGGCCTCCCAGAGGCCCTAGCGAAGCTTCTCCCTGACCCCCCCACCGGTGGACCCGCCGATCACGTCCATCGAGGGACGGGCCTCGCTCCTCTGCCCGAACCCAAACGAGCGACGGCCGCCGTACAGCTCATATTCCCGACCATGCAGCCTCAACAGACCAACCAATCATATAACGACGCCAAAATTCTCACAGCGTTAGCTCCAGCAGCCCTCGCCATGGGCGCAGCTTACAAATGCGGTTTCGGCACCCCCCTGATCCCTCCAGTCTTTCGGTCATGCTGCGCTACACCACCCGAGCCCTTTCCTCGCCTCTCAGGCCCACTGCCACTTGCAACAGCCTACCGTTTCCCTCGTCGCCTTCCTCATTGCCCTTCGTCTTCGTCACTCGGAAGAGCATTATCACCATGTCTCGAGCCGTGCTGGTGACGGGTGCCACTGGCAATCAGGGTGGTGGTGTCGTCGAGGCCCTGTTCAAAGCGAACGCGGACTTGGAGGTTCTGGCGCTGACGCGCAAGAAGAACTCCCCGCGAGCCCAGTCGCTGCGAGAGAAATACCCCACGATCAAGCTCGTGGAAGGTGACCTCAGCGACGTGCCGGGGATCTTCAAGAACGCCATGGCGGTTGCCCCGCAAGGCATCTGGGGTCTCTTCCTGGTGCCCGTAAGTGTTTGGCATTGATCGCCCTACCGTGTCCATCCGCTGACGGCTGGCGAAACAGGTCATGGTCCCAACCAGATCAAAGCACGACATCGAGGAGGAACAGTCCAAGGCGGTAATCGATGCAGCGGTCCAGAACAACGTCAAGCAGTTCGTCTATACCTCGGTGGACCGAGGCGGGGACGACTCGATCCACAACCCCACGGATGTGCCTCATTTCACCACCAAGCACAACATTGAGAAGTATCTCCTCGACAAGACGCAGGCATCGGGCATGAACTATGTGATCCTGCGCCCCACCTGCTTCTTCGACAACTTCACTCCTGGGTTCGCGGGGAAGCTCGTCAATACCTGCTGGAAAGTGGCCCTCAAGGATAAGCCCTTGCAGCTGGTCGCCGTCAGTGATATCGGCTTTTTCGGTGCCCAGGCTTTCCTGCACCCCGAAGAATACACGGCTCGGTGCATTTCCCTCGCGGGCGATGAAATCACATTCGAGGAAATGGCACGCATATACAAGGCCCGCACCGGCGAGGATATCCCACTGACCTTTGGCTTTCTGGCTCACCTGCTGATGTTCATGGTCAAGGATGTGGGTAATATGTACCGTTGGTTTTACAAAAACGGGTACAAGGCCGACATTCATATGCTGAAGAAGGTGTATCCCGAGCTGAAGGATTTCGGCGCCTGGTTGGAAAAGGATACCAAATTCATCAAGAAGCCCTTTTGATTCGTGGATACCATATATGTCGGGAGGTGGCGGCGTGCGGCTCCAGGGTGCATCAAGTCAAGCATGCTAATCCAGCTGTGTGAGGTTCATCTGATTTCAATTGTTGTGAAGGTATTTGATTCAAATTCGGCCATCATCGTGTCGAAATCACATAAGAAATGTGTATAGTTGTGACATGGTTATGGATGTAATGTATAATAGTCCAGACTAAGCCTCACTCTCACTCATGACGAGCCCTTGCTATTTGAGTCTTCGGTCTTAGTTTAACATAAATCCAGTTTTTCTATCCACACCTGCGTAGCCATGCTCGGTTTCTTTGGAGAATAAAAAAAGGAATTAACTCGGTTTCCCTTTGGCAGAGAGAAGCGGAAAGTTCGATGCTGGCCGTGAAGATGAAGACGGGGGGGTTAATGTTGACTGTTAAGCTGAACAGCCCTGGGAACGTGGCTGTCAGGGTATTTTCTTTTTTTATACCTCATATCTTTACAAGCAGTTCGTTGTGCCCCGAATTCGAAGTGCCCCGTAGAGGATGTAATGTGAGTTTCGGTACAAGGCAGGTCCTGGAAGCTGTGGCATAAACTACCCAGCTCACGAACATTTCCCAAGGCCTACAAGGCTTTAGTGTGTAGACTAATGGACAACCCTGCAGCTAGAACCGGTATCTGCCCTTGAACAGAATTATCTTCTCTGTATCTTGATCAGGACCGGTGTCCGCATTGGATATCTCATCTGAACTGGTATCAAGCTGTGGAATAAGTAGTTCAGCAAAACAGAATAGATAAGTAGGCCGCGGTACGGAAGTTGCTAGTCGTGAGCTATAATTACGAGTATCGCTGTTAATAGATAACGTCTGTTTATTTTCTCATTCTGTGCTATGAGGCTAGAGGATTCATTTATTATTTACTTTCTCGTGCAGTTCAATTCTGATCATATTTACCAACTGGCAGAGTACGGACTTCTGATTTCTGGCGCGTACCATCGCATTACATTCTTTGAGCGACATATCTGGTAGATGCCAATTTAGGCAAATGTTGGACCTAGAAGATATCGTAGAATATTACCCGGGCTGGTACGAAATAGAGATAATATAGATAACAGCCTTGGTTGATACAACTAAGATATTTCTCACGTTCGTCAATAAAACTGCTATCGGACAGTCTGTTAATGTGGTTTACTTTTAAGAGGCTCGGGGCGGACTCTGTAAAAACTTCCTGTGAATAATATGCTACAGTTTAAAGTAGCCCAGATAGCGCTGTGTACTGAAGTTTCTGGAGAAATCGCCCCATTTTAACAGTCAGAGAATATCCGATTTGCGACGCCCGCCATCGTCAGCTTTCGTGAAAGAAGAGAAGACGGCAGGATTGAGGAGGATAGTATACTTTCGGCTATAAGATTATTTGCGAAATCTTGACGCAGAGAGATAGCAGACTCAAGGAGCCGAGAAGTCATATCGATAGTCACACTCCGCTGTCCAAGTTACTTATAAAATATCTCAAAAGAGACACCATATTCTTGTCCTTGATATATAAACTCTTTAAGCAATTAAATAGTCCAGACTCCCGCGCTTAGAAGTATTCATATGCTAGCAGCTTCATATATTCCTGAGCCAAAGATACGCCGCTGTTGTAGAAGTTCTCTTGGAACCAAGTCTTGAAATCGAGAAGATCTCCATGCAATTCTATAATCCGGTCCGTACTCTCGATACCACTCAAGGCAATATACTTCTCTATTTTTAGTATCCTATTTAACCCAGCTGTCATCCCAGTCAAGCATACCGGAGCGATATGGTGCAATGGTTTCACGTACTGAGCAAAACACATTTTCTTGAGCAACGTGTAGTGCGAAGTCTGAGAGGAAGAGAAGGATCCTCTCTTTTTTGTTACCCTTAATCTCACTCTTCCCTGCCTTCACGATGGACAATAAAATGCCTAGCAGTCAGATCAATCCACTCGAAATATACTATCCTCCCACAATATACATAAAGGGTGTCCTTGTAATCCAATGTACTCCATCGCATGTCATAGAGCAAGATTTCTGGAATCTGTCCTTTGATAACACAAACATGGTCTGTCTCTCTGGGCTAAAAACCAGCGGATATATCGTCTACCCTGTGTGTAGAGCCGGGAATCTCCCTGTAAAAAGCGATCTCATCCATAACCTCAGTTAAGGCCCTCATCCCCTTATCCAGCTCCTCATCTGTAATTGTCAAAGCCACGCTAATACGGATTCGAGGACTTTGAGGGTACACCAGAACCCCTTTCTGGTATGCAAGCCTTGCCACTCGTCGAGGTGTGACATCGCCCATGTGGTCCTTGAACATAATGCACAGGTCGGCCCCGCGAGCAGTGCAGAAGCGAAGGAAGGGGTGGTTCCAGTTTGATGTGATCGCCATCCATCGTTCTTGGATGACTGTGGCTCGCTGTAGCAGCTGCTCGTCCTCGTAGACGGACAGTGCGGCAAGCGTTGCCGCGGTACCTGCGGGCGACATGGCAAAGGTACTGGCCACTTGGTTGGGTTCGATCAGGTCCATGGTTTCATTGAACCCCAGGACATAAGAAGCTGGGTACGCTCCACCTGTGATGGACTTTCCGAGGGTAATCATGTCGGGCTTGTTTTCAGTACCAAGCCAGTCAGAGCAGAGAAACCGGCCGGTTTTGCCTGACCCCATCCGCACTTCATCCGAGATGAAGAGGATGTTATATTTCTTACATAGCTGGCGAACGCTTGTAGCAAATTGGATCTCTTGTTCGAAAGTTCTATGCGGTCTATTAGCACACACCAGTCTCATCCCAAAACATACATTGCAATGCCAAGGGGGAAGACCGCCATCGTTGATGTGGATCTCCAGTCTGGACTATGTCACCGCCAATCTTACCTCAAGGTTCCATGGATAGGTTCCATCATAATGCCGGCCACGACGGAATGCATGTCACTTAAAACCGCCTCGAAATCTTCTACGTGGCCGTAACGAAGCAATGCGCCAGTTTTGGGATTTCGATTGGTCACCTGCTTGCTGCTGATGCCGTAGCCTATACCAGGTCAATTGTAGCACGCTTGGCTCCCCGAGCTCGAGTGAACATACCCTCTTGGCCACAGCCTGGGTTCATGATGGGCCAAATGCCAGACGTGAGGCCATGATAATTGTCGGAACAGCCCAGGACGGTCACATCCATCGGCGAAATCCCTTTCCGCGCGATACCCCATTTCCACGCAATCTTGACTGCTGAATCCGCGGCCTCAGCACCGGAGGTCATTGCGGCGACTTTGTCATAGCCCAACTTTTGGCATAGCCTTTTGGCAAGCGATGGCCATTTGGCATTATGAATGGCAATGTTTGTTTGAGAGACTGAGATCTGTTAATACGATGCACCGGCCCGAGATTCGCACTGTACCGAGCGGTACGTACCATTTTGGAGGGACTCTACTACCGCTGCGGTCACTTTCGGGTGGCTGTGGCCCAAATTCACCGCACTCATGGTACACGCAAAATCGATAATATCCTGGTTGTCCACGTCCTTTTGGGGAAGGGTCTATTAGTGACCGGGGTACCCGATAGTCCGTGACTGCATACTGACCCTCATCGTCGAGCCCTTCCCTGAGACGATGAAACCGGGAAGGGGGCCGAAGCCTCCAGCAGTATAGGTTTCTTCCTCGCGCAGGAGGTCACGCGTCACAGTCGACAGCGGTTCACCTTGTTTATACGCCATCGTGACTGCGCAAGATGGCCGAGGTTTAGGGGTACGTTCTTCAAATGGATGGACAGCAGGCACAGCTTCATCAAGTGTACATCAACCAAGATTGTATACGACATGGGGAGAAATCCGCAGTGAAAGGCCTTATATATGGTTGGCAACATCATGTGAGTACTGAGGTGCCGTGTCTCTCCCAGACCAGACGGAGTATGGGCCCAGAATCCTCGTATGGTCCGTTCCCTTCAACAAGACCAACGCGACGTTGTGGTTTCGGATGTTCCAATTACCCAGCAGTTCCGTCCCATCTGGGAGTGGGTACGCTGATCGAATAGTGTATGTATTCCGTCCTTCTGTCTGGGGCTTTGCAATCGCACGACTGAGACCTTGCCGTCTTTAGGGCCATGCGGACCACGGTTTCGGATCGACCATTGCGTAACCCCCACCTTTCCTATACCGCAACCTCGAGCAGAGGTTGGGATCGGACAAATTTGGCTACCGTGGAGCTGCTGGCGGCGTTTGTGAGGTCTGGCGCTACTATGTCGATCTGCAACTGACAAAACCCAATGTTCGTCAAGGCAGGTTTCTCGATCTTTTCATATGGTGACCATATAAAGAAATTCATTATCTTCAGAAACAATCCATAAGGCTATCCGTGTTCTATATAAATATTTTTCTAACTTCAACGTATTGATTTTTCTAGCAAATTCCCACGTGGAAGGGAAGATATACTGTGTCTGATGATATATAAATTTGGATCGGACGTGATGTTTTCTTCCTTATACATACCGTTAACGTGCTACAACAGCATCTGAGATGAATTATATTGGTTAAGATTCTCATACCATACCAGTGAGATAATTACGGATGCTTGAAATCTATTTCCTTGACGAGACGGTTCGATTCGATTTCGCCGGGAAGTCTCTCAGTAACAACAATGAAGGGTTCGGTGTAAAACAGGCCTGGAACAGAAACATTTGGTGGGGACCGTTCAGGACATGCCCCACAGCATTCCGAGTCGCCCCACTTCTTTCCGTCATGTCTCCGGATGTCTGGACGCGGTCTGCGGAATCAAGCACCTATCTGGGTTTAGGTAGTACCGCTAGTAAATTTACTAGTGGTTATCCAAGGCGGAACGGAAAGTGGGCCAAGGAAAGAAGTCGGGACGGATCTCCAAAGCATATCCTTGAGCGAGGACGCGATCACACGCAACGACGACTGGGCGCGTCGCCAGCGACCCATCCTCCCTCGACGACAATCCATATCCACATCTCTGGGGAGACAAAAAGACCCACGAGGATGGTTGTCGGGATGACGGGTGCGACGGAAGCTGCGTATGCCATTCGCATGCTAGCAATTCTACGCCAACTCCGTGTCGAGACTCGTCTCGCTCCCAGCAATTGGGCGATGGCTACTTTGCAGTACGAAACCTTCATATCTGAGGCTGAGCGCCTGGTGTTACCCTGAAACAAGACCGTCGACTGCTCCTCGTAGTCCGCGAAACGCCTCCAAGTGTGATCCACCGAGAACACTTCGTATTTCTGCGCCCAGCCAAGGCCGCTGTTGTACCACCTGTTCCAGCTTTCTACACTCGACCCGAAAGTATCGAAGAGACGGTACGTCAGAGCGCAGGCAGAATGTTAGGCGTCATGGGAATATTTACAGATGGCTTTGAGAGATGGAACGGCTTCTGGAAACATAAATCAGGGTCATACATAGAGTCTCGAGGACCTAGGCCAGTTTGGCCCAATAGGGAACGGCTACTGGGAGAATTGTGACAACAAGGTCAGCCTCCCTCGGCTGGGGCCTAGAATATAAGCTATTCAATGGAAGAGATAGCTATCCATCGAGGGCCAGGCAGGCAACCCCAAAGCCTGGGGGTCCTCCAGGAGACAATTGCTGGCTTCTGTTGGAGGTTCGAGACCTAGATTGACGCCCACGAGGCATGTATCCGTCTCGCAAGAGGCATTTGCTGGGGCAACGGCGGCCTCCGCTGGAACCTCTGGCAACGGCAGAGGGGGCTGCTTCTGTATTGCGAGAGGATTTGTCGAGCTGGAGCCACGTTCGCTTGTTAAGGTTGAGTTCCGCTCTCGGGAGGCGTACATAGGTTTTATACCATACGTTTCGAGGACATGACGAACTTCCAGGATTCTTTCCCATAGCTTGTGGGCGGCTGCAGAAGTGTTGGCATATTTTCTGGCGAGATCAGAGGCCGTCTGAAGACAGCCACGAATCTTCCAGTCAAAATCGGGCGGCAAAGATGAGGAGAGGGCCGTGCGATGGTCGTGAACGTAGCCGGTCAGCAAAAAGACCAGTGAGCAGATCGAAGCCAAGATGTGTTGATAGTACGGGCGATGCTTGCAATAAATATCGGTGGCGCTGTCGATTTGAAACAAGGCATCGATCGACTGCCACAAGAGCTCGAGGGCCGGCGATACGTGTTGTTTGCTTCTCTCGACACGGGAACTGGGGAAGAAAGAAGGGCGAAACAGGAGACTCCGGATGGACACCGCGCGGAAGATTAGGAGCAACATCCATGGAGGAGGCATCGACGAAGGTTGGACCAGCCAAGTTTTCACGTCGGAAAGCTCTCGACCGCCGACACACTTTTTCTGCCACTGCTGAACCTGGAACAGCATCAGCTCAACGGCATCGTCGTCTTGGCGGCTGTTTCCCTGCGCTGCCAGAGCGATGGGTTCGCTGAACTTGTCACTGATGAGAGCAAGCTTATTCATGGCCATCGTATATGGCGAGTCGGACTGAGAACAGTCGGTGTTAGCTGGTCAACACAGATCATTGGCACCGGAAAAGAGAACCCAGACGGCCCCCTTGGCGAGCGTTCACCAGTGTAGGCCAGAGACTGTTCTATTGGAAGGAGGCTTGAGCCCGATGCACTGGAGACGGCCCTGACGTTGGAGCATCGCCGCATGGGGAGATGACAAGGAAACTAATCCAAGCCAGGATTGATGTACTCACTAGATGCGTCACCTTCGGACTGAAAGTATTATTGGAGAAATTGGGTGGCAAGCCAGTCATCGCACTCCACTGCCGATCAAGCACAGTGACACAGCCCATGAGCATGGAACCCTCTTTGCGCTGCGCCTCCGATGCCAGCCCGTGCTTGACTACATTGCCGTTGTGGATGCCCAATTCCATCAATATGCGTCCAGCATTGCCGCACATTCTAAGTGCGAGCCGTGGTTGATCATGGAACATATAGCAACAGCCCTTGGCCCGCTGATCAGTACATCAAGCGTTTGAAAGTACCAGATGGCTGACGGAATCTTTGACATACCAGCAACAAGACGATAACTGCTTGCTTAATACTCGTAGTCGTAGACGTGATGGAGGCATTAGCGGCACGCTGGAAGACAGAGTACACGGCACCTGCTGACCTTGCGCGTAGCGACTCCATTCCAGCCTGTGCCGCTATTGCTAGCATAAGATTGAAAATGATCAGATCATAGTAGTCAGACCGTTGCGTCGTGCGGCCAATAGCAGATTCTGTATCACGAGTATACCAAACATCCAACTGAACTCGAATGTTCCTAATATCGACAAATGAATGCAATTCTCCCACAGCATCATTGTACACCGATATGGCTTCCTCGGCATCCTGGACTGTGAGATAGGATCGAAATTGTAATAGTTGATGTCGGTCATCCCTATGGCAGGGAGGTTGCCACTGGCTAATTGTCGATGGGGAGAGGTGGTCCCGATCAAAACTCGGTAGCGTGGGCCGATCCACTGAAGATTCAAGGTAACCACGCTCCTGCAGCGTGATCTGCACTACATTCATACTGTAGTCGGGGCTCGTGGGTCCGCAGAAGCCACGACTGATGGGGCGCAGGCCAGACCCGTTATGCCTCGCCTCCCGCTGGCTGGAGCGAGCATTGGGCCCTTGTATGGCCTGACCAGCTTGATGCAACGGCACAGATCGAGTCGGATTGTTTCCAGAATAATTGCCGTCTTTGCCATAAGCTTGCACGAGCGATTCGACGTTCTTTAACTGGGCGCGTAAACCCGCAACTAGATGTGCAAGCGAAGACGGATGACTACTATGTGAGCGCAGTGGGTCAGCTCAGTAGGATAGCCTTGCACTTCGGTCAGGGAGCAAAGGAAATCAGATCATTACGAGGCTGGAACGGGAGCTGACGGTCTTGAGTCTTTGGAAATGGCAGCCGCCGGAGCACAGGACAGAACACTAGCCCCGACTGGAGGCTGACGCACTGGGTCGGGATCCCTCATGCCTGATACGGATGCGGCATGTTGTCCGTCATCCATCGTGATGGCATGTTCCTGATCGTAGATACAGGCGTGTCCGCGGCGGTCGCAGTAGCCACAAGGCAGCTGGCCGTCACATCTCCCCTTTCGGCGTCGACAAGTCATGCATGCCCGAAGAGCGTATGGGCCTCGGCGTTTGGATGAGCCAGGGGAGGTCGAATTACCGGCCCTCTTGGTTCCGCGAGGCTCCATTGCGTTGTCGCCCGTGGTGCGGTGCGCAGTAGTGGATATCCCGAGCGACAGAGGAACGGAAAAGAGAGCTGCGTTGGGGGTTCCACGGAATGAAGACATGACCAGGTTTCTTTTCTCAGTTGGCGCTGCTATGCCATTTCGCCGGAAAGTGGACACTTAATAGACTTCTCTTTAAGTACCGGACCTTCCGGAGCCAGAACCGTATCTTGGCAAGTAGCGGGGACGGTGGACCCTTGACTCTAAGACACGGCAGCATGCGTTCTATGGTACTCATGTCAATGCTGAGACAACGGCACCGATGCCTTCTACCAGACTGCCCGTGTGTCCATAGTGATGGTTTCTTTTCGCCTCCCGGAGCCGCAGGGATGATGAAATCTTTGACACCGATACTGGTATAAGTTCACTGCGTTGAATCATAGTAAAGCGCATAATCGTCCATCTCCTGTCCCGTCGATCCATCCCCTCCTGCCTGCTCTCATCACTTTGCGAGCAGCGTTCGGTACTTCCCACCATGTTGTCTGGCACACGCGTCTCGACCAGTGCTGAGAATGCAGTGGCTTACATCAATGGACGTGTTTACACGGTCGACAAGTCTAGTCCGTGGGCAGAAGGATTCATTGTAACCCCAGATGGCAAGTTCGGTACCATAGGGAGCACTACTCAAATACACGAGATCGCAACAGCCGCCGGCATGGTCGTGTATGATCTGCGTCAAGCGTTTGTGATGCCAGGAATACACGACGCACATGTGCACGCTCTGCACGCCGGCGCCCAGATGCTGAGCTGGGCAGAGCTGCCCGCAGGTACCGCATTAGATCAAGCCCCCAAACGCTTGGCCGAGTGCGCCTGTGCCTGCCAGTTCCAACATGCATACCAGGACTGGATCGTTGGTGCTGTGTGGAACTTTGACCACTTTGACCGGAGTGCTCTTGATGAAGACTTTGGCGATCGCCCTGTCCTACTTCATGGATATGGCTATCACCACCATTTCGCCAATACAGCCGCACTCGAGCGCGCCGGATATGACATTACAGAGGAGCCAGTCCCCAGCCACGGCGAGCTGCCACGGAGACCCGACGGAAGCTTGACGGGTGAGCTCAGGGGGCAGGCCGCCAATCGTGCCGCAGCTGCAGTACCCGTTCCACCGATCGCTCATGTCAAGCGTGCCTTGCAGCGGGCCGCAAAAGAATTGCACCGCAATGGCGTCACGAGCTGTCAAGAAGCTTCTGCCTCCAAAGTCATGCTCGAGGCGCTCGGCGAGCTCGACACCGAGGGCAAGCTCAAGATGCACTTTACCACCCATATCTTGTATAAGAACGAGTGGCTTTCTGGAGAAGTCCTGTCGCCCCCGGACAGGCTCATCATGGATGCCGAGAAGTACGAAACCCAACACGTCCATACTGGCTTTGTCAAGTTGATGATGGACGGCGTGCCCGCGCCGCCGGTGTTTAGCCATGCTGGCCTGGACGAGAACGGCAAGCCTGACATGTCTAAAATTCTCCTGCCTGAAATCAACGAGGTTCTATCTAAGTTTGATGCCAGGGGCCTGACCTGTAAAGTTCATGCCATGGGGCTTGGAGGGTCGACTATGACCCTGGATGCATTTGAACAGGTGCGGCGAAAGAATCCAGATGGGCCGCGGCATGAGATCGCGCACTGTAGCAATGTTCTACCAGGTAAGCAGCCCTACCTCCACCAACTTACTTTGACCGTCAGGAACTAGCTCTGATCGAGGCGCAGACGATTTTGCACGATTCAACAAGCTGAACATCACGGCAGAGATGTCTCCCGCAGGGTTCTTTGACTATGCGAAGAGCGGCTTAGATATGCCATTGATTAATTGGGACTTTGAGCGTATGGTTGAGGCAAAGAACCACGTCACAATTGGATCCGATTGGGTGTACGGCATGCCGTTACCCCTACTTCCCGCGGTGGATATCGTTGCGAGAAAGGTTGGCGCAAAGAAGACGTTGGAGATGATCACGTTGGAAGGCGCCAGAGCGACGAATCGAGAGCAGGTGCGTCACCTCCATGCGATTATTCTCTCCCGTATCCCGTTTTCTCATTTCTGTTTATTTGCCATGGATAACTAAGTGACTTGTAGGATTCGGGCTCTATTGAAACTGGCAAGGTAGCTAGTTTTATCATTATCGACAGGGACCTCAGTGAAGGCGGCTTTGACAAGGCCCAGGTGCTTAAGACATGGTTTGAAGGAGAGTTGGTGTATGAGAACGAAGAATGTCCATGTTAATGCTCGAGCAAAGAGGTAGTTCAGAGAGTCAAGTCGAAGGACAGATTTGGTTCTCACATGCCTACCCTGCATTAACATCACCAGCGATAGTCTTCAGAGTACCTACCTTACCACACTTACTGTGGACAGACCTTCTACCGTACAGATACCATCAGCGAAGGAATCCATGGGTTTGGAAGGTTCAGACGCAGTATCACAACCACGCCGACGTAGTTTCCCTGCATAGTCAAAACCAACATCTATATAAATAAGGAGAACAAAATTCGAAAAGCGGATCTGATTCCCAAAGTAAAATCTTCAGCAGCTCCAGCCACCAAAATGCTCACCTTGAGCTTCTAATCCGTATCCAGTGGATACCAGCAGTTGCCTATAGCCCTCGACCCTCACGATGTGTGGTGACTACACTGTCCCTGTTCGAGATGGTCATGGTGGGCTACCGGTCCAACGGTAAGTCTACACCAGGCTTTGCTACGGGATGAGATGGCTATTGGTTCGTCCCTGTTGACAACTTGCCGGCTAAGTTGCTGATGCTCAACCGCTGTTGCCCTCGTGGTGCCGTCTCAGGTGGATTTCGGTTATCAGATTATATGGGGCGGCCGCGTGACCTCCGGTGGCAGTGATAATGATCGTGTCATCGTGTGAGATCTGTGATTCATCTCGTGGGAGGTCAATTGGCTTCATTCTCCTTGGGGGGTTTGAACCCTTGACGTCGATGGCTGTTCACTAACTGAATCAACCGTGGTCGAATCCTGTAGTTGGAGACGCGTTCGCTTAATGGGGACGCTTCGTGTCTATCTCAGATTCTACCGTCAGCATTAGTTGGGTATCTAGCAAGTGATTTGGTATTCTGGAAGATGCAGTGAATTACCGCGGTAGTGGCCACCGAGTTCGTAGTTTTCGTTCGTGTGTATTCCACCAGATTGCTACTGTCGGTGTGGTCACATAGCTAGTTACTGACCGAGGAGAGCGCACTGGCTTGGTTCCATGGGGTATCCAAATTCGGCATCCCGCCCACCCCCGGAAATCCCCGGGTTCAGGTCGGGGGCAGCCGGGACCCCGATCAACTACCCAGTTCGAGCCCTATACCGAGATAGACCATCTGGCCCCCACCGTTCTCAGCCCGCACGAACTGGATTCGGCAAAAGGTCTGGATTAGGAAAAAGAACGGATTCGGAAAAAGAACGGATTTGGAAAAAGGACAGAGGTCGATCAAATACCGCGAGGGAATCTCACCTCAGACCGATTGGAAGCCGTGCAGCGTGCCTGAACGGAGCATGGGGGCCTTGCGGGATGAGTGCCTCCCGGCGATATAACCTCTGGTATCTGGAGAGACCACTTCTTCAGAGTACGGTATGACGTGTGGACGGAAGAGGTAAAAGAGCAGAGATGCAGGAGCGAGCTCTCGGCTGCCACGGCGAGTGGTAAGTCAGTCAGCGATTTGGTAAACTGGGGCACACGGCATGAACAATCCTGCCGATAGGTTCCGTTGAAGGCTGTGGAGTCCAGCGATCCAAGTTGGTTTCTTCTCCTGGCTGATGTCGAACCAAGACGCTAACTTCATGCTGACCACAGCGACAGTCTAAACACCGAAACGTAGAGCGACGACGATGCTGAGGATCAGGGGTATATAAAAGCTAGGACATCTTCTCTGCCGTTCTCCTCCTCTGCATCGATTCCAGCTTCACCCTTCATTTCTTCTCCATTCCGGGTCGTTAGGCATCCATTTACTCCATCCTGTGGTTGAGCACTTGGGCTCTCCGCCTCGCTCTGCTTTCTCGATGTTGCTCACGAAGGCTACGGTCCTGACGTGGAGTTTATTCTCTGCACTCTCGTCGGCGCGGCCGTATACACCACTGTCGGTTACCGATGACGCCAGCTCATTGATTGAGGGGCAATCCTGGCCTCATCAGTGGTTCTCCTACGAACTGGACGACAGCGAGGACTTTGACCTGCCCACTTTCGAGGCCGTGGAGGACGTCAACGCCCCTACCACCACCCGACCCACTCCCACCAACGGGACCCTGGTCACCCGGACCAACGTGAAAGCCTGCCAGAATACCCTGGCACACGGGTTTTCCTGCTCGTCCATCAGCGTCGCGGCCATGATCGCGGCGCAGTTGGCGGCCCAGATTTACACTGCGTCCCGCCAACATGACTGTGGCACTCACTCAGGCACCATCGACGGTTGGCACTACGAGTACCACGCCACCGGCCGTCACTGCGACACCACGGCCGAGCAGAAGACCATCGAGGGCGCCATCTACAAGTACCTGAAAAGCGTCGAACATGGTACCGTCTGTGGCACCCAGTGCATCAAGCTGACCCATGGAGGCACCTGGGAGGGATACTTGAAGTTCGGCAGGGCGGGAGACTTTGATCGGTCCGCGTACTGTGGGCCCAACCTAGAGTTTAGCAATTGTGGATCTGGCGGCAAGAATGATGTTCCTTGAAGGGGTAGTCTCTCTTGTGTAAGCGTGTCACGAAAGGGGGAGAGAAGAAAGGTGTCAGCCGGTTGTGACTGGAGGTTGCTGAGCGATGTTCTTGCCGAGATTCCGGGAGTGATCTATATTGGTTGTATATGAAAGTATGTGGTAGGCCTTTCTTGTATCTATTGAGTAGCAGGAGCAGCAATTCTGTTGAATGGTTGTGTTGTAAAGTCATGTGTCTACCATACATCTTGTGTGTCAGGAGTACCAGCCAAAGGGTCCCATCCAGATACCTATGCACATGAAATGGAACGTTGAATGCCGCTGGACTGCCCAGATCCCGTTGCTGTTGTACCCAAGAGTTTGTCTATCCTTTGGTAGGTGTGGATCCATCCATCATCGATTCCTCTGCCCGCGTCCGTAGAGCGTGGCCGCCTTCATTGCGCTCCAACGTTCAGTAAGCCAAACCCAGCGTTCGTGGGGTCTAAATTGGAAAGTGACTGGATTGTCACGGCCCCTCCGGCTCGAATCTACGCGCGTTAGTCCTCCCAGGACCTGAATGATCATCTCGATTATATTCACATGATCACATCACAGAGACTAACCCAGCTGGCGGGTGTGACGCGCAACTGGAGAGGGCTGCGGGTCAATGCGAACAGGAACAAAACGCCTAGATGACTCGTACGAGAAGCAGAAAGAAGTTGTGGTGGCGGTCTGGGATGCTACGTCTACATCTACGCAGAGGCCCCAGTTCTCAGGATGAGCAAACGACACCGCTAGTTCTTAAGCCCTAGCCCCTCCCACGACTATGTTGTACTACATGAAGCTTTGTGGCAGGAGCTCAGAATGCAGAGCACCGGTATCGTATTAATAACCAGCATTGTGTTGGATTCAGGTATAGGCTTTCTCCAGGCCGGCATAACACATCGAGCGTATAGCGAACATACCTCGATGAGATGGTCTGTCCGCTGCGGAGAACCTCTCGGTATCTTGAATACGATGGAATCGAATGACGGGCTGTAGTCAATCATTCTGCGCAAGCTCGGCATTCCATCTCGTTAAACCACCATATGGAAATGTGATGATTGTACTCGCGAAAGTACATCTAGTATATACATACAGACCAGAACACCCAAATCAGCATCCCAACCAGCACGCGAGGGTCGAGAAAGACGTGATCCAGTACGAACCACGTAGCCCAGTAAACTCGAGCTCACCCGTGCAGATCTATTTCACTTGTGGACCTATTTCTGGCAATCCAAGTCCAACTCGCAGTAGCCTTGGAACGATTGATTGATCCAGCCCCGCTTCACAGTATTGTGCCACTGAATTCTGGGTATGTTGTCAATAGATTGATGCCCGTATCTTGACTTTGCATCCGTGTTGATATAGTGCAGTGTGACCCTGTGGGAGACTACTATCAAGCCGGTGGCTGTTATCAGCAGGCCGATGGCCGGAACAAAGCGAGAAGTCTGGATACCACGAACTTTGACTGCGGCTACCTCCGTCCGGAAACCTGCTGGGTTGTGAGTTTTCTTGGCTCCTTCATGAAAATAACCTCGGGGTCTCACTACTAGTTACAGTATACGGATTAGATGGGCCAACGGTATCCGCCGCTGGAAGGACACGATGTCCAAAGAGGTTTCGGCCGCCGGGGCGGGCCGCAGTGCACATCGTACACATGGCCAGGTTTCATCCAATGAGAGGAGGATCTGGGGTGGGATGCATCGACTGGATACGGACCTGTTCGTCATGATAGCCTACCTACGTAGTGAACTAGTGCAATTCCACTGTTTATAGCACTCGGATCAACTGTCGTGCAACTTCTGACGTACCGCACACAATCTCCCTACGGTCGGGTCGCGAGACTGTGAGTCGATCGGACGTAGACAGACATCCACAGCACATCTCATTGGATTCGAGGCATCCAATTCACTCGGCTGCCCATCAGCACTTTGATCCACAGCCGTGGATCGCGCGCAGTAGACGGAACCTGACGAGGCTGGAAAAGGAATGAAAATCTGATAAATCAAACGATTGGCATCTTCTGGCCCACCCAGGCATGGTTTTCTACCACCGACCCATGAACGTGTTTAGGTCGAAACAATCGGCCCATTGATGGACCCTGCTGGAGCCCATAGGAATGTGGAACTTCCCAGGGGGCGTCCAGCTAATCTTTGTAGAGACCAGAGGACATATCCCGCCGTCCTAGAACTCCTTCAGGGCAGCCTCTATGTCGTACAACGCCCAAGCCATGCACCGGACATTGCACGGCCTTACGCTGATGGTACGCAAGTAGCCCACGAACCACAATAGATTTAATATCTTGCCATGTGCATATCCTGCTCTCTTTGCCAAGCCCCAACTCCGGTGATTGAAGTGAGTTCATCCATGCTGCAATTACGGTGGGGAGCCTATCGTATTCCACAATAAAGTTGTACCCTGGGCAAGGCATCGAGCTGCAAATCGCCACCAACTGCCTAGGCCCATTCCTTCTCACTGGGCTTCTTTTACCCTTTCTCGCCGCTGCGGTTCCTGTTTGCTCTCCTGCGCCCCGTGTGATCTGGACCAGTAGCCAGGTGGCGGAACTCTTGGCGCCTCCGGGGGGCATCCTCCTCTCCGAGCTCCGCGATCCTCCACGCGATACAGTGCGCAATTATGTGACCTCCAGACTCGGGAACTGGTTCGTGAGCGTGGAGTTCGCCCGTCGGTACGGAGGTAGGGGCTGGTCAGCGTAGCCCAGAACCCTGGCGCAACCAATACGAGCTTGTTGCGGAACGCACGGTGGATGAAGCTAGTCTTATGGCCTTTGCTACACAGTCCGGTGCTGGCGGCGAATACCGTGCTGTATGCCGCCTTTGCTGAGGAGCTGGACCAGCCGGTGCACAGTGGTGATTCTGTGATCCCTTGGGGGAGGATCCGTCCTGGCGTAGCCCGGGCTCGCCAGACATTTGGTATGGGAAGACGAAGGCGGCACCTGGCCGTGACCGAGAGTTTTGGGAGTGGTGTATGGAGCGCACTAGGGACTATTTCTGATGATTGTAACAGCCAGCCAATGTTCTAGTATTCCGCAGTGTCCATTAGACGATGCCTGTATGAAAGAGGCCATTCCTAGGCCGTCATACTCAAATCAACTTTCTCAATATCATCGAGCAGACCGCGTTGCCACGTCAAGTTGTTGACAACCACTCACTGGGATTTTTCAACATGCCTCCAGCGCAGCTAGATTACTGAGCGTCGTTGAGGCACGACTTGTGAGCGCCATCTTTTAGTCTGGCATCAAGCCGCTGTTATTTTCTCCCAAGTTGTATATCATGATGTTGCTCTGCCTTGTTTACGAGGTAGGTTTTCTGTCATTGTCACAACGTATCGCCATGATTTCAAGGATATCGTCTGTTATTACTGTAAACAAATTCTCTTCAAACATCAATATTCCATTGATCTATTTTACAGTGCCAGCTATATTACTACTGGGTCGCCAGCAGCCCCTAGATACCACCTCATAGTGCTACTAAATTGCAGCGCAATACTACTATTTAGTAGGCTGTCACACCTGGGGGTTTGTGGAGGATTTATAAGTGAATGTCATCGTGGAATGCCACCTATTTATTCCCATTGAAGGGCTGTCTGGTCCAATAGGACCTCCACGAAGACAGCGAGTGGCTGTTCCATTGTCCAAGTGTCAGCAAGGCTATACAGGGTGCCCTCTTTGTTGCAACTGTATGATAGAATATATAAAAGAACCAGGCTTTCATAGCGCAAGACCACCTTCTCCAATTACCGGGATGGAATTTGGGTTTGAAACCATACTAAAGTTCTAATTATATCTGTATTGCAGTACCGGACTCGAGTGACCATTCCAACGAATAGCCTCGGACATCACCATAAACAAGCACCCGTCGAGCAAGCGTGCTATCTCATCTGCCTATACTCCAACCCCTCCATGCCAACGCCCAACCCTTCGTCCTCAAGCTCCTCCGCCTCAAGGAGAATCCCCGGATACCACACGTTGAAAATCCCACAAACAATGAGCATAAGCGCGGCATCAAACACGTACAAAAACGCCTCGTGGCTCTGCAAGTACCCCGTGCTTCCCTGGACATACTCAGCCACCCGGTAAATCGATCGCACCATGATCAGGATGCTAGTTGCGTAGAGCAGAAACAGGCATAATTTCCAGGATGGGATGGCGCGTCCTTTGGTCGCGGATCGGGCCAGGGTCTGAGCCGTTGGATCGCGGTGGAGGTTCCAGTGGAAGAGGACGGAGACTGCCATAAAGACGCTGAAAAAGATGACTTGCACGAAGAGGCCGACGATGATCACCCGCTCGCCAAGATGTACTTTCGACGCTGTTTGTGCCTGTGCAAGGATGGCGCCGCCTATTCAACATCGCATCATTAGCCTTCGATGTTGGGGTTTGAAGCCAAGTTACTGGAATGGGGCCAGTGCATATCCAGATACCTCCACTTTGAATCAAGAACGAGAGCACGTCGCCCGAAACGAAAATCCTAGTTAATCTCGTCGGCTGGATGGGAGATCTGTTCTCGCCCTTGACCAGATGCATAATCCGACCGAGGATCGTGTATATCGAGGCTGCCAGTAGAGGAGGCGCGAGGAGCAAAAGCAGACTCTGCAACGCATAGGGTCCGACAGACCAGTCGGGGGTCTGTTTGGCGCTGACCATGCGTGCGATGTAGCCTAGCGATTCCACTGCATACCAGATAACAACAAGGTCAGTATGGGTTCGCTCGGTTTCAGGGAAGAGCTCGACCTCACGTATTGCGCCGATAATAAAAGCCGCCATGAATTTCGTTCTCGTACGGCATGCCTGCCAGGTATGGATGGCGGCCGATGCACCGAATCCGACCGCGAAGCATACAGCGGCTGGGAACGAGGGGTTATAATGATACAGGGTATAGGTTGAGCTCATCTTGGGCGGTTGGAAGACCTGGATAGCGGGTAATGTTTGGTGATACGGTTCGGGGATGAGTTTTAAGAGCTCAAGGCTGGACGCTGAACGTTTATATACAGTCACCGGGTGCCAGCTTCTCTTGCACAGTTATTCTTAGGACCATGATACCTGGTGGGCTTTTGCGGAGTGAGCTACAGAGTATACGGGACTATATTTGGTAGTCGGATCAATTACTGTGTGCGGTATAGTGTACGGTCTTATCGTCCAGGCTCCACACCCAGAATTAGTGTACGAGGAAAAAGGACGGTGGGTTCTCGGAGCCCACAAGGCAATCCAGCTTAGTCTCTTGCGAAAGCTTATCATGGACGCACGGAGTCTTGTAGTCAGTATATAACTCTTACGGGTCACCCAAATTGCTTTTCATATAAGGCTCCCTGGGACCATCCGACAACGAACTGGCGACCGGCAGACCTCAAACGAGACAGAAACATGCTCAGCAACTTCGCAATCATGGTCATTGTTATTGTTGCCTGTCTTGGTGTTACGGCTTTGGCAGCAGGCATTTCCTCCCACTTCAGTGGACCCGATGATGTGCGCCCCGTCTATGACTTCCCCCACGAGCAGCGGCTGTACATGCAATCCGTCCGCAGATCGTATTTCGCCGACCTTTTGAGTGGCATGGGACAATTTAAACCCCATCGGATGCGTGCAGGTAGGGGAGTCTCCGATGATATCAACTGAAGCACTGACACCTGGCCCAGGTGAGTCTCGCAGGGAGGAAAGGGTATGAGGGACACGAAGGACCGAAAAGGCTGGTATCAACAATGTGGATACAATAAGCCATGGGACGGAAGACGAATATTTGTGTACAAGGCAATACTAGAACACCAAGAGCCAACGAACAGAACAACACCAACGAGGGACGCCATCTGTATGCTAGAAGGGCCAAGCTGAAACAAGATCACGATGCACAGTTCATCAGACTCTCTATTCGTAGAATCTCCGACCGCCAGTGCCCATCAACAAGAGATTGAATCTTGCGCACTAGTCTATGTCCCCAGTCGCCCATCCACCAGTGTGCGCGCAGATAATGCATGATCACCCCATAGCTCGCCAGAATTACCAATGCAAATGGTTCACGCTTTTCAATCAAGCTGAGAATACCATGCGGAACTCTAAAGATGAACTGAAAAGCGGCAGTAATAACGCTGATACTTGGGTGAATCTCCATACTCTCAAAAGACAGCCGAAGCGCTTGAACTGCCTCACTGTACATGCTCGAATGTGGGTCTGCACCATGGTGAGAATGAGACTGACCGAGATACTCCAGAGGCGCAATGATCTGCTCAACGAATTTCCCACGGTGGGTGGCAGCTGAATCCAAAGGCTCTGGCATGGTAATGAGGGCCGCTAGATCCCCAGCCTGTACCCAATGATGAACCTCCATCAACACTTTCATCGAGCTTTTGCAGATGTGAGTGATTTCAAGGAACTCTTTGATGGGATCACCAGCACTGCTCGGCTGCGTACAAAGGGGAAGAGCCACGGTGAAGATAATGATAATATTCGAGAGTACATAAGCAGCGTCCGCATTGGATTCATTGAGACGTTCGAGTTGGGATAAGCCTTCAATCGCCTGGGAATGGTGAGTCTGCGCCAACCGTAGATATCTCGTCCGTTCGGAATATGTACTGGAGAAGGCGGAGTGTAGCGCTGACAAGGCGAGAATGCCGTGCATTAGAAATGGATGGTGGGCAGCTTTACGCGGAATGGCCGATCGCCATATCCATGAGACCGAGTCATTCCGGGAGAGAGTCTGATGTGTGTGGTTGCACCATTGCACCATGAGCTCGAGATTGTGCAGTTCGGCGCTGGCTAGATCGGATCGGCCTGTGACTTCGGCAGACCGACCATCGCTCAAGGATGCAGCCGGGCTCGGCCTCCCTTTTCCGGGCGCTTTGGCCACAATGTAGGAGCACTCAGGGGAGGAGTAGCTACAAGGCAAGTCCCGTTCGGTGCATTTTCCACAGCGGGGTCGGGTTTCATCGCACTAGGTGGATGTCAATCAGACTGTTCGTCAGGAATCCTGGGAACAACAGCTCTGGGATGTGACCTTGATTCGCTTGGCCTTGCAGTGGGCACAGCCATGGCGAGATTTAGTGTGAGCACGACGCGATGGCATTAGGAAGGGGTTGGCTTGCGAAAGCTTGTGTAAGAGTCAAAGAACATTTTCCCCCTGTTTTAACAGAACGAAAAGTAGGCACCTATGGGGGCAAACTGTGCCACAATTGTGGACATTGATTGCGTCCGAAAAAAAGCCCTGTGGAATCTGGATCAAGCAGATCGATCGTATACCGTACACTATACCGCTTCGAGATTAGCGTTGGCTGGCCGCTTGGCAGCAGCAATATCACTCCAAAGCTTCGAAAGGGTGCAGAGGTTCAAACGGATCCATTGGATTTCCTCAATCAGATCATTACTATAGAATTGGGTCTTGTGAAACGCTGGGCTTACTGGCATGAACATGTACCTCGCTTGCTCGAGGTTAGCTGAACTGCATGCTTTCTGGCTAGATATATATATGTGGACGGAACCACCTACTTGGTAGCAGATCATGAGCGAAGCGGACTTCAACTCAGCTTTAATATCTAGCTGTGATGTCATAAAACGACCGGGACTGATCTGATTGAGGCTTACACCAGAGTTCCATAGAAGATCATCATATATTATCCTATTAGCATTATCTGAAATCAGGTCTCACGTAGTCTCATATCATCACTGAAGCTCAACACCGGTGTATGGCTCATTTCGTCTCGTTCCGGTCCCGACTGTGAGAGAGTACAGATTGGAGGTCGGAACTGTTATTGTGCAGTATCCCTTGTACAGAGTTGATCAACAGATCATTGACTGGCACCTTGGCCGACAGGACCAAATCACGCATGGCTTCGGTATAATATGGGATCACGACGCCATCGTATTCCACTTCTCGTGTGACCGCATCGAGGCTGAGATACCCATTCCGTAAAGAACTTCCTTGCGCCTGCACAAGAGGCAGAAGATTCTCCATGATTGTGTGCATATCTACCACCCCCTCGAGTGGCGTCGAGTGGTTTCCGGGTCGCAGCGTCAAGTTGTTGATAGTAGCATTCCCTACTATGAGGTCATTGCTTTTCAAGTCCATGGTGATGGTGCCCTGCCGCTTGGTTAGCCGTTATTCGACAGGGTCGAGGAGTGAATGCACACAATCTCTATGGTCATGACCGATGGATTTGGCAGTATCGCGTTTGCAACCAGATTCACCCCGTCATCTCGCGGTGGGAAAAGCATTTTCGGGTGGTCGATCGAAAATCCTGCGAATGAATTGAGAGCTACATTCTTAGCTCATATTGGCATAATTTCCAATTTTTCCTCCTGCGATCTCCTGGATCGATACTTACTGTTTTGAGGGAGATCCTTCTTCAAGGAAATATGACTCTTCAGCTTGCCCAAGTATATATTAGTAGTTCCAAACGCAGACAACGGCGCATGTGGCTTGAACACTACACTGCGAACGTAATGCTTCCATGGCTCGGGATTCACTGGACTTGGCTGATTCTGAACCCCAATACTCGTGTTCCCCTTGATTTCGATAGCATCATTGTATACCTTCAAATATGTGCTATTCCCCGGCTGATCCTGATTGAATAGGTGGAGCACGTTGGGGTCCAGACGTACAGGGACGTTCACAGGAAGCTTGAGTGCGGTTTGGATGCTGAGCAAAACAGACTCTGGCCGCGGTTGCATGATCTTAGCTTCCACTAGGACGAGAGATGCATTGTCGATCACTCGTTGGGAAATCGCTTGGATGATGACGGTGAAACTAGATTTATCAGCTATGACCTCTGGGATGGAAATATGGCTGTGAAACGTACAACAGTGGGAGAAATATCGCCAGGAAAATAATGGCAGTGACTAAATAACAGCACCAAAACCGAGTCCAGTGTCGACGAATTTTTCCTCTGCTCTTCAGCGAGCTACTGTCTGCCAGTTCCACATGTGCCATCTGGGATTCATCTCCATCCTCTTGGGGTAGAGGTCCACGATTGGCGCCAAGGGCATATTTTCCACTCTTGGTGGTGAGATATGATGGTTTCTCAGCCATTGCCCTGCTTTGGGAGAAGGTGGTCTGTTGGAGGTATTGGAAAGCATGGTCGACCACACATATATACAGGGTAACCTCGCTGGACCCCTCGAGGATCCACAGAACTAGTTTGGCTAGGGCATTGTATACTAAGTCAGGCATGTGAAATTCATTGTGGTTCTCATCTTCCTACTCTCCAGGCAACGAGTGTATTGCGTCGGATGATAATTAATCAAGAAATTGCCCTAAGATGACTCCATCAAATCCAGAAAAACATCACTCGGAATCCACAATGGGAAGTCCGTCCACCCCGGGTTATTTATTGCTCCGTGGTGATCGACATGAGCTGTACAAAAACGGTAGGCATTGCGAGTCCCTTCCCGAGATTGAGATCCACTTGAGCAGCTCAACATTACACAGTATGTTCCTTCCTGTGCAGAGTCTGTGTGATTCAAGTGTGCTCGGGTCCATTAAGGGGGAAACCGAGTCAATGCCTCAAGTTTGGGCAAGGTTAGAATAGAATATATTAGGAACTTCCGGCGCATTTCTTGTCGGAATGCGAGTCGTGGGAATCGACCCTCTCCAATATGGTATCTCGGATGAGGAGGACCGTCAGAAATGAGAAGCGAATAGGCTCTCTCGCAAGGCTATAGCGTATCGAATCCTTGCTGAAGACCAGCTGTTACTTTTCCGGCCGTTTCTTTCTTTCGATGTTTCTACAGGACATACACACAATACCGCTGTCTCAATGTCTTCTCATTCTCCGTGCCTGACGAAGTATGCGCGTTTACATATTAGCTGCATCTATCTTGGGTAATTCTAAATACTCACACCTGGTTCTGTGTTACCCATGCCATTGGGACCTATAAGATTTTTGGAATCGGGATAGAGAGGAGTTCTCTGCCGGTAGGAGGAGTGACATGACCATCCACCTTCACCCAGTGGTATCCTTTGCGTCAGAGCTTCCGCATTACATAGTAGCATGATTGGACATTCTGCTAAGCGTGGTCTAAATGAGGCGGGGTCGCTGGGAGGGCAATATATTATACTTGATCAGAACAAGAGTGGCTGGCCTGAGTGACTCCGGATTGGTGGCTCCATGGATAAGAGACACGGGTTTGGCCTGGACTATGACTGGGCCAATACGGTAAGTCGCTATCTCCCGGTGAGTCAGATCCCCAAGACTGTTCATGACCATGTTATCAAGACTTGCTTGTCTGGACTTGTGTGTTTCGGACCAGTGAAGGTATGGAAAACGTACACGAAGCGTATGCCAGTGGCAATGTATGAGCGCAATATCAAGGAGAGCAGTGAGACTTTGACAGAAGGGGCAGCCTCTCCGGCCGGTGTCCCCACGACTATCGGGTAACACTCATTCATGTATCTATCTCCGATTGTCATGTCGGCGCCGGCTTGTGTGCCCCCGAAAATATCGGATATGTCATCGACCATCAGTCGATCACTAGCCGATTTGATATGGGCCACTGCACTCCGCTGAACGAGGCCTTGTTGCACTAGATCCTATGTGCGTCGACCGTGGTGCGACATACTAGGACTGACGAAGCGTCTGGAGTCAGCCGGGGGCTTATCAGTCTATGGAATGGATGGGTGGGAGTTAAAAGTGACCATTTATACATACGTTAGATGTGCATCTGCGCGAAGACCCACAGAGCCCTTTGTGAGACGAGTACCACCTGGCCGCAGGAGTATTACGAGGCTGCCATGGATGATAGTGCTAAGTGATATTACCATCCACTAGACAAGGGTCAGGCAGGGATCAGCATTGTCCAGGCCGATTAAAGAGCGACCGACTAGTTACTCCCTAAAGTGTTTAGACAGAGAAAATCTTTCTTTCTCTCGCGCGCGCGCGCGCTCTCTCTCTCTATCTGACCGTTTGGACCTCCATCAATCTTGCTCCCACGCCCGATATATACTCACCACTATGGAGCATTGTAAACGAATCTGGCCATAGATCTTCCCTGCTAGGGCTGCCCTGACTTCGGCCACTCTTCCGTCCCAAGTGGGCCGCGTGGCGATCATCACCGGTAGCACTACGGGCATCGGATTGTCGCTTACACGGATTTACTATGAAGGCGGAGCCATAATTTACACAGTGGCATCCGAATCCCAGAGCGGATTTACTGGACTCGATGGCCGATGGGGGTTATGCAAAGGAATTCGCGGCATGGGCTGAGAGGCTCGTGCAGGAGTTTCGGTGAAGGTCGAGCCATGGTAGGCATGAAGCCAGGCCAGGCTTGTTCTACCTTACCTGTCGCAGCGATTCCATGCTGAACTAGAGAAACCATAGTGTGTCACTTCATGCTTGCAAATCCTACTGTTCAAGTTATTCTGGTCCATCTCATGGGGAAGTTTGAGCCGAAGATAGGGACCCGCCTGACAAACGTATCAGCATCATTGAGGAATGCCAAACTAAGCTCTAGAGGGCTAAGGGGACCTCATATAGCCCACATCAATCCATGAGAGCAATTGGCTGGGAACAGTGGAGACGAGGTGGAGCATCCATCAGCCAACCTCAATGCCTTCGCTCTGCCCCACGTCCAGCTGCGAACGTCTTATCACTGCACCATTTTCCTCTTCCAAGACACCATATCCAGCCTATAGGCGAAAGCACCATTCGCCATGCCGACGACCTCAGATCCGATCGTCTTCTATGATATCGCCCCGCGTCCCCCCGTGGAGAAAACCTGCTTCGCGCCAAACCCCTGGAAAGCCCGTCTGGCCCTTAACTTCAAGAGTCGCCCGTATTCAACCACATGGGTGCCATTGCCCGACATTCCCAAAGTCCGCAATGGTCTCAAAGTACCAGCCTGTCGCCAATTTGCCGATGGCACCGACTTCTTCACCCTGCCGATCCTCGAGGACCCCGCCACGGAGTCGTTGGTCGGCGACTCCTTCGATATCGCAGTGTACCTCCAGAAGACGTATCCGGACTCCGGCGCCGGCGACCTCTTCCCCCCTCAGAAGCTCGATTATACCTTCACCCATCCTGCGATCCTCATCCCGCTGTCGGACTGTCGCGACAGTGAATTCCCTGAATACGCCACGTTCAACATGAACGTCGACGCGGCCTTCACGGCACATGTACAGCTTGGACTACAGGGCTTTCCGTTCGATCCCGCCACGGCCGAGGCCAGTAAGCAGGAATTTGTCCGGCGCGCGGGAGTGACCTGCTGGGAGGACTTTTTGTTGGTCGGCGAGGCGCGAGAGAAGACGAAGGATTCGTTCCGGGATATGCTCGGGGGGCTGGCTCCGCTCTTCTCGAGGGACTCCAGTGGGCCATTTCTGCTCGGCACACGGGCGAGCTATGCAGACTTGATCGTCGGTGCCTGGCTGCGGATGATGCACGTAACCCTACCGGACAGTGAATGGGAGGAGGTAGCAAGTTGGCATGGCGGTCTATTTGGGCGGTTGCACGATGCGTTGGAGGTCTATGCGGAAGTGAAATAGACTACTAGACCAAAGAAGCTAGAGGGACATATAAGATAGGTACCTAATCCATGCAAGGAGCTTTCATGGTCGAGAAAATGAATGAGGATTACGACAATTAAATCGCTATCGTTTCGCACCTAAGATTCAGCGACACTACAGGATTCTATCGATTTACACTGGATTTGATAAAATACGAAACACCAGGCAGCGACAATGGATGGAATGACTGCCTGGTCATGGTGATCGAAGAGATGATGTCAATGAACAAGTTTATCAATTTTAATTCTTCGGGTAGCACTGCTTTCATGTAGAGAGCGACAAGGCCTCGATCTTGCTGCGGAATGGACCAGGTCGGAGCAGGTGGGCCATCTAGCACTCCACCGTCAGGCTGGAGGCTCTGGACTTAAGAGAATTATAATACCAGGCTTCATCTTTGGAGGACGATGCGTGATTTGAGTGTTCCACGATGTGGATTCAACAGGTGATGGGAAGAAAGGAGGTTGGACATAGCCGTGCAGGCACATCCAAAGCTGCCAACGAAGCGATCGCAGTGGAAAGAATCCAGTACACAGCAATATCCAGTAACCGCCCGTTAGAAAGGAGCCATCCTCTTGGGCCCCACCCTCATTACGTGGCTTTCATAAGATCTCTGGGTTGAAATCTGCCCCGGAAGACCGTATCATCGGATGGCCTGTGGCCACCCTGATCCGATCGCAGGTTTCGGAGAGAAACCCGCCCACGACAACCGAGTAGATATGAATGGAAATGGAGAGGCTATGGAGGACTTAAAGAAATGGTCACCGCTGGTGTGCGGGATACGGCCGACTACTGTGCTCGATACACGCTGGGCATTAGGTTGAGGTGTGAATAGCAATCGAAGATCTGATGTGGGAGCAGTCCCATATATGAATGCATGTAGAAAGTTAGGCTTCTGCTCTATTATTCCGTAGCCAATTGAAGGACCAGACAGCTCTACCGAGAGAGCCGAACAGACTCATTCTGTTTTATACTGTACATTATGAGCCCGGCCCATCTCAAACCCGTGCGTATCAGCAATCTGTGCCATGACCTGATCTAACCAAGCGATCTCAGCATCCAACTCCAAATTCCGCCGTGCCACGTTCAACGGAAAAATAAGCATCAATGCCCCGACACTTCCCTGGAGACAGTCCAGATGGTAATCTACCATCCGGAGGATCTCAATCGCAATATCCCGTCTCGTCCCTTGAGTTGGGAGGAGAGGGTCGCTGATGCTTTCTTTCCAACTAGGCTCGGGATGGCAATGGAGAAACTCGCACATCTTCAGCACCAGGAGCAGCGTTGAGTCATACATACACACCTCTTGCGCACGGGAGAAATCATGAAACCAGAGGACTGTTTCGAATGGGCGGGGAGCAGATGTAAATCGAGGTGGAGAGCCTTGCATATTCAGATCCGCAGAAACAGGAAAGGAGGCACCAGGAAACGTATCCTGCCATGTCCATCGCCAGACATACAGCTCGTCCAGCATGGCCAGAGCCTTCTGGCACAGTCCGGTTCTCGCCGTCTCATCCCCTCCCGCTAGGAACGAATCAACAGCTTCCAACAGACCGGGGACATCACACATGATATCATGGAGACAATCTATCAACGTCTTGGACTCGGGCTTCTCAGCCCACGGAATCGTCTTCCATTGTGGCTCCTCCAGAAAACATCGTTTGCGACTCGCAATATGCGCTATAGCCTACCGACCAGTCAGTCATTCCAATACCACTAAATGTGAGGACAACATACAATGTTCTGCCTCAATGTTGGGTACAACGCAAACCCCACCCCATGCGTATGTCTCTGGGGCCCGCGGAAGGCAGTCAATCGCGCCAGACCCTTGTAATGCTGCATCCAGGCATTTGGCACGGTAAACGCAATGGACTCATACATGGCTAGATAGATAATCACCACGAGCAGATCTTCTCGGAGAGCATGTTCTGGATGGTAGAGCTGGAGTTGCAACTCTTTCAACGCGTCCGAATACCATCTCGATCCCCTGTGGAGCAGGTCGGCGTGGTGGTGCACTTGGCCAAAGTAGGCTGTGGAGAGTGCACGGAGCGAAGTTTTTGATAGGACCAGAGCTTTGTCGCTCGCCGTGTTTGCGTCGGGCTGGCTCAGGTGGAACGAGATGGTAGACGCCAGGTGAATGGCTTCCGCGTCGTGTTGGTTGAATATCTTGTGGACGAGATGCGTGGTGAAGATATTGTCGTCGTCTCTGGTGGGGGCGATGATCCATCGGGGTCTGGTATTCTCGTCCTGGGGGGATCTTAATCTGACCAGGGAGGTCTCAGCCCCGGGCCCCCTCCGGGTAAATCGCTTGGTCTCATCATGAAATTCAGCAAATGCGACGTAGCCATCGCATCGGTAGCCTCCTTTGGTGCACCGATCGCAGTGCGGCTTTGCCTCGTCTTGGATGCCGTTAGTGTGAGATCCTGGGACGCCGCGCAGGGTGAGCCAAACCGCATTTGACACGTCGTTTACGACAGGTTTTGCAACCTTTGCTTCTTCCTGGGACACCAACCATGAGTGTTGTACTAGGGTATTATACTAGGGTTCGTGGTGACCCGGTTGCTCTTGTCACCGCGGTGGAGTTGGTGTCTGTGCGGGGGGATTTGGCGGGAACCGATTTCTAGCGCGTAGTGGGAAAAGCCTTAGCCTGTTCGCCTCTCCCAGTGCTACGGGGATTTCTACAGGGATCTACCACGCAATAGCACACCAGGGGAGACGATGATCATGCTGGTATTGAAGAGTAAACTAGAGGCTGCACCATCCCCCTGAATCATTATGAACTCGTCTAGCAATTGCATGACGCTTCAGGTTGACTCGAGGTGGGGTGAGACTCCGCCCCGGTCACAGCCCTACTCCTTCCTATGAACTGGCTGTCGTGTAGCATATTTCCGGTACTTGTCGGCTGTCTTTGCCCGGGCTCGTTTACCATAAATCATCAATAGAATCGGCAAGGCCACGGTGACCAGGGCCAGCATGCTGATGAGAACAAATGTATTCTCGATTCCCATGCCGGTGATCCAAGGGGTGAAGGCAAAGCGAACCACCATGGCAAACCCATTGCGGATGAAGACAATGGCAATCAACGCATCCCCAAGTATCTAGACAGTTTATGAGCGTGACGGCCTCTTGCATGATGTCTTCGTGCGGGACTCACATCGGGATAGCAGTCAGTAAGATATGTCAGCGCCACATCGGCAGTGGTAATAAACCCGAAACCATATATCCCTTGACCCACAGCCAGCAGAGCCCAATGCATACCCTATGCAGAGGGTTAGCCTTTCAAGAGGAGATCGATTGTATCAGAAGCGACAGGGATCGTACTTTGCCTAGTCCAACCCCATACATCAGCAACCCGGCGCAGTTCAGGAGAGCCCCGGGAATGCTCATCCAAAGACGCATCTCTGGCTCGAAGATGCCTCCATTTTGCTTGGCTGCTCGAACAATGAGCCCGTCGTTCAGGGCTGGAACCGTCAAAGTCGCGATGAAGGTGCCCAAAAATCCACCGAGGTGGAACAGGCCAACTGCAGACGGGCCAAACTGGTACGGTTCGTCCAAAAGGAAGTAAGAGCCAGACGAAGCGTTGGCAGAAAACCAGGCCAGGATGGTGCCGTATGTGATGGCCGTGTAAGCGACGGCGGGGAAGGAGAAGAGAATGAGCAGCGGCTGGTAAAAGTGCTGGACCACTGGCATGTCCGTCCGGGTGACGAAGGCCAGGCGTTGCCGAATCGACTTACGTCTGCGACGGGGATCTGCCGTGGAACGAGTAGCCACTCGGACGGTAGACGGCTCCCCTGTCTTCTGGTCATCGTCATATCTCGGTTCACCTTCTTGGTCATGATCAGAAGACTCGGCATGGCCGACCACGAGGGGAATGTATTTGGACTCCTCGAAGAAGAACAGCACGAAGAGGAAGTTGACGCCAAGGAAGATGGCGATCATCCACCACATCCATCGCCAGCCCATCGAGACGATAATATACCCGGCCGCGATCGGGCCACCCGTGGACCCCAGGCTCTGCATAAACAGAAAGATGCCGTTCATCCGAGCATGTTGATGGACAAAGAAGAGGTCGACAATAGTGATCATGACCACGGCCTCGCTGATAGAGCCAGCGAGTCCAGCCAGCAGACTGACTCCGATGAGTTCCCCGGCCTTGTGGAAGTTGGCCCACCAGATTGCACAAGACAGCTGCACCATTGCACTGAGCAGGTAAATGGGACGCCGGCCAAACTTGTGCACACAGGGGATAAACAAGAGGCATCCAAAGGCGAGCCCGGCGAAATTCGACCCACTCGCCTGGTTGAAGGTCGCGTAGGTCAAACCCAGCTCGGACATGTAGCCTCGATAGGCCAAGCTATTGATATCCACGAGGACAAAGGTGAAGAGGACATACGAGCAAGTGAGCCCAAAATTCACGGCCTTCCTCAACGGGGACCAGTTCTACACCGGTCGTTAGCTGCAGCACGAAGGGGAACTGGGTCTACGCACCAAAGGGTCGTCCGGATCATCAGAGGGAGTGGGACTCAACTTGAATCGCGACGCCAGTCCCTGCCCTGAAAGAGTGAGTGTGGGACTCTACACCTCGGTCCTGTTAGGACGGGCCACATACGTTCTTCAAGTTTGATTGTCCCCGGAGGAAACATAGTATGGGAGTCTGGGCTCGACATTGGGGGCCGCTTAAAACCTGACAGCTGGCTATATCATGGATTTAGGAGGCGGGCATACTCAACGCTTTATACTTGCCCCAGCGCTATCAGTTGTCCGGCGAGCTGAACCCTCTTCTCGTGTCTTGTAGAGCGGGGGTGAAGTTTAAGGAAGACATACGAGCTGTTACGGCCGGCGAGGCTGTCATGCACCAATGACGGGCCGCAACCAGCCGGTGGATTGGTAAGTTTCGCCCCTTTCGGGCTGTCCATACATACCGATACGCTTTTGATACATCGATATCAAATGTGGACCAAATGAGAAGACGCCCTTATCTCGGCAATCACAGAGGGATGCTGAGGTTATCATCGTGATCGAATAGGTCGAACAGATACCGCGTGGTTCCCTCATCTCGGCTGGTCCAGACGCGAGTTAGAAACACCCGAAGATTCGCCACGAAGGGGTAGAAGCTGGAGCCCTTGATGCTCTGCAACAACGAAAGAATATTTTGCCGGCCAAAGGAATCATGGACTTCCGCGCCAGCAACAAGGAGGACCAATGCTATATTGGGGGGGTGTTGCTTGGCCATCGCTAAACAATGCTGCATCTCCGTTATCATTGTCCGAGCAAGGGTCTCGGCATCATCATCTCCCTCCCCAAAAGGATATCGTAGCCTGTGTAAGATAAGAAGGGTCGCGTTGCGGTGGAGATTAGCTTGCGTAAGAAGGAGCACCATCTCCTGCTCCGAGAAGCGCTCGATGGTTGCAGCTGACACAGTGGGGGCCCATGCAACGATCTCCTCCCGAAGGTTATCAAACTGATCAGGAGGGATAGGCACTTGAGGTTCCTTCCTGATGGCAACCCTGAGAAGACAAACACGATAAAGAAGGGGGAGGAGAGATCCACACAGGCCCGCATGGTGGTTTACGAGGTACGGATCACGCACTCGATACTCAATAACGGGGATTCTCGCTCGAAAGAGAGACTCGGTGACGTCGAGGAAGACTAGACAGAGCAGTTCTCTCATGTCCGACTCCTGTAACTGTTCAGAATAATAGAGCGGGCGTACCAATGAGAGGGTGAATCGGCAAATGGTGCTCGCCGAAATACCTGAGATGAGACGGTGGAATGTCACCAGACTCAGGCCCAAGGATAACAGGTTGCCCGCATGCTCTGGGCTAGTAATCTGGGCATTCCTCAATACCTGTAATGCTGACGCACAGCTAGACCAGTCGCTGTCACTACAGGCAGGCTGGTTTGTGGTAGAGCGCAGAAGGACGCGGGTTACCGCTGCGTAAGGATCAAGCAGTAGCATTGGGGCCTCCCTGATGCGGGCACGAATCATCTGGCTCATCTCACGACTTAACAACTCTCCCAGCGAGAAGAACTGACAGATCTCGACCGCCGTATACTCGGACACACGAGACACTGTACTTTCCCAGCGTAGCAAACTCAGAAGCTCGATTTTTGGGGCTCTTGTTCTCGTCTCATCATTCCTCTGTCCATGTGTGGCTACAACAGAGGTGTCCAAAGTGCGAGCGGTGTCACTGCGATCTGTCCTTGATGCTGATGCCGCAACCGAGGCAACGCGTGGCTTTCGTCCTGGTCGCTGGCGTCGCCGCGAGTATGTGCACGGGTAATGCAAGCGATAGCAGCGATAGCATGTCTCTCCTGGCCCCGCCAGGCAGCGGGACCTGACCGTATGGCATCGATCACAAGCGGATGGGCGCATGGAGTGGAATTCGAACACAGTCTCTCGGTGGGTATTGGTGTAGACGAGGTGATTCAAGTGTGTCGGGAGCGCGGAGATCGTGTTGGAGTCGTTCGCAAACTCGGGCTTGGCACATCTACGACGACTTCGCTGTGGCATCCTCTGGCACCATACCTGTGATATCGTTCTCTTCGTTTTCCAAAGATCAGATAAGGATTTATAATATGTGTCCGATTACGGTCTATCTTAAGTTGCTATCTTAATCCTATGCTACGGAGGAACAATCCGTGACGAGACCGGAATATATATTGGGAGCAGATCAGTGGGTTTTTTTGGCAAGAAGCGAGGATGGTATATCATCTATGATTACAAATCGAGGGTTAGTAGCACACGGACTTAATAGAATTGATTCTAAGTGTACGGGACGGACTGTCGCAGGATATATATTTCAATTCTGACCATGTCTATCTTGCTATCTCCAACGACTTAGCTCGTCCAAAGCGCTCCGCAGGTCGTGTTACTTCCGATTTACGCCCTCAGACACCGATCGATCAGCTTTGACATCTGTAGGCACTCCTCGTCCCGCATTGTCGTGGTGAAAAGCTGAATCCCACACGGAGCCCCTTGGAGGGATTGATAGTCATCTAGATATGTTAGTCACCATGCAGAATCAACCGCTTGAAACTTACATTCTGGTGCGATTTGATCGTCGCCCACCCGGAAGGTTTCTGTAGCATCCAACTCATTGACCTGTCCAAATGGAATGACACAGGCAGGGTACTTATAATATGTCAGCTGGCAAAACAAAATCGGAGTGAAGAGAGCATACATCAAGGCAGTTCAAGAAAGTGGTGTATGGCGCAGGGCCAAAGGAGTCATGGGCTACCGCAGTGTTTTGCGCCGGCGGCGCAAGACAAATGTCCAAATTATGTTGGATCCACATTTTTCGATAGTCCTCCTTGAGCTCGGCGCGACGTGTGTTCAGAGCGGCCAACGTGGCTAAACGGTCCATCGAACTCATATCCGGTAGGGATGACTTATGGAATTGTTTCACTTTTGCAACCTGGGCGCCAATATGCTGTAATGCGGGAACCACGGGCTCGCCAGCTGAGATGATATGGCTGAGGGCGCTCTGGTCCAGACCGAAGATACCCAACGCAACTTCATTCAGTTCCTTGATCCGGCACTCTTCGTGGGTGAGGAAAACTATTTCATGACCGTCTTCCTCCAGGCGCTGTTTCGCTTCTGCCAGTATCCGTTTGACTGGGGGATGTAGCGGAAAGACTGGATGCTCCGGGACAAGACCGATTCTCAATTTAGGTTTCACCGCGACTGTTCGCCAAGGTACATCGATCACAGTGGAGTCGTAGAGACCGGGCTGGATATCAAACACCGAGCTAAAGAAGACTTCCAGACCTTCAAGGTCCAGGGACAAAGGCCCAGCACACGAGAGGATAAAGCGCATTCCGCTGGCTGAGCAGGCACGAGTGCCTGCGTTTGGGACTCTTGACGCACTGGGTCGGAAGCCATAAGTCCCACAACACAGAGCAGGGACACGTATGGAGCCTAACGACCTGTTAACCAAGGAAACCGAGGTTTTGTCGATGGGGTGGACCTACCGCCCACATCAGTGCCGACTCCCAGAGGTGATCCGCGCAGCGCAACCAAAGCGCCCTCGCCACCACTCGATCCTCCCGGGGTCAGAGTGGTATTCCAGGGATTCAGGGTACGCCCGAAGACATTATTCTGCGAGTCCAGTGCCTACAAGTCTCAGCTTTGATCCAACAAGTGGGTTGAGCGATCTCACCATCATACTCTGGGGCACGTTAGTCTTCACATAGATGACCGCTCCAAGCTTCAGGAGGATATCCACCAGCGGTGAATTTCCGGTAGATACCTCACCCAGGAACGAAACCATGCCGATCGTGGCCTCTGTTCCTTCATAATGAAAGTTGTCCTTGATACTCACGGGTAGACCGTGGAGGGGACCCACCACCTGTCCTTGAGAGCGGAGCTGATCGAGATACTGCGCTCGCTCATAGGCCTCTGAAAACATCGTCTCTGTCAGACAGGCGACCTATGATGATTAGCCATTCAGACATAAAACCAAGGAAATTGGGGTATATACGAGTTGCTGTGCGACGGCAGCCCGTTTGCAGTATGCCGTAGTGACTTCCACCGAGGTTAGGCTTCCGCTGGCCAATGCTGCTAACAACTCTGAAACCGTGTACTCTTCCGTGATCTGCAGCTCATGCTTGGTCATGATGCCAGATTCATGGATAAGATTTTCCTGGATCAAGTTGTTTTTGTGGTCTGCTAGAGGAGCCTGCAGGCGAGCCATGACTGCATCTGGAATACACCATTCGGCCGGGATTTTGTTGGCGCATGCCTGTCGTTTCCACTCGACTCGCTGTTGCCAGCTGGACTCTTCGTTGGAGCCCATTCTCACTGCGGTGGTGATGTTGATCAGGTAAAGAGTTTTCAATCCACGAATGTTTCTCCTCGGGCGTTATGTCCTTCTCAGTCGCTTGTTGGGTGCAGACCTTTCACCGTAAAGAAGATGAGTGATTTGGAGGGGAATTGGAAGACGACGGGATTGTCCATGTCGTCTAATACTAGTCTCATCGTGTCGCATACCTAGCCGAGGCTGTGGAGCTAAAGAATCCACCGGCTCGGTCAAGACTCTCGTTGGCTCCATCCCACTGCCCTGTGGAGAAGTCCAGTTGACGATAAGCCGGTACCCACCATGAAGATTACATATCCCAAATACACCACGCCCCCAGCTACTAAACGCCCGGCGTGTGGGCTTCTTCGTGATCAATGGTATACCTGGTAAGTGGACAATGGCACAGGGGAGCAAGTAGTTTACCAGGTTGTGTAAAAGGGTCTGTGTAACAGATCAATGTCCTGGAAACGACCGGGAAAATTGATGTAGAATCACTGGTGAGGGATCACGACATAGTTGGAGATGATGGCGTTGCAATCAAAGACGATGTAGGACAAGGCATGGCGCGGCACGGTCCCTGTCGAAATTGTATCCAAGCATCGTATACTATTCATTCAATCACAATTGCAATCCATTTATAGGGTATCATGGATTCCCTCCAAATGCCAAGATCCACAGCCCGAACGTCGGCTTCTTAGGTCATGCTGGAGCGCACCGAAGATGCTCGGTCTTTGGATGTTGGGCCAACGCGTCCCGAACATGATCCACCGGGTAGATTTGCCAGTGGATTGTTAAGAAGTTTCAGGCATACAATTTAATGCTTCTAATCCTGCCGCCTGGGCCGTATCGTGGCCGGAATAAGTTTGCTACATGGGTTGCCGCCATCTGGTGCAGCGGACGACCTATCCCTTTGCTTGTGAAGAGTTGCGTATCCTTTAGTTTCTGCGAGGCATTTTGCAGCCTTCACAGCATACCTGGTTGATGCATACTTAATAAGCCCTTCCAGGGTAATGCTTACACCACATGGAGATGCTAAAGGGGAGCACAGACAAGATAGCGGGGTTCTAAGCAGTAGAGTAGCCCTTCTTACACTCCATGCAATAACCAGAGAGGAAGTAATACAGCTGGGGGTCTCATTGCTTGGTGGGGTGTTCTGCGCATACAGCAAGGGCTGCTGGATCAAATATCTAGCATTCACTTCAATCCTGGGCTCAAGGCATGCTTTTGACATCACGTAATATTATCAGAGTGTGAGAACAAAATTGATCGACAAAGTGAAAGCTCTAGAAATTTAGATCTCTCGCTAAAACGACTGACATTAGACTTGTAGAGGATCGAAGGAAACGGGATTGTGGGTTGTCGGTAGACAATATCCCACATAAAGGTACAGGACTGGGTAGTCGGCTCCTTGACTCAACGAGGGCAGTGGTCTTCGTTAGGTGCGGGCCAGCGTATTGGAAGCAGGTCACTGGAATGACGACGTATCTTGACCTAGTAAATTTCGGAATTCCTTAAGGCTATGAAGAAAAGCCACATAGGCCAAGACCGCATATGTCTGATACGATGGAGATGAAGGTAAAGCCAAATGTACTGGCTACGGGCACTGGGGGCTTCACTGGAAATGGCCGGCAGGCAGACAAATCTACCATGCGAAGATGTTCAGGGATCCATACCTACGCCCCAATAAATGGTAAATTAACGTAGTCTTGACTGAATAGAATCACTCATGTGTTTCGATATTTGCAAACGGTTCGAGTTTGAGCCTCGTTTCTTCCACAATGTCGCGTAGCGAGATAGGGAAGAACAAGACTGTGTTTCGAACACGTCAGATCCACAGGAGGTCTTTGGTCTCTATTGCTCCAGAGCCATATCCCACCCATGGATGCTTTCCCGTTGCTCACTCGTCAGATCAATGCCAAAATAATCTCGTAACGCTTGTAGTCGTGCAGCCTCTGACCCCAACACACAAATGGTTTGTGATTTCCCACCCATATTGGCTTTAACGACATTGTTGACAAGTATGACTTTCCCAATAATCTTCACTTCAGTCGAACTTTTTGGTGTCTTATCTTCAAACAGGAGGCTCTCTCCTTCCCTGAGAAAGCGTACTACCATTACCATCCACCTATGAATGGTTTTCGAGCTGGCAAACCAGTTCATCACTTCAAAGTCCTCCTGAAAGAACTCTATTTCAGTGAAGCTGTAAAAGGAGTTCCATTCTCTATCCGCTCCGTTGCGGTATTGGTAGATCCAAAACTTTGGACTATTGGGCTGTTGCATAGGAATGTTTTCGTGCACGAGGCAAACTTGCTGTGGTCCAAGGTTCTGTACCACTTTGCACTCATCATCCAATGGAAGTGGACTAGTCGGCCCATCCCCCCCGAATGCAACATCCAGAGAATATTTCTCGTGCGATGGAAGATGAACAATGTTCACAATATGAGTCCTGCAACTCGTCAGTACTCATGGTATAAAACCAGGGTGTCCTTACCAGCCGAGGTATTGTCCACCCGGAATGCCACCTGTTCGGCTCCTGTTTCGGACCCCAGTCATGAAGACGTTAAACCCCAACCCACGTAACATGTGGTAGAAGAAGATGCTTAACTCCATACAGTAGCCGCCGCGGCGGCCACTATTGGGGCCCATCATCTTCTCATAGAGCACGTCTGGGTGGATATTGACAAGATGAGTAGAAGAGTAGTGCACTGAGAGGTTCTCGTATGGATATGTGGTAAGTTGGCATCTCATCAGAATGCACAAGCATTCGGCCGTTTTGGGAATCTCGGTAGGGCATTGTATGTACTGAGACAGCGATTGAGGAAGCCTAATGTATTTGAGCCATTGGGAAATCTGAGTGGTTGAATAATGGGAAGCCTGAACAAACTCCTGCTTAAACGCCGGGGCCTCCATTGTAAAATGGCGGATACGTGTTTCCATGGACTACAGTACCTGGCTTAGATATCACTTTAAATCCGTCCTTTTTCGCGCTTCCCACCTCCACATTTGTGGCTGACCTGACTCATTCCTTTCCTTGCTGAGCTAGCGGGTGCCGATGGGGTTGTTAGCTCCGACTGCCTCAGGGACTTAGTGCGACAGGGTCAGGATATTCTGAGGCAGTCAGAGCTGGTATCATATGCTCCCGGAGTACAGAGCTTCAGAGAATTGTGACTGAGTCAGAAGTTAACTATATGAATGGAAATACTCGGATTTATTTAGGGATTTATGTTTCTAATTTTATACTAAAGAAATTGTTAAATGTTCTAGAAAAATATAGAAAATACTGCTTAGATAAAACGGGATTTCCTACTTTTCTTTCTTTCTTTCTTTTTTTTTTTTTTTTTTTTTACAATGTTTATACCTATATTTATACTGAATTAAAACGTTTCGCAAATATCACAGGTATAAGCTCTGACTGCATGAGGGCTTTAGAGATTATATCAGTGCTGCCTTCTCTGTCGAAGAACTCGGAGCTGGTATCCGTGCCGATTTGCCCCGGCAGCGCAGTGTTGTCCGAAACCACATTAGGGCTACCCGGCCTAGCCATCGCCAACCTTCGCAGACAAAGCCGCCAGTAGACGGCTATCAGGACTAAAAACACAAAGGCACTCTTAATCAAGCTAGGCCCATGTAACATTATATCTACATTCAGTATAAGATGATACACGGCATGTGAAACAGGGAGAGTTCTACAAACGATGTCCCGGGTGGCTTACTTCCAGTAGGTAGTATTAGGACAGGACTTTGTAGTCCTGGGGCTGGCCTCCAGGGCGGAGTGCAGCAATGCGCCGACCACAAGAAGAACGCCACAAAGACCATGAGGCAAAAACTGTTAGTATCGGCGAACCTCCACCAGTGGCCCTTTGTAGCGGTGCTGGTCAACGATGCGCACCAAGAAACGAGGAACCCTCCGGCTACCTAAAGTAGAATAAGTCTCCACAATAGAGTATTGTAGCCAGCAAAGAAGTGGACGCTGGCTAGGTTCGATCTCCATCAATAACCCAAGACCGCGGAAAGGAAGCTATACCAAGCCAGGTGAGCATTTCGAGACATGAGCTGCTCGGATGCTTGCAGTATCTTTTCTACTTGTACACTAGCAACAGCAACACATAGTGCTGTCAAATGACGGGCAGGTACCTGCCCGTTGAAGCTATTTTGTTTGGACGGTGTTGTGGGTGCCATTTGGACCATGATGATTCCCGTGATTATTCGCACAAGGCAAACCTAGTGTCCGCTGGAATACCTCTCGTTAAGCAAGATTGAAACAACAATGGGAGGTCATGATGATGACTGTCAGAGGATCGCGTCGTTCACCTACCAAGGAAAATGTGATGACTTGTGATCTTTCGATGTTATTGACTCTCATATTGGGTTGGCTATTACAACAAGAGGGCATCGAAATAGAGACGGGGGGCTGTTCACCCAATGCCAAGGTAGGGCACACTTCCAGGTACTTTAGACGAATGTATTATTGTCGTAAGTAACCGTGACTAGACAGACTTTGAGACAAGAACTCGGGATTATCAATTCCCACCAGTTCTTGCCTTTCGCAATCAGAGCATTGAAGTTCAATCACGACCCAGCTAAGAATATTGGATAATGTCCACCCCCGAGTCATAGACCCGGAGGTGATGTTTGCTAGTTCAGCAGCCTCAAGCCACCAACTGCAATAGCTCGCTCGTATCCACTTTCCTCTCTGTATCACCCCTCTTCTAGAAGAAAGAGCTGCCAGAATTGCTCATGTCGTACTCTTCTTCGGGTGCCACCATAGGCCTCCTATTGTGCAGATACTAGGAAAATGAAATACCTCCAATTTTAACGCTCTACTTGTATGTCTGGTAGACGAAGAACGGTTGATGCGTGGATTTATGTCGAACGCCTTCCAGGTAATTATGGTTCACCACCCCATTCTGTGAGCTCGACTTTCCATACCGCCGTTGATATTTACCGTCAGGTCATAATACCTGACAGGATAGATCGACGAGACGGTACGGTACGGTCTCACATGTGCATCCGCGGTTGATTCATCGGCCGCTCCGAGTGCCCTAAGCTTGGCCCCTGCATGATGAACGTTGTCCCAACCCAGGCGGCCGATAAATAGTACAGGCCGGGGGTCTGACAGAAAATGATGGCCATTGCCACCTGCCCATCCTATCGTTATCTGATCCCGGTGTTGTCTCGTCAACCCCCCCCCAACATCATGTCGCCGTTCTGCAAGATTGCTGTCATCCAGCTATATGTCAAGGTAGGCGTGCCTCGACGGTCTTGCGTCTATGAGAATCCCCATATACAACCAATAAAGGCCTGACTCGGTGCGCTTCTAGCCCCTCCGACCGGCGGACAACTTCACCCGGGCGGTGCAATTCATTCGCGAGGCCGCTGCCCAAGGTTGTCATTTAGCCGTCCTGCCAGAATTCCACTTGACGAACTGGATTCCGACCGATCCCAGTTTTGCGTCCTTGTGTGATGATTGGGAGAGCTATCTGCATCGCTATCAGGCTCTAGCTGAAGAGTGCAATATCTGTATTGTCCCAGGGTCCATCGTGCGCCCTGCATCCTCGTCATCCACAGAGCTCGCCGACAAGCCCGCCCCAGCCCTCGAGAATGTCTCCTTCTTCATCTCCAACACAGGCCAGATTCTCGGCTCCTACGTAAAAAAGAATCTTTGGGGTCCTACCGAGCGAGCCTATCTTCGTTCCTCCGGCGACAGCCCGCACCAAGTCATCTCGACCCCCCTTGGCCCTGTAGGCCTCCTCGTATGCTGGGACCTAGCCTTCCCCGAGGCCTGGAGAGAACTGGTATCCCAGGGAGCCAAGATCATCATTGTACCCACCTTGTGGACCCGCAGCGGAGCCTCTGAGGCCGGCCATCGTCAAAACCCGTCAGCCCCATCCCTGTTTCTTGACAGCATTCTGACCGCGCGCACCTTTGAAAACACGTGCGCCGTGGTCTTCGCCAATGCAGGTGGGCCTCCAGGTAGAAACTACTGTGGCCATTCTCAAATCAACATCCCCTATGCAGGTCCGCTCGTTCGCTTGGGCACGTCAGCCGAAGGCATGGGCATCGCCACCCTGGATTTAGCAGTGCTAGAGGAGGCGGAAGCAAACTATGCCATTCGGAAGGATTTAGCAGACCCTTCCTGGCACTATAGGCATACCCAGAGAATTCCGACCGAGCCGTCGAAAGGGAAACTATAGATCGGTCAACGGATCAGATGTGGATGTGAACGGGGTAACTAATTAGTTCAGTGGCATGTATCCGTGCACTTCCCTAAGCGGAGATACTGTCGTGTTTGGGACGGAGGCATAATTGAATAGTATTTCTGTATAACATCTGCCACGTCGACAATTATCCCCGTACGAGCCCCCGTAGATTGATGAACCGGGGCGTGGATGCCGACCAGGCCCGGTGATACACGAACTCAGCTCCAAAGCAGCCTACCAAATGCTGATGATTGGCCTGAAGACCATGAGATCAGCTGGCCGTGGTATCTGCATTCGTCCCACCTGAGACTTGACAGGAGCCAACTCACCACACATCACGAGCTCGTTGGAGCGATGTAGACCTAAGAGGGTTGCTTACAGAGTTGCAGCTACGGAAGCCCGATGCCTTGGACTGCTCTACGTGTCTTCCCACCCAGATATGGTAGGAGATCGGACGAAGGTTGACCTTGTTTCGACCAACCGGCATCCACAGATGTCTCCATATACTGGAATGTTAGGGGATGGCGATCTAGCTAGTGGCTGCGGAGGCCTACATATTGACAAAGTAATGGTCTACACTCTCTGACCCGTAAATCACAAGTTTTCTAGAAGCAAAGAGCAGAGGATTCGCGCTATTGCGCTCCAGTGGGCAGGATTCATATTGCTAGTATCTCTGGACTTCTATGTCTATAGGCCCTATACCGTATAGTTGACGTATTGGGATGAAACATCTGGCATTGTATAGACTTTTATTTACGGGACTTTTGTCCAGTTTGGAATCAACCCGTTCTTGCGCCAAGTAAGCTGCAGTTCACAAGAACTTCGCTAATCGACCCAGGTAGGAGGCATAAAATCCCTCTCTAACTTAAAGTTATCTCCAAGGACCGATGGGCCTCTACCCTCCCGGACGGAATCGCCCCTGGGATGTTGACCAGCTGGACGCAGAATTTGCTGTTCTTCATAGAACGGATATCCGTCAATCCTTACCTGGTCCAACGTCTTCGTCCCAGTACCGACCATCGGTTCTTTGACGACAGTGTAGTGCGGGATCTCGCAGCAGGCAAAACTCTGGCGCCCCTGCATCGGGCTTGTCGGAGTGAAGTAGCCCGGCGCGTGTGGCTACCCGCGTCGGAGAGGGTCAGTCCAGTCAGCTTAACAGCCCGAACGTATTGACTCGGGGCCTTGGGGTAGGTAGTTAGTTACATGCTATATGATGGCAAATCCGGCGATTGCCTGGTGATGGTAATTAATCTGAACGTGATTGACCCCGGGCCAGCGAGAAAGAAGAAAATGGGTGGCTCAACGTATATGCTGCTGGTTGTTGCCCCAATTCATCCGTGATCACTTTCCTCTCTCTCCTTCATTCTTCGTTCTATTCCCCCCTCGATCCTCCATGGTGACCAAGAAGCCTGAGTAGCCTTCTGCTGCTGTTACCGCTGAACCGCCCAATGGTGGTCTGGCTGCCTGGTCGGGCGTGTTTGCTTCGTTTCTTCTGTTCATCACTACCTGGGGGTTTTCGACCACGTTGAGCGCGTTCCAGAGTTACTATCAATCCGATCTCTTGAGCACGAGTTCCCCGTCTCGCATTGCATGGGTGGGCACCATCCAAGCCTTCTTCCTCATCTCCACGGGGGTCATTACTGGACCCTTGTTCGACCGGGGATACCTGCATCATCTGATGATCGCCGGTTGTTTCTTGACTACCCTAGGCTTGATGCTGCTGAGCCTGTCCACTGAGTACTACCAAGTTTTCCTCTCGCAGGGTGTCTGTTATGGCGTGGGTAGTGGTTTGATTTATGTGCCTGCCCTGTCGCTAGTTTCCACTCGTTTCACTACGCGAGGTGGCATTGCCGTCGGCCTGGTGACGTCCGGGGCCAGTATTGGTACTTTGGACTGACTGATTGTTCCCCTCTTGCTCTTCTTGCCCTGCAGCTCACTGAATCTCCTCTGGTGTCCAGGTGGGGTTATCTTCCCCATCATCTTCATCCACCTTCAGCCCCGGATCGGATTTTCCTGGACTGTAGGCACCATGGGTTTCATTCAACTGGCTTGCTCTTGTATCGCCGGGGCCCCGCCACGCCGGATCATCCACTGGCACGCGATGAAGGAGTGGCACTTCAACGCCTACGGGATCGCCAAGTTCCTCATGTTCATGGCCTATTTCATCCCTATCTTCTAGGTGCCTACTTTCGCCCAGACTGCCCTGCACACATCCACGGCGCGAAGCTTTTACATCATGTCGATCCTCAGCACTGGCTCGGCCATCGGCCGCATTGGCCCGTCCCTGCTGACGTATCGTCTCGGAGCCGGCCACATCCTGCTGGTCAGCGTCATTGCCTCGGCTGTGCTTCTCTTCGCCTGGACGGGCATCCACTCGGTTGCCGGCTTTGTTGTCTTCTGTGCTTCTCTTCGGGATTTCCTCCGGGGTACTGATCTCGGCCAAGTCACTGGTCATCGCGCACCCGGTCGTCTCGCCTACCCCCTCGGTCATTGGCACCCGCATGGGCATGCAGTGGCTTGCGACCAGTCAGGACGTGCTGATCGAAGCCCCAATCGGGGGAGTCCTCGAAGGCCATGGAGGAAGTGATGGCTTTTTGGGGGTGCAGCGGTTTAGTGCAGTGGGGATGATGGTGGGTGCAGTCTTTCTAATGGTACCGACAATGGCAATTGGGCGATATAAGCAGCCTTGATGGTGCAGGAGAGAGAAGGAGGGAGGAAATGGGTTCCACTTTCATTCCTTCCGAACGCTACTCTGGTTCTTTAAACCACACAAGGAAGAGAGAGAGGCGCATTAGTGCTTATCCCATTCTTTCATGACCGTTGGTAAAGAGTTGGTCTGGGTTGTATCATGACAATACATAGCGACCCCATGTACGGTAACAGTACCACTGGCTGAAAGTAAGAACCCCGTACCCTACCTGAGCTAATATCTACCAAGATTATCGGGGTGGGTATTCTCGTTTCCTGGTCCTCAGGCACCGCTCACTTGGGTTTCTGTAGCAAACGTAATCACAGTGTACCACAGCAATGGATGTAGTTGGCTATGCGGTATCGTTATTATTCCTAGCAGCTGAGCGACCTTGTCTGAATGTCTCTAGCGAGTTCAGGGAGTCGATTCTGTCGTCCACTACGATCCTGATTTCAATGCTTGGCTTTTGCTCACGACGATAGTTCATCTCTCTGAAGTTGCTGGTTGTTAGATACATTGGGATTGCTATTTAGCAGTTTGTTACCAGTCACGGAACAAGATCATACACGTTTGACTATTTCTGACAGATTCAAAGCTCCCCAAGCTACGATCAGATCAAGGCATCTGGTCCAGAATCTCCTCTCTCCAGCCCCAGCCTAGTGCAAATGCAGCGCCTGGACCAAAGGCACCGGTCGTTCCCACCATGAAAACGAGACCCCGACCTGCTTCAGCTCGCGAAACTTCAGTGCAAGCTAAACAAAGCCGCCAGCCGTGGAGATCACTTCATCGTACTGAAGAAACCGGGCGATACCTGCAGCGAACGAAGTGACTGGCTCCAGATGGCCCCGGAGACCAGGCAGAAAGATCTTGGCAAAAGAGGCAGCTGCCGGCACAGAGAACCGAGCATGAACGAATGTGAGACCGGAGACTAGGGCAAATGTGGTGTATGCGTAGCGGACGTGACGCATATTCTTGCGGGCTTGTTGTTGCGGTTCTTGTCGCTTGGAGCGCTTCTTAGCGAGAAGACGCAGGGAGCCTTGCAGCAGAGGAACAATTACTGGGAACGGTTGCCAAAGTGCGTTGTACCAGCGGCGAGACTCCACTGTTGGGGCCAGGAAATTGGCAAATGTGGGAGCATAGTATCCGGCGACCATAGCGAGGAGAAGCGAGGCCGACGCTTCCGATTGCACTTGGTACTTAGATCCCGGCAGCAATTTTGAAAGGGGGGGGGGGTGCGAATGTGTTCCAGTGCATAGTAGCTAGGGGCGAGTTTCCCGATTCCCTTCAGCTGAAAGCCGATTCCCATGGTTACCGGGCTGGTGTCGGTCTTGTGTCGGTCACTTGTGGTCTCCAATAGAGCCATGAAGGTGCGGTAATGTCCACGCACAGCAAGACCTCGCGCCAGGAGTGAGCCTGATGGTAACTCTCCAGTAGCCAGATTCCATCGAGAGGGCCCAGGTCGGTCATGAAGGACAGCATTTGAATACGGGAGTGCGGGTCAGACCCACTGATAGAGGGTAGAACACACGTAATTAGGGGCCTGAACAGGTTGTCAAGGAGCGTAATATGATAGATAGGCCGGTGCAATCTGAGAACCTCCCCATTACTTGCACTCCAGGCGCCCTGGGCAAAGAACCCCGCTATAAGCGGGTTTAGGTGGGTGAGCAACGTTCCCATGGTAGCCTGAGCAGCAGAGTAACAACCGAGAAGGGGGGCAATGGGAAGCGCGCGGCTCCATACGTGATCCTGTCCATCTCTAGCATGACTCTCGGCATAATTGTATGGCATGGAGCATTGGAGTGATTTCGGCGGCAGAGGGTCACAGTCAAGCTTCGCAGCTGCAACAACCCCAGCAGACGTCTTGCCAATTGCTGCTTCAGGGGAGCCATGGGCTAGTGCAGAGGGACTTTTTGCAAGGAACGCGGCGCTCTCAATGGCGCTATTCCCGCCCTAGCCTAGATTAGGCGTCATCTATAACGCAAAGCATTAGCCAAGCCTTCCGTTATGCGCAAGATATACGCACCTTGTAGGCAGAGTTCCCAATAGAAACATATCGGTCCACCGACCAATGCTGGTATAGTGCCTCCTCTAATGCTACGAAGGTCCGCACTATAGCTCTCTGGTAGGTTTCGGTGAAGACCACTTCTTGGGTGATGGGTTTATCTAGGTATGGCGCCACGCGGCCGTCAATATCGTTTTAGGTCTTTGAACCATAACCTGATGCGGAACCCTCAAATAGTACCTCGAATTCTGGGAAAGTCCTCGTGGGGTCTCGCTTTCCTGGCTTGCACTGTTATATGGAGTGTTGTCCTGGGCAGCTTATATCGAGCACATCATGAACCCGGTAGTCAGCGAATACGGATTGCCGGGTACCTTCCAAGCATATCGGAAGAATTATGCAGTTGCTCTAACCAGGTCCAATCTCACGGTCCCTGGGCGGTATAAAGTCGAAGCTGGCATTATGTGTCTTGGTATTGAGTATTTGCAGAGCAATAACCTCAAGTCAGGTATCTCAATGCTCGTCGATTGTCTCGCGCCTGGCAATCACGATGGGATACCAGCCATACCAATCCCAGATCTCGAGTTTTGAGGCTGAGATGCGCCGGAGAGCGTGGCTTTTACTGCTGGTCATTGACTCTGTAGTCTCCGGGCAGACGGGGCTTCCTCGAGTGATCTACCCAGGGGTAGGGGATGTGACTCGCCCGCGCAATCTCCTGGACGAAGACTTCGGCCCCAATACTGATGTTCTTCCACCTTCTCGTCCTGAAAATCAAATTGACAGCAGCATCACGTACCTGTTGGCGATGGAGCAAATGCTGGCTATCACCGGTGAAGTAACGGACGCAGCTTCAGGGTTCACCTTGGGACCCCAAGAGGACGCTCGAACTGAACCAGCAATCAGAAAAGATCCGAGATCAGTTGCCTCGAGCCTTTCACATGCCGTCGCCCAAAGCGATCATTGCGGATGATGACACCACTATCCAACGATATGGCTTGGAAATGACCTATCAACACGCGCGGTGTGTTTTGCATCGACAGTATCTAGTAGCTCCACGGTCGGAACACCGACACCAAGCCTTCCGGTAAACATGTGTGGACGCAGGTCGACGGGCCCTAGCGCACCAGTCTGAGCTTTTCCCAGGTGTCCTGGGAAAGCCACATAATCGGCATCGGGTGTGGTTTGGCGCCTCCCGTTCGATATCCGACTGCATGACTGCCGCCATGGTGATATGTCTCGAGGTTATTAATCAGTCGCAGAACAGCCCAGTACCGTCTGGGGTGAGGTTATCCAATTACTAAGACATCGCACACGTCCTGGAAATTCTCCCTGAGACCGTCGCTGGAAACGATGAAAGCTGCCGATATCGTCGCCCGGATGCTCCGTCTTCTGGGCGCAAGCGGTGTGGATACTCCATGTGCGATTCCAGGAGATAAGCAACAGCAAAACGATTCGGGGTACAAGGCAGATAATGTTACAAGACTAGCTCCAACGCGGATACATGACATGCTGCACGGTGATGTTACTTTAGAGATGTTCGACTGGGTAAGCTCTCTTCCTCCCTTGCCGCCGTGCCCTGCAGCCAGCTAACCATGACGGCAGGCACTCTGGGATCATGAGATGCAAGAGCTACATGGTCTTGTACCAGAGACTGGTAGGATTTAAGCCTCCCAATCGAGAGACTCCTGCATCCAGTGAAGGTGAAGAGAATGGCTGCGGATAGTGGAGGAGCAAATTCCTCTTTTGAATGACATGTCCTGAAGTCTAGGGTCGATTTGGGAAACCGATCTGTATGTTTGGTCAAGGTCTGCCAGGATCCGTTTAGGTCCCTATTAATGCAAGTGTACCTGAAAATATGTGTGGTTATTCATGTCTTGGTCTCTGCCCCGATCTGCATGGTTCTAGCCGAGCAAGTAGGAATGCGCTGTTCCCCTGACAAAACACTATCCAATCGGACTTGGAGGCCAGCTACGATGTCTTACGATACGACTCGATCATGCGAACTTTTCCTTTTTTCGTCTTTTGTTGTCTCGTCGTCTCACAACGCCCTCACAATCCATGTGGCAACTCGACCATCCGGCTGTATCTTACCAGTATCCATGCTTGGGATAAGGCCGATTCTGGCCTCATGCGAGAGATAATTTGCCAGAGATACGCAACCGACGTGGAGGTCCAGCGGATTTGGCTAGACAGCTGCACGTATGCCCGACAATAAGTCTAATAAACGATAAGGCCAATCGGTTTCAGGTGGATGAAGTTAACGGATCATCATGACGCGGGAAGTGGGGATAGTCGTGTTGAAGAAAGTTTCTCCAGAGACCCGCCATGCAGTAAATAGGCTATGAACTGCATAAAGTCCTGCCTCGGGTGTGGGTGTCTGGGAAAGATGTTCGTTCGTCGTGGAGGGTTGATCAGTTCGTATAAGCGGGGAATCCCCACTCGAACCCGTCCCCAAGCCAATATATGAACGATGATCCGACCTTCGCCCCCGAATCGGAATTCCTAAACACCTTGTCTCTTGCCTGAATTCATGGAAATTCAATCAATCTGACGACTTGGTTGAGGATGGGCGCAGTCGAGCTATTACTAGAAGCCCGGTGGTTGATCGTCGGTGGTCTTCTCGTACTCTACTTCTTGAAAAAGCTCCAAACGTACTACCGTCTTCGCAAGTTCAAGGGGCCATGGAGCTGTGGTTTCTCTAGTTTTCGGCACACCCAGGCGGTGCTCAGTCTGCAGTGCGAACGATGGTATAAAGAAATGACTGACAAGTACGGTGGGTAATTTCATGATCGCTGAAGCTAGCGTCCCGGTCTGATAGGGCGCTGTAGGGCCCATCGTCCGGATAGGCCCCAATGCACTCATCACCTCATCGCCAGAGTTATGGGCTCATGTTAACGGGGTCCGGTCGCCGTATAAAAGGTCGGACTGGTATTACCATGCGGCTCGGTTCAAGCCCGGCGAGGATCACGTCTTCAGTGAGACGAATAACGACCGGCATGACCGGAGGCGGAAGCAAATGTTAATGGGAGTCTGTCTTCCTCGGGACGGTAGCTCGTTCCATTGGCTTATTCGATTTTAGTATTCCGGGAAAGAAAATCTGTCGCTAGAAGCGGACATCGACCTGCGAGTACTGGACTTTCTACATCTAATTCGTAACCGATACCTGTCCACCGAAGCTAGTCTGCAGCCAATGGACCTGGCGAAGAAAGTACAGTACTTGACCTTGGATGTGATCAGTACGGTCGGCCTAGGAAACAGCTTCGGCATGCTGAAGGCCGATCGGGATGTCAATGACTACATCAAATCCGGAGAAGAAGGACTCTGGATGTCGAACTTCCTGATGGGTACCGGTCTCCACTGGATCATGCAGATTGAGTGGATCGGGAAGCTTCTGGGACCCTCCACGAATGATAGTAAGGGCTTCGGAAAGATGATGGCCACGACGGGGCAGATGGTGGCGAAGCGACTACACAGCCCGACGGACGCGAGGAGCGACATGCTTGCTTCGTTTATCCGGCATGGGTTAATCGGCAACGAACTATGGATGGAGGCGTTTGAGCAGGTTCTAGCCGGATCCGACACCACGGCGTCGGGGATCCGCGGCATCCTACTTTGCCTCCTTTCCAATCCGCGAGTGTACAAGAAGCTGCAGGCGGAAATTGATGACGCGGTTCGAGACGGCAGGGCACCTTCAACCGGTATTATGCCTGATGCCCAATTGCGACGACTCCCGTACCTGCAGGCGGTGATCAGGGAAGGACTGCGGGTCTTTGTCCCAGTCGTCAATATCTTCGCGAGGGATGTACCGTCTGACGGCGACGAAGTCACCCTGGAAGGCGAATCTGTTAAACTCCCTGGCGGTACTTGGATTGGGTATTCTGCGCTGGGCATGCATCTTAGCAAAGCCACCTATGGGGACGATGCGGAAGTCTTTAGGCCGGAACGATGGCTAATCGACGACAAAGACCACTTAGCGAAGATGACGAGAGTGAACGATCTTATATTTGGCTATGGTCGCTGGAAGTGTCTCGGTCAGACCGTTGCGCTGATTGAAATCGGCAAGACAATTTTCGAGGTATATGATGAATTCCCTCCCCTGAGCATGGTTGCTCCTGCTATACTGACTGTGTGTCGGCAGGCGCTGCGCAACTTTGATTGGGCTCTTGTGAATCCAGAACAACCATGGCGTCGAAGAAATGTAAACGGCCTTTTTGCCGTGACCGACATGTGGGTTACAGTGACAGCAAGAGAGAAGTTGAGTACCTGTCTCTAAGGTGATATTCTGGGCAAGGTATATAGAATTGATTGATATAGCAATGGGGCTAGCACTTCACCTATTCAGCAGTTTGCTGGGACTGTGTTGCACACCGCAAGGTAAGATGACATCGATGTCAAGGAGTAAGATGTTGTGTTTATCGGCATCGTGTTCCAGAATCGCACAGTTGTCAATTGCACAGGTGCCTAGAACAGATTCCTTCCATATGTCATGTTAGCATTGTACAATCCCACCTAATGTTATCGACGTGGGAATGGTATACTCGAATTCCGCTTTTCCCAAGGAGGGCGTCCCAGTCGGATGAGGATTATCGGATACTATGGACGGATGGGTGTAGATATTCCAGGATCACTAGTGATGTAGGGAGCAGCATCGGCGGCGCTAAGGGTCACAAAAGGCACCTTAGTTTGTCTTTGAGCTCACTTAATGTGGTGCCTTCACCGTTTCGAGGGCCCAGGCTACAGAAGGCTTCCATTCCGGTCTCAGGGTCGTCACAACGGCATTTATCACGCGCTCCCCCCATGATCCAATCCACCAGCGGTCTCTCAACCGATGCAAAACTACACAATAGTGTGCTATTATCACCAATGCAAATGGGTTCGAGGCCTGGACAAAGCCAATGAATCTCTCCGGCACGTCACACATCCACATGAAGGCCCTCGAAACAATGTCTCCTGTGCTGTCTAGCTCCGTATATAGCTTTTCGAGGCAGGCGATCGTATCGGTGAAGACTTGGTAGTGTTCATACGTTGGCGAGTACACCGTGTTCAGCAGCCCATGGAGAGCGTTGATCACCACACGGGAAGCGGACGACAGATTCGACTGTACCTCAGCAACCAGGAGGAGGTCGCCTATTTGGCTTCTATGAACCTCATCCATTATGGGTGTTGCGAACTTGATCATTTTGCGGCTAAGCAAGAATACCTCAACAAGCTCATCTAGCGAATTGGCCTTGGTCGGATGCTGTGAGCCCACGGCGAGAGGGAAGCCAAAGGCAAAGCCAATCAAGAGACTCGATAGAGCAAAGCTTACATTGTGGCTTGGTGGTTCCACGTCATCACCGATCTTCGTGAACATCTTGATTGCTTCGCTTTGGTGCTGCTCTGCGGCTTCGACCAAGGTCTGTCGTTCACTGCCATGGCACTCACTGGTAATGGCGAGGTGAAGTGCTGAGACAGCGAATATGCCATGCATTAGGTGACAACAAGATAACGCCTGTTCGGGGATAACGGTTTGCCACACCCGAGAATCTGCATCGTTCCGAGAGAGGGTGTGGCAAGTTGAGGTTGTCCAATTGAGAAGCAGTCTCAGATGGGGGATGTTGAACTCGCTCATAGGAGGCGATACTTCGGGACCAATGCGCGGGTCATCAGTAGGACTAGGATGACCATGTAATGCTCCCTCTCTGCTTCCCATCATCCCTTCTGGCTGTGCTGCTGTGGAGCCATCGCTGGTAGCGTTGTTGGTCCAGAGCCACGGGCCCGGAGTAGCATAACGACAAATGTCCCGTCTATTGTCGCAATTGGAACATTGCGGCCGCTTTTCATCGCACTGCGTCCGTCAGGATATCAGCGCTACTCCCATTAAACAGTCCTCGGTACATAGAATAATACCTTGACGCTTCGGCGTTTGCATTGGAAGCATCCGTGTCGTGACTTTGGCTTCCTTCTACTTGCGGTCATTGAGCGGCATTAATGGCTACACATAATTAGGTGTAGGCTCATCAACTTGATAAATTGAGGTATGGCAGCTAGTCAAGTATCAGACTCAACATCCCTTGCTGGTGTTTTTTTTTTTTTTCCCTGCACCACATGCTTACTAATCACTTCAACCACAAGTTGATGGATTTTTCGCCACTGGAATGAGCCCAAACACACTCTCAATATCTTAATCTACGTTTCTGGGTTTCTGTAGATTATTCCAACGTCTATAACCGATTCCTCAAGGTACCGCGGTCGAAACAATGTTCTCGTTGGTTGACCAAACTAGATAAAGGTCTTGCCATACCGACTCGCAAGTCACAACGCGGGAAATATATATATGACTGTGTCTGCACCAGGAATAGATTTAGTTGACCTGAACTTCCACTAAGCCCGGACATCAACGCCGATACCACATGCGTGTCACTTTTCTGTGCTTCACCTTCTTCTGGATCTGGAAGATTCCGTATAGTAACGCTTCGGCGGTCGGCGGACCTGTAACCGTTAAATACTTGACGCTCCGGTAAAAAGGAAAAGAAAAAAGAAGTCGATAACATCGCACAACTTACAACCAGGAACGTAAATATCGACCGGGATGATCCGATCGCAGCCCCGAACCACCGAGTAACTATAATGGTAATATCCTCCCCCGTTCGCGCAGCTACCCATACTGATCACATATCGTGGTTCCGGCATCTGATCGTAGACTTGTCGTAAGGCGGGCGCCATCTTGTTGGTGAGTGTGCCAGCGACAATCATCAGGTCGGATTGTCTTGGAGAAGCTCGAAATAATAGACCGAGACGATCTCCATCGTACCGGGGCCCGGCAATATGCATCATCTCCACGGCACAGCAGGCGAGTCCGAAGGTCATGGGGTATAGGGAGCCCTGCCGAGCCCAGTTGACGAGTTGGTCCAGTGTTGTCCTGCCAGACGTCAGCCATGGGGTCTGATGGACCGGGAGCGAAGATGAGGGTACAGACAATGCATATTGAACCGGACTATGCGGCGTCTCTTGACTCGGCAAAGGAACGTTTTGTCTGGGCTTTCCGCTGATAGTAAGGGAGGACAGTGACCGTCGGCTGCCTATACGTTCGAATCTCGGAGTCGATACCCAGAGGGTAAGGAGCTGTTGCGTGAGGATCTTCCGCCCTTGGTCAGTAGTTTGGTGTTAGAAGTTGGGCGTCATAGCATTGTCGCAGTGCATCGAGAATGGTAGCTCACCTTTGAACATTACTTACTACGTGAGAGGCAGGAAGACTGTCGACTTGGGATCAATCAAGCGAGATCACTTCGACACTACTCGCTGAGGGCCCAAATAGAGACCTGGGGGTCTATATATTTCTCCGAGAACTCGGAATGTACCTTCTTCTTTTCCCATCTTTTTTTTTTTTTTTCGCACTGGTTTGCGCAACGGTCTACATAGATTGACTATGGATATGGACAACACCAGCCAGGAAAGGTCTGCCTTACGAATCTTACGAGCCTTACTTGCATCATACGAGGGTTTCCACTTGGACCGGGAGAGTGGGCCACTCACAGCGCAACAAGGCACCTTCTTATACAAGTGGGGCCTGGGTTTCCGAATCCATGACGGAAAGTTACAGTACGGTGCCAGTCAGGTCCTTATCTGTAAGAGTGAAGAAAGGCGAAGGCCCTCGGATGCATACGGTCAACCAACCGGTGGTCAATAGCTATGGATCACTGTTTACCATGTATAGAATCCAGGTTCATCAGCTACAAAATGCTGGACCGTATGAATACTGAGCGTGTACGGGAAAACAACAGTTCCCAGAGTGTCATTCAGCGCGTTACTACGGCTACACGCCTCGAACTTAAAACAAGGGCATCTTTGATTATACAATAGGATACAAACTGAAAAAGAAATGAAGAAGAGGAAAAGAATGCAGAGTGTACGGAAAAGGCTTGGATTTTGGCTGATAAAATAGCATTGTTGTCGATCATGCTGGGATAAGACGACATCCCAGGAGCCTGCTGAGCGCTAAGACACCTGTTGTGTGAATTAGACGATCAAAGTGCGCTGGAGACCTCGTCATCCAGGTTTCTCTGTTCGTTTAGATGGTTAGGACTGTAGTATAATCTGACAATCAGGTTGAACCGTAGCAATAGGAGACATACAGAGCTTCAGAGGTGGTGTTAGAGGAATTACTCAGGTATCTTGTTTTCAGGTTTGATGTCTCTCTTTGGGGAGTAATGCGTATAGTAAAATCTCTTATTGAGGTTGCCTTCGGGGCTCGCATCCCTCTTCGGAGAGGCATAGGTGGAGGGGGGCCTTGCCATGACACTACCTGAGCCACCCTGTGAGAGTGCGTCGTTGGCCATTGGGAAGCCTAAAGTAACAACCGAAGCTCCGAGAAGTGCGAAAAGGTAAGGAATTTGCATATTGATGACGTAGGCAAGGCAGAGGCAGCTTTGGCTTACAACTAGGGACAATTGTGGAGGAAAGACCTTGCAGACTTCGCGTTCTTTATAGTGACGCATTCATCGGTGGACAAAATTTGAATCAGCCCAGGTATGGCTAATCAACCGGATCACGAGTTTGACACCTATATCGCATTATTCTGAAGTGTACCACATTGCTCAACACCCGTGTTTATGCCGGCAAGATAATGGTACGGGGGATAGGCGGAGAAAATGCCGTGGTTTGAATGTTAGTAAACTATATATGCCATTGCTAATAGCCTGTATTTCCGAGCTGGGTATATTATGATGGAACTATTGCGCTTTTAGTACAAAGAATTCATTACAATGGGAGGGTAGTATCTACGTATCTATTGGGTGCTGGGGATAGTTTCTGCGGCACGTATAGGCCACTCATCCTTCCAGGGGTCAGCTGTAAAGGGTTATGTATTCAATAGGCCCTGAGCGATTCTTCACATGGGAGTCTATCCCACTACTTAGAGTGTGTAATGATTCACTCGGATTCTTAGTGCAGGAGACCAACTATTTCATCCAAGCGGCGACATCGCTGATAGTAGTTACATACCCCAATGATGTCCTGTTAGTCCCAAGCCTTTTCAGCTGAGGTGAGAATACACGTTGTTTATAGATAACTTCCGCCATACTGAAACGGATTCAACGATTGCTGTTCGTCTGCGATCGGCCAGGTCTCCCCCATGGAAGATGGCCTTCTCAAAATGCTCACGGATCACCCTCCCAAAATACGAATTCCAAACCCTTAAAGCCAAAGCTAATGACAATACTGATTCTGAGTCGGAATCCCTACTCGTAGATGGCAAAAGCGTTACGAAGCCTTGTCTTCCACGTATCTGGATCTATCTGACCATGGTGAACCTCATGATTCTAGCAATTACCGTCCTGTTGATCTTTAATTGGAAAAGTGATAGCCAGGCAGAAAGAAATGCTGTTCTTCGCCCCGTGTCATGGTGGTGTAAGTACAGCGATTGCTATGATATGACCAATTGTCTAGGTTCTAGAGCTGAATACGTCAAGCACCCATCCTGGACGATATTGAAATTCCGCGGTATACAACAATGTTGAACGGGACACTCTTCGCAAAGCCGGAAGTATCGATTGCACGAGAGGAGCCAAGTCCCGAAAACGATGCGGCCTGGGCTCGATATGAGAAGGTTCTAACGCACATTGTCAGCCGCGAAGAGATTCGTACGCTGGGCAAGGACCCAGAAACTGTGGCCCGTTTCCACAACGATTACTGGGGAATGGGCGACAATGCGTACATGGTTCAGCTCGATGTTATGCATGTGAGCTATGTTGCCTTTACTGCCGTTGTCCACATTGCTGACAACGTCTAGCAAATACATTGTCTGAATCTACTACGTAAAGCAGCGTTCGCCGATTACCCCGGGTATAACTCAAGTTTGGAGGCCAAGGACGACATGTGGTGGATACACTTGGGCCATTGTACCGATATGCTATTACAAAACATCCAGTGCAACGCCAATACAGAGGTGCTCACTCTGGCCTGGGTGGCCGACCGGAAGGCGCCATGGCCGGACTTTAGTGTTAATCGTAAGTGTCGAGACTTTCAGGCCTTGGTGCATTGGCAACGTGAAAATGCCGTGGATGCAGACAAATTCGACCGAATGCCTGTTCCCGAGGATGCTTTCATCTGGCCAGCGCCCTGGAAACATCGAGACTCAGAGCTAGGGCACCGCTTAGGACAACATCATCAGCAAGAAGGGAAGGGGCTGCCAAAGTCGCACGAGGACCGTCACACTGTGGTGATGTGATTAGGATGCATTGCACAAGTTACACATTGGTCGCGTACTTGGAGCAAGCCATGGTACAGTAGCATTGCCATGTAAAGAGTACGTAAACCTTGATGGGCAGGTGTACCCTGAAGGTTAGGATCATTAGTTAGTGAATACGAATGTAACCATTGAATTTCTGGGGTTTGAGGATCTGATTAGACCGAAAGGCATTGGTAGAAGTCCTGCTAGGTGACCCCTTCGCCGAGCACCATCCTAACTGCGTATTGTCGTGATTAGGAGGGTTTCCACCCATGACCTGGTAGTTCCTGATGGAAAGCGATCCCAGTAATCACGGGGTACTATTCTCTGACAAGGATTGTTTTGAATGCTTAGGGTGAGTAGCTGAAGAAGGGGTTCCAACCGGGGAGAGGCCAAAGGAGCCTACGGCGTGCCTGAACTAAGATTACCTCCCCTTTCGAAGCAGATTTACTGGCCGGCGGCTGTGGCGATTGGACTTCGGGCTGCTATTGCTCGTAGAACTGTTTTCGTACAGTCGGTAGCCGATGTCCGTGGACAGATCATTGTTTTTCTTGAATGCAATCTACGATTTTCCGGTTGGGCCTTGTCTGTATTCTCTCATTATGGACGTTTATGTGCCCCCGAGGGAGCCTGTTAATGACCCCAATGCCGACGATGAGTTCGTCCTCGCCGGCACCGAGTTGGATCCGCCTTTAGCTGACAGCGCCCGGCGCCACTGGCTCATTATACTAGTTCTCATATACCTGGCATTTCAAATAGGGGGGCAAATGATCCCGGGCCCAATGGTGCGGATTATTGAATCCATTGTGTGTGAACGCTACTGGCGCCTGCATGATCCAAATCAAATCACCACTTCAGGACGTGTGCCGGAACAATTGTGTAAGATTTCAGAGATACAAACGGAGGTCACGACTGTCAAGGGGTATTCTGATTTCCTTGAGGGGCTTCTAAGTTCGTCAGAACGCTCTACAGCCTCACATGGTGTTATTCTAATCTCTGGCAGGCGCCCTCTGCGCGATTCCATATGGACTGCTGGCTGATAGATACGGTCGCCGACAAGGCATACGTCTCACCATTCCCGGATTCTTCCTTAACGCAGTTATCACCAATTCTGTACTGTGGTTTTCTGATCTCTTCCCTCCTCGCGCCATATGGCTGGCAGCGCTGAGCTGGGTAATTGGCGGAGGGCCAACGGTGGCAGTGGTAGCCATATGGACAATGATCGCAGATCTGACTACCAGTTCAAACCGTACCACAGTGTTTTTCCGGGTCGGGGTTGCCAGTATGACTGCTGACTTTATCGCAAGAGTCATTGGCTCTGGCCTCATGACGCTGAATCCTTGGATATCGTTGTTTCTCGGTTGTGGTATCGTCGTGATTGGACTAGCATTTGCGCTCTCACTGCCAGAAACCATGAACATCCGGTACAGAACTTCCTTGGGAGTGGCAGACACAGCAGCATTGGATGAACTTTATCCCATTTTGGATAGAGAGTCAATTGATATATCCGAGCCTTCATCTATCGCGGCAAAGGCGCGAGCGATAATCAGTCCCTATGGGTTTCTCTTACATCACACCTTACTGATGGCCTTGTTGGCATGCACAACGTCTCAATTCGCCAATGGCTCAGCATGGCTCCTGGCGCAATATATATCAACGCAACTTGGCTGGTCTCTAGCCGGAAGCAATCTTCTTGTATCTTCGCAAGCCGCGATTAGCATCGCTGTATTCCTCCTTCTCCTCCCTTGCCTCTCAAAAGTGTTAGTCTTTCTATCTGCGCCTCGGAAGGACCTTTACCTTGCGCGTACAAGCAATGCATGTCTCATACTGGGAACACTGGGGATCAGTCTGTCGTCGCACATCTCTATTCTGGTTCCAAGCTTAGTGTTGCAAGCAGCAGGTGCAGGGTTCCCGTATATAACAAGATCTCTGGTTACTGCACTAGTGAAGAAAGAAGAGACAGCAAGATTATATTCCGTTGTGGAGCTACTGCAATCGATGGCAACTACGCTATCCAGCCTGTGTTTCACGGGCTTGTTTACGGTTGCGCTGCGGTTGGGTGGAGTATGGGTTGGGCTGGCGTGGCTGATAGCAGGGTCCTTGTTCGCCATGGTGGGAGTATTGCTATGGGCGATTCGGTTGTCATAGGGATAGGGCGAGACTTTCACAGGCCGGTAATTCTTCAATATACTTTACATACCTTGCTTTCTCTTGGGCAGGCACAAGGACGAATTGGAATAGGCTATCTTTGCAGTATCACACTATCCACTTTGTAGAATAGCTCTCACGACTTCATGAAGGCTCTCATTGGGCATCGACAACAAGTCGTTCGCACTCTCCTCATACTCCATATAATGACCTCCAAACCCTTTGATACAGGTAACATATCTCATTAGGGCGGGCATACCACGTAGCTCCCCCTTCGATAGGCTCTCCAACGCCAGTCTTTTTTCCTCTTCCGCGTCACAATGTATCGTATCCCACGGTGTCCCGCTCATGTATTCTAACAATGCGAGAATATCGTTCTGGGAAACCCGGAAAGATTCGATAAACAAGTATCTGTTGGCCGTCCGCTCCGGGGCGAGCATCGCATTCTGCACCGCAAGAGCGACCGTGTTGAGAGTCGTGGTGGACCAGTGATTCGCGCCGCCATTAAGTATCATGGCTTGTCTCTTGAGTATGCTGTATCCTAGGAAATTCTGGACGGCTCTGTTTTCAACCGTTGGTTGCCTACCTCGCAAGCAAGTAGCAGCAAGTCGAGAGCAGCATCCACTTACATCTCAAACAATGGCCCCGTTACAAATGCTGTCCAGCTCAATCCTTCCTTCTCCTTGGTCCTCAAATACTCCACTATCTTCTTTTTGGTTTTGAAGAGAAACGGGGCCATCTCCCCAGCCTGCTCATTTCGCGTATCATGGCCGAATTCGGATGGGACAAAGCGCTTGACTCGGGCTTTGGTTGCGGCATCTATTATTAATTTCTGCTGGGATATCTTACTCGTGGCAATTGTGCAGACAACTGCGTCTTGGTCCCTCAAAATGTCAACTAGTTCGGGTTCGTTGTAGTTCTCGCTGGTCCGGTGGACTGTGATCTGAGGTGGGAAAGAGGCGCACGATGAATATCGGCTCAAGATGGATACAGTGAAGCGAGGGTCGGTGTCGAAAGCTGAGACGATGTAGCGTCCAAGATTCCCTCCGCCCCCGACTACAATAACCTTAGTGATAAGGCCCGTCATTAATCGCCAATAGCGATGCTGAAACGGGGCAATGCCCCGTGCGAAACGACTGGTCTGCGACTTTCCGGTTGTATACCTGCACCAGTGTATGCATTCCAGATCGCCAGGTCCTTTATGTGGCATAGACCTAACACCTAGAGATAATTCTAGACATTCCTGTTCAGAGATTGACTCACTGGCCCTCGACATTGCAGCTTCGTTGGATTAGGCACGGTCATTGTGTAATTGTACACGCATAGCAATGATGGAGGCCAGATCGGACACGATTCGGCACGATTCGGACAGTCTACATTGGTTCTCAGTTATCCCAGCCAACTGAAAGCCAGAAGCATTGTTTGACTTTGGGTGTCTCTGCTGGTTACATCGCACACGGTACATATATGGTTCTACTTGAGCACACGGGTGTGTTACACAGCCAGTTATCTACGTCTTCGAAGTGGCCAGCGGTATCGGGAACGCAGCAATAGTCCCCCTATTTTAGGCATATGATCATCGTTCTGTTAAGCTTTGTTCATTGGTGGTACTTGATCTTTTTGTAACACGTCTGCTGTATCATCCTTCCCTTGTGGGTGTCAGGAGTGTATAGATGCCATTGCTAGAATATAGCAAAGGTGCATCGGAAGTATGGGCTCTGCCCATGGAGTAACCAGATCGGTGCCAGAAATATTTGTACATTACTTCGGATTATGCGGCTCACAAGAACCTACCATACACGCCTGGTGAATCAGATGCATAAGCGGGTTTCAACCCAACAGCCCGATATCCACACAGAAATATGGCATAGCCTCATAGCAATAACCCATACGAAGAGACGGGTAGTGGACTTAAGCACTACTAAGCAATAGAGTCTATCAGCATAACGAATGAGACACAGGGGTAGCCGACAGAGCCTTTGTGATATGACGGATTGCCAAGATGATCGTCATGTCTGGTTGACTGTCTTTGAACTCAACGCAGACTCGGCGCTCTTGGCAGCCGAGAGTTTATGAAGCAGAGTATCATGTGAATTACATTGCGGAGCTTCAGGATTCACTATACGTGAATAACGGAGTGTGATAGCGAGTGACTCTGCTTGGCATGACACGTAATAATGTGAAACTCCGAGGGGTAGCATGAGTCTTGCAAGGATACACGTTGGATTCCAGCCATGCAGGGGATCCATGTACTAGAGGAATGTAATACCCCGAAGGACCTACAATTAAATTGTCGCAGCATAGCCTCACAGCTTGATCCGATGGCAAATGAATAGATCATATCATCCAACTCCTCGCTCAGTTTACGGATGAACCACACAGAAGGCAGTACGGTAGTACCATCTGAGCCCTACATTTAGAGAGAGTCTCGGCCTTAATCTTCAGCCCAGTCATATCACAGCTGCCTCCAATTAACCTGTCGGTTTCAACATAAACAGTAAACCGAGCAAGTCCGCTTCAAAGTCCAGACCCTCAAAAACCTTGTCGTCACACTGCTAGAATACGACAACTCGGTAATCTCAACTAGTCTGGTAAAATGGAAGAGGCGATATCATTCAGTTACGGTGGCCGCAGACTGATGCTGGCAGGAGGAATGATCAGGTCTGAGATGTATAAAGGTGCCCTTCATCCAAGCTCTCTTTACCTCGATCAGATTCACCAGAACCTCCAAGGAGCACGATCGCTTGACGTTCAACAACAACAACAACGACAACAACACAACACCCAGGAATCAAACATAGGACATAAGGAAGGCTCCTAATCTTGTCCTAATCACTGCTCTCGCCGGTCTGGCCAGTGCCGCAGCTATCACCCACCCTGACAGCTTACTTGAACGTGACTACCATCAGAGAATGTGCTCTCTCCTCTGATACCTGCATACAAGAGAGAGCAAGCTAACTGGACTGTAGCTTTCGGTGTTTACAAGGCGACGGGGGAACGCTGTGGTGATTTGACATGCTTTACAGATACCAATGGAGAAGGTAGTTGTGCAGATAGACCAGCCGCATAGCTTCGGCACATCTGGGTTTGGCCCCGGCCGGTGAGGCGTTTCTAAGGAACGGTCCGGGTGTGGCAGCCGTTGACCATGACGTCTCTCTGATTTAATCTTCTGTCCTAGAGCTTGACAGTGCTTGGCAGCATCTGCCAATATGACAGAATACAAACATAGCCCTGTATCTTAGCAGAGCTGCCAAAGTATCGGGGATAACTTTACAGAACTAACCCCCCCCCCCCCCCCCCCTCTTTCAGTAGCAATAGTGTGTTCAATACTTGCCCGGTTCAAAATAGGTTGAAACTTGATTATTCTGGAAGATAGCAGGAAGTTGAGCAATTGTAGAGTTATCTTATGGCGACATTTCTCTAGTGGACACTGAGACGAAATAAGCGTTCTGATTCAGAAAGCCAAGGCAAACCTTTAACATAAAGGACGGAAAACTATTACAGTAATATAATAATACATGCATATATACAATTAACAACACTTTGTGCCCTAATCAGCACTAGATGACGCGGTCAACTCCAGGCTGACTTTCAGTAGGGTCACATGAGAGCTCCGCTGGCGGCGCTGTGCTTCGGCGTAGACTTCCAGAATTCACCCGGGATTTTCATAACTCGATGTACTTTAGAAGTTTCGCTTGACGGAGAGATACTGGTAGCGACATCAACAGGCGTCATGACGGGTGATATTCCAAATCCCACGGAGTCTGTCTGGTGGGTGGTTGCGAGGTGGACCAGCTTCCCCAAGACTGCAAATTCCAACTTCAGCTTGATACTATACACGGTTGCCTTCACCGGCACCTGAACGTAGTAGTATCCCGAAAACTGTAGCACCAAGAGCGCGATGTCCATCAAAATCGCAGCGAGATTGATCGCCAGGATCTCATACATGGTTCGCTTTCGCCGTCTGTCGTGTCCCGGGCGGAGGCGAATCAGCTTCGCCGTCTCCACGATCCAGAAGGTGGAGATGACGCATTCCTGAACGGAGAACCAGATGACCTGAATGACCTCCATGATGTAGAACGCCCTTGCCCATACTCTCGGTGTTGAATAAGCGGTTGTGAAGTAGATAATGCTCATCGGTGTGGTAAGGATAATGGTGTCAATGATGATCATATAACGGAGGTAGCGGAGAACGCGATCATTGCGCGAGACGAGATGTAACCGGGAGTAGAGAACCACGCTTTGCCCTCCGACCATAAAAATCCAGCCGAGGTCGATCATGACGAGGATCACCCATAAGGGGCTCAGGTCGTAGAGGTCGATAATGGCACCGATCGAGAAGGGCACGACGCCCAGGGCCGTTGATAGGAGGAGCGACCAGAAGTAGATGCCATGATGATGATGGAAGTTCCCGAGGATCAAAATCAGAAGCTCAACGGCGTTGTATAGCGCAATGGCGAGAAAGGCCGCGCTGGTGGTTTTGACGGTGAAGGTGCCATGTCCACCTAAGGGTTGTAGACGTATGGCGGCCTCGTTGGAGGTTGTGTCCATGGAATGATGATGATTCGCATTATACGGTGGTGCACCTACTGCCTGATGTCAATGAGATTGACCTGTCAGAATTCTTGGGTTGAAAAAGATGAATGCGCTGTGCAGCAAGTGTGCGACCAGGTATCTTTTTCTAGGAGGGGCGGGGAGGGGGGGAGCCTGCATGAATATCCACGAATCTCGTTCGGCACAGGCCTTTCGAACGAGTATGCACAGGACGAAAATGCGGGCAGCAATGACAATTCATGAATCATGTCGGTGTGGGGGTTCTCGTGGGCAACCAGACGACGTGTCACGGTGCTTGGATTCGTCGTATTCTCGGATCCACTGCGATGTGGTTGGCTTTCCACTGATTGGAATTAGCTCCCGTCCCCCACAATATGGGGGAGAAACAAAGTGTGGAGGTCCCCGGTCTCCTTTGTGTCTGGTACACTGGGTACAAGCATCACGAAGATCTTGCCAGATTCATACATCCCTTTAGTAGACTGACTTTCTCTCTCGGGGAGAGTCCGGCACAGCGCTTTGCCGGGGTTAGGGCAAGAGAAGACACGGGCCGCCATTGCCAAGTCATCAGCGCCGCCACCCGTCGCCGGCATTCTCTCATTTGCGATGGACCCGAGATGCATACAAAATACTGACTTAGTCTTCCGCCTCGCTGATAACTGTCTTGGCGCAGTTTCTTCCCGAATATGGTTAGAGAGTCTTTCGCGAGGTGGATCTCTCCCTTGGCCCCCGTTTCGTGTGGTGAGATAGGTGGACGGCAGGAGGCCTAGAGATGCATGACGGTAACAGATTAACACGTCCACTAGCCGTCAAGTTCCGTACCCAGGCCATATCGTGAAAAAGGTATTCCGTCATGAGAGACTAGTCTCAGAATGAGAGCCTATTCCAGCTTCTTCGACGAACAAGTTACAAAACTCTCTCACCCTCCGTAGTTGAAACTTTCCGCTGGTCGACCAGTTCCTCGCCGACGGACAAGTCTTTGACGCGTCGCCACGGCCGAAGGGTGTTCTCGGTGAGCGAAACCTTCTTTTTTAAACCTCGAGAAAAACTTTCCCATCTCCTGGCCCGCATATCAGAGCGCTCGGAATATGATGACATTCAGGGGTCGAGTCTGGTTGGAGGGCTTTCTCTTGGGAAGGGGCCACTTGGGTTGCATTAGGGTGACATTAGAGTTCCATTCTTTTAATGAATGGCGTGAGATATCGCTGAGCCTTTCGAGTCTCAGACGGCCTTGAACTATCTCATTGCCCGACCACAGAGGTTCGTGTAAAAGTCCTCTAGCGGTATCCGTCCAGGGTGATCTGTATTAAGGATGACGGGATCGGCGTGGTCGGGTGAGACAACCAGGTTGATACACTTTGCAATGCGGCTTTTTTGTTGCTTGTTTGTTCCTTGTTCCTTTTATTTTCTCTCTCACGCCGCCTTCCTCTCTCTCTTTGCCACCGAAGCCTAGTCCAACCCTGCCAATTAGCCCGGCATGGAGAAGTGGATGCAAGCGAGGGCGCCAGGTCACCTGATTGGCGGGCCGGATGAATCAACTCGTGGGTCTCATTAAATTTGCCGTTTGCATCTTAGCGGGTCCAGATAGAGAGAGGATCGAATGAGACTCTGTCACGACTGGGTCCATGGATCCATATAGGAGGATACTAGGCAAAACTTCCCATAGCCTCAATTCCCTAAAGAGGCATCCGATGCAGCGGTCTACCCCGCACCGCCTGTAGAAAGGCTGCCGTGAGACTCCGTCCTGCATCGCCTTGCCCTACTTGCCACTCCGCACCGGGGATCCCCCCAAAAACGAATGGCCCATGATGATGACGATGGACCTGGGGAAACGAAAAAGGAAAAATGGAGTCGGCCGGTTCGGGACGTTTCGTTACTTTGGGGACTTTCTGGAAATTCGATCATGACGTACTGTTCCCCCAGAAGCGTTCCCAACCTTTCCGAAAACGTTGGTATATAAAGTCGCACAGCTACGAGTTCCCCCTTACCCTAATATCACCAACAATTTCTCTTCCCTCACCTTCACCATGGATCCATCGACAATACACACAAAGGGCAAGCTCGAGGACGAGCCGGATGCCCTTCATCTCGAGAAAGGTGAAATTGTGGGCGAGGTGACCCACGATCCCGTCTTTGGAGAAATCACGGATGAAGGCCCGAACTATCGGAATGTACGTACATTCTTGCCAATGGCCGATGCTCTTACCCCCCGGCATGCATGACTAACGACAGGCCAGGTCGGCTTTCTGGGAACGGTCGTTCTCATGATGAAGACGCAGATTGGGCTGGGTGTTCTTTCTATACCGACAGCCTTCGATGTCCTCGGCATGGTTCCCGGCGTCATCGTTCTCATCGCGATTGCCGTGATCACCACGTGGTCCGACTATATGGTCGGTTCCTTCAAGTTGCGTCATCGCGAAGTCTATGGTATCGATGATGCTGGGGCGTTGATGTTTGGTACTCCGGGGCGGGTCGTCCTGGCCGCCGCCTTTTGCCTCTGTAAGTCGCCTGCAATGAACGTGTTACCAACCACATGCCTGACTGACATGGCGATAGACTGGATCTTCGTTGCTGGCTCTGGTATCCTCGGAATTTCGATTGGCTTGAATGCAGTCTCCACACACGGTGCCTGTACCGCGATCTTTGTAGCGGTTGCCGCAATCCTAGGATTTGCCTGTAGTAGCATCCGAACCCTTGGGAAGATCACTTGGCTGGCATGGATTGGACTGCCGTGTATTTTGATTGCTAGTAAGTTCCCATGGTCGATCACCATCCTCACCGTGTGAAGGGATTCAGGCGATGCCTAACATTCTTGTAGTCCTCATTGTCACTATCGCCGTTGGCGTCCAAGACCGTCCGCCCACCGCTCCACAAACGGATGGCCCGTGGGTATCGGATTTCAAAATCATCGGCCATCCGACCTTTGCTCAGGGGATTACCGCGGTGAGCTCACTCGTCTTCGCATTCTCGGGTACTCCGGGCTTTTTCTCGATCGTATCGGAAATGCGCGATCCGCGCAAGTTCACCCCAGCATTGCTCATCTGTCAAGCTGGCGTCACTGCCGTCTATATTACCATTGGCTGTGTAGTATATTACTACTGTGGGTCCTATGTCGCCTCGCCAGCCCTCGCTCCGCCGGCGGATTGATCAAGCAGATCGCCTACGGAATTTCTTTGCCAGGCTTGATCGTTACGACGACGATTGTTTCTCATGTAAGCGACGTCCCGCTGGACCTACCGTTGCACCATAGCTAATCATTTGTCTTCTCCCTACAGATCCCCGCGAAATATATCTTCGTCCATCTGCTCCGCGGCTCGAAACACCTCATCAGCAATACCGTAACACACTGGGCTGTTTGGCTGGCCTGCACCCTCAGTATCACGGTCATCGCCTATATCATCGCCAGTGCAATCCCGGTGTTTGACGGACTGGTGTCTCTCATCGGTGCCTTACTGGGCACGATGATGTGCTTCCAGCCCATGGGTTGCATGTGGCTCTATGATAACTGGCACAAGCGCAAGGAGGGCCCCGTCTCGAAACAGTGGTGGTTCATGGTGTGCTTCAGTGTCTTTGTCGTCGTTTCAGGAACCTTCCTGACGGTGGCAGGAACCTACGGTTCCGTGGTTGGGATTATGGACTCATACAAAGCCGAAGGCGGCTCTGCAGCGTTCACCTGCGCAGACAATTCGGGGTCTGTATGAAATGTATATACAATCACAAGATAGATTAACGATTAACTCAATGATAAAATATGAAAATTTCGATATAAAAATACTAAGAACATTTCGATCGTGCTCATTGCAGTGGTAACGCTTTATACGAGGAAGACGGATCGTCTCCAGTAGTGCCGGGCGGATGTTGAAGGGTAGTGTTCTGTCAGGTGCAGGACACACGTCTAGACGACCAGAAACAGCCGTGAAAGCAAAGTTGTAGTGTGACTTCCGTCGAGCTATTCTTAAGAATAACGCTTATGAGTCGTGCAGTGCGCCATATGCTTTACATATGGAGGTCAGGAGGAATCGACTCCTAGGGGTACGAAAAAAAAAAATGTACAGACGATATGAGACGTTGTAATATGAATGAGCCAAACTGACGGTGCTGTCTCAAGGATATATCACACTTGAAACAGGACGTGCACGTACGCTTTGTCCTCAAGTCCTTTCGTTCGCATTATATGAATAGGGCATTTCCAAGAGGGTAATGATGAATCCAAAACCTGGAGGATTGCTTGGAGGGATTTTATATATATTTCGAGACCCAGCCCGTGAGTATACAGTAGACTTACCCGACCACATACTATTGATCTAAGGGCTCATTCGATCAACGCAGCGACTTCAAGGTGCTCAAGCGGACTGAGTACCCAAGTAATCTGAATGAAGAAATCTTCACGCTCAAGCGCAATCCGAGAATACATTGGCTGAGGTAAAACAGCCCCCAATCTTGATACTGCGTCCTTCGGTGCTTGTGCATTTACGACGGGCTTAGCAGATATAGCGCGGTGGATACAGGCTAATCCGCCCTACTATTGGTCATCCTGGGACTGTCTGAGATAGTCTGCTGGGACTTGATTGGCGGTTCGACACTTCATCAAACGATAGTGGTCCTCCTTCACCCCAAACGTCCATCAGGGAGCCAATCCCAAAGCTCAACCACAGCTATCACAGCGCCGGTGTGTTTAGACGGCATAAGTGTCGCCATGACAGTCCGCATGGCTGCATCACTGGTCGCAAGGCAAGGCAGGGTCATCGGCCAGGGTGAGATGGATATTATCGAGTCAGCAACCGATTATATTGAAGACCATCTCCTCCCCAGCTGACGCGAACCCGATGATGGTCCAAGTTCCTCTTGCGCCTATTCCCTTGCAATGGTCCGTTGATCCACCTTCGGTGCCACAATGACCAAGGGACCTCAGAAAGCTAACCATGGACAGCACAGTATAGGAGCGGATTCCAGCAGAAGAGGATCCGAACCCTGCACCACAAGTTATTTTCTCTCCCGTGGACCCGGATGCCAAATCCACGCCGTACGTTGTCTCGATCCCCGATTCAACGCCTCATGTCTTCGTGCCCGATCCAAACGAAAAGTACTTGATTTCTACCGCAAAAAGCTATGGCGTGGATCATTCCATGCCAAATAATGCGCCAATCCCGCCACCAGCGAACGATCAGGCGCCGAACAAGAAGAAATGGATCTGGATAGGCGTCGCGGCAGTAGCGTTCGTGGTTATTGTGATCGCGGCGGTTGTGGGAGGAGTTGTGGGTAGTCGCAATGCCCACAAGGACAACGTTTCAAGGTACTTTCTGCCTGCTATGTTCCGATTCACGCGAGAACACATAGTTGACTGTCCGGCATTAGCGACACGACTGCGACCGCCATATCGTCGGCATCCGGCCTCAACACGACCAGCAGCTCATCCACAACTTCCACTCCCACATCTACGAGTACCACACTCGCCAGTACCACATCTACCAGTACCACATCTACCAGTACCACATCTACCAGTACCACATCTACTAGTACCACTGCGAGTCCTACTCAGACGAACTTCGGGGCGACCGTGCACATGTTCGCGAACGATACCTGTGGTGGAACGGACGATTCCTTCTCGGTCCTGAACTCCAGCTCGCAGAAATGCGTCGTGGTTCCGTCGAATAAAAGCTCAATTCGCGTGAGCCAGAACGAGTATGTATCGTGACCCACCCGTCTAAAGTTCATGGGCTGACAGTGTCACAGTGGCTGCAAAGTGGTCACCTGGAGTGGCAGCAATTGTGCCGGCAGTTCGTATAGAGTGCCAGACACGGACTGCCACGCGGTTTTGTATGCGGCCGTCTCTGTCGATTGTTAGCATCGTAAAGGGCTCTAGAGAAGTATGGAGGATTGTAGTATTCGAGCCAGTCGAGAGGGGTGGCGATATGTCGATAAGGACAGGACGAAACCCATAGGATTGGCAAGGTTCTCATCTCACGCGCCAGTACGTAGGAAGCAAGGCACCAGAACGGGTGCTGTATATTAGTAGTTACTATTAGCTCCGGTGGTGCTGATACTGTTGTATCAGTGATATAATGACATCTGGACCTGGTTAGCAAGTTCGATGATGTACGATGTGTCCTGCTATTCCCGTGTTTGTAAGCCTCCAGCACATCCAGGGTCGAGGCATGATAAAGACGACGAGCAAGACGGCTTGAGCGTACCAGCACTGGAGTTATGATGATATGTTGGAGTAGATACTACACCCCCTATAATCGTATGATATGATATAACTAGATTACATATAAGCCAGTAATACGATATGAAACTTGATGTTGTATGGATATACGTCACTCCCTGGCTTGGTTTTCTATGGATAGATGCTACATATTCTCTAGTACTTACTATTTACACAGCGCACAGTGACGGTCCCAGTCTAGATTAAGTTTCTGTAGTGCATGGAAGCCGTGTACTAAACCACTTATATAATCTGTTCGACCATATTGGTTTCTCCCTGGACTCGCTTCCTAACTTCGGTGTTGACAAACTCGAAGGCACGTTTCAGAGGGAAAAACTCGTTCACCTCCTTCGCCAAACCGTCTATACAGTCAGCTACATTTTGTAGAAGACGTAGATCTTCATCGGCGGTCGATGCTATGGGATCATGAATCAGACCACTGGCTAAATGGGCATGGGCGATATATGCTCGGTAGTTGCCGAGGATGAGGGACATGGCTTCTGGTCCAGGTAGCTTCAAGATGTGGATCATGTGGTGAATGACCTTGAGAACCCTCCGAGATGTTCTCACTGAAAGGTCAGTCCTGGGGATCACGCCATCATTGTCCGACAGCAGTGACTGGTGAGCGTTGCCTCGGGGAAATGATGCTTTGCGAAGCATGAAGAGTATGCACATGTAACCCGAGAGCGCCAGGTCGCCAAGTACCCAACCATTGATATCCCCGTCTTTATGGCTTTCGAGCCAGTTTTCCTGCAGTGCATCATCAGTCATGATCAGTGGCCCCACTGCAGCCATGGTAGATGTTACGAGCGGCACCGACTTACGATTTTCCACTCATCAAAAATCTTCTCTACATCTGCGCATAACGGATTAATCGCGGTCAGGACATCCGATTCACAGTCCAGTGCTTCCGAGACTTGAAAATAATTTATGAGAATGAACGTCAGACGGCTTCTGATGATGAACGCCATGGTGGGGACTGCTTCGTTCCGCTCGTGCGAAAGCTCCACTGTCAACCGGGGCATGTCTACTCTCCAGTCATTGAGTTGAGATGAGAACGCCGCCGGTTTGTCGTTGATAAGACGGAAGAACAGATCCAGATGAATGAGACCCCACAAGCCCCTGCGATCGTCATCACTCATTGAAAGCTGACGTTCGGAATGTTCAATGCCATCAAGGCTATGCATTTGCAATGCCTGGGCATATTCACAAGCCAGTTTGTGCATCTCCCAACTCAAGCTGAAGTCGAAGTTCTCCGTGGCTGTCTGGGTCTTTTCCCTCCCTGCTAGTTAGCACCTGGGATTGTATTTCGCGGGATCCTGGAAAGTAACGATTTACCATGTACATCGCGGCAATGAAATCGGTGACAGTACAAGTGGCCTCTTGCTGCCAGATTGGAATAGTTCGCTTACAACAGATAAACACCTGCCGTGCGTAGTACTGGTCGGTGCTCTTGCATGATGTTGGCTTACGGAAGAAAAGGCCTTGCCAAAGAATGCAGTAGTAGATTATGAGCATTGAGGCGTCGAAATGGACATGATCCATGCCAATGAGATCGGGCATCATGTCAATAAGTTTACGATCCACCATTGCAGGGAGTAGCCTGCCATTAATGTTGGTGAAGTAGTTTGGTAACGACGAGCATCAGCATGAGGTTTCACAGGTGCGATTCTTGATGGCTTACTATGGATCCATTGCTTCGCACCGTCGGGCGGGATCATAACAGGCTCCAAGGTGAGTGCGCTAACTCCGACGCTGTGCTTCTTGCGGAGTTGTTGTACCTTGTCGACAGCAGAGCTTAAAATGGACGTGACATCTATTGAGGTGGCCTCGCTACTGGTCTCGGGTTGCGTCAGGGACGGGGGCCGAGCGGCCAGATCGAGATTCACGCTGTGTGCCGACGCCGGAGATGCAATCTGTCGCGAAGGTCTAAATGATCGCCCTCTGTGAAGGCTGGAAGAAGAACCAGTTATTGCATGGTCAAGCCCGGTATCCTGTGTCGGAGGACGTATCAACGTGATTGTGGAGCCTGGAGATGAGTTCCTGGCCGTGGTTTGATTTTCGACATGTTCCAGTCTCTCAAGAATAGCAGACAGCGCACCATGTTGGTCTCTATGGCGGGATTGTTTTAATTTGAACGCTCATAGTCTGGCGGGAGGGGTGTGGCATACAAGGTGGATGAACTGATCCGACTCCGTGAGTTCCTGGGCTGCCTATTCGGATAAGAGCATTCCAGGCGCTGCGTAAGACACCGTTCGCAGGCCGGAAAGGTGCGATTACATCGGACCTAACGCAGGGGAGAAGCTAATCAGCCTTGCTAGTCCAGGACCACCCGCTGCTGAGAGATCGACAACCTTCATGCGGCGGCAATTCGTGCACTGTACGGGAAACACTCTTAGCATAGTCGGTCGGGATCCATATTTGATGCTCAGATCCTCCCGATGCAGCTTACCGCAAGTCGGCTCTTGGAGCCCATGGACGCCATGTCTCGACTCTCGGTACACGAGCTAGTTGGTAGAAACGCACGGATGGGGGAAGGTACAAGGGCTTTTGGACATGACAACAGGACGACGGGGATCACTGACCGGAACTGGATGAGCCGATTCTCCGGGACCGCGATCCACTAGTACCCTGTTTGCTTTGTCCGAATGTCCCATCCGTACTATTCACATTTACGACCTTGGCTTGACATTCCCCACGTCGGGATCCGCTGGACAATTTCCTTGGCATGCTCCATCCATTGATCTAACGAGTCTGGGGCGGGATTAGCGGCGCCTTCACGCCTTCTCGCACGTTCGCATATTCGCATATTCGCACTTTCGCACTTTCGCACTTTGGGAGCACGCTGTGGAGCCTTGGATATCTTCTAGCACCAACCTACGTCCACGAATTAGATTTTCAGGTCACATACACTGCGAACCTAGCGACGATACGTCAAGGCTTCGGCCCAGACTCTGGGCGCGTTCGCACATATCGCACACACGGTCCTTCCCCCTTGTGCGTTCACGATGTTGGCCCAGACGACGGCATCCAGATTGGGCAGACCGGAGGAGATCGGAAAAGAGACTGGCTCTTGACCCTTGGGAATGAGTCAATCTCACATCAATGATATATAGATTGGTGGTGAGGCCTGTGCCTCCTCTCTTGCGCCATCTGCCTCCGCGTTTACGATCCTATCTTGCTGGTTGATAGCGCTGCTGTTCCTCAGCCGTGAGATCAATAAAGCACCATTCTGGATTAGTATAAACTTTCTGACCCGGAATCTGCTTTGTCCTTGGTCTTTTGGGTTGTTTTCTCTTATTTTTTCAGTCTTGTGGGTTACCAGCCATCAGCCGTCCAGACCTCGTTTGCCTGGACGGATCATTCCAAGCGATCACGATGCGCCCGCCGATTGTGCCCGGGCAGGAATTGCTGCACAGTGCTCCTCGCCTACCCGAAAACCATCCTCACATGGAGAGCACGGACAGCGAGTCTGACTTCGCAGAGCAGGTGGACGATCAGATCAATGACCTTGCGCGTCGTGTCACCTCGATCTCGGTCGCCCGCGGCGCGCAAATATTACCAAAGCCTACGGACGATGCGCTGGACCCCAACAGCCCGGACTTTGATGCCAAGACGTGGGTGAGAGCCTTCTATAATAACCAAACAGAAGCATTGAGCGGAAGCCCACCGAACTCAGCAGGCCTGGCCTTCAAAGACCTCAACGTCTTCGGCCAAAAGGCCGAAGCGGAACACCAAAGGACGGTCGAAGACTTCCTGTATGGACCCCTAGAGGCCGCTCGCCGGCTTGTGGGCTCCAGAAAGCAACAGCGCATCGATATTCTGCAAGATCTAGAAGGTGTCATGAACAGTGGTGAGATGCTCTGCGTTCTGGGTCCCCCAGGATCGGGGTGTTCCACTTTTCTGAAAACTATTGCGGGCGAGACATACGGGTTCGAGGTTGCTGACGGCAGCACACTCAACTATCAAGGCCTGGGGAAAGCAGACATCGAAAAGGCTTTCAAAGGAGAGGCTATCTATACCGCCGAAGTGGATTATCACTTCCCAAAACTCACCGTTGGTGAGACTCTGTATTTCGCCGCTCGAGCTCGATGCCCGACCAAGTTGGCAGACTATAAACACCAATATGCAGAGCATCTTCGGGATGTGGTTATGGCAATGTTGGGCATTTCACACACGAAGAATACTCGCGTGGGGGACGACTTTATCCGGGGCGTCAGTGGAGGTGAGCGCAAACGGGTGAGTATTGCGGAAGCTATTCTGAGCTATTCACCGTGGCAATGCTGGGATAATAGTACTCGCGGTCTGGATTCGGCCAACGCGGTCTCATTTTGTCGCACGCTCCGTCTTCAGTCGGAGACGTTTGGCAGCAGTGTATGCGTAGCCATTTACCAAGCTCCACAAGAAGCGTATGATGTGAGTGCTACGCAAATCGGGGGTCATTTGTCCTTTCGATACTGGCTGATGCTAACTTCTGACTCTAGCTCTTCGACAAAGTCATTCTTCTTTATGAAGGTCGACAGATATTTTTCGGCAAGACATCAGAAGCCAAAGCATACTTCCAGGGCTTAGGTTTTCACTGCCCGGCGCAGCAGACCACGCCTGACTTTTTGACCTCGATGACAAGCCCCTCTGAGAGGATTGTTAAATCTGGCTGGGAAGGGAAGACACCTCGTAGTCCCGAGGAATTCGCTCGTGCTTGGCGCGAAAGCCAACACCGTCAATGCCTCCTGAAAGAAATTGAAGCATTCGAGAAACGCTTTCCCATCGGTGGTACTCAATCCGAGCAGTTTCGCGAGGCCAGGACAGCCCAGAAATCGAGGTCACTTCGCGCAGCCTCTCCATTCACGCTTTCTCTGACCAACCAGTTTCTCCTGAATCTTTGGCGGAGCTACCGACTATTAATCGCTGATCCTTGGTTTTGGGTTACATTACTGTTCGCTAATTTCTTCGAATCAATTGTCGTCGCCAGCATCTTTTACAACATGCCCCAAGATAGCTCTAGTATGTTTCGTCGAAACCTTCTGATCTTCTACGGCCTCATGATCAATGTCTGGACTGCCGCCCTAGAGGTCCTCACTCTCTACTCCAAGAGAAAGATCGTCGAAAAGCACGTACGGTACGCACTCTACCATCCCAGTATGGAGGCTTTGGCATCCATTGCGATGGACATTCCATTTAAGCTCGTCAACGCGGTTTGTATCAATGTTACTCTCTATTTCATGTGCAACCTTCGACGAGAGCCGGGGCCCTTCTTCTTCTTCTACCTCCTTGCCTTCACTATCACTATGACCATGTCCATGTTCTTCCGGTTCCTCGCCTCTGTCACGAAAACCGTCTCTCAAGCTCTCGCACCATGTGCGATCGTCATCCTCGGTCTCATGTTATATGGCGGCTTCATCATTCCCCAAGCCTATCTGGATGACTGGATTGGCTGGCTGCGGTGGATAAATCCTTTATTTTACGTCCAGGAGAGTCTTTCCCTTAGTGAGTTTGTTGGGCGTAAGTTCTCCTGCGTAGAATTTGTTCCCAGCGGCCCTGGCTACGCGACAGGTTCCATCCCACCTTTGGGTCAAGTATGCTCCGTCGAGGGGTCTGTCGCTGGTGAGGGTTTCGTTGATGGTAGCGTCCATCTCCGCGTGATGTACGGATTTATCGACAGCCACCGCTGGCGCAACTTCGGCATTCTTATTGTCCTAACTGCCTTTTTCCTTGTGATCCATTTAATAGCGGTGGAATTAATCTCCTCGGAGCGCTCGAAGGGTGAAATTCTCGTCTACCCACGCCAGGTCCTCAAAATACACGGCACTGGTGGCCATGATGAGGAGAAGATGTGTTCTACATCAGAGGTTCGGTCTCAGGAACGATACATTCAGACCAATGAGGTCAAAGGCATTGAGAAACAAACATCTGTCTTCCACTGGCAAGATGTTTGTTACAGCATTCAGATCAAGAAAGAGACTCGGACCATTCTTGACCATGTGGATGGGTGGGTGAAGCCAGGCACATTGACGGCGTTGATGGTGAGCTTTCCTCCTAGTAGTTGAAATAATGTCTCCTAACATGCTTAGGGAGTTTCGGGGGCTGGAAAGACAACCCTTTTGGACGTGTTAGCGAGCCGGGTAACAATGGGTGTCATTTCAGGACGAATGCTGGTTGACGGCCAGCCTCGAGACTCTTCTTTCCAGCGGAAGACCGGGTATGTTACCCAACAAGATCTAAACCTTCACACATCAACAGTCCGTGAAGCCTTACAGTTCAGCGCGCTGCTGCGGCAGCCAGCTCGGTACAGCCGCCAAGAAAAGCTCGACTACGTGAACGAGGTGATCAGGTTGGTTGACCTCGAGGACTGTGCAGATGCCGTGGTCGGGTGTACAGGCGAGGGTCTCAATGTCGAGCAGAGGAAACGCTTAACTATAGGTGTTGAGTTGGCAGCACGCCCAGAGCTCTTGCTGTTTCTCGATGAACCAACCTCTGGTCTTGATAGTCAGACATCATGGGCCATCTGTGACCTGATGGAGAAGTTGACGAGGAATGGTCAAGCAATCCTCTGTACAATCCACCAGCCCTCGGCAGCCCTATTTCAACGCTTTGACCGTTTGCTTCTGCTGGCCAAGGGTGGACGCACGGTGTACTTCGGGGAGGTGGGCAAGGAATCATCGACCCTGCTTGACTATTTCACCCGGAACGGAGCTCCGCAATTCAGACCCGGAACCAACCCAGCGGAATACATGCTTGAGGTCGTTGGAGCTATCACAAAGCACGGGAGCAATATTGACTGGCCGAGTGTTTGGCGCGCAAGTCCCGAATATCAAGATGTACGTCGCGAGCTTGATCGGCTGTCGTGTCAAGGCCAAGGCAGATCCGCGGATGCCGATCCCGCAGCATTGGCAGAATTTGCTGCGAGCTTTCCTACCCAGCTAGTGCAGGTCACAAAGCGTGTGTTTCAGCAATATTGGAGAACCCCCAGCTATATTTTCTCCAAGATTATTCTAAGCGCTGGCTCGGTACGTATTTCTCTATTTACCCTCAGAGTGTCCCATGGCTCACAATCCGCACAGGCCTTGTTCATCGGGCTGTCTCAGGTCAATGGGGATGTCTCACAACGTGGTCTGTTCAATCAGATGCTAGCGACCTATATCTTTCTTTTTATTTTCAGTCAAGTAGTTGAACAGATCTTGCCTATGTTCGTTTCTCAGCGCACCCTTTATGAAGCCCGGGAGAGACCCGCTAAAGCGTACTCGTGGGTTGCCTTCCTTGCTGGAAATATCATTGTGGAGCTGGCGTGGAACTCGGTGAGTCTTGATCGCCGCGGTATCTTGTGATACTGATGTTGACTACGGTTCTAGCTTATGGCGATTTTCTCCTTCCTTTTCTGGTACTTTCCAATGGGTCTCTATCGCAACGCCGAGTGGACGGATGCTGTCCATTCGCGTGGTATCACGATGTGTCTGCACCTTTGGATATTCTTCGCGTTTACCAGTACATTTGCGAACATGCTCATTGCTGGCATTGAGACTGAGCAAGTCGCCGGCGGATTCCTAAATTTCTTCTTCAACATCATGTTTGCTTTTGCAGGGTATGTACCACCACGGTAAATTCACTTCTTGTTTGAAATATCCTAACCGTGCCGCGCCAGTATTCTTGCCGGGCCTGGTGAACTCCCAGGGTTCTGGATATTTATGTACCGCGTCAACCCGTTCACTTACGTGATGGAAAGCTTTCTTGGCACTGCCCTCGCCGATGCCCCTGTTACTTGCACGGCCAGCGAGCTTGTCCACTTTCAAGCACCTGGGGGAATGTCTTGCGGGGAGTACGTTGAGCCATACATCGCAGAGAAGGGAGGGTATCTTCTCGACAACAGCACCAGCAGCTGCAGCTTCTGCGGCATGGCCAACAGCAACTCCTTCTTAGCTGATATGAACTTAAGCTTTGACAACAGGTGGCGAGATTTTGGATTCATGTGGGCATTCTGTGTCTTCAACATCGCTGCTGCAGTTGGATTGTACTGGCTTATGCGTGTTCCCAAGAGGCCGGCTCGGCAGTGAGCGTCAAACCAGTCATGTTGACGAGCTTGCACTTCTCGTGCTAATACTACCATAGAGTGAAATATAATCAAAACATCTAATAGATATACTTACCATAATTCGACTACCAGTATAGCCAATCCAGCGTGACTGATTATCAAGTTGCAGTCGGAGGTGGTCGACGAATGAGATAGTGACGAGGTCACTACTAACATATAATATATCTAGAACTAAAGCAGAGTAAAGATCCAGATAAGACTATTGAAAGATAAGGGGTGCGCACGTAGAGATAGTTAATATAGTAGAAATTAATAATAATATGGCCGTTATCCAGTGTTCTATCAAGTAGTGCTTAGATTGTGATTGGCGCCGCAGCTTTCTCTCTTGAATGCCCGAATGCGGTAATTCGCACCATCTCAGCCATCGGGCCTCCACATCGACGAGTTTCCAGTCCGTTCAGTCTTCCAACTTTTCTCACTCGCGAAATCTCTTCTTATTACCCCCATATGGCAAGTTCAGGTCTGCAGCCATATCAGGTGCTGTGTGTCTACTATTACAAATTTACAATGCTTCTTGCACTTGCTCCGCCTGGGAGCTATATTTAAAGGGTCGCTCCCCCATGTCCACTGCAGACCATACTACTTTGTCTTCTGGGAGCCGACACCAACAACATTTGAATCCCGAATTGAGATAACCTCCTAATACAATGACTTCACGAGATGGGTATCAGTGGACTGCAACGACAGGTCTACGCCAAGGGGTACCATCGATAAGTGTTATATCACCACCCACGAACGTTCGGTCAGCAACAGAGGATTGGGACGTAATTGTTGTCGGGGCAGGATATTCGGGCCTCACAGCATCTCGAGATGCTTGTCTGGCCGGTACATTATCCCTTTTGGCACTTGGAGACGGGCAGACGAGCTGACCTTGGCCATTACCACAGGACTCAAGGTACTTCTCATCGAGGCGCGCGATCGTATTGGCGGTCGCTCCTGGTCGTCCAATATTGGCGGGTATCCCTTTGAAATGGGAGGGACTTGGCTAAGCTGGGGGCAACCTCATATTTGGCGAGAGGTCTCTCGGTACCAGATGAGAAACGAGTTGGAACCGTCCTTTGATTTCTCTCGGGGGGTGAATCACTTTGAACTGCGCACTAGCAGCCAAGGCTCATCAATCTTTAGCCATGTAGAAGAGGTTTGTGCATCCCCCCATGAGAACTATTCTGCATTAAGACCCTCCATTGACCCTCCGAAGGATGCCCTTCTCGCCGGCGCACTGCAGAAATTTGTTGATGTAGACGGTGCGATGGGCCGAGATATCATTCCCTATCCGCACGACGCATTCCACAACCCTGCGGCCCGGCAATATGATGACATGTCGGCGCTGGATCGTCTCAATCGGCTGGCTCAATCACTTACACCAGATGAGCGCGCGGTATTAGAAAGCTTCATTCTGCTCTGCAGCTGTGGGACTCTGGAAACTACAAGCTTCTTTGAATTCCTTCATTGGTGGGCTTTATGCGACTACTCCTATAAGGGGTGTTTGCAGCATCTAATTTCATACAAATTCAAGGGTGGACAATCCAGCTTCGCTATCAAATTCTTTCGCGAGGCATTGGCGACAGGCCGGCTATCATACACCTTCAACAGCCCAGTTCAGGCGATCAATGACCACGGTGACAGGGTTGTGTTAAAAACTCGCGATGGTCGTCAGTATAGTGGCGCCCGTCTGATCTCCACCATTCCGTTGAACGTGCTCAGCTCCGTCATGTTTTCGCCTCCACTGAGTGCACAACGCACAGCTGCCGCAAGTATCGGTCATGTTAACCAATGCGTCAAGGTCCATGCAGAGGTTGCCAGTCCCAACATGCGGTCCTGGTCCGGAATTTCGTACCCTTTTAACAAACTTGCCTACGCGATCGGCGATGGTACTACGCCTGCGGGAAACACACACATTGTGTGCTTCGGGGGTGCACATAACCACATCCAGCCCGAAGAAGATATTAACGAGACCAAAAAGGCGGTGGAGAACATGTCTCCTGGGAACATGGATATCAAGCGATTGGTGCGTTTCAGACGGGGCCTATGTTGGAGAAAGCTACTGACCTTCGATCCTGTAGGTGTTTCACAACTGGTGCAAGGATGAATTTGCCAAGGGTGCATGGTTCTTTGCGCCGCCTCAGCTTCTGTCCAAGTCATTGGACGAACTCAGGTGTCGGCATGGAAACGTGCTCTTTGCGAACTCTGACTGGGCTGTGGGCTGGCGCAGCTTCATTGACGGCGCCATTGAGGAGGGCACTCGGGCAGCGATGACGGTGATTGAGGAGCTCCGCCGACCCCCTGGCGCTCGTTCTCATTTATAGATGTCCCCGCCTGCTATGTAGCATGATAGAATATGAGGAGATGCTAGAGTATGTCGATGAATCCCCTTTGCGTATCGCTCGCCGAGTTCAAATGTGGCGTGTTGAACGCAATGTAGTACTATCTACCTAAGTTCTCCAAGGTGGCAACGACTTGAAGCTAGAAAAGTGATGCCTTGTTTTATGGTTCCTCAGTTGTCATTGGAGCTACAAGGTCTTTCACGTACCAATCTTTGCCTTTGCCAAGTTGCCTAAAGGAAGCTTATCGACGTGAATTCATTCAGTCACTTCAATCCGTCGGCTAGGGTTATTCTCTTCTTTTTTACCTAATTGGGCAATCCAGGGAAGCTTAATGCGAACCCCGCAAAAGCCACGGACTGGTCGTAAGGGTGACTCTTCGTTGATATCTTGGTACATATACTCCCTATTGAACATCCATGGAGCGTACTCGATGGCTATCACTTTACTAATATTGGTATCTCAACCTCCTGTCTACCAGTAACCATCAGGCCTCTCTTCTATAGTACACCATGGACTCGTCCGAAATGAAGCCCAAGCACGGTATGGAGTGGCCATTCCTGAGATTATAAGATGCACGTCACTAACCTAGCTTCACTGGCGCAGGGCAATGTCTCGATGCCGAAAGACGTGAGTGTCTACTAGGTTACTCACTTCTACATGAATCGCCCCGACTCATTTTCGTCCTACATAGAATCCATCCAACACGGTGACCTGAACTGCCTGGAAGGACTCAACTTTCAGCCAGAGGGCACACGCATGCTGACACCTCTCCAAACTATATCCGCCAGCTGGATTATATGTGACAGCTGGGCGGGTGTTGCTGCCACGGTGGCTCTTGCAATCGTCCAGGGCGGGCCCGTAACTCTGGTTTATGGGTTGATTCTGATCTTCTTTTTGGTCGGTGCCTGTACCCTGACCCTGGCGGAGCTAGCAAGCGCCTATCCAACAGCTGGTGGGCAGTATCATTGGACGAGCATTTTGGCTCCCAGACCGCTCAGTCGACCATTGGTACGTCCCTTCCTTCGCCAGGTACAGGCCCAGGGAGGTATTGATCTGCTAGGCAGAGTTATTGTTGTGGTGTCACCAACATGCTTGCCTGGATCGCTATCTGCACCGGGATTGCAATCATTCCAGCACAGCTCATCCTCGGGATTGTCCTCTTCTTTGACTCGGAGTATCAATCGCAGCCGTGGCACTACTTTCTAATCTACCAATCCATTAATGGGCTGGTCCTATTGTATAATGCAACCTTACTGAAGAAGTCACTCTGGTTTCATGACGTATCCTGTACGTCTCCATCCTGCTAGACCCGATATCAAACTAGGACCTCTAACTGGACTGGCAGTCTTTGTCACCCTCACAAGTTTTGTCGTGATCATGGTGACGTGTCTTACTCGCTCGGCGTCCCAGTTTGAGGCATCAGGTACCGTATGGACAACCTTTCTTAATGGCAGCGGATGGAACTCGGGTGGAGTGGCCTTTCTCACGGGGCTTGTTTCTCCCAACTACATGTACGCAGGTATTGATGGTGCCTTGCACTTGGCAGAAGAGTGCCGGAATGCAACAACTGCGGTTCCTCGTGCTCTGATGAGTACCCTAGTCATTGGCTTTGTCACATCATTTGCCTTCATGGTCACGATGCTATACTGCACCAGTGATTTGGATACTGCGGTAGCATCATCTACCGGGTCAGCTGCCGTGGCCTGCCCTTCTGATCTCGTACGTTGGGAGACCAGGCTAACATGGTCGGTAGAGTTCCCATTTACGAAATGTGGCATCAGGCGACACGCTCCCCCTCAGCTGCTACTGTCTTCGTTTGCCTCCTTGTGCTCGCGGCCATCTTTGCCCTCACTGGTGCTCAGCAAACAGCATCACGCCTTACCTGGTCGTTGGCGAGAGACCGGGCCCTCATCGGTAGTCAATGGATCGGAGAGTTACATGAGAGCCTAGAGGTTCCTGTCTGGGCTCTCGTGTTCAACTATGCCGTTATGTTCCTCATCGGATGCATCTACTTAGGCTCGTCATCTGCATTCAATGCCTTTATTGGGACCGGCTTAGTCCTACAACACATTTCGTACGCTTTCCCGGCAGCCTTGCTGATGTATCGCTGCCGATCGGCGATCTGGCTGCCAGGTTTACGCCCCTTCAGGTTACCCAGCCCTCTCGGGTGGGCGGCGAATCTGATCACAGTCTGCTTCGCGGTGTTGGTGTTGATCTTCTACGACTTTCCGACTGTGATGCCGGTTACCGGGAGTAATATGAGTGAGTTCGACTACCTGTTCTCTTGTGCTCGGTAGGTTTTGTTGACCAGTGGAATGGGATTGCTAGATTATACGCCTGCGGTCCTCGGCGCCATGACCATCGTAGCTGGTATAAATTGGCTGGTGTATGCCCGAAAGTGGTATCAGGGCCCACGACTTCGGAGATCTGATGAAGCCACCAAATGATTCTCGTGATGGGGTAACGACTACGGTTCTGTCTTGTTTATGGTTCTTTTGTACCTCAATATGGAAATGAAATAGAGGGGATGGAGCTCCTCCATGATATGCATAATAGAGATCCAGTACTTTCCATCATAGAAGTAGTTGTGCGAGTGGGAAAGATGGACTACAAACAAAGAGGGAAAAAGAGATCCCGGCATATTGTTTCTCCGGAATGATAAGATAAGCTTCGCCGGGACTAACCGCAAGAGAACAAAGTCAGATTTCCCCGCAAAAGCGGCCAGCAGTCCAGCAAACATTCATCGAAACGCGACTACAATGCCATTTCATTGCATACCAGTCTGTGGCATCAGACTAAATGAGCTCCAAAGTTATTAAGAACCGAGGTGCGTTTTCACATACCCTCGTCTTACAACAGGCTTCGAAATCGAATTGTTAACGTGCTCTTGCAGGGTGTTTCCAGTGTTCCAAGCGACGGATTGTGTGCGACGGCGCCCACCCGACCTGCTTGAAATGCCAGAAAAAAGGAATTGAATGCTCGGGACTGGGTCGGTTCCGCTTTTCCTCGGGCATAGCCACCCGCGGCAAATTGAAGGGATGTGCGATTCCTACCACGGTGCCGCCTGAATCGGAAGGGAATAACCAGACACCCACGGGGGTTTTAAGGCCCCAGAAGATCCGGTGGAAGGACGATGGCCCCAAGCGTACCAGGCAGAAACATAGGACAGCAGCTACAAAGGCTGAGATACATCTGGTCGGAAGAGATGGGACGAGTTGCCAGGCTTGGCTTGAATCCGCGTCTCAGAACCAACCCGCAGTTCCTCGTCCCACTGAAAGCTCAGTAGCAGCAGATACGCTATGTGAAGATTCTAGGGTTGGGTCATTCATGTGTTCACAGGGCGACACGATACAGCAGGGCCAGCTACAGTGGCAAGAAAGCTCCGGTCCCTACAATGCGGATGAAACAGAATGTTGTAATGTCGGGTCGTCACTGGCTCCGGACTCCTGCAGTACTATAATGCCATGGATCCCTTCTTTGGGTCCTCAAGATCGAATGTATCTTTCGCATTGTAAGTTACACTTCTCCTGGTGCCTACCTCCCAGCGGCTAAATAGATGCTAGTCGCCAGTGAGGTGGCCCCCGTCATGGTCATCTTCGATAATGTTTCCAATGGCTACCGGGATATTTTCTTACCTCTAGCATGCGAAGATGAGGTCCTGCGTGGGGCGATCCGAGTCGTGGCAGCCCAGCACTTGGCTTTACAACACGCCGGTTTTCATGACATAGCAGAAGTTGGGCGTGCGGCAATCATTTCCCGACTTCGACGCGATTCTATACAGGCATCATCGGACAGCATTGTTAATCTTCGTACGTGGGCAACCTTAATTGTCCTGCTAGTGGGTGAAACCATCACCGGCAGTCCCGAATACTCTCATCTGCTGCGCACATTGCTCTCCTTAGTGCCGAGCCTCTGTCAAATAGAGGCGACGCCAGCTTATCGCTTTCTTATACAACAAACCCACATGTGAGCCTTGTCTCGCTGCCTAATCTTCTTATTGACGCTAATGCCTTGTCCAGGTTTCAGTTTCTCGGACAGCCGTTGCTTAATGAAACCCAAGGCATGGATGCCCTAGGCTTTCACCCTACTCACTACCTCGACTGGACCGACTATCAACTTCCCCCCGAGTCCAGGCACAGTAGGGTTCTTTGGGTGGTCCGACAGGCCTTTATAGAAGCTTCCCAGATTTATATCCTCCGAGCCACTACCAACCTCAACCTATGGGATAGGCTCGAGAGCTTGAAGCAGCTAGTGTCACGCGTCGACCCTGACGAGCAAGGGGCCCATGCCCTTGTTTGGGTGTGCTTCATCGCTGCCGCGGATTCTACGGACCCTGAGCACCGGCACTATTTTGCCGAACGGATGAACCAGGTTTTCGCAAAGACAAAGTTTCAAAATATTGTTGCAGCTGTCCGGACGTTACCAGACATCTGGGCTCAACAAGGCTCCGGGCGCTGGACGTCGAACTTACTTCAGCTAACTCCCACACTCATTATGTAAATATGTTTCATTTTCTGATCGGGTGTTAATACGCTCCTTCAGTAGTACGATACTCACAGGAGAGACTAGACTTATAGTCCGTTAATCGGGGCCTCCAAACTCCCGATGAACTCTGAGTCAGTTGGGGACTCCAACTGTTGTCAAGGCTTTAAAATCCCCTTTTGACTGAGCAAAGCCACTTTTCGAACAGACGACAAGAGCACCATTAGTTGGTCAGATAACGTGGCTCAATTACGAGATTGCCTGTCTCAACTCATAGCGAACGCCAGGATGTCAAGTCCAGTACCGACAGTGACCAGTGGATGGGAATTACATGGCACCAGCCCGGAAGATGGATCTGGGGCACTGGTGTGGAGTGACAACCTGGAGCTACGAGACCTCGGGCCCACTGATGTCGCGGTGCGACTCCATGCATGGGCGATCAATTATCCCGACGTCTCTAGTTTGTGACCCCAGCACGTCGCTATTCCGCGCAGCACTAATACAATCATCCATAGTTGCCAATGGCACTTTCCCCTGGTCCTCCGGGGACAATGGCGTCCAGATTCCGGGCACCGACGGGGCCGGTGAAGTTATCGCCGTGGGCTCCCACGTCAAGGGTTTCCAAGTCCATGACCAGGTGGTTGTCGTCTATTATCCGGAATTTCCCCACGGCAGTGCACCCACATTGGATCAGATGCGGGCCAACCTGGGCACCTTCCGCTACCATGCCATCTTCACCGAAAATGCTCTGATTCGGATGCCATCGAATCTCAGCTATGCCGAAGCAGCCACCCTCCCTTGCTCCGCTCTGACCGCGTGGAACGCGCTGCACGGCAACACCCACCTGAAGGCTGGGGACTATGTCCTCGTGCAAGGAATGGGCGGTGTCTCGCTATTCGCTGTCCTCTTTGCCCTGGCTGCTGGTGCAATTGTCATTGCGACCACATCCTTGCCCGAGAAGGCTTTACGGTTACAGCAAATGGGAGTCCACCATGTGCTGAACTACCGGGATGACCCGAACTGGGGAGAGACTGCCAGACATTTGACGCGCGATGGGCTTGGTTGCCAACGGGTGATCGAAGTGGGTGGTCCTCAGACCATCAAGCAATCGTTCAACTGCGTTGCCCGTGGCGGGGAAATTGATGTGATCGGCTTTTTGACGGGTCAAGGACACGCCGAGGATGGTCCGACATTTTTGGAGCCGCTTTTGCAGGCATGCTTGGTGCGGGGAATCGAAGTGGGTAATCGGATCCAGTTCAAAGAGATGAATAGGGCCATTGAGGCATATCGCATTAAGCCTGTTGTAGATCAGCGGGTATTCTCCCTCCAGGATTTGAAGGAAGCGTATGCCTACGTGTGGAACCAGCGTCATTACGGCAAGGTCGTCCTTTCCGATGGTAATGTGTAGCCAGCTGGCCGGGAAATTATATTGGATAGGAGTCATCGAAATATATCGTCTTTCCGCATGTACATACGTTGGCAGTGATGGAACAAGCGCCCCGTTTGCTCCTCTATCCACGATGAAGGGAAGTTTTTAATTAACAGACCTGCCTGAGTATCCCTTGAGTTTCCTTCATCAGCTCCTTTTACATTCCAACTTGACAAAGCCTGCTTGTGTCGCTCTGTGTACGGTGAATCTTCATGTGGCCGGCTTTGGCGTGACCAGCCGAACTGCAGTCTGGATTCGGCGGCCTTCCCTTCTGCTTCCGACTGCAGTTGGTCGCTGAGCGGAGGGTAAGATCAAGGGCGACAAAGTAATGAAGACGCATTTAACAAATGGGATAGCTGCAGGCGGTTGTCGTTAACAAACACTCAACGGATTCTACGCTTGTTCGATTGGGCCCCCTCACCGTGTAATCGAGCTCAGGGCAATGCGATCCAGCTCTCCTCTAGATCCTTTTAGAAACTGGCGATTTGAGTTTTATTCTTTCATTTTCTGTTATTTCTTTATCGGATGAAGATACCCATCGATCAACTCTTTCTCGGGGTCTCCAAAAGTCGAGTTGGAGACCCCAACGAGATCCAACTAACTATGAGTGGTCATGATTTATAAGCAGGACAACGACACAGCTCATGTTCTGGCCAGGTTTCTGGCCAAGGTGACGCGATTGTTAGTGATGACAATCTCCTCCATTGATACACGACAGTCATGAACGAGTGAGGTAAGACGAACGTTGAGATCTTGGAGGATATAACGGGAGTCTACATAAAACAGTTATCTTCTCTCGGCGGAGAACAAACCAGGGCTGGTCACGTGAGCTAGCAATGCAAACCGGCGGTTGGGTTTCATTCCAGATCCCCTTCCAAGCTCTCTCAGCCGATCAAAACAATCTTCCCTTAGACACTCATTAGAACTTTATGCATTGGTCATGTCATTCATAATTCCTTGACCGGCAAGCCGGAACGATGAATGAGACAACGTCGTACCGCTCATTGAGTCCCGCCTCAGCGGCCCGTCGCGAGGAGCTGACCTGCAAAATATGTTCCCGCACGTTCAACCGGCATGAGCATCTACAGCGACATACTCGAACTCGTAGGGACCCACAGTAAAGCCAAACGTGGGTACTGCTGACGGAGTGGCCCCTTAGACACCAAGGATAAGCCGTACATATGCCCGTGTGGCCGTTCATTCTCTAGAAAAGACTTATTAACGCGGCATGAACGGTTAAGCCACGGTCTGGGAGGGAAGCAAAGAGGTGCTCGAGGTGTGTAACGTGTCCTTTCGGCCTAGCAGCAGACATGTAATCAAACTTTGTGACAGCAAGTTCATCGTCTCCGCGGGGACGAACAGCTGGGGATGGCTCATCAGTGGCGGATCATGCTGGGGGCCATGCTGCCTCTACATCTCGTTGCATGTCTCAGGAACTTTGCGAACCGACCATCATCCAGGAATTAGATTCCGGTCTCCTGGCCGATACTGCAATACCTTATATGCCTGATCATTTCCTACTGCCTTCCATGGACGGTCTCTTTGCTGACTCAGATTTCTTGAGCCATGGCCATGACTGGGAGGGAATGTTGGCCGACCCAGGTCTTGAGTTGCATGGTCCTAACATGCCTGACGAGGGTATGATCCAGCAAGTCACCCCAGATAGCACGGATATCTCTTCACGGGTCCCGGATGGCCCTTCGCATGATGGTTAGGTCCAACTCCAGTTTTTCCACTCTCCTCCCTACTAACCCATGTCAGATGATTTCCACGAGCTGAAGCCTCTTAGCTGTCCATGGCTTCTAACCGAAAGCCAGTATTTACAGATTACGAATTCCCTCACGCCATTTCGACATGTTATGCCCCATTTCACCTTGCCGTCGAGAATGGCTGTTGCACGATACTTACTTGGTTATGTAGAAGGGTTCAGTGACCACCACCCATTCATCCATGTCCCAACCTTAAAGCTGGCCTCCTTCGTTCATACCCCCGAGTTTATTCTGGCTATACTAGCCGTGGGTGCTCAGTATCGCTATGAGATGAGAACCGCCAGGTCTCTCTACCAGGCTAGCCGATCTCTCGTGCTGGAACGTCTTCAAAGAGCGAACAATGGCATACATACCACAGCTGCCCATATCAACCAAAGCAGCGAAGGTCCTTTACCACACTATGCAGAACATCGCCTAGACCAAACCCGTGCTCTGCTTCTATTGGCCGTCTATTGTTTTTGGCACGGTAGCCCGGATCTATCGCAAGAATTGTACAACTACCTGAGTACGATTGCCGACTCGCTCCGCCGACTTGGTCTGTCTGAAGAGGCACATCCAAACAGAATCAGTTGGACTCGATGGATTCAACACGAAACAAAACGACGTACTCAATTCTTTGGTTGGTATCTACTAAACCTTCATACGGTTATATACGACAATCCACCCTTGCTGCTTACACGGGAAATGAACCTTCAGCTCCCATCCTCGTGCCAGGAGTGGGTCGCGCAGACAGAAGCCGAATGGATCAAAATCAGTAGTCGAACCCCCTCTCCACTGATGCTGAAGGAGGCCCATGCAGCCCATCTTGCACAATACAGCGATATATCTGCAGACATTGAGGCATCCCCTATGGGAAGTTACATTTTGATTCACGCACTCATTCAACGTATCTACATGTTGCATCAGATCTCTCTGGAGTCTCAGGCACAAAGCCTCTCTGCTCCAGACATTCAGGAACTGGAGCTGTCACTGAACCACTGGCGGCACACATGGTGTCGCTCCCCCGAATCTAAACTGGACGTGTATGATTCATATGGCTCGCTGTCCTTCTCCGCTACCGCACTGCTAGGCGTGGCCCATATCCGCTTGCATTACAACCTCGGACAATGGCGCGGTCTGCAAAGCGGGGATCCGACGACAGTTGCCGTGACGCTGCGTGAGGCGCCCCTGCCCCGACGCGGCCCGCATCTCATACATGCCCTCTTACACTCCATTCACTCTCTTCAAGTACCCGTGCAGGTGGGCAGCTCCTACCTCTCGCGATGCAAGTCTTTTGGATGGAGCGTGGATCACGCCATCTGCAACCTGGAATGCGCCACTTTTCTGAGTAAATGGCTTCAAATGGTGGCTAATGCCGACGAGAAGCAGTCGCCCTCCGGTATGTTGTCGTTGCTTCCCCTCTCCGCTGTTCTTATGTCTAACTAAATCCATCGTAGCGCTGGAGGTGCGTGTTATCCGATGGATCATTCGTGTGGTGCGTGAAGCGCTGATGTCACAAGATGAGACCATCCACCTCAGCCATCAGATTGATGATTATCGGCCTGAAGCGCGGAAACAAACCACTAGCTTCCTTAGTTTTGCAGTGGTCAAAGTGTGGGCCGAGATGTTTAAAGCTTGCAATAGCCCTTGGCCAATGGTAAGATTCGTAGGTCAGGGGTTGGAGCAGTATGCGGAGTTGAGGCACAGGTCCTTGGCCACAGAGGCAGAGAGCTAGGTGTGAACATGAAACTGATATTGCGCAACATTGCTCTACTGGCTGTCCTGTTCTCGTCTTCTACAGATGCTCCTTTCGTACCACCCCTGCCCTACCTCTTCTCCCCAATCCATGCGGGGAAGGGTGGTGGAGGCGCTCGGATCTACTCCATGATCTCCCGGACCAACTTGCTTCATCTTCGGATAGAGGGCCCACGCTACACCAAAATCCATGGTACGAGCGTCAGGGCCATCGCCAGACCTCCGAGCAGACTGGCCGCAGCACCAAACCCTAAATTGTTGAACATCTGCCGGGAGACCAAGGGGAAAATTCCGCCCAGCATATTCCGGCAGAAGCTCTGGGCGGCAAGCGCGGAACTGGCGTAGCAATGATAAGTATCTGCCAGGTAGTTGAATACAGAAAGATAGATCGAGAATATTCCGAAGTTAGAAATCCCCACCGCCACTGTAGGCACCATCCAATGGACCTGGCACTGCGCCGACCAGCCGAAAAGGAAAAGGCCTAGGGGTAGAAGTAAACTCTCCACGCAGCTAAAATACAATCGGTGTTCGGGGACTGAGTTCCACGGCTGGCGGTCCCACTTCCACTGGTTCCAATGACAGGTAGCCAACGACTCCTCAACGAGACATAGGCTCAGCGCCACCGTCGTGCCGATGCAAGAAGCCGCGAAGATGGCGTTTGCAGAGGAGAGCGAGAATGAGTATACCGTTTCAAAGACCAGCGGGATAGCTGAGAGGTTGATGTAGAGGACAGACCAACTGAAGGCCGCCCAGAGGGAGAAAAAGAACACAACCGGCTCGGTGAAAAGCATGGTGAAGGGCCGCAGCAATGATGCTCGGAGGAGCTGCAGGATGCCAGCACGTTCTGCATCGGCAGCAACCTGCCATCGAATACAGTCCATGCGCTCATGATTTTCCTTCTTGTCCCCAGCAGTCTGCCTCGTCGCGGTGGTGACCTCCTCCATGGCCGTATGCCATTCATTCAACCGGCGGGCTTTCTCGCGGAGGACCACGGGCCCGCGCGTTTCACGGAAGACGGCCAAGACCGCAGCGGTTATCAAGCTGGCGATGATGATCTGGATGTAGAAGATCCAACGCCAGCTAGTATATTCGTCAATAAACCCACAGACCAAGGGGCCGAGGCCGGTGCCGAAGAGGGCGGCCCAAGAGAAGAGAGCCATCGGAGCGTTACGATTCTGGGCGTGGTAGATGTCCGCGATAATGCCTCCGACCATGGTCGAAAAGGTGGAGCCCCCGATCCCGCAGAAGAAACGCGCAACCAACATCCTGTAAGTCTCTCCGTGCAGAGTCGCCATTAGCATGGTGTCTCGCCAGGGATGAGTTCAGGTATACATACCCAGAATACAAGCGCGTGACGGCGCAGCATACTTGGCAAGCTGTGAATAGGATGGCAGTAGCAATGAACACTGGCTTACGACCATAAATCTCTGGGAAAGGAGCGAGGAACATTGGGCCGATTGCGAAGCCACTGGTGAAGGTCGTGATCCCAATTAGGGTGGCGACTTGACTGACATGCCATTTGGCCTCCATCTGCGCTACCCCGGGACTATAGCAACTTGCCGCGAAGGAGGCAAATAGGGTTGCTATGCATGACACCCCTGTCATGACCCCTTTGTACTGCCATGACCAGTCGTAGGGGGATCCGAGGTGTTTCAAGTCAGGGGGAGGGACAGGGTGTGATCTAGACAGGAAAGAGAGATCCGTCGCGAATGTCAGGTATTGATGGCGCGAGACATGCTTGTCAGCGGTCAACATTGGCAAAGACTGTGCCCTCTCGCTGGTGATGTGCATTATGATTCTGATCAGATAGTTGACTAATGTGGAGCAACATTCAGCCAAGTGAGACTGATCTAGACGAGAAGCAGGACTATCTATTGTTTTCTTACCTGCAAGGATGGCCCCAAATACTGCAATATGGATTTCCGGATGGTGCGGCGTTACTGTGGCCTGTGCACAATAGCAAAACAAGGTAATAATGGGGGCTAGGGTCTCCAAGCATTATTTCATGATCTATCACAAGGGATCTAATCAGTATCAGCAGGGTCTTACTCGGGCGAAGCCCGACCTTATGGCCAGTCATCTATCTGTACAGCGACCGTCGCGTCCGCCAGCCATGACCCAGTATGGAAGGCTCCCGGGCCACGTCTTGTCAAGGCCGTGGGCGCAAATCCGATGGCGAGCTTCCTTACTCGTACTATATCTGCACGTACCATGAGTACTTTTATCAACAAACAAGCCTTGCGAAGCCACCTGCCAGGAACCGCTTATCCGAGCATGCCAACGGCAACGAGAGTCATGGTACTTCGATCGACGGACATGCCTAGCTTCAACTGCTGCAAGCTCTAGTTCAGTTCCGAGATTACTACCTTATGCCCATAATGTGAGGTTTGACGCCGAGCTAAATGTGCTACACTGACCTTCTGACCATGGGAGAGATGGGCCACCTTGCTACCATATGAGTGATCCTAGAATATATTCCTGGGCTCCCACAGCCTCGTGCTGACTATGTGGTCGGATAGCTGCTCCTCATCATCTGTCTGCGATTCACCAGTACATTGCATACCACATGAGGATATTTGGGGGTTGGACACCTGGTGGCAAGTTCCAGCCGCAACCGGGACGACGCCATTCGGGGTCTCCAATTCACCATATTCGGTTTGTAATCTGCGCCCTACGTTCAACCTTTTCTCTTTGATCTATACTGATTTCTCAGTAGACAGCTCCAAATATCTGGAACGTTGTCTTTGCAGACCTCATCTTCCAAGTACTACTTCTCGTGTCGGAAGCCTGCCCCCTTTGCAGGGACTGAGTTGGTCTACTATCGCGTTGACTTCGATATTCGGCCAATTACAGCACTCTCTTCACAATGGCAGTCGCTGATCTCTTCCGACCCCTAACACTCCCCCGCGGTCCGGGCCTTAAAAATCGGATACTTCTCGCGCCCCTCACAAACTGGCAGAGCAATGAGACAGATGGTAGTGTCTCTGAAGCGGATGTACGTTGGCTCTCCCGCTGCGCCGCCGGCAACTTCTCCATGATTATGACCTGTGCTGCCAACGTGCATCCGGACGGAAAGGCCTTTCCGGGCCAAATGGGTATTTGGAGCGACACACACCTACCGGGCCTGCGTCGCGTGGCCGATATCATCCGCAAGCATGGCGGGGTCTCCTCTGTACAAATACATCATGGGGGGGCACGCGTTTCCCCAGCACTCATCAGCGGCCGGACGCCCGTAGGACCATCCGCTGTGTCTCCAGGTGTACAAGGCCTCTCGCTTGCCGAGGTGGAACAGGCGCGGGACGCCTTCATCGCCGCCGCGGTGCGGGCCCAGCGCGCCGGCTTCGATGGGGTAGAGGTGCATGCGGCGTTCGGATGGCTAATCATGCAGTTCCTCTCGCCCATCTTTAACCAGCGCACCGATAAGTACGGCGGTGGCCTTGAGAACCGAGCCCGGTTCCTCTTCGAGATCATCGATGGCATCCGCGGCACGTGTCGGCCGGACTTCCAGATCGGCCTTCGTATCTCCATGGAGCGGTATGGGGTGCCGCTGATGGAGATGCGCGAGGTAGCGGCGCGCGTCCTCCGCGAGGCACACATTGACTATCTCGATCTCGCGGTCTGGGACTACCGAAAAATGGCCACGGAGGCTCCCTTTGTGGGTCAGACGATGCTCAGTGTCTTCACAACCCTCCCGCGACCAGACAACGTGCGGGTCGGCACGTCTGGCCATGTCTTGACAGCGCAGCAGGCGGTTGAGGTCCTTGATTCTGGGTGTGATTTCGTTATGATTGGCAAGGCCGCTATTCTCGACCCCGATTTGCCGAAAAAGATCGAGACAAACGAGGAGTATCAGGCCCCCAAGCTTCCGGTAACGGCAGAGTATCTCAAAAGCTCTGGTTTGAGTGAGCGGTTTATTGACTACATGAGGACATGGGAGGGATTCGTGCTGGAGTCTTAGAAAGGCTTTAATTTGATCAGGGGCTGTGCTCATAATCATACCCCCTTGTATTGATTACCCTTTGTCTACCATTCTGTTCCTAGTCTACTAGATCCTTTTATTCTAGACGAAATGGGGTCTTTATGTACCAATTATGTTCGATTGTCCAAGGCTCTGATAAACATGTTTCTCCAATGTTACCTATCATGTAGAAGAAACAAAGCTACCTTACACATACGTTCCCTTGACCTCAGCCTCGGCACGGACCTGCCTCTTCTCCCGGTTGTCAACCCCCAACCACAGCAGGTCGGGGCGACTATAATGGCCGTGGACGTCCAACATGGCCTTGACCTTTTTAATCTCGTTCAAGTCCAGGTCCGCAATGACGAGACCTTCTTCCTCCTCGCCCAGGTCCTGCGTCAACTTCCGGCCGTCAGGACCGATAATGCAAGCACAACCACCACCTCCAATGTGGTATAGCTTGCCATCGCCCAGGTTCATTCTTTCAATACCAGTTTTGGTGTAGAAAGAAGAGGCTAGAACTACAAAGCAGTTTCCTTCAATAGCGTGGGTGGTGGACAAGTTGTGGGCACCTATTTTCCTCTTTCTAGTTAATCCACTGCTACTTAAACAACAACAAGGGAAGGTAGCAAGCAAAGTATACGCACACACTGACCTTCACGACATTGCGACCACAAGGCACTACCATCTGGGAACGAGCTGTAGTGATTCATCGGGGGCCAGGCCGCCACGTGGATCTGCTCTCCCTGAGAGTATGTGTGGTAGCGGAGCAAAGGCTGCGAGTGCTCCCAGCAGGACAGGGCACCTACGCGGCCCACGTCAGGCTCGTCGACGACGTTCATCAAGGAGCTGCCGCTGCCCTCTCCATAGATCGTACGTTCTACGTGAGTGGGTTTGACCTTGCGGCGATGCATCTTGATCGCCCCATCCTTGCCAATAAACGACTGCGACAGGTACAGAGAGTCGTTGTCGTTTTCGGAGTAGCCCAAACAGACGGCAATGTTGTGGGATGCGGCACAATCCTGGATTGTACGCATCTCAGGTGAGTCACGCCGGAGGCTATGCCTCATGTACTCGGAGACCATTTCGAAGTCAATGGGTCGTTGCCTGTGTTGATCATGGGGAAAAGTGGAAGGGTCAGTCTCAGGGTCAACAAGCCGCTCGGAGGGTGGGCAGGAGGATGCAGTGAGCTCCACATATGCTGGCAGATGTAGAGTATTCCTGCTTTCTTACCAAATCCACCCGGGGTACTGAGGAATCCAGACCTCCGGGAAAGCGATCAAGTCGCAGCCTTTCTGGGCAGCTTCGACAATCAGGTCACGGGTCTTCAGCACGGCGGCAGGCAGATCGAAGTAGCAGCCTTCCGCTTGCACGGCGGCGACACGCACAGTGTGAGGTCCGGGCGTGGCCACGGGGAAGTGGGTTTGCTCGGCGGATGTCATTGTCGCTACTAAGCTTGCGTTGGACTTGTGACCTGCGTGCTTGGTTGCTCAGTTGAAGGCATCCTGGCAGAGATAAGTCCAATGGGTACATATAAGGAGTCTCTAGAGCTTGCGGTTGAAACGCTGTCTAGGGTAGGGTTACCAGGGCTTGGCGCTCCGAAGTTGGAGTCTCCAACGGCCACTTTGGAAATGTGGTGGAGACCCGGCACGTCTTCGAAACCGGCAAGCCCAGGCCCAACCGAATAGGCCTTACTCCATGAATCATTCGGGGCTGTTTATCTGCACTCGGCTTTAGGGTTGGGGGTCTGGTGCTAGCTGCGCCTTTGAGATATGGGAGTGATGTGAATGAATGATAACGCTATTTGCGTGTGTATTGACTACGGATTCTAAGATTGTCTCAGTAAAGGTCCAGCACATCCTTACCGAAGATCACTATCCTCAACTATCATTTGATCCCTCGCGCGGGACTGGGTCTGTCTCCCAATCAACTGCACGAGTAAATCTTACCGGTTGTTGACGGGTCCGATTTACCTGGAGATTAAAGACGTCCATCCGCTGGTAGCCACCGGCGGTATCGTGGTATTGTTTCCCCTCGATACAGTCGGCCAAATTAACATCGGCGTACAGTATCCCTTCCCGAGCTTGTAGGAAATCGACAGAATGCTGAGCTGACGTAGCCTCATCTATCCGAAACCCCCGTATCGGCGCCCCGGTTGGGTCGAGAAACATAGTCGCCGCTCCTTGGGATTGCTCCAGGGACTGTTTTAGGCCAGACGAACCAGAGGAAACGATATCAATCGCATCGGGTCCCAATAGCCCGGCGCAGAGAATCCCAAAGCATTTCGCTTCGAAGCAATGGGCGGCCGCGCGGATTCTGTTCGCGGCGACATTGTCATAGTTTGCCTTCCCTGTCGCATCGGGCTGTGGATTGTGCTTTTCCATCGCAGATTGCGATGGCAACCGGGTCGGCCATATGGCTGGCCAGGTCGAGATATGGATCTGCTCGCCCTGGGCGATGAGAGCATATCGAGCCAGAGGGTTAGTATTCTCCCCACAGATAAGACCTCCAATCTTGCCAAATTCCGTATCCGCCACCCGCAATCCGTAGCCATCCCCAGGCGACCAAGTCAGCTTCTCAAAGAACGTCGGCACGAGTTTCCGGTGATGCACAAGAACGTCGCCCCGACTGCCAATGATCACATTCGAATTAAATAAGGTCGCACTGCTCGTGCGGACCTTTTCGGAGAAGCCAAGACTGACGGTGATGTTGCACTTCCTTGCGGTCGCGCGAACCGCCTGCATCTCCTCCCCATCTGCGTGGATGGATTCCCGGACCATCCGCTGGAAGAGGTCATGGTTCTCGGTCGGCGGGCGCAAGGCGCTCCAGATGGGGAATGCAGATATGAAAGATTCTGGAAACGCGACGAGGTTTGCCTTGTTTCTAGCGGCCTGTTCGATCAAGCGGATTGCTTTGTGTGTTGTTTCTTGAGCGGAGAGAAAGATGGGGGCGACGTGGGCGGCAGCAAGTCGAACCTGAGTGGCCATTGCAACTGATCAGTGAGGAGAGAAGCGTCTTACGAGGAGACAGCCGGCGCTAACATATATACACCAAGGACCATCATGCTTCTCCAAGCCTACCCCAAGCCAAGTAAACTTACAAGAGCAGTGTCAGAGGATCTCATGTCTACTCTAGTCAGTTGAGGGCAGGGATGCACATATCTTACACGACATTACATGAGATTATATCGCCGAAGAGAAGAACAGACCATAGTCATGACTCTCATGAACATGAACAATCTTCATTCCATGTCCAACGAGGGCTCGCGGGTGTCAGTGACGAGCATTCAACATGTCCTCGGCTCGGACTATCTCATCTTCCAAAGCTCCAATCGGGTCTTCTGGTCCTTTCCGCTCCCGTTCCGCTCTCTTTCCGCATCTGACCAAAGATGTTAACATCCCAGCCACAAGGTAAGAAAGAGGCTGTTAACTTATAACTAGTCTTGTCACCAACTCCAGTTTCTCCACTATTGAAAATGGGTCCCTCAGTGTACACTGGATGTAGCTTTGTGGACTACTAATAACAGGGCATCCCTTGGTGAACAACTGTTGCATCGCAAGTGATTATCCCACTCTTCTACTGCGCCAGCTATGGATTGTCCTGCCAGAAGATTCCCTCTGCATCGACCAGCTAATCATGTTCCCCCTATTCCGCGATGGTATACACACTTTGCAAACGGCCTAGACAGAGTTTTCACTGCTTACATTGGGATTCAGCGACATAATGGACTCGATACTGGGCAAACTCAGTGTCTCGCAGCGATCGAGCGCTGGCTTGCTGGAAACCAGAACAGCGCGCCTGCTGCGGTGGAGCGATTTCGGGTCATCGACGGGACTGACGCTCCAGAGTCACTCATTTTCGTCTGCTACTGGGACAATGAATCAAAGTACGAGGAGGGTATTAGAGAATTGAATCTCACCCAGCTATACCAAGAGCTCGATAAATCGGTTCAACCGACGGTGGGTCTCTGGTGTGAGAGGTTTGTCAGCCACGTTTCTCGTTTGGAGACAAACTATTCGGGAATAGACTATCTGCCTGGCTTGGCTCGACTACCCTGCACACAGACTGTAGAGCACTCATACTCAGCATACTGGGGCGCTGCTCGGGATCGCATCCCTGATTCAGCATATGACCTCTTTGCGCGGGATGAAAGCCCCACAGCAGCGGCTGTTGTTCATACTACGCCGGCCTCTTTAGGCAAGCACCTCACGGGAACCAACTTCCAGAACATGGTGCATATCCGGACTGGCCAGTTCTGGAACAACTGCGACGAGGATGAGAGACGTTCCTACGAAGACAAACTGGAACCGACACTCCGGGAAGGCCTACTATACTTATGGCAAAACCCCGCCGAGACGGGCTCAATGGGACTGAGGTACCTATCTAACGTCCCCACCTCTTCGCCTCAATGGTCAGGACAGTCAAACGAATCCTGTGTGACTGGATTCTTCAGAAGCCTTGCTGATCTGGAAACCTGGGCCAAGAAGCACCCATCGCATCTGGCTATATATACTGGTGCTATTCGACATGCAAAGGCTTTTGGGGAGAGACGGAAGTTTCGGACGTGGCACGAGGTTTCAGTGCTGAAGCACGGTGACGCGCACTTTGAATATCTCAACTGTCTGCCACGCACTGGCATGATGAATTGTATATCGCTCGCCGATGTTAGCAATTAACGTCTGAGTATTAATTCACACAGAACCCGGTTTCTCATCGAAGGAACACTACAGTGGGCCGGAGATAGACCAGTAATGTTCTTCTATACATACTTTCAAGATACTTTCACATCCTATCGTGCTTCAGTATGCCTCAAAGCCTCTGTGGGACTCTATGCGCTTTTATGTCAATGGGAAAGGTGGGTCGAGCAGGGTGGAATTGTCTCCATACGGGCTGTAGAGGCAACGTATAACATGGTGCCGGGTAGATGCCTTTGAAACGTTATTATAATCGACGGCTCTAGGGAATTCTCCCAATTCCTTATGAAGAGACTGATAACTCAAGATAAATCAACTGTGACATTAGACAGCTTCTGCTCAAAAATGCATTAGTGACATTCGTGGATATTGGTCCAGCATCATGCGACCCTTGCAGACAATGATTGACAAAGATCTTTCGTTGCCAACCTACAACACAACCTTAGCTTCCGGCACATCAGTTATGTGACCCATACGCAATGGCAGCACGTTTTCCGGCATTCAGAAAGCTTGTTCCATTGGGCATCGGAAATGTACAAACACTCATGGACATATCCGATAACGATATGTAGATCCAATCGGAGGTCGAATATTGACCTCCAGCTTGACTTCACGTCCATCGCTTACAGTTGGACTCCCCCGCAAGATGCTTGGCATTCCCTTCTTGACGGCAGTTGCGTTTTCGGGGTGGAATACTGTGGGACTGACTTACCCCGGATTCTCTTGATGCGGAGATGTGGAGACATGAAAGTCTACGTATCAGCTCAAGTCCACCAGATCTTCAGGTATAAAAGCGGACATCTCCTTGGGTCGACATACCCAGCCTTTGTTAGCATTGCCCATCCAGCACTGGCCTTTCTAAAGCAACTTCAGCCACAATGGCAGACTCGTCGCCTCATTCCAGCACCGAGAAGAACAACTCGGATCATGTCGAGTACCTCGGAGACCCTGAGAAATCTACTTCGGCTACCCCACAGTATGACCGATTTGGCTCTTTCGCTAAGGTCGACCCCAAGGAGATTGCCCTGGTGAGGAAGATTGATCTGTACATGATGGTTCGATCCACCCCAAACTCTTTGGATACTGAACTCTGTTGACAATTACTAGCCGACCCTTTGGCTGATGTACTTCCTGAACTTCCTTGACCGCAATGCTATGGTGAATGGCAAGCTCAATAGCCTCTCTGAAGACTTAAACTTGAAGGGGACGGAGTATAATACATGTATCAGCATTCTCTTTGTTGGGTATGATCCCAGCGACGCTCCGTCTATCTTACATTTACTGACAATGGTGACCTAGGTACCTTCTTGGTCAAGTCCCTTCCAACATGCTGCTCAATCGAGTCAGGCCTTCCTGGTTTATGGCCGGGTTCATGATGGCCTGGGCAATTGTCTCTACTCTCACATGCCTGGCCAAAGACTACCACAGCATGCTGGTCTGTAGAATACTGCTCGGGTTTGTCGAAGCGCCATTCTACCCTGGAGCCCTGTTCATGATATCTTTGTTCTACACTCGCAAGGAGGCGACCACCCGCATGGCTATTCTCTATACAGGCAACATGCTCGCCAGCGCCTTTTCCGGTCTAATTGCCGCGGGTATCTTTGCAGGCCTTGATCAAAAACACGGCCTTGCAGGGTGGCAATGGCTGTTTCTCATCCAAGGAGTGGTAACTGTTGCCGTCGCTATTGTCGCCTTCTTCCTGCTCCCCAACGCGCCCCGCTCAACGGCATGGCTCACCCCTGAAGAGCGACAGCTTGCCGATGAACGGATTAAGCGAGACACTACGCAGAGAGAAGAAGGCACTAGCACGTGGGTTGGCCTCCGCGAAGCCTGTATGGATTACCGCACATGGGTCTTTGCCTTGATGTGCAATCTACACCTGTCGGCGAACGGATTCAAGAACTTCATGCCGACCGTGGTGAAGACTCTTGGATTCAATTCCACGGTAACACTAGTCCTCACATGCCCACCGTATCTCGTGGCGACGTTTACGTCCGTCGCCGTGTCATGGTCATCGGGACACTTCAACGAACGTACTTGGCATGTTACCGTCTCGAAGGCCCTCGCGATTGTTGGTTTTGCAGTTGCCTGTGGGACCTTGAATATTGGTGCGCGGTATTTCGCCATGATTCTATTTGTCGGTGCCACCTATGGGGTGAACAATATCAACATCGCGTGGACGGCTGCGACACTGGGTCAAACCGATGAGAAGAAGGCTGTGGCAATTGCCATTACCAACACATTGGGCAACCTCGCCAGTGTCTACACGCCCTACCTTTGGCCTGACAGCGACGCTCCACGGTTCGCACTCGCAATGTATTGCAGTATCGGATTTTCGGTCGGAGTGGTCATTCTAGCTTGGGTCATGCGAATCATCTTGACGCGAGAGAACCGAAAGCTCCGGGAATTGGACTCGGGTGTGATCAACCTCTATGCCTATTGAAGTGAAATCAGAGTTAGTCAACATGCTGCGCGTTTAATGCCATATGATTGAGGAAGACACACCTTGTATGTAAGATTGAGTACCGATGCACTTGCAACTTCGCGAGCGTTTGTAGAGAGGGAATGCTCCTTGCTTCTCCGTCATTACTCCTTTTGCCCTACTTACACTGCCATTAATTTGTACAAGCTATTTCCGCTAGAGTACTACAAGTCGCGACAACTGGTTGGACTTGAATACCCATTGCGGGTTAGGGTCGGAAAACCCTAACCCCTCTTGTTTTCCGGGTTGCTTTTCCGGTGACCCGGAAATCAAAGTCGGAGTGGGTAGAAGTTGGTAATCGTCGCCCATAACAGTGCCCCAATTGCATTTACACCGGCAGACAAGCATATCTTGACGTTGAGCCTCTACCTTGAACCGGTGCTGCTCAGCACATGTGGCCGAGGTTAATTCTGGCTACCTGTTGTCCTTTTGGGGCTCTTGCTCGGATAAAGCATCCAGGCTACCTGTAAACGCTATGCACTTAATTTAAAGAAGACAAGTGGCGGCACATGGCCGAAGCGCTACAGTTTCACTTCCAAAACTTTAATAGAGCTATAGCTGCTATGGATGACTTGTGCGAATCACTCGGCAAGGACTCGAAAGATGTTACATTGTCCACTGGGTAGCCATCGGTGATGTGGTTCACGCGGATTTGGGTATGGCGGGTTGTATGCGAAGGTACTAAACTATTGTAGGCATTTGGCATAATAGCAGTAACGGTCACCTTTCTGGGGATGAATCTGCTTCTCCAGGGTGAGGCATCCCAGCCTACAGGTCTGACTCGGGGTCTGGGGCCAGGCGGGGATAGTTCGCCTAGTAGGACCCGGCATAGTCTCTCGAGTTAATCTACTGGCGATCATTGGACGTCCCAATCCTCCAAGACTTTTGGTTCCCACTGATGTAGGGCTTGCCATGAGTATGCGGGGTTGAATATCCGGAAAATCATCTTGCCTTTCCGTCTAGACTGAATCTCTGTTCCTTTTCCATTGCAGATACGTTACCCCAAACATTCGGATATAGCACTTCCTTCTTCCTTTCGATGGAGGTGACTAGTACTCGTCCGAGGAAACGCCGATGCGTCAAAGAGCGCGTCCGTGTGACGAGGGCGTGCGACGCTTGCAAAAGGCACGTTGAGAATGCCATATGTTATCCGAGTTTAATAACGCTAATACTGACATAGAAAGAAGCTCCGCTGCTCGGGTACTCTTCCGTGCTCTCTGTGTCAGCGCTCTAGTCAGAGCTGTGAATATACCACAAGCTATACAAGGGGGAAGGTGCCACCTATCCCAACGCTCCATCACCCTGCGGGCAATAGCAATGTTGCCGAGCTTTATACACAAAGTAAACCCGCCCCTGATGCAGACCGAATGCCTGCATCTCCGGACACAGAGGTGATAGAAGGTCCTTCGTCGTCTCGTGTCGATGGAGACGCCAGCAACCTGCCGTCGCGGGACTCCCCGGAGCCGCATCAAACTGACATGGAAGGTCATTATGTCGGACCGTCCTCAGGCGTCTCATTTTTGCTCCGGATTCAGAAAAGGCTCCATGAGAGCATCGCATTTCCATTGAATACGCCCATCTTCAGTTTTGGCGATGCTCCTCTTCCCGAATCAGACCCATCCTTCCTACTGCTGCCCAGCAAGAACGAGGCTAAAGAGTTAGTCAATAGATATTTTGACTTTGCGTTTCCCACCCATCGGTTCCTCTACCAACCGCAAGTGGAATGCTGGCTTGACGAACTTTACAAGCGTCTCCTGGAGCCCCACTCTCTTGGGCCTGGAGAACGGACGATCAGAGCATTGCTCCTCATGGTTTTCGCACAAGCATCACAGTATAAGCCAGAGTCCGGTAATAACTTGGAAGACTCACGTATGAGGTCAGTTGCCATTCTTCCACTACCTTTGTTCCACTCGGATCTCTCATCATGTAACAGCGCAGTCTACTTTGGCGCAGCAGAACACCACCTAGCAGCCGAGACTGGTCCCATTCGAGTAACCAGTGTGCAGACACGTCTGGCTCAATGCTTCTATCTTCTGTCGCAGTCCCGGATTAACCACTGCTGGAGCCTCTTCGGCACGACGGCTCGTCTTGCCATCGCCATCGGTCTACATCGAAAACGTCGCCGGGAGCACCCGAATACAGTCAACCTTATCGAACAGGAGTGTTCCAAGAGAGTCTTTTGGTGTGCGTATAGCTTAGACAATTATCTAAGTGCTGCTTTGGGTCGTCCTCGCATCTTCCATGATGACGAGATTGACCAAGAATTCCCTGAGATTGCCGAAGATAGACAGATCACGCTGACCTCCATCCTTCCGCCAACCTCGAGTTCTCAGAGCATCATGTTGGCCCCTGTCTACCATGCAAAGCTATCCCGGATTATCAGCGGTGTTTTACATGATTTATACGGTATTCAGCGGTCCACCCTGGCGGTACAAGCCTCCGCTGCAGCGAGATACGCAGCTGAAATGGCACAATGGCGAAAAGAGCTGTCTGAATTCGTCGACCTTCCCAATGTAAACTTATTGAAGATCACCTATCAGCGACAATACACCGTCTTGAATCTTGCTTTCTATCATGCCCAGATCTTGCTGTATCGCCCGTTTCTCTTAAAGGGCTTCACCCTCCTCAGTAAAGGACCTAGCAGGCGAAACGACAAGCTGCAGGGAGCGATCGACCAGAATATTAAGTCTTGCTTGGAAGCGGCCATGAAGGTTGTTGCCATTGTCCATGATCTGTCCACGAATGGAAAGATGTACCGAGCTTTTTGGGTAAGAACCCCGGACGTTCAGGATCAACTCCAGGTCTGACTGAGGCTAAAGTTTACCCATTATTATGCGTTCTCCGCCATTGTTATCCTCTACGTCCACTACATCCGTAGTCGATCTCGCCAAAGCACAACCGATGCAGACCTTGCGTACTACATGGCTGGCAAACAGGGCCAAGACGACCTAGCATCATGCGGGTCACAAACGTCCTTCTCCCAGCGTTATGTGATGGTTTTGGAAGAGCTTCGCAAGGAGGCGCACAAGACCATCATCCAGGGAAATCAGGAGTCAGTCGATCCGCCACCCACGAATAGGCCAGATTCGGGCGCAACTGAGCGTGGAACATCGAGACCCGAGGAGCTCGGTCAGTTAAGAAATATCACTGACTCTCAAGAGATTGGAGGATACCCAGCCGTAAGTGGCAGGCTCGACGATATTGCCGGCTCCGTGCAAGTATCATATCATGGGGTGCAGCCTGCGAGCTCATTTCAATTCCCGTCAGGACCACAAGAATCCGACGTGGGGTCTCTCCAAGGCATCAGCCCAGAGTCTTATGTCGCGGATCTGGCTAGCTGGGGTGAATTTGACTCTCTCGCGGCGACTGGGCTAGGGGACTTTGGGAACCTCTTTCCGTTTGATGTGCCTCCAGGGCTCGACGGGTAAGAAGTCTGCTTGCGCGAGTGGTGTTCCTTGGTAGAGAATCTAGAGATACCATGGCGAATCTGCATTATACGCCTTTGCTCCAAAAGTAAACTTCTCTCGTTAGGCAGAAACCGTTCACGTCCGCTAATCAGGTGACCGTATTAACTATACTCAATCCATTATAAATCCTTCCTTGGCCCCCCACGATTTTTCTTGCCGGTGCCGGAATCCACCCTTTTCGTCTTCTCCTTCCATTTAAACCGTGGCCACAATTCCAACCCAAGATGTCCACCGGTCAGGTATCGGCCCTCTTAGCGCCCGTCGTCGCCCTCAATATCTGGACTTTCGTCATGGAGGGCTGGATGTACAAAACACGGATCCCAGTATATTCCAAGCTCAATCTCAGGAACACCATTACCAGGCGCGAACTCGATGCGGTGACGCCGGCGAATGTTCGATGGAAGGCAGACAATTACAACCACCTGATGGAGCAGCCAACTCAATTTTACGCGATAGCCCTCGTGCTGGCACTAGCTGGCAAGGATGACAAGATCGATATCATTCTGACATGGTCCTATGTGGCCATCCGCGTTGTGCACAGCCTAGTGCAGTCTACAAGCAACCACATCATGACCCGGTTTAGCCTATTCGTAACTTCTTCGGTAATCTTGGCGGTGATGACCGGACGGGCTGCGTTGCTGGTCTTCTGAGCATAGAGGTATGAGGCATGTACAGGATTGGTGACTGCTAGCTGGCAGTCAAACGGGAAGTAGTGAGCATGTGTGGGGACATGTACGATGTGGTATTGTGATGTTGAATCTTTTGTGAGGCGCATAATCTCAACTCTTCTTCCATATAGCGAGTATTGCCTCAAGATTGGTGCCGCAAGTTAAGTCCGATAAGATGGACAAATAGGGTTAGTGTGAAATTCCGTATACGAGCATTTGTAAACGTGCCCACCCAAACCAGTCCACAATTAGTCTTCATTCGCTGACAACCATGCATCCCCTCTGTGCTCGCTGTACGGCCATTCCGCTCCATGACCTTCTCCAACAAGGCCATCCCCTCTGGAAGGAAGCAAACGAGCCACAGTCGTCGTGGGAGATCCCATGGTATTCATCGCTAAGTGAACTGACTGCACCGTCGCGGTCAGACTGCGCGTTTTGCAAGCTAGTCCACCAAGGCTTGGAGACGTCTTTCGAATATGAAGCGGCACAGCAGGAAGCACGCGGAGACGTCCCTCCCGCAAGTTCTGCGGAAACAGACGCGAAGGATCCCTTGCGCAAGATGGAGGGATACCTGGACTTCCCCATGACTATGTCGCTGCGACTCCGCTCATCTTTATCGAGCGAAGACGGTGCAGAAGCCAGGGACATATCACAGCGTAGTGGAATGGCCAATGCCATTCTTACCGTCAGAATCTCGTCGGGCGTCTCATGGGGTCTGACACTACAAGCGGAGTTTCGTGTGACGACTGATCATGGTATGGAAAAATAGCGAGTACTCTTCTTCCGAAATCCGACTCGATCTTAATACTTCTTAGATGACCCTTTGGCGGAAATGATCTTAGGCCGGACTGTCGCGCAATCAGCTGACAGTGAACAGACATTTTCGGTCATCAAGGCTTGGATGGACTCATGCATCAATGACCACCATATGCAATGTGCGGAGACATCGCAACCCCCACTACTCCCAACGCGGGTAATCGATGTCCACCCAGTAGGGCTTGATCCAGGATTAGTATGCCTTCGAGATGACCAGAATAAAGTGGATCGCGCTGCTCGTTACGTTGCCTTGAGTCACTGCTGGGGAAAATGCATTCCATTCGCGACCACCATTGAGAATCTAGAGGATCGCAAGCGAGAGGTCCGTATCAAGGACACGTCTCAAGTCTTCCAGGAGGCGGTTCTCATTACACGTCGGCTTGGGATCCGGTATCTCTGGATCGATACACTTTGTATTGTCCAGAACGATCGGCATGACTGGGAGGTCGAAGCTGGGAGAATGGCAAAAGTCTACATGGATGCCTTCGTGGTGATCGGAGCCTCAAATTCGAATGCAGATGATCAAGGATTTCTTGGCCCTCGAGATCATCCGGGTTCAATTAACTGGGTGGGCACTCTCCAGAACGGACGCACCAGCTCTTTGGCTCTATCCCTACTACCTCCAGCAGGAGAACGATGGACATCTGGCCGGGATCCGGTCTCGTCCGAGCCACTCCAGAGCAGAGCCTGGTGTTTACAAGAGCGGTATCTCGCCCAGCGCGTTCTACTTTACGGTGCAAGACAACTCTTCTGGGAGTGTCGGGCCCTCAGCCGGGCTGAAGATGGGGATCTAAGGCTAGGTAATCTCCATAATCTGGATCGTCTGAGAGGAACGGCATCGAGCACAAGGACCATATTTGGCCCACGCCCAGGCGGGGACTCGGAAGTCAATTATCGAGGATGGTACGAAATGATTGAGGAATATACCCAACGTTCAATCACCCACCAGTCGGACCGATTCCCTGCATTATCAGGTGTGGCAGACGCAATAGCGCAGACGTCCAAGGACGTATACCTTGCCGGGATCTGGAGGAAAGGACTGGTCGAAGGTTTGCTCTGGTGTGCAATGAACCGCGAGGAGCCACTTCAGAAGCCAACATCGTACCGTGCCCCATCATGGTCTTGGGCCTCTGTCGAGGGGCATGTGCAATTTATTGTATATCATTTCATCGAGCGATGTAGGTGGAAGCGTGGCATTGCAGACTACGAGCAACTAGCAACATTCGTGGATTGCGACGTGAAGAAAGACGGGCCTGATATCTATGGCACTATCAATAGTGGGTCGCTTCGTCTGCACGCGCCCCTTTTGCCAGTCAAGAGACTGTATCCTGCGAATGATACGTCTCCAGTCCCTGAGGTGCTATTACCGCCTCTACAAAATTCGACCGTTGATCAAGTGGTGGAAGTGGAAGTGGGGAACAAGTCTTTCTATCTTCATGCGGGTTTTGATCTGACGCCCGAGCCAGTATTGCCCCAGCAGCAGTTGTTTGTACTCTTCCTCGCCCGCCTTCCAGATGGTAACCATGGGTTTTCTCCGTTCATGGACCACCGATTCGGTTTGTTAGTTAGACGTACCGACAAGGACAGTGAGGTCTATGAGCGAGTGGGTATCATCGACTCCCCAATCCTGACAAAGGATACATCTGGAGGTATTTTGGTGGCCCTCGTTCGCCTTCTGGAGAATTTGTTGCGATTTCTAGAGAGCCTCTCGCCTTCCGCGGGCAGGTCGCCTGTTTTCAATCTGACACCACAGCTATTTGTCCCGAAAAGGGCCCTAACAGAGGAACCTGAGGAAGAGATGCCCCCCGATCCACTGCCCGAACTGAAACGGCACTCGGCCGCAGTTACTCTTGTATGATCTAAAATCTCGATAGGGGTCGAGAAATATCAGCTAAGCGTATCGCGCGAATTACATGTGTAATGAACTTTGCTTAGTGCGTGATTTAGCGTAAATTTCCTGGGCAGCTAGGCGCGGTTTCCAGCACAACTCAAACCCAATGAGTGGAATCGAGGATGCTTGGCTTCCATCTGAATGCCTGTGGCCTGGACTATGGGATAAATTGATGAGTAGGCACATCCTCCCTGAGATTATCACCCCATTCCCTTGTTAATTCTACATACGTCAGCCCCGTTGTAAAGTGTATATGAAAGCCGGCAACGATCTGTGTGGACATCGGATATAATGAAGTTTGTAGTCGCAACAAGTGAGCCTGCTATGTGTGTGCGGAATTTGCGTGTTGCATATAGACGGCCAATGCCCTACTGCGCAACCATCCGGAATGACCTTGGTAGCATCGCTGCCCCAATCGCTCGATGTGATCGAGGGTCTAGTCGCTATTCAACAGGAATAGCCCCAAACAAGGAAAGTGCCTATATTCAGGTTCTCTAGCAAGCCTCCCTCAAAGTATACCACAAATTGTTTCTGCCAGCTACGCCACTTCCCGCTTCGCATTCATAATGTCGTCAACATCTCTGAACCGAAAGCACGGTGGAGGTACTGCGCTTTTCCGATCCGACCAAGTTTCACTGCCGACGATGAACGCGCGATGGGGGCCATGGTCCCCTGGATCCCGATGGCGCGTCGGAATGGACTGGCAGTTATAGTAACTTCGCAAAAAGCCTTCTGGGGCCGAGGGATCGGCAGCGATAGTCCGCGACGAGTCGAGTCTTGCATTGTGCGTATCGGATGGATGATGCGGGACGTGTTAGTCAACAGGTTTCGATCGCCGTGATCTATTTGATGAGTAATGGCACTGCGGTCAGTTTTATCCAGCTAGCTCTTGGTCGTGTACACCAATGCGCACTGTTCTCGCCTAAGATACTAGTTGTTGTAGTCATGCGTGCTGTCAGGATCACATCTTCATGATGATTATCTCAATGTCGCAATGTCGCGTCTCACGATAAACAAATCCGGCGGCACCGGAGGAACTATGGTCCGCGACATACTACAGTACATCATGGTCGGAACTATTTTCCATGTAGCTTGTCCTCGCTAATAATTGTGTAGGGGGCCCTTGGTATTCATGTCATCTAATCAAATGCCATCCGAAATTCTCCGAGACGACCTGGGGGTTCCTATAATCGGTTGATGTTCAAATCAGAACGAGTCTTGACAGGTCTTCTCAATGTATTGTAGGAATATATATATTTTGGGAGATAGAAACGATAGCGATCAGCAAACTAATAAATACCTCCTGGAAACAGGTCTCAAAAATATGCAAGAGTAACTAAGCCAAATACTTCTATTCCCCTTGAATTTTGTGATTTTTTGATGATATTAATCTACATACTTCAGACAGTGTCAGGGCTTGTCGACGACGATATACTAGATACCAGGTGACACCCAGTAGCCCTAAGCCCTACATTAGATTGCCCAGATGGGAATGCCGCTAGCCCTCTTGGGCAAGGAGCTTTGGGAGGCCCCGTGATCCGGATAAACATCGTTGTCGCAGGGACTCGCAGCTGGAACTCAACTCCAATGAAGGCGCACAACCGTCCCGCGATGGGTCGTCTTTATTTATGCTACATGCGGGGTCAATCATTCCGAGACTGAACCCCCACGAATTATCCATGAATGATAGCCTGACATGCGGAGCTCGTCCCCACTCGACGGGATTTCGGGGCGAGGGCCGTCATGTTATCCACTAGGATGTCGATCTGCCGCCAGGGTATTTATTGATACGGCTTGTTCGTTGGATGTACTTGTAATGAACCAGTCGGGTACACTCCCAGAAACGTGCACCTACTCGCGGAAATGACGTTGGACATAGATTACGTGCTCTCCCAGATCACCCAGGAGGATAAGATCGCCCTTCTTGCAGGTTTTCTCACCCGCCCTGAGTATTAAGTCGAGAGTCAGTGCTAAAACTAAGCCAGGCACCGACTTCTGGCATACCCACCCCATTCCCGAATTTAACGTGCCTTCAATTCGCAGCACTGACGGCCCCAACGGTATAAGAGGCACGAAGTTCTTCGCCGGTGTGCCGGCTGCCTGTTTGCCCTGTGGTACCGCCTTGGCGTCGGCCTGGGATCAGGATCTGCTGCGCGATGCGGGGATTTTGATAGGAAAAGAATGTCTGGCAAAGGGAGCGCACTGTTGGCTTGGTCCGACAATTAATATGCCCCGGTCACCACTGGGCGGCCGGGGATTTGAATCTTTCGCAGAGGATCCGCATCTCGCCGGAGGAATGGCTGCCGCAATGATCACCGGCTGCGAGAGTACCGGGGTCATCTCCGCCGTAAAGCATTTTGTGGGTAATGACCAGGAACATGAGCGGAGGGCTGTGGATGTTCTGGTCACTCAGCGCGCGTTGAGAGAGATCTACCTGCGACCCTTTCAGATCGTAGCCCGTGACGCGTGTCCAGGGGCTTTGATGACTTCCTACAACAAGATCAATGGGAAGCACGTTGTAGAGAGTAAAGAGATGTTGGACATGGTCCGCCAGGAATGGAAGTGGAACCCGCTGATCATGAGTGACTGGTTGGGGACTTACACTACGATTGACTCGATGAACGCCGGTTTGGATTTGGAGATGCCGGGCCCGTCGCGCTACCGAGGTCGATATGTGGAATCAGCCCTGCAGGCAAGGTTGATCAAGGAGTCCACCATCGATAGTCGCGCACGAAGGGTCCTTGAGTTTGTTCAGCAAGCAAGCAGAGCATCAGTATCCGCTGTGGAAACTGGAAGAGACTACCCAGAAGACCGGGCGCTGAATCGAAAGTTGTGTGCCGATAGTATCGTGCTTTTGAAGAATAAAAACGATCTTTTGCCCTTGCCCAAAACCATCAAGAAGATTGCCCTGATCGGCTCACATGTGCGAACTCCAGCGATTTCGGGCGGTGGTAGTGCGTCGCTAGAACCGTACTACGCTGTTTCGTTGTACGATGCTGTGAGCGAAGCTCTTCCCCACACCGAGATTCTCCATGAGGTGGGCGCTTATGCACACAAAATGCTCCCTGTGATCGACCGGCTCCTTGAAAATGCCGTGATGCATTTCTACAACGAGCCTATAGGGACGGAGCGTATCTTACGTGCCACACAGCCCATGTCGAAGACGGCCTTTCAACTGATGGATTTCAGTGCTCCGGAGCTCAACAGAGGCCTATTCTATACGACACTAACCGGTGACTTTACACCAGATGTGTCAGGTGTGTGGGACTTTGGCCTCACAGTCTTTGGCACCGGCACCTTGTACGTCGATGACGAACTCGTCGTCGACAACACCACGCATCAAACCCGAGGAACAGCATTCTTCGGAAAAGGAACAGTGCAAGAACTGGGATCGAAGACTCTTAACGCGGGACAAACATACAAGATTCGCATCGAATATGGATCTGCGAATACCAGTCCCATGAAAGCGATCGGGGTGGTGCACTTCGGTGGGGGTGCAGCGCACCTCGGAGCATGCTTACATGTTGATCCCGCAGAGATGGTGCGCAGTGCTGTTAAGGCAGCCGCAGAGGCGGAGTACACCGTTCTCTGTACCGGCCTGAATCATGAGTGGGAATCCGAGGGCTTTGACCGGCCAGACATGGATCTCCCACCTGGAATTGACGCGTTGATCGCCTCGGTTCTGGAGGTTGCCGCACATAAAACTGTGATCGTTAATCAGTCCGGGACGCCGGTGACGATGCCCTGGGCTGATAGAGCGCGAGGGATCGTTCAGGCTTGGTATGGAGGCAATGAGACCGGTCATGGTATCGCGGATGTGATATTTGGGGACGTCAACCCATCCGGCAAACTGCCACTATCGTGGCCATTGGATGTGAAGCATAACCCAGCATATCTGAATTACGCCAGCGTGGGGGGCCGGATGCTGTACGGCGAGGATGTTTATGTTGGGTATCGGTACTACGAGAAGGTTGGCCGGGAGGTGCTATTTCCATTTGGGTATGTGCTTGTCCTTTGGTGTTGGATTACGGCTAATCATGCAGACACGGCCTTTCCTATACGACCTTCACTGTGCGTCCGGATGTGGTCTTCTCTCAGGAAGCTTTTAGACCCGAGCAACCGCCAACTGCTGCTGTACAAATTAAGAATACTGGCAAGGTAGCTGGAGCGCAAGTCCTCCAATTGTATATCTCCGCTCCCCAGTCCCCCACACCTCGCCCGGTCAAGGAGCTGCACGGATTTGCCAAAGTTTACCTGCACCCCGGGGAAGAAAGAGTGGTCCATATTCGTATGGATAAATACGCCACAAGCTTTTGGGATGAAATCGAAGGCATGTGGAAAAGCGAAGAGGGTGTGTATGAAGCCCTGATAGGTATATCAAGTCAAAATATCTTGGCTCAGGGGACATTCAGGGTGGACAGGACGAGATATTGGCTTGGATTATAACCAATGGTCCATCTCCCTAGCTTAGCCGCAAAGAAGATCTACACCGGATAAATGGAATCCATTTAGCCAGACTTTAGCTTAATTCTGTGGGGGCACCACCGGGCCTATCCTTTGACACAATCCGGGGTAAGCAGATGATCATATCTCGTATAAAGTAGCTACCCCGACTACTGATCACCCCTAGCCTATATTATGCTAGACCCTTGGGCCCCTCTTGGCAGTCGGTTAGGGAGATTGCTCCGGCTTAAATGTACCAACATCCTGGGCGATTGGTGGAATCTCGCTCAAGTTCCCGTGTGCTTTCCAATTAGGGGCCTCGGTTGCCGTCGACTTTATTCAACGGTTTCCCCCCTGCCCTGACCAACAGTAAAGGAGTGTATCTGAGGTCACCGGCCATGGTACTGTCCGTCTCGTATGCGGCAAGAGTCATTCTTGGCTGGCCTTGGCTAGTGTTTGTGTTGGTAAACTAGATATATAAAGATGATCAGCGTCTAGATTACTCGCGACATCCAAGGGTAAGTATTTCGGAAGCAGTCAACATGGTTGTAGTAGGAAAGCAACGAGACGAAGACGTGTCAGAGCCCGTCCTGGCCAACCTGCTGGCCGAGGATCGAACCGCTTGGTATAAGAAACCCAACCTGAGACGATTGTACTTGATCCTCTTCCCTGCGTGTATGGGCATTGAGATCACCTCGGGATTTGACTCACAGATTATCAACACAGTGCAGATCGTGTATACTTGGAATAAATGTGAGTGTATTTCCTGCATAGACAACTTACTTTGCTGACAAGATGTATAGACTTCGGGAGACTAACTGGTGATACCGTGGATGGTAAACCCGAGTACCAGGTCGAGCCGAACCTGAAGGGCTTTCTAGGAGCGGCATATTCTCTTGGAGCTATCCTTGCTTTGCCACTTGTCCCTTGGGTTAATCAACGCCTTGGAAGAAGATGGACGATCATGTTTGGGTCTTGTATCAGCCTGGTGGGTGCGATACTACAAGGGTTCGCTAATGGAGGTATCTATCCCTTACCCGCTGAATACACTGCTTGCTGATTTGAATAGTCGGCATGTATGTAGTAGCACGCATGTTACTTGGGTTTGGGATCCCATTTTGCATTGTGGCTGGGTCTTCCCTCATCGGAGAACTCGGCTATCCCAAGGAACGACCAATCCTCACGTCCTTGTTTAATTCATCCTACTTCATCGGCCAAATCGTCGCTGCTGCCGTCGGCCTGGGAACAGTGACTATTGCAAGCAACTGGGCATGGAGAATCCCTTCACTCTTGCAGATAGCTCCTGCTATGGTTCAAGTGGTCTTTGTTTTGTATGTGCATAACTGCGCCGAACAGCATACTGCCAACATAATGCTGACGAATATAGCTTCCTGCCGGAGAGTCCTCGATATTTGATCAGCAAAGACCGACACGAAGAGGCCTTCGATATACTAGTCAAGTACCATGCTGAGGGAGACCGTAGCTCCGTCATCGTGCGCGCGGAGATCGCCCAAATTGAACGGACTATCAAGCTGGAGCTCGAAGCGGCGAAGCAAACCTGGTGGGACATGTTCCGCACCGCGGGAATGCGGCGTCGGATGTTCATATCCGCGTTTTTGGGATTGTTTACCCAGTGGTCTGGAAACACATTGATTTCGTATGCCTGAGCCCCTGTGCTGTGTCAATCAGCGCTGACGATACGTAGGTACTATCTCAGTGACTTGCTGGCTTTGGTTGGCATCACCGACAGCGTGATCAAATCCAAAATCAACATCGGTATTGCCTGCTGGGGCTTGGTCAGTGGAACAACCCTAGCTCTCACGGCACCTCGGTTCAAACGGCGGACGATGTATTTAACCTGTGCAATATCGCTCCTGTGCGTATACATTGGCTGGACTATTTCTATGGAGCGCTTCATGACAACGAAGGTCAAGGCTGCGGCAATCTTGACCATCTTCTTCATCTTTGCCTATTCCCCAGCATATAACCTGGGCTACAATGCTTTGACTTACAGTATGTTCCTATCTTTATTCTGCTGACTATTTGCTAACGATGTAGCGTACCTGATTGAAATCTTCCCTTATCTCGGTCGCTCTCGTGGCCTCTCCTGGTTCCAGTTTTATGGCCGTGGAGCAACCTTCTTCGCCACATATGTCAATCCCGTCGGGCTGGATAGAATCAAGTGGCGATGGCTCCTTGTTTACTGTTGTTGGTTGGCATTCGAAGTGGTGTTCATCTACTTCTTCTTCCCAGAAACGTCTGGAAGGACATTGGAAGAGTTGTCGTTTAGTATGCTCCCCTCCCCCTCTCCCATTAGTAGTCTATCCTTGGGCTTACAAAAATTCATAGTGTTTGAGGGAAAGGAAAAGGCGAATGAGGTGGCTGCTGCGGTGCACAAGCAGATCGAGGGGGATGAGAAGAAGGCAGACCAGGCTTAGCTGGTTTCCTACGTTTGATAGCTTATGATACTGTCTCTGCAGTCTAGTGCGACCTGACGTGACGTTCCATATCTACAAGGCTTAATTGCTGCGTTAAACCCCCTGGAACATTTTCTTCTCCTTTCCTCCGCTGCCTGTTTCTCTCTTCATTGCTTCTGCCCGTAAACTTAGGCAAGGGGGGTGTGCTTTTTGAATGCAGATGTGCACGGGAATGCTAAGTCACGGATTCATCGGGAGCATTGCATTAAGATGACCGAAATCATACGTAAAACCGTGTCTTCTCCGTGCTAGTCTTCATTTCATCCTGTGGGACTCCAACAAGTAGCTCTCTATCGATGGCACCGGAACTATCGGAAATTACCGCTAATACGGGGCCCAAAACTGTCCAGATTCGGAATCGCGCTCTGAAGTGGCTTGGGGACCCATTAAAAATTCTGCTTTAGTGTATTTTATCAGTGGAAACATATAACCGTGCCCCGTTCCTCTGATTTCCAGGGGAACATGGTTCATGAGTGAAACATGATCTTAAATCTCTGGATCCTCCTGCTAGGCTTAGGGCTATTTTTGGCGGCGGATGCGCGACGGCCCCAACCGATCGGAATTGATCTGGGTCCTGAGTTACTGTCTGTAAGCCACTACGGTGGATTCCTAGTGTTAAAATGATACTGCTGGCTAATCAATCCCTAGTACAGCTGCGTACGCCCACACGTCCGATAATGTCTCGGTGATCGCGGCGATCACCCCGGGGCCAGATGACATCTATGTTCGCCATATGCTGCTCCTCCGGTTGGAGTACGCAGACCGGCATGATATTATGCGTCCATGGCGTAAATCCGCACAGTGGACGTTGAAAGGATATCTGTCCGATCTCAGCCAACAGTTGATGACTGAGCTGAGAGCGTTTGGTGACAAACCTGCGCTGCAGAATTCACAGATCTTGTCATTTGCTAGCACCGCATTTCGTACTGTACTCCAAGCGGTCTCGTACACTCGGAGGCTTGTAAGCCCTGGGTATCATGAGGAATTGCGATTAGTCGACGTCCAAGCAGGGTTTGCTGACATGCTACGACAGCTGAAGCAGAACGCTGCTGCGGATAATGATATCGATCTGGACTATGCTATCATCGCAGTGCCCGACTTTTTCAATCAGACCCTCCGAGAGATGGTGGTGGACGCAAGTAGGGAGGCGGGAATCCAGTCAGCTCTCACCCCTGTTTCTAGAGCGACTGCGGCGACCTTTGTCTCTACATCCACTATAGTAAAACCCCCTGGCCTCAACTACGCCGTCATAGACCATGGAATGTTTTATCTGGACGTTAGTGCCGGGCACGGGCGGGAGCACATCCATCAGTATTTCCCTGCTTTGCAGTTTGGCAGCACAATGATCGATAAGTATGCTACGGGCCGGCTCGTGGACCGCGTGGAGGAACTCAATATGGAGATCGCAATTGGAGCCTCTGAAACTGCGCTCTATGGTCCTGTGAGACAGGCCCGCACTTTGATCCGTGATGACCTGGATTCCCATCTCCTCGGGTCTAAAAGCGACCAGGATCGTCACTTCGATGAGTATCCTCTTGACCTGACGAACTGGGGTTCTGGACAATCTCAGGCTGTTCTGTCATGGGAAGACGTACACGCTGCCGAGAGACGTTTCATTGAGGTAGTCACTTCTAACCTCATCATTTACCTGGCTGCTTTGAGACGTAAGCGCTTACCCAATAAGACTACCCTTATAGTATGAAGCATAATAGCTAACAGAGGGCTAGTCCGCCGCTTACCTGATGCTCCGAGGGACCCTATCGTACCTGAAAATGTCGACCGAGTTGTGATTCTTACCACCGGCCCTGATGGCCATCTATTGGAGCAAGCAGTTCGCGAGGGCCTTGGAGACCACATTGAAATTATCGGAGGCGCACTGCGGGAATCCTTTTCACTGGCGGCGTCTGGAGCCGCCCGTGCTGCTCTAGTTGCTATGTCTCCTGGGATGTGTCGTAAGAGATCTGAACGTGGTGTATTTGATCATGAGCTTTAGAATGGTAACAAGGAAGTAACAACACCGTTCACCACGCTACTTTATGATCACCTTTAGGAAGACAACACATAGTATCGTATGGGTAGGGGGTGCTTCAGGTGCCTGGCATTGCAGTGCGGTGGAAGGGTTCAAGGTTGTATAGGCTATGGCAAACTTGACATTGATTAACACAAGCGTAGCGCGTTTCACCCACATAGCGGTGCTTGCTCTCCACGGTTAATAGAAAATATGTATGATTTCATGAATTATAAGAGTGGAGTGATAATATCGCGCAAAAAGATGTACTGTACAGAGTAATGGGCTCGTTCATTTGGAGCCCGTCTTCAACCTTGTCTTGCAATTACGATCTTTTTCCACAGCGACCGCGTGCAGATCCTGCTCATCTCATGTTGTTGCAATCTTTGAAATGTTCCTATCGCTCCCAACCTACTCTTCCTTGAGGCCTGTCCTCGTTTCCGTATGCTCCTCACTCAGGGGTTGATTCACAATGAACGCGCTCGCAAGAACAGCAACACCAGCCATGCAGGTATACATGATCCACATGTTTTGTAAACTGGAGGAGAACGCACTTGCGACGGCTCGAATCTTGGAGGGATCATTGAGGGTCTTGATTACCTCTGTGCTGGCAGCGGCGGAAGCACCCGTTAGCTCTTCTACGATCTCATCCATCAGGCCTGCTGATTTTAACCTGCTGCGTTCTCCTGCCATGCTGTTTTGAAAGACCACACCTCCAACGACAATAGAGATTGACATGGCGATAGTGCGAATGAAGCCCAACATGGCCGTGGCACTTGCTGTGTCATCTTGGGCGACCATTGCTTGCAAGGCGATCAGTGGAGGTGCGAATAAGATGGCCGATCCTGCTCCGCCAATGACCTGGAAGATGATTAATTCCACCAGAGGGGAGGTTGGATTGAGCCGAATAAAGAGACCGGTCCCGAGGGCGAGAAGGACAGTCCCTATCCAGATTTGCTCCGCGTATTTGCCTGTCCGATGAATTAACCAGCCAGAAAGTCCACTGAAGACCCCTTCGGCCAGAACCAGAGGAAGAACCATCAGCCCTGAGCGCATCGGGCTTGCTTGCTTGACCGACTGGAAGTACAGTGGCAGCCAATACTCGCAAGCAATAAATACCTAGCCTTGTCAGATTTGTTGTTTTATACCCAAGGTGTTGGTTCATTCATAACTCACCGCACCATGGAATAAGGTCACGAGCGAGACAGCCATGTTTGATCGATGTTTCAGGATCTTGAGTGGCATCAGAGGGTATTTGGCGACATACTTCTCTCCGCAAAAGAATATAATTGAGAAAAGTGATCCGAACACAATAAGACAAATCACCTGAGGCGAGTTCCAGGCAAAGGTTTCCCCCCCAAAATTCAGACCCAGAAGCACCATGAGGGTGAAGCCTATTATCGACAGACTTCCAAGCCAATCAATTGCTTTCAGCCCGTCTGTTACCTTGGTTTTTGGGTTGTGAACATCCAAGTAGAAGAAGAGCAAGATGAACGCCAGTCCGCAAATGGGAAGGTTTATCCAAAAGTTCCATCGCCAAGAGACGTATTCCGAAAATACACCACCGAGGATTGGTCCGAGGCCACCGGATATAGTCCACATGAACTCGAGGATGCCCATATACAGACTTCGGGACCTAACAGTCAGTTAGTGGAGTTGCAATGGTCAGAAGCGATGCCACGACAACAAGGGGTTGATGCTGACCGGACGCTGAACAAATCGGACACAACAATCATGACCAGTTGCAAGAGACCGCCACCTGCTATACCCTGTAAAGCTCGACCGGCAATTAACATTTTCATGTTCACTGCCGCAGCGCACACAATAGAGCTGAACAGGAACCATAGAACAGCAACAAGAAGGATAGGCTTGCGGCCCCAGATATCCGATAGCTTTGCCCAGATGGGAGCCGCGGCCGCGCTGGCCAGGAGGTATGCTCCTCCAACCCATGTATAGCCACTTGCAGAATGGAGCCGCGATGCAATCGTTGGAAGAGAGGTAGAAACAATCGTTTGGTCTAAGGCGGCGATGAAGAGGGACAACTACAAAACTGGAGTGTCAGTGACCCTTTCCGTACTGCCCGACAGTATGCCATGCAACGACTTACACAGAGAGCCACCATGATGGCAAACACCTGTACCTTTCCACGCTCAACTTCAGGCTCTTCTGGGCTTCCCACATCTCCTTGAGCAGCTATATTGTTCTCCGGGTTTTGTGCAGGACTTCCCGTCGTGAGTACATCGGCGGAGCGCTGCCTAGTCGCTGAGAGCTCAATTCCGCCGTCGGGCATCGTGTACGGTTCTGCAGCATTAGCGTTCTACTTGCAGGTTGTATCGCAGTTAAGCTGATCATACTCCGGGGTACGTAGATCCAAGCGGAAGAAATACTTAGGGCTGTCTCTTTCTCGGTGGTACGCGGATCAATACGAGGGACCCATCGGGATTACCAATGCGAGCTTGCCTCGGCGTATGACAGATTCCGACGGGCCTAGACCTTTGTGTGCATAATCAACCGACATAGCTGTCTTCTTGTTCTTTATTCCTTTACCGGGCTTTGCCCTTCTCGCCCTTTGTAGTTAGGATTATTGCCGTACTACTTGTAGGTCGAGACGTGCACGTCGCTCGTGCCAAAACAGTTCTAAGTGTCTCTAGGGTATTGCCGTCCGTGACTTTGGCTGCTTCAGCATCATATTTTCTTTTATCCTGGCGATTAACCTGACTCCATTTTGTCTGAAAGAGCATAGCACCCAAAGATGGGCACTGTGCCTTTGTTATCTCATACTCGGAGGTTCATGAAAGCCCCTCGCCCGACGGCTCGATATAATGGCATTGTGAATATATATCTTCAACTCCTGGGAAGGGGCATTGTGTTAGCAACATTGCCTAGAATGGTTATAGGATGTCACCGACTTGGCGTACGGTGGCAAGGTATCGATGGTATTAACAGCTTAAAGTCTGAGCTTCGCCATGCGTCTTCTTAGAACAACGCTCTACTTCGCCTATCTATGGCTACCATGTCTTTATTACCTCTTTCTTTATCCACTTCATTTGTCTCCAGTACTTGATCATCACCATCGGCTCCACAAGGGCGAAGCATGCAAGCGGGACAACGGGATTGGTATGTGGGCTCATCTCACGATGATAAGTGACGCGCAGGTGCTCACTTGCATAAGTATCTAAATCTTCTTCTGTGGATGGTATTGCCAGGATTGCTGGGATTGCTAAAGCTTGCATTTAGGCATGGGTCACTATGCCAGGAAGGCAGGAGCGAGGGTGCATATACTATCGGATGGTTCAATTCTGTATTCTTATCGACCCGATAATCATAGCAAGGTAGTGGACTCTAAGATACACAGTATCCAGAAATAACCTAATCCTTCATGGTGGACTGACATTCAGGTGGGGCCACAGAATAGGGCAGCAGGAAGAAATAGTTGGTAGAGATCCACATACGAGAAGTTGCGTATATCGTAGCATGGATCAAGGAAGGCCCGGATATGGCTCGTGCTCGCAGACAGTATAATGATATGCTGAAGGGCGTATTACTCGAATGTCACCGCAAAGATTCGACGGGCCGATACAAATCGGGGGATAAGGGCGACTAGGCGGCCGAAGGACAGGAACATTTGGGCTTAGAGATCTTTGCATTATCGTTTACCTGTGCTGTTTTTGTGAGATCAAGTACCTTGGCAACGCTTAACGTAATAGATTCGTTTTCAAATGCTTGGCTCACCCACTCGGATACCACATGGTTGCTTGGCAGTTGTATCTATTAGCGAACGGATATCTCGAACTCCCTAATCTATGCTCAGAGCTATGCCAGAGGATGATCCTTCGAGTAGGCTTTAAGGTTTACAAACTCCAACGGTTTTCTCTAGCGGCTAGAAAGGATCCTAATATGGTTCTGCAGCCCAATGTTCTCAAATGCCCCCTTTTGCAAGAGGTTCAGGAGAGCATATTTAGACGTGCAGGTATCCTTCATCATGTTAGATCTCCAACCCGGTCACTCATTACTGGCAGCCGCTTGAAGTCGCTCATTACTTGTAATCTTTTGAAGTCACTCATTTGACGCGTATTCCTTCATTTATTTTGCTCAATATTTGTTTAGATTTCCCCCATCTTGTCTCTCATTCCCAGCCTCCTTGCTTCTATCTTCACTGGCACAGCTACAATGGTGAGAACACAATGGTCACCTCTCAGAGCAGCTGCTCTGCAAATACTCTCCTTTAGCTTTGTGAACCAGGTACTTGCTCAATCCTGTGCTGCAAACTATCCCCCCTCGGTCCCCGTCGCAAGTGACACTGCAACACTTGGGCCGGTGCCGGCTCCAGACCTCGATACTTCTGACCCGGTTCATATAATCCCAGCTTCCAAGGCCTCTCTATACTATGGCTCTTTGGACCCTGAGCGCTCTGATAAAGCCGCCTCCGGCTCTGTTAATATGAACCTGGAACTTAACCATGACACCGTTGTATTGGAGTACATCGACGCTATCGACAGTGTCAAGTGCACTAATGCATCTGTGATCGTCACCTTCAAGAACGCGACTGGCTTCGAAACAGCCCTTCAATCTTGGTCATTGGAAGAGAACCTTATCCTGATCACAAATCACCTAGGCAACTGTGATACTGAGTTCGAGAGAGGGTTCTTCAAGGTCGATGCGATAGCTTCGAACCAGTCTAACTTGTCGATCAGCTGCAATGCCACTAAGCAGCCAATTACCAAAATTGCTGGTACGCACCCCATGGCTTTCGTATGCAATATGTGAGCATTGAGCCAAGACTAATACGTCCAGAAACCTGCGAGCTCGCTTTCTCGTCGGTGCCAGCGGGCAAACTCGGCAAGCGCCTCACACTTAATCCTTCCTTCAGCATTCCGTTCTCCAAGTCCCTGGCCAACAATACTGTTCTCTTGAGCGAGCCCCCTTACCTCACTGTTACCGCCGACGAAGCTGCCTTCTCCTCCGAAATCACCTTCTCTGGCTATCTGTACTATGACTTTTGGGCCTTCAAGTTGCGACAGCTCTACTTCGACATTGATGCCGGCTTTTCGGCGGATGTGGCTCTCAGCGCGCACCTCGCGGCCGCATATAACAAGTCCTTTACGTATAACCCCTCGGACCTCACTTATACGCTTGTGAACATCCCTGGTATCGTGCAGCTTGGTCCCGGTGTAGCCTTCGGCCTGGAGATGGATCTCAGCGCCTCAACCGCCGTGGATGTAGTCGCAGGCCTGTCTATTGCCATGCCGAACGGGAACGTGCATGTCGACCTTTTGAACAGCGTGAATACTGTGGCCACTGGATGGACGCCAACGTACCATCCACACGCAAACATCTCTGCACAAGCCAATGTCCAGGCGAATGCTAGCGCCACCGTGACGGTCGAGATGGCGCTGAGTTTCCTCGGAGGGCTTGTTGATCTTAGCAGTGGATTGACTGCTAAGCCGGGCATTGCCAACACGTTTTTGCTGGACGCCAATTTCGACACAGAGCATCCTAAAAATGCTACGGCAAGGGAAATCGCCAAGGGTGCACACAGCGGAAGCACTTCATGCGATGAGGGGGTCAGCTTGAAATCGGACTTTACTTTTAGCCTTGATGCTTTTGCGACGAGGTCATGGAGCACCACCCTGGTTAAGACGGGCATCCCACTATGGGATGTCTGCTATCAATTTTGAGACCCGGTAAGGCAATGCTTCTCCCGCTGTTTCCATACATATTTCCATACTTATTCTCGTCTAGCAGAGAATATGAAAGTAAATCCACGTGATCCAATATGCCCTGGAACTGTCTACCTCTTTGGAGGCCTTTTAGGATGACGAATGGTGTTGGAAGCACACTATAGTGCGTGTAATAGATAACGATGAAGATAATTATATAGTGCTAAACCAATTTAGTGGAGTAGCCCCTCCAATGCTCTATCACTCTATACACTCAAGATAAATCAACCTGCAAACGATTTGGCGGTCAGTAAGCATATCACATTGTCACTTCGGTAAAAGCAGCCACGTCTCTGTCCGTGCAACCATTCCTTACTACTACTGTGCCTTAGATCCAACTAAAGAGTAGTCTCCCCATGATGGACTACAATAAGCCTCTCGACCTTCTTCACATGGCGGGAGAGACTGATTGGGTGGAGAGGGTGAATATGGCTTGCGTGGATGGACGTCTCTGCAGTTGGGCTACTGGACTTCAACCCCAAAATTTCTCATGTCGGCTAGATTGTGGGTTCCTGAATGGCTCATACAATATAGGCCAAAAGCTTGTCTTTGATGACGGAACAACCTGGTTACTTCGCCTACCTCGTGCTGGCAGCGTTTCTCCAGATTATGCGGACGAAAAGGTAGCGATGGAGGTGGAAACTCTTCATCTTATTCGGGGGAAGACATCGTTACCCGTCCCAGAGATGTATGCCTGGGGTCTTGCAAGGGAGAATCAACTTGGGTTGGGCCCTTTCATGATGATGAACTTTTATCGACGGCATCTGCCTTGGTGATGTGTGTTTGGTGAAGGCAATTCGAGTCTGATCAAAGAGGACATTCCTGACACCGATATAGAATACGTGTACAGGTAGATGGCGAATTTCATGTTGCAGCTTTACAAGATAGACTTCGATCGGTTTGGCAGATTGCCAACCGTGAAAACAAGATCCCCTGCGCCCAGTCGTCCGCTCACATGGAAGGCACATGAGATATTAAGAATAGAAGGTGCGAATACTTTCGGTTCGTGGTACCTGTAACCCGATATAGGAACTTCTACTGACAACTATAGATAATCGAGCCGATGGTTTCTCTACGACCAGAGAATATTTTAAATACGTTAACAGTCAAGACTGGCAACAACTACGGGTTCAACCAAATTCGATTGCGGGCCCGCTGAGTGCAAAATCGAGATACACAGCCTTGAAGGTATTGGAGACTTTGATTCCTGAATTAACCAATACCACTTATGACCGCGGTCCGTTCAAGCTTATATGCGACGATTTTGGCCTTGGGAATGTCATCGCGCAAAGTAAGCATGACCTTACCATTACGGGGGTAGTCGACATGGAGGGGGTTTATGCAGGGCCAGCTCAATTATTTGGCTCTGCTCCCTGGTGGCTTCTCATGGATCGGCCTGTCAACGAGGAATGGGACTTTGAACAGGGTGATGCCCCGAAAGCCACTGATCGCTATTTCAAATATTTGGAGAATTTTGTACGTGTGCTATCAGAGGAGGAGGCTAAGATGACGGCAAATGGTCGGAAAGAACTCACCGAGCTGGTGAAATGGTCCACGGATTCTGGCGCCATGTGGCTCCATATGCTTTTGTCAAGCGGCTGTTTTTTGACGCACCCACCTTTCCTTGTATGCAATTGCGAAAGTTTAAGGGTGCTGGGTGGTAGGACGAGCGCATTAAGGAGCATAAGGATACAGAGAAAGTAGAGACATTCGTTGCAAGCAAGCTGAACGACTTGACAGCGTATGACAAGATCACGGATAAGGTGGAAGACTTCAAAGCCCTCATGGACAACAAGGAGATAACAACAGTGGAGCTTATTAATCTTGCTTCCTCTCTTCTCAAATCTGGTCAACCGATGTGCCCAGACTGAGAAATGAGAGATTCGAAGGGATAGTTAAGAGCGCTGAGGCTAGTGTAGGATCTCAATCTACGCAACATATCATCTTTACAATTTATCTGTACTGATTTGATACACTACTGTTTCAATGTGAAGCTTTAAGACGGCCATCAAACTTATCTACTGATAGAGAGCTTCCTTCCTCTACTAGAATTCCAAGGAGACTTCCCACTATTCCCGAGCATCATGTGGGGGTATGCCTGCGTAGCAGTAGGAATGCAGAGAGACACTTCTGTAATCAACATATATCCACGCGTTATGTATTGTTCTTGGTGCTTTTGGGGTTTAGATGAGGGCGAGTCTCCCTACAATTACACCAGCCAGATGAGCCATGTCACCAGTGAAGTTTATTTCTTCCTCATGGGGATCTGTCTTTATTTCGACTAGTCCAGTATTTCGTTCTGCTCCCCATCAGACCAAGCGGAGGGTTCACCACCACCACATCTATACTAGACCTCTTTAGGGCCTAGTAGATGCACTGGTCACTAAGCCTATTTAGATTCTACTAGGCCTAAAAGAGATGCTCAGAGGAACCTCTCCCAAAACCTGCCCTGATCTCGGCTCAGGCTACCAAGGGGAAGAAGTCAAAACAGCCCTCGGTATGTCACAACTGGGTCTTTATACCAAGTCCTTGTGTGATACTGAGTAACTAGACGCTCCTCCTACGGATTCCCCTGACTATCATCCAGGAACCGACGATGGTGATGACTCTTCCGGCCACCTCCGACGGACGCCGTGAGCCCACTTTAGGCGATGAGAATGAGGTCCCTAATGTCACCTTCTTGAATGAGACAAGATCGGCCGAGATGTGGGGTCTGATTGGTCATCTGGGCGAGGCTTGACCTTGCTTATCTGCCTCAAGCACTTTAGTTGGTAGAACGCAGCAGTAGATGGAGTCCCCACAACAACAATCCGTTCGTTTTCAATTTATTTTGATTAGTTTCTTTAATGAAGTCTCGCTTCGGCTCGGAAATCGGACCAGAAATCACGCAACAGCAAATCATTTCATGTAACTGCAGGTTGGAAGCGACCATTCATCGTCCAACTCACGATTCCCCCCCTGCACTAGTCTAATGGGGAAAAGCAGGGAATACACAAAAGAGACAATGGAAATACTATATAAATGCCCCGTGGGGACCGTTTCCACTCTTTCCCCCCCGGTCATCTCCAAATCTCCATTCGACAGGAATTGTGTGTTGGCTGTGAGAGCCTCCCATTATGCGTTCATCGTTTCTCCTCGCAGGGCTCAGTTCCCTTGCAGCACCAGCACTCGCGATCGTGCACGAGAAGATCACTGCCGCTCCGAATGGCTGGACTCTGGTCAAGCATGCACCGGAAAGCGACCAGATTACTTTGTCAATCGCCCTGGCACGCCAGAACCTAGATCAGCTCGAGGACAAGTTGACAGCATTGTCGACTCCGGGCAATGCAGAGTACGGCCAATGGCTGGATCAATCCGGGATTGAGTCGCTCTTTCCCACCGCGAGCGATGAAGCCGTTCTTCGTTGGCTCAGAAATGCGGGCGTCACTCATATCGCTCGACAGGGAGGCTTGGTGAATTTCGCCACGTCGGTCGGAACTGTGAACAAGCTCTTTGACACGACGTTCTCGTATTATCAAAACGGCGCGGCTCAGAAGTTGCGCACTACACAGTACTCCATCCCGGATGACCTCGCCCACGCAATTGATCTTGTCGCCCCAACTGTCTTTTTCGGCAAACAACAGGAGAGCGTCGCTCTTCCTACTCACCATAAGTTCGCTGCAGGGACCAGGACAACAGCGGGCAACGTATCCTGCGCGGATTTGATCACCCCGGAATGTTTAGCTGACATGTACAACTTCCGAGGCTATAAGCCCAGCGCATCCTCCGGAAGTAAAGTTGGCTTTGGAAGCTTCTTGAACGAATCTGCCAACTATGTAGACCTGGCCCTTTATGAGAAGCGGTTCAACATTCCATCGCAGAATTTCTCCGTCGAGTTGATCAATGGAGCCACGAACGACCAGAACTGGACAACGGCATCCGTCGGCGAGGCCAACTTGGATGTGGAGCTGATTGTCGGTGTTAGCCATCCTCTGCCAGTGATGGAGTTTATCACCGGTGGTACACCGTAAGTAATTGATCCGTGTTGTACTCGTAAGATTGCTTATCGATTCCAGCCCATTTATTCCAAATGTCGGCCAACCCACGCCGGCGGACAACCAGAACGAGCCGTATCTGGAGTACTATGAATATCTCCTGGCGAAGCCAAACTCTGCGCTGCCCCAGGTTCTCTCCAACTCATACGGCGACGAAGAACAGGTAAGCTGTCCCACGAATTCGTGGTCTCCGCAGGTCTGACGAAAGCCGGTAGACTGTTCCGGAATACTACGCCAAGAGGGTGTGCAATTTAATTGGCTTAATGGGTCTTCGCGGGATCACCGTGCTTGAGTCTTCTGGCGACACCGGTATGTGACCGCCGTGCATATTGTTGTTGTTTCGAGGCGCTGATTGCAACAGGTATTGGCTCCTCATGCATGTCTAACGACGGCACCGACACTCCTGAGTTCACACCCATCTTCCCTGCAACTTGCCCCTATATCACATCAGTAGGTGGCACTCAGGCATATGCTCCGGAAGTCGCATGGGAAGCGTCCTCCGGCGGGTTCAGCAATTACTTTAGCCGTGCCTGGTACCAGGAATCCGCGGTTAGCAAGTATCTTGCGCAGCATATTACCACCGAGACCAAGGATTACTATTCCCAGTATACAAACTTCTCCGGTCGTGGGTTCCCCGACGTATCTGCCCATAGCTTGACTCCGAAGTAAGTCCCCACTATGTATCTATACCTGAATCTTGCTGACGAGATGTGTAGCTATGAGGTGGTCGTTAAGGGCCAACGTCGCACATCCGGCGGCACATCCGCGGCCAGCCCTGTCTTCGCCGCACTGGTGGGGATGTTGAATGATGCCCGCTTGCGCGCCGGTAAACCAGCACTCGGATTTTTGAACCCCCTGTTGTACAGTGGGGCTCTCAAGGACTTCACTGATATCACGGCCGGGTCATCCATCGGATGTAACGGCGTCAACCCTCAAACTGGCCAGAAGGTTCCGGGAGGTGGTGTCATTCCCTATGCCCACTGGAATGCAACTGCCGGATGGGATCCTGTGACGGGTTTGGGCGTTCCTGACTTCATGAAGTTGAAGGATTTGGTGCTGTCACTGTAATCGATGCCTCGACTGTTTTGCGAGGTAGCGTATATGTTACGATGTAAATTAGGATCCGCCGTAGAGGGTCAATACGAAGAAGATGTCACATTGCAGTTGTTCTTCCATGGGGGCATTCCACGTTATCATATTCGTTACCACTCATGATGGTTGTGATCTCCGTAGATCAACAACTATTGCCTCATTAACTGTGATCGCTAATTACTAACCCCATAGTTGCGGTAATAGTGTACTATAAAAGCCTCCCTAGTGGCGAGGCTTGTAGCATAGCCGAATAGCAACATCTACTAGTAGTATAGGCTATTGGGCGGGGTAAGAGCTAAACCATGGTATGAAGATGTAGCCTCGTGCAATTGACGACCTTATATTGACAACAATTATATTCCAACTATTAGGTACTTTTTCATGGTGAACATGAAGGTAAGCTATCATATTTTGAGTTCCAAGGCACAAACATTATGCAATAACTATAGATCATTCATGACAAAGACTAGAACGGAACCAGGACGACTCATTTCTCATTTACTGCCCATACCCCCTACTCTTCAGGTCTCACCATCTCGTCCGGGTGATCCAGCTCGTCATGGCCAAAATGGTATTTGGAACTATAGCCCTGTTCGGGTTGGGAGGGTTGGACGTGTCTACTGGCGGTCTGGGAGGGCGCAGCGTACTGAAAGGAGTGTTAGCATACCAGTATATAAAAGCTCTTATGAATGTCAATTTAGACGACATGTACCTGTTTGGTGGTGTCCACGTTAGAATAGCTGCCTTGCTGGTCTGCCGGCTCGGTAGAGCTTGGATTTTCGTCCTTGGCACGGACACGGTTCGACCACTTTCTAGTGTTGTACTTTGGTTCCATGTTTGCTGCTCGAGGTACTAGATGGGTGTGATGGTTCCCTTGAGTAAATTTGGGATCTGAACTGGAGATTTGGGCTAGTGAGGGTATAAGTATGCCACGATTTCGAATGAGGTCATGATGCTGCCGGTTGACATCAGCGAGTATGGCACGGCCGACGTCGTGTGATACAATCCAATGGTTTCTCGGCTCAGTTTCAGCAGTAATTGGTAGGGATTCATGCCTACCATGGTTCGCCACTCTTTCTTACTTTGTATAGTAGTCAGGGTGGAAGGAGTCATCCGTCATGAACTTGATCATCTTGTCAATAGTCATGGCGAGCTGGACCACACATGTATCTGGCGATGCAGATATTATCTAGTACTAAGATAGGCTATCTTCATCTCCGAGACCGACATCGACCATCTTGTCTCTGAAGAGATCAATTGAAACTTCCACAGTGGCGAGCGCCATGACGTCGTCCATTCTGTAATCCTATTACACAATTACATCAATACTGAGGCTTAACACTGGTCGGAAAATGGTATTACGGATACACATCAACTGAGGGCTTCAGCGACTCAAGCAGACAAGGGCGAACGATTCAATCTGCACAATGAGGGAACTACATGTATCCCAATGCCACTGGACACGTACAGAATGCTCGTTGTATGTTCCCTTTCCGTCTCCGCGCTCGTAGTCCGACTTTCACGTGCGGGAAGTTAAGTTCTGATCGCTTTCAATCAGTGGCTCTCCTGCCTTCATATTCTCCGATGGACTAGGTACCTTGCAGCTGCACAAGGGACTGCTTAAGAGGACACAGCGGCATTGTATATAATACCGCCTAGCCTGCCGATTACTACGTTTTCTGGACCATATCTATGCTACATCCCCAGACAGTCATTGCTATTCGAAATTGTACGTACCGGGCCTGGAGAAACATCCGACGACCCAAATCCCAGAGAGACCGCCATATTCAGAGATGTACATACTGGCACAGGACGTAGCTTGGTGAACCTCGCGAACGATGACATCTGCAGCAACATCAGTGCTGCCAACGTTAAACCTATTACGCTTGACACGAAACCAACAATGCTCGACCGTGCGAGATGCCAAGAATGTGACATATGAGCCCGATTGATTGGATAGCGGGAGAAGCTACTAGTTGAATCCCATCAAGATCGTCTTGGCCAGCTCAGCCTTGCTGTACTTGCCGCGGGAAGTATATATTAGGCGTCCGACAGGCCTAGGCGAGCCAATGAGGGTTCTGGCGAGGGGGCTAAGCTGCGTGGCCCCAGGTCCGAGCAATTATGCCTCCCTAATCATGGAGGATCTGATCTCTGTCAGGCCGGACACAATTTACCAGGCTTGGAGGAGCAAGCCACATGGACTACATAAGAGGTCCAGCGAGCCTTGGTCCGTGCGCTCTAGTTACGACGGATTCATGCATGCTCAAATACATGGAAACCTTGTACAATGGCAATGGGATATTTTGTTCTCAGGTGCATTGCTTGGGGGGTCGTTCTTGGTGTTGTCCTTTCCGCGTCGATAGTCACGGTCCGACCAGATGGCAGCAGTTAGCATGGAATCATGCACAGCAGTACCTGTCCAGCCTTTATACTGTGGTTTGTGAATCGTTGGTGACGCAGTCAGATTCCTATTTTTTGTGAAGGAGTTTTTGTTTGTGTCACGGCATCGGGATGCGGCTATAAACGAGAGCTACTAGTAACATAGACATAGGCATGGCTTTAGGCTTCCAGCAGACGAGAGTGGAACCGTTCGCAGAGCCCAACCGAGTGTTGAGCGATCGATGGGAATTCGATCAAGTTCCCAACTCCAGGCAAGGGGCCCTAGCACTCGGCCTAACGAAGATCATGGCAATAGATCAGTGGGGCCCTCATTTCCCAACAGGGAATTTGCACAACATGGTAGCCCACTGGAGGTGTCCATTTCGAGTCGATCAGGTTCATTGAGCCTTTTCAGATGTTATGGGGCTCCGCATCTCGGTTTCATTTGTCGGTTTGCCCTCCCGTATATGCACTATCCAAGCCACCGCAACACCGCCAATCATTAGCAAATGGAGCATTTTTCTTAGGCACATCTGGAATTGGGTTGCTTGTTTTATTTTTATAACTTTCGGTTTCAGCCCCCGTGCGTGCAGCGGGCATATATCTACCATGCGAGCCAGGTGGGCGCCTGGCTACATATCTACAGTAACTGTATCTTCTGGACGCGTTTGCTGCGACTTCTGTCCGGCATGCATTCTTCACTGACATTCCTGGCATTGGTCCTATGCCTGGCCTCATGGGCGAATGCGACAATCCACCATGTGCGCACCACCGGAAATACGGTGCGCTTCAATCTCACCCTGACCTGGGAGGAATGGGCCCCTGCCGGCATCCCTCGAAAGATGATCCTCGGAAATGGCCAACTTCCCAGTCCGCCGCTAGAGTTGCGACAAGGGGACGACGTCGAGTTCTTGGTGATCAATAACCTGCCCACCAATACGACCGTTCACTTCCATGGTAGGTTCCCTCCTCAACTGGATTCGAGAAGGATGAGTGACAGAATGCCTCCCAGGAATCGAGCAAAGTGGCACTCCTTGGTCGGACGGCACGCCTGGCTTGTCGCAGCAGCCAATTGCCCCTGGTGGCCACTTTCTCTATAAATGGCGTGCGACACAATACGGGAGCTATTTTTACCATGCCCATAACCGAGGACAGATCGATGACGGCCTCTATGGAGCGATCTACATACATCCGGATGACTCCGTCGAGAAACCTTTCGGCTTGATTACGAACAGAAGCAGCGAGCTCCAGGCCATGCGGGCGGCCGAAGAGACGACGCAACCGATAATAATCTCGGACTGGCGCCAGTTGACCTCAGAAGAGCTCTGGCGGGCTGAAGAAGACACTGGCCTGGACGGCTACTGTGCGAATGCCCTCCTCATTAACGGAAAAGGATCGATTGCCTGTCCCGGTGAAGAAAAGATAAACCAGCTCGCCAGCGCTGAACAGAAGCAAGTCCTGGGCAACCTGAGTCTGACTGATATCGGATGTACTTCCCCCATGGTAGTAGCCATGCAGGGGGTCTTTCCGCACAACTTCAGCGCAATACCGCCTTCGATGTTCTCCGGTTGTGTCGCCGGAGATGGTGGCACTGCGCAGGTCCTTGCTGACCCATCCCACAAGTATGTGAGCTATGACTTGATCAGTGCAGCCGGTGTCTCAATGGCCACGTTCTCGATTGACGAACACCCGATGTATGTCTACGCCATTGACGGACGCTACATTCGTCCCACATTGGTGGACGCCGTTACCATTGCAAATGGCAACCGGTATTCCGTCCTGGTCAAGTTGGATCAGCCTGCCGGGGATTATACGATTCGGGTAGCGAATAGCGGAGTCAACCAGGTTTTACATACCACTGGAGTGTTGTCATACAACACGCCGAAGCAAACGCAGCAGCACGAGTCAGTAGCATCAATCGATATCCACGGCGCAGTCGTGTCCTCCAACTATACTCTACTAGATGAAACCAAGATCGTCCCATTCCCGGTCGAGGTGCCATCTCACGAGGTTGCCCAGACACATATCCTGCGACTCACTCATTACAAAGCCTCCTACCGCTGGACCTTGGGAAACTCCAGTCTCCCGCTTGAACTAGAGAATGAATTGCCGCTGTTATTTTACCCCTCCACGGCTCAGCCAGACCATACTCTCAAGACGCTCAATGGAACGTGGATTGATCTCATCTTCGACATCCATGGTCAGCTACAGCCCCCCCATCCCATCCACAAGCACGCCAATAAATTCTACGTGATTGGCCAAGGGAGTGGAGCCTGGAATTACTCCTCCGTCGCCGAAGCCATGCAACACACCCCGGAGAGTTTCAACCTCGAAACCCCCCAGATCCGGGACACATTCATCACTCCACCATCGGCAACCGAGGACACCTGGCTAGCTATCCGGTACCAGGTGGTGCACCCTGGTGCGTGGCTACTCCATTGCCATATTCAGATCCATCTTAGTGGCGGAATGGGGATAGGCATCCTCGATGGGGTCGACGAATGGCCTGAAATCCCTGACGAGTATTCTATCCGGGGTTGACGGAATGAAAGTATGACGTTTAAAGACAACTTATGGCTCTATATCAATCTCTAGAACGTTTAATGTTTAGTATGTTAGGAAATGCACTTCAGACGGATCGTACCCTACAGATGTAAACTTTGGACAATCCTGCCATTGAGGCCTCAGTCTCCAATCTAGTGTAGAAGGATCGACGCTAACATGGGATACAGCCAGGTACGACAAACAAGGTAAAGACTACCTCGGGATGCAAACTACATGCGAAAGGTACCGGACGGTCGGCAGGATGACGAGGGTATTGCTTGGGAAATGATTTCTATCGACCATGCGTGCTCAGGGATATATCTATACACAAATCAATAATCCTCCTCCTTATTTCCCAGCTCCGCCGCTATCAATACACTATGTTTAGCAAACGGACTTCGATCTCGGATCCGGTCACCATAGAATATAAACAGTGGAGGGACTATACAGAACACAGTTGCTAGAGCGGCAAGGAGTGACACGGCCACATTGGCCGTGAGGCCATCAAACATTTGCTTAGTGAACAATGGAAACACCCCGGACAGTAGGGCTCGGAGAAAAGCCACGGCGGCCATAGCACTGGCCGAGTAGCTCAGGTAGCAGTCACTCAAGTAGGAATACAGCACGGTATCGAATTCATTCAACGCGTAACCCATCATTGCGAGAGGAATCGAGGGCACAATCCAGTGTATATTCGATATCTTTGGTGGAATGGTCCAGGCGAACCACCATAAACCCACCGCCAGCACTGGAGCACCGATCGCAAGGCCTAACAATTTATCTTCAGGCCGGACAGGAAGGTTCTTGCGCTGGCGAGTATCGAAGACCCGATTATCAAGTAGTCGTGTAAGAGCGCTGAACCAAATGCCGCAGGCACAGGCAAGAAAGGCGAGGGAGGATTGTGTTCGAGAGAACCCCATTGCTTCGTAAATCGGCTGTAGCGCTTCGGTAAACATGTAGAGAAGAGAAAAAGCGAAGGCAATCATCATGGCTATGATGAACACCAATGGCTCTCGGCAGAAGAGAATAGCGGGTCGGAATAGAGCCACCTTGAGAAAGGTGCGAAGGTCAGGGTGGTGATCATGATTTAATGCTTGGAGATCCTTTCCGGTGGTACGAGAAAGCTTAGCCACTTCTCGTGTTAGCAACAGAGATGGTCGAGATTCGCGGATGAAGATGAACAGGACACTTAGAACCCCGATGATCATCGCATAGATATAAAAGAGCCACCTCCTGCGAAGGGTGAGTCTGACGGCCCGGTGGGATACAAACGGGGGTGAACATACCAATTCAACAAGGTACTAACGTACGTGCCAATGATAGGTCCAATATTTAAGCCCAGGTTGGATGCAATAGTCCACAGGAACATCACCCAGATCCGTGGTCGCGAAGACCACATATCTTCGACACTACCTCCACCAACAGTATAGGGGATGGAAGCCAGCATCCCAGTCCCCACACGACCAATTATCACTGCAGCAAGGGAGTGAGGAACGCCTACTACCACACAGCAGACTGAACTCAAAGTACTGCTAATGAGATAGAGTCTCCTGCGACCAAAGCTTTCAGACCATGGGGGTAAGACGACTGTCCCTACGACCTGACCAAGCAGGAATCTATGGAACGTGAATCAGTCCACACAAAGCATTCGATTAGCATATGCGCTATGATGGGCTTACAATGTTACAAAGCAAAAGATGGATAACTCGGATCCAATCCCATATTCATGCTTCGCCTCTGAGGCTGCCGATGCCTATACCTGTTAGCGGTCACTTTTGATGTCACGGTTCTCTTGCACATACACCAGCAGTGCTACAAGCTGTCCTATCGAGAAGTTAGCCCGCAGCGGGTCCGATTCACCGATGGTCTGAGCATACAGGAAAAAGTCTAGCAGTAAGATGAGTCCCGTGTCAAAGCATTTCCGTAATATAGACCAATTCCTGGGATGAAGCGGATTATCACGGTGCCAGCGGATATACTGCCCATCTGGCGTCTGTTCTAGATGATGGTCTGCTAGATAGTCGCTTGGCAAGGAATTTCCGCCTGTTATGGAATTTGATCTGGAATTCATGACTCTCGAGGTAGAAATACGGCACGAATGCAAGAGTTCAATTAGAAGCTCCGTTGAAAGATTTTTCTTGAGCCTCTAGAAATCCGAACGTGCCTCAGAAGTGACAGTCCATGGTAAATGCGATGCTGTACTCTTCAAGATTAGTGGGCATGCCATTCTGTATATATTGGACCGAGAGCGCAAGGCCTTCGGAAACAAACTCTACATTCCGGTCAGGTACAGCTATTTTCCACAATTACACATACTTGTCAAGCAGATACGTCATATTTTAGTAAGTATATTTAACCCTTACATTGGGCTTGCGTTTCTATGTGGGCCTGGCGGGTACCATTGTCTAATTATTGCAGTGTCGCTCCTCAATATAACGGAAGAGGCATTTTTTTCAACCTACAATAACGTGCTAGTATAGCGGACTGAGCTGCAGGGGAACTGATCACCAGGGGTAACTCAGATTGTGGTGGAAATGCAAGTGTGTGGGCCCTTTACATTGTTGAGCAACATTATGACCATAGGTTAAATCTGACAGGATGGAAGGATAGCTAGCTACAGTACAGCCAGGTACGGAGTTGGACAGGGTCGTGTTCTTTAAATGTACGAGTCCGTTGGCATACACATGTTACTGTCCTACAGCTCACTTATACTTTACGTTTTGGTATGAAGATCTCCGTACCGAAGAACGTGTAGTGCGGTAGTCCCTTGCGTCGTAGTAGTATTAGTAATTCAGGATTGCTTCCACCTTCCCACATGGTTTCTTTGCACTAACAGTGAAGCATGCCCCTTAGCATGGGATAGCATGAGGAAGACCAAGTCAGAGGGTTGAACTTATGTATAGACTTTCCATGGCTACACATGGTATGAGCCCTCTGAGCTGGTCGAGTCAAAGTGGACAGATATAGTCTCAACTTAATCCACCGACTCTAATGCGCATAGGGGCAATTCGCGAAGACTCGCCAAGCATCGCATCGCGGAGTTATAATCCATTATGGTCCGCACGTTGTACATCGTGACAACGGCACCATATCTCGTTGATTGCACATTATCGCGGGTAATTAGTGAATGACGCTGGAAGTCAATGCTTCGGGCAAATATATCGATCATCTGTGCTTATCCCAGAGTCCAGGTGTGTGTGACAAGTGGTATAAGCAATTGCAATGGGGTAGGCGTTCTTCCGCGTCTGCACGTTTAAGATACTTTCTTGGTCCTCTTTGTGAATGATAGGCTCTTTCCAGAGCTGAATGAATGCGTGGGCATGTATTGTTCGGGACATTGGTGAGTGCGCTGTGTTCCCTGCCGCCGACAGGGCCGATGGGGGCGCCAATAAAAAAGAAACCGATAATTCCGCTAATGTCCCATCGGATGCGTGGGAACCTGTGTGCTGCGCTCTGTGCGCTACCCTCATTTTGATCAAACGGTTACGGAGCTCTTCCTGCTGGCATCTGTCTGCTGCTGGCCTTGAATACCCACGTCGTGGAGGTTACCAACCAGTTCTGGGCCGTCCGCACTATCAGCATTGAGCCAGCTCCAATGCTAATTTAGCGACCAATGGCTAGTATGTTGATCAAGATCGCGAACGGCCAGGCAGAGGTCATAGTGACGACGACAGAGGATGTTCTGGTAGAGAGACCGTGCTTACGTATGTCTGGACAGAGTCAATGGCAAAACCATAACGATCGCGAAGCGCAAGATATGGTAGGAGACGCAGCAGTGGGACAAAATTGGCTTGTGTGGGTGAAGAGAAGTAGATTGCCCTAGGGCAGCAGCATGAACTGTTGCTCGTCAAGGCTGCGCCATCTCACTATATAGTGGAGGGACTATTCCTTAACTTCTGTCCATGTTCGGGTCGATCTCGTTCAGATTTTGTTCGGATACCCGAGACTATGCCGCCAAGGCTGGATTAACCGGCGCGAGATGAGTCATTGATGAGGTTGAATTTAACGTCGGCATAGCTTGGCTGTAGTACTTGTCCAGAATAACGAGTCCGGTATCGCTTCCCCTGACATGAGTCATGTCGGTCCATATACGTAACTCTCTATCAAATACAACCGGCACGCCGGTGGCCGGGAGGCAATGTTGGTTGGAATAATGCCTTTGGCCTGACTCTTTTCCTTTACCACATACTCAGCGTGACATGTATAGAACACACCCTATCAGTCGGGCTGGCAATGCCCTGGCTCTTACCGTACGATGTCAACCAACCTCACTTGCTCGATCGCAGATTTGGGCTTGGAAGCTAGGAAGCATTGGACGAAAGATGACTACGGCTGTGACACAGTCGACGTAAGTCATATACCCCTAGTCCACAGGTCCTCATCGATTTGAATCGCTGTCGTGTGATCTCCTCAACCCTCGCTAATTCCGTGGGCATAAAGAAAAGCAGAACCCTCATCGAGAGCAAGCCTCCCCGGGACGGGCGCGGGTCATACTATGCCTTCAGCGAGCTCCCCATCAATTGAAGCAGACGAATCGTATGAGAATAGTTCAGGCTGTGTACGCGTCGTGGTACTAATGCAATCCATAGGCTTGTTGGCATGACGGGCGGCCAGATCTTTCACGAGATGATGCGAAGACACGGTGTCAAACATATCTGTACGAAGGTTAGGAGTCCCAGCATTCTTTTGGCTTACTGACACACATGTCGGCAGTTGGATACCCTGGTGGAACTATTCTTCCGGTCTTCGACGCCATCTACAATTCCAAGTATTTCGATTTCATCCTTCCTAAGCACGAACAAGGGGCAGGGCATATGGCCGAGGGGTATGCAAGGGCGTCAGGGAAGCCAGGTATCGTTCTGGTCACCTCCGGACCCGGTGCCACCAATGTCGTTACCCCGATGCAGGATGCTCTGTCCGATGGGACGCCGATGATCGTCTTCAGCGGCCAGGTCGTGACCACGGCGATCGGCAGCGATGCGTTCCAGGAAGCTGATATTCTCGGTATATCGCGCGGTTGCACAAAATGGAACGTCATGGTACGCAACGTTGCTGAGCTACCTCAGAGAATCAATGAGGCTTTTGAGATTGCGACGAGTGGCAGACCGGGCCCGGTTCTTGTGGATCTACCCAAGGACGTAACAGCGGGTATACTAAGAAAGGCCACCCCTACCGGGCCAGCGATACCTCGCATAGCGACCTACGCAAACACCGACGCGAACCAAACGTTACTCACCAAGTCGATCGCCAATGTCGCCAGGTTGATTAACACCGCGAAGAAACCCGTCATCTATGCAGGACAAGGTGCGATTCAGTCCCCGGGCGGACCTCGGGTGCTCCAGGAACTTGCAGAAAAGGCGTCCATACCGGTCACGACAACTCTGCAAGGCCTTGGAGCCTTCGACGAACTGAACGAGAAGTCCTTGCATATGCTGGGCATGCACGGCGCCGCCTATGCCAACATGGCTATGCAGGAAGCCGATCTTATTATAGCACTGGGGGCACGGTTCGACGATAGAGTGACACTAAACATCGCCAAGTTTGCACCTACAGCAAGGGCGGCAGCGGCAAAGGGTCTTGGGGGTATTGTACAGTTTGAGGTGCTACCCAAAAATATCAACAAGGTGGTTCAGTCCACTGAGGCTGTTGTCGGGGATCTCACGGAGAATTTGACCCACCTACTCCCCCTTTTGAGAAGGACCAGCATGACTGAGAGGCAAGAATGGTTTCAACAAATCAACGCGTGGAAAGCAAAGTGGCCGTGGAGTGCTTACAATCGTGATGATCGACCACATTCAATTAAACCCCAGTATGTAATTGAGGAGCTGAGTAAGCTCACTGCAGATCGCAAGCAGGAGACCATCATTACTACCGGGGTTGGCCAACATCAGATGTGGACTGCCCAGCACTTCCGTTGGCGTTATCCCCGTAGTATGATCACCTCTGGGGGTCTTGGTACGATGGGTTTTGGCCTTCCCGCTGCTATCGGCGCCAAGGTAGCGCGTCCAGATGCGCTTGTGATTGATATCGATGGGGACGCATCGTTTAGCATGACCTTGACAGAACTGACCACCGCCAGTCAATTCAATATCGGGGTCAAGGTCATCGTTCTAAACAACGAGGAGCAAGGAATGGTGACCCAGTGGCAAAATCTATTCTACGAGGATCGATACTCGCACACACACCAACGTAATCCAGACTTCATGGGCCTGGCAGGGGCAATGCACGTTGAACATCGACGTGTCAGCAAACCCGAAGACGTCGTTGACTCGCTCAAGTGGCTTATCCACACGGAAGGCCCCGCTCTCCTAGAGGTTATCACCGACAAGAAGGTACCAGTGCTGCCAATGGTTCCAGCGGGTTCAGGGCTGCATGAGTTCATTACATGGGACGCACATAAAGACAAGGAGAGAAGAAGTCTGATGCAGGACAGAACATGCGGGCTGCACGGATAAGGTTGGAAGCGGCCTTGTGGACAAGGCGTCAACCCTTTGTATATCTAGCTAAAACGTGACACTGTGAGGGCAGTGTTCCTCAAGAATTATACATAGCTGACATGGTCCAGCCGAGAATATCGGCTTGGGTCTTGTTCAAAGATATCCATGTATATGCACTTCATCCAAGGCCACGGATAACATACTTTCGCTGCCGAATGCCATGATAGTACAAACCCAACTCGGAAAGTCAGTAGTCAAGAGCCAAATGTCAAGTAGTATATGGAGCTACCGGTTTCAATAGTATCAATATAATATCAAACGCCTATAAAGAAGCCGCGATGAGTCTTTTGTATCCTCGCACTGCCTCTTCCAGTTCCCCGACCGTGATGGCCTCATTATCGGCATGGGCAACAAGGATGCTTCCAGGCCCATACAGATATCGCTTGACCCTTCGAGTCTCCTGATCATGGATCTCCAGTGCGGGGGCATCGGTTCCGTAGTTAACAGTGATCACTGGAAAGCCATCCACATCGACGTCGAAGTACTGGGGTAAAGCGCCTGTTTTGCGATCACCAAAATCCAGATAAACACTTTCGTCGTCTGTAGTAACGTCTGTCACCGCTTTCTCAACGATCACCCTTGTATCTTCTGGAGTTCCCGCTGCAAGGCGAACAGTGATCGCTGCTTCAGCATGCGCTGGGACGACGTTGGCGGCAACGCCACCATGGACTAAACCGATGTTCAAGGTTGACTTTCCCAAGGTTTCACTGCGAAGGAGACCACCGTTCTCGGGCGGAAGATCCTGCAGGGTATCCAGATGAGCGAGAATAGGAACGAGCGCAGAGATAGCACTTTGCCCTAGCCAGGGGTATCCCGAGTGCGCCGCTTTGCCCTCCGAGACCAGCTTGAATCCCAGAGTCCCTTTATGTGCCGCGACGAGGCTGAGCTCCGTTGGCTCTCCGAATATGACCGCACGGTATGTCGGAGGCGTCGGGTTGAGGTCGGAGTGGGAGAAATGTTTCATTCCCACGCCGCTGTTTTCTTCGCCGACATCGAACAACAACCCGATCGAGGCATTGGGATTTTCGCTGAGTGTTTCCAAGGCGGCAAACACGATCGCCGCAACACTCGCTTTGGCATCCACCGTACCACGGCCAGCAATTACTACGTCGGTACGATTGAAGGACCCCGTGTCTGAGGCTGGTGCATGGAGGGAGTAAGGGATGAAGGGCGGCACCGTGTCGATGTGGCTGGTCACCAACACGTCCGGATGCCTGTTCTTCCCAACATACGCGTAGATGTTGAATCTTTCTTCCTCCTCGTCGCTTTCCGCAGTGACCACTTGTTTCTCTACTGTCAGGTTCTGCGACGTGAGGAAATCCAACACAAAATCCCCCACGTGTTTCTCGTGTCCACTGATCGAGGGGATTTGCACGAGGGATCGGTGGAAGGAGAGCAGAGGCGATCCGTCGATGACTCGATCGAGATCCGGGGATAAATCGCCGAGCAAGGGATGTTGATGCTGTAGGGCCAGCGCCCCAGCTGTCACTACGGTAACACGAAAGAGATCAGTCGCCTTCATAGTCCAAAATCTCTGTCAATGGTGGACGGGGTGTGAGAAAAGCTTCATCGACACGATGAGGGGGGGAGGAATTGATAAGACAATCGGTCCCCGCTATGGCGCCTTGGCCTTTACACGATCCCCAGTGTCACTCGTTTACTATCTAGCCCTCGATTGACTTATCACGCAGGAAACATGCATGCTACCGGAGGCATTGAGTACCCTCGGCCCCCCTCCCTCCATACAGGACCCGTTACTGCCGCTTCTCCCCAACGTGTATATCCACATCATCCAAGACCGCTTGATTCTGCTTCGCCGCCGCCAGCCGGATTCTCTTTAATTTCCTCGTATCCACGTCGACCTTCCACGTAAATCCCCAAGTGATAAGATTCATAATGATGGCCATTCCCACGAACCCCATCGCAATCCCAAACGACGTCGTGTATCGTGGCGCGTACCGAGAATTAAACAGTTGAGACCCCACGGCCCCCCCAATTTGACCGTAGCTATTCGCAAAGGCGATGGCGAAGGCAGAACCCGTGGCACCCTCAGTGGTCTGCACGCGCCAGGGCCACATCATCACGTACCTGTCGAGCGTTAGCGTCTACGAAGTGATCAGATTATACAGGGGATGGGAAGCTTACCATGCGGTTGAGAGCCCGCCGGCTAGAATGGTTGCCGCGTACACGCCGCCGGTATTCGGAAAGGCATAGAGCACGCCATAGCACGCCTCGATGACAATCATGAAAGCGAGGGGAATGGCGGGCTGGGGAATCCTTCCCTTGTCGGCCAAGATACCAAAGACGACTGTCAAAAGTACTGCGAAAACCGCGGAAGGAATGTTTAACAATTGGGCTTCACCCATAGAGCTGCCACGACCATTAGCCAATCTGCCGCCAGGTTTCACTGTCGGAATAACTCACGTAAACCCAAGGTTGGCTATCACGGTTGGTTGGTAAAATGTAAGTCCGGTAGTGCCGACGGTGAAGAAGGCCCAACAGAGGAGGAAGAGCCATATTCTCTTGTTTTTCAGAGTCGTGATGAGTTCGCGCAGGTCGAAATTGGCTTCCGCTGCTCTCGGAGCGTTACGAGGGAGGCGCGCTTCAATGAACGTCTGCTCTCTCTCAGACAGCCAAGATGCTGTAGAGGGAACTATACAAGGGTTAGTCCAATGCAGCTCCTCCTACTGGTATGATGGTGATACGTACAGTCTGGTAAGAGGAAGTACGTAACGATCCCCAATATCACGGTGAAGATGCCTTCGGTCAAGACTAGCCTGGAAGATAGTCTCAATATCGTATCGTTGACTTTTCACACTGGAAGGTCCCTTACCATTTCCAGCCAGATAGCCCACCAGCTGTCACTCCGTTAAACGCAAAGGCAAGCACACCACTGATGACCGTGCTGAAGTTCCCGAGAAGTGTCACAAGGACTATCCGAGGGGCAATCTCATCCGGTCTATACCAGTAACATAACTGGACAAGCATGCCGGGCCACAGGCCGGCCTCGAAGAGACCAAGGAAAAAGCGAACCGCATACAGACCCTGTCGGTTAGTCACCGCTGCATGACAGCAGAGCACGACTCCCCAGGATACCTGTGGTTTTTAGCATTTAGGACTCCCTTATGACCAGTTCATTTGACTAACCATGATGCGGGCCTGCCAGATGGACGGTCGGGCGCCTTTCAGCAGAAGATTGGAAGGTGCCTCTGCGAGTATATAGGGGATCTTCAAGCAATTAGTATAAATCTTGGTCATACATCTGGCCCAACTCACGTAATACATGGTCGTCACCAGATTATACTGATCAGATGTCATTTTGAGCTCAGTTAAGATATTGCGAGACGTTCCTTTATCCATGGTTAGAGCATAGGATACCTGCCAAGGTTAGGATGGAGACTTGCATGTCATAATGAATCGCTGTGTAAACGTACATTTGTAAAATCGACACTCTTAACCATGTACATGATCGCTAAGAGTGGAATGAGGTGCCAGTCTATTCGTCGTAGTAACTTTTTTTCCTCTGCGCTACTAAGACTTGCTCGCGCGCGCATCAGATCGGCGTCGTAGCCTGGGATAACATCTCCTTCGTACTCAGGCAGCGAGTCATTTTCAGTTCTCTTGACATAGTGTACGTTTCCTCTTCCCTGGCCCGGTGATTCCTCTATTGAAATGTCGCTGGCTTTATTGTTTGTCGAAGTTGCTCTTGAGGCGTCGTCCTTTTCAGAAAGTCCCCCAGACATCTTGGGAAGCCAAAGAGCGAGCAGTCAAGATGTTTCCCGGGATGTGTAATGAAATACTAAGGGGGTTTCAAGGACTTTATGAGCTGCGTCCATAATTTCAAATTATCATAATTGGTCAGTGAGCTCGCTTATCGTTTGGCAATAGCCAAACCTAATGACGCAAGGAGAACCTCCTCGGTACGGAGGGCATAGGAATATGGCGTATCAATCCGACATACCCCGCAGATGGGAGATCGATTTGCTGATAAGATATAGAAATGGAATGCTCCCTTTCTTGCATAAAACTTGGAGCTAGACTTTGGAAGGCTAGTGGCAGTGCCGACTGTGTCGACTGGACACTGACATGCTAGCGAGCTGTGACATCGCGCATGGATGTGCAGAAACGGACACCGTCCAACCTCTTGCATACGACGGGATATATCGGCAAGTGCTATCCTTTGCATCCAGCTCGGCAATATCCTTCAGTCAGATACTTCTCTCAGGGCTTGGCTTCGTCTCAGTTTCCGCACGGCTTATCGTCACTTAATCCACCAATTAAGGCGATGCCAAGTTGTACTTATATCTCTACAGACGACTATGTGGATGCCACCCGATATTAGACCCACCTCTTGGCATAGATTAGGGTCAGAGGGTCTTTGACACTGTTTCTAGACACAGGGGCTACTATCATGGGGTGTCTCCCAGTGTTACTGTCATTCTCAACTGGAGAATGCTGTAGGTACATATACGCTTTCTTTCTTGCAGTCCTAAAGGGCAGCATTGACCTAGTTCAATCAGTAGGAAAAGAAGAATAGACTTCGTTCAGGGTATAAACATGAGTTAGAGGACGAAGTAAATGGAATGTCGAGTGAGGGTTGTCAATCCAACCCTGCATTGTGGAGCATTGGTAAAGTCATACTTTCACTCTGGACCCTGATGTGAGCGTCGGCATTAACGCTAGCTTTCGGTAACTTAAATCCAGCGAATGCGTATATTAGGTTCGCTTATTTCTCGATCTAGATTGCCTGTGTTCCTGAACGGAACAATGTATCGAGTTGATATACATACACTCATGCGACGAAGGAAAGCATGATACGACCCATGTCCAGCCGGCAAATTGTTGGGGTTGGGAGGCTCCACAGTTGAATGTAGCCACATTCCTCCCAGGGCGAAGAGGAGACACAACGCACCTCATGGTGTCGGACAGGTTTATTTTTTGACTTCGCCAACCACATTGGTGCCTTTGCAGGCCTAGATAACTTGGTGTGACACTAATATGGAGTCTAAAACTGCGTCAGAAACCGTTCGTATTGTGCATCCTTTCTAGACATGCGTTAGCATTGTCAACAGACGTATCAAAGTGGCCACAGCAAAAAAAAGACCAACCGCCAAGCCAGGCCGACATCGCAATGCTTGTTTGACACCTTAAGTGCCGCGATTGCTTCTTCTCTTTGTTCCAAGCTTGTCATCGCCTCCTCATATATGGTGGGGAATGTCAAATTACGCTAGGGTATGGCGCAATCATATCTGCCGACCATCTAAACCTGACCTCAGAATCACAGGTCTGGCTGGGCTGCCAGATATCTGCTTCTGCCTTTTTTCCATGCAATGTGTAAAGGATTGGTATAGAGTCTGCGCGCAAAGCAAATTACGATATGGGTGCACTGAACACCTTCCAACCTTTACAGGAGCTTAATTCAATACCGAGAAAAAAACGGCCAGGTCTTCTAGCTAGCCCCAAGATAAGAGATGGCGTGATGAGGAGTATCAATGAGCAATGAGGCCATGTCTAGTATGAATGTCATGTTCACATAGATTCAAATACGGTCGCAAATCCGGCTGTCAGCTGGGCTTTGACAGGCCAGCCACGCATCGAACATGGACCGCAGGAAAAGCGCCAGTGGATCAGGAAGTCTCCATCCAGATGATGGACAGAGTCACACCAGGGAGCAGATCAAGGTGCAGCCAATAAAGTCATGGAAAGGTTACATATGGGATACTTGGGAGCTTCCACCGGAGCAGCGCTGGCTGCTATTCAAAGTCGATGCCTTTGTCCTTACGTTTGCCTCAGTAAGTCATTCCCCTCTACGGAAGCAGAGACGATCCAGCTTAACGTTGATTACTAGATCGGTTACTTTCTAAAGAATCTGGATCTTAACAATATTAACAATGCCTTTCTCAGTGGCATGAAGGAGGACTTGAATATGTATGGCAATCAGCTGGTTACTAGCACGTCTATCTACACCGTGGGATATGTAATTGGGCAGATACCGTCCAACCTTTTGCTGACCAGAGTCTCGCCTCGATGGGTAATTCCGGCGGTATGACTCTCTTCCAGATTCTGTGCCCATCCAGTATGGTATATCGCTAACAGACTACTTGCAGCTGGAGGTCGGTTGGGGGATAGCCACGATTTGTACGTCCAGCGTGCAGTCGTATCGGTCACTATATGCCATCCGCTTTTTAGTTGGTCTTTTCGAGTGCGTATGTATCACCTTTTTCCAGTCGCACATTGCTGATTGTCCCTGTGCAGATCCGGCTTCTACCCTGGTATCCACTACCTACTCGGATCATGGTACACTCCACGTGAGATAGGTAAGCGAGCGATGGTTTTCTGGCTCGCCGGTTCGATTGGAACGTTATTCAGTGGATTCCTGCAAGCAGCCGCTTATACGAACCTGAACGGTGTTCACGGCCATGCTGGCTGGCGCTGGTTGTTTATCATCGATGGTATCATCACGTTACCGCTTGCCCTAGCCGGCTTCCTGTTCTTCCCTAACCTCCCGCAAGATGGGAAGAAAACGTGGTGGACGACCGAAGAGGAGCATGTCCTTTCGGTTAGGCGTATGGAGGCTGTTGGCCGTGCAGGAAAAGAGCCGTGGACCGTCGCCAAGGCTAAGCGAATCTTCCTCAGCTGGCATACCTATCTTCTACGTTTGTGGAACTCCTCCATTTGTTCAAGTGCCCACATAGACTAACTGAGCCTAGCTTTACTGTACATCGTCTGGAATAACGGTTACCCACAAGCCGGCATGGGGTACTGGTTAAAGAGCTTCAACACGACCCCTCCTCCGGTGCCGGGTACATCATTTTCGGTGCCGCAGATTAATAACTGTGAGTAGTCCTCCAAAAGTGCGCGGCACTCGTACTAAGCCTGTTATAGATCCTATGGTTACGACGGGAATTTTTGTTGTAGTAGCTTTGAGCTGGGGTTGGCTGTCCGATGGGTGTCGCGGTATACGGTGGCCTTTCATCTATGCGGGAGCCATCATCACGGTGAGCCCTCGAAGCCTTGGCTGCAGCTGTGCGCTCTATGCACAAGGTCACTGACTTCCATGCTCGATCTGTAGATGATTTTCTGTATACTTCTGCGACAGATGCCGCTCTATGACAATATCAAGGGCCGTATGGCTGTATATTGGCTGAGTAACATTGGCGTGAGTTCCTCCCCGCTTGCTCAATATGACAAAGTAGTCGATAAATGAGATATATCGTGCTCACTGAATGACAACAGAGCGGTGCTGGTCCGCTCATCTTGAGTTGGATCAACGAGATCTGTTCAGCGGACACCGAGAAAAGAGCTTTAATTGTCGGTTTAGCGAACGACCTTGCTTACGTCGTTCAGGCGGTGGTAAGTGCCTTGTAATCCAGAATTTTGTCTTATAGGAAATAAAACTAACGTATCTTGTTAGGCACCGAACTTTGTCTGGAAGACCACCGACTTCCCGGCTGCTAGGAAGGGCTATTTATGGGATATCGTCCTCCAGTGTCTACTCAGTGAGTCTCCTACGTGCACCGCTTGCTATTGTACCTGCTCCTAATTCATCGCGTGTTCTCTACAGTCGTTGTGACCGCTGCTATCCAGGTTCAGCTCTGGCGGGATAGAAGAAAGCCATCTGTTAGCGAAGAGAACGATGGCTTCTCATCTGACTCTCAGAGCGACGATCCACCACAGCAGGACAGTGATGTTGAGCAGGGGAAGATGGCCCGCACCGAGGTCGTCGCGGTACACAACTAAAATCAAATTCTTCATAACGTATAGAACTAAGCTCGAGTATCGGAATAGAATATACCGGACTATATCATGAGCTGCCTTTAAAGCCAGCGATAGCGACACTAGTTATCAACCCCCTATAAATATATATATTCCCAGCCATTCCAATGTGACACTTGATCGTCCCTGTGTACCGGAATTGAGCTTGGCATTGTTCGTCATGAACCTGGAAGCGGTGTCTGGCTTTAGTTGAAGTGACTACAGTTGCCCTAGGACCTCTTCTAAATATGCCGATTCGGGTGCCTGCAACTTCTTAACAACCTTCCCATGTTGATAAATAACTACCGTCGGCACGAAAGCTACCACCGCCTCATCAGCAATACTTCCTTGCTCCTCCACATCAACCTTGAAGAATTTCACGTTCTGGTACTGATTTGCGATTTGCCCAATCTTTGGCGCCAGACTCCTGCAAGGGCTGCACCATCTAGCCCAGACGTAGAGGATCGTGGGTTCGGTTGTGCAGTTACTTGGTGGTATTCTTCCAGGCTGTACGTGGATTTAGACAACTGGAGTAGATAGTGTTGGAGGGAGGTTGGTATAGATGAGGGGTCAACCTTTTGAGCCCATGCAGCGCCACTTTTCATATGCTAGTGCCTCGAGGAATGGTAGAGCTAAGACTGAAGAGATACGATGTTTGTGCTGGTGTCTGGCTGTTGACGAAGTGGGATGACGTGCATGAGATTCGTCCATGGACTTGACCTAGAGCCTGAATCCAAGGCCCAGGCTAACCGAAGTTGGTTAGAGATTGTTCTAGGATGATATCAAAGCGTTCTAAGCGAGGAGGCCAATAGGGTTGTTCAACGCAGACACAGCTGCCTACATCTGATGCTAAACATAACATGATTCGACATCTGGACAATTCATTCCTAGCGGTCCTGACCAATGGTTGGTCTGGAATAGTTAACACATTACAGCACCTAAGCAATGCGTAAGGGATTTACGGCCTTATGGAATAATTGCGAGTTCTGCATGTCAGTCTCCACCTGCTTCACCAACTCAACGAAAGTCAAATGTGCCTCCCCTGAGAGGCGACTCATCCCCATTCCAAACAAAACACGTCCCCCAGGAATAACACTCAAATCATTCTTTAATCGTGTACTAAAGCTTGTCTTTCGTATATTTAGGTTTCATACGCATCCAACCGGTGAACCGTTGCTGTGACTTGATGTGCAGATTTTATCACGAACCGTATGTCCTTGGTTGGGCCCGTCATGATTGCCAGATAGTTTCCTCAAAGCATAGTATTGCAGCCAAATATAGATTCCGAATGCAGCTCAGCTGAACTTGAACGTGGCAGGACACACGCAAGTACTATGTGGTCTATCAGAGCCCCGCTAAGTTACCGGATTTCTCGAACTGGTGGTCAACCTAGGCTGGCACACTTCGCAGGCTTCCCCTGGATTCAATAAATTCCTGAATGGACACTAATGCGCGTTTATGGTTTTAAGCATTTCCTTTCCAATATATAGTCAAACTCAAGCAATGGTGCGGCCGCACCAAGTAACAGTATGTGTATGAGCCTACCGGGGGCGATGAACAGCAAAAGGAGTTGGAGAGTCAATTTTGGACTTTTATGCCGTAATATTGCTACCACACCACGCCCACCAACAAAAAAGACCGTGTATATATTCCGGTATACAGTTGATAATATCTTTAGTGATGTATTAACACTCGAATTTGATATGGATAGGTGGATATACTAGACATCTCGCCATATATATATCTAACGTAGGCTGAGTTTATAGACTATGGTATACCCTCCTGCCAGTTGCAAAAAGCTACTAGTTTTATCATTCTACTATTCCTCATGACTTACTCTACAGGCTAGAAGGTCTATGAACTCGGTAGGATTATAGAGACAAGCTGGCGGAGAAAAGAAGTTGTTTGCCAACATGAGAGAGTACTAAAAGTCTTGATAAGTGGAGACCCTGTTGCTCTGCCACACTAAAAGAGGCTGTAAACGAACTCACCAATGATATGGCAGGATTCAAGAGAAGAGAAATGGCTGTCCAGCGTGGACCCACCGATGCCAGCAGGCCAAAACATTGATTTCATCCATGGAAATAGTACCGTGCGTACGGTGCACCGGGCCTAGATTACATTCTCCGGCCCGCTTACTCACTGAGACTTCTAACTGCTTACATATCTGATCCCTTATCGTCGAATGGGTACCCGATCTACGCAAGAGCGCTGAGTCCTGACTTGGCAAACACCCCCGGAGGCAGAAGAACATTCCACGTTTATCTTTGTGACTCAGGTTAATCCCCGGTGCTTAGCTCGCGATATGAGGAAAGAAAGACGTTCAGGACGCCAGTTACCCCACTTGACAATCAGTCTCGGAGGCGACGCACGGAGGCATCGTTGTGCTGTACGGGCTCGGGATTTGTAGACAGGAAACCGTCGAGGGATCGGCTGCTCCACCACGGCCTGCTTTGCGTGGGGGCTGGGAAGGTCAAGCACATTCCACTTCCATCGGTCCCAGGAATGAGTTCTAGTGCTTTTGAATTGCATAGAATTCAATGAGAAAACACAAGCTAAAAGGCTAAAAAAGGCTAGAAAGAAACCGAGAGACGGGGAAGCATTGCTGTGGGAGTCTTGGGTGTCATGGGAGTGTCCCAGACTCTCACACTCAAACAACAAGTATCGCTGGGCGAAGGATGCGTTATTGATCCACTTAGCCTCAAAGAGGTTAACTGCAGTGGCGATCAAAAGCTAAGCCACTGGAGTACGGGCTGGACAAGTCCCGGATTCGCCCAATGCATGTCCTCGGTAGTCAACTCATGGAGGGCCTTGCAGATCGCCGGACGCGCTAGCAGAAGGGTCATCTTGGGCCACTTCCCAGCAAGGCTGAGACAATCTGATCGATCCAAAAATGCTGCCTCCGTGAGTCCGGTGAACTTCGTTGTCCAAGACCACACGAGAACACGAATGATTTTGGTCGATATTTCTTTCCCACCGAGAAAGAGGCCTTGAGCAGATCCTGTACCTCGTGAACCCGATGACGACGAGGAATGTACTGCTCTTCCTGGGGCTCACTGGGTTGAGCCTCCAGGAGCCAGACATATTGAAGGACTTCTGCAGACTCTGGGGACACCAGACCGCGGTAATCGATCGCAAGTGCGACCTCTGTTAGATCTACTCAGAGTTGATCATCGATCCCACTGACCCATCTCAGGCTCTTCATCGACGGCGGCTTCGTGAACTATAACCCTCTGAGCGAATACCCCGACAATGCAACCAGTATGTGCATCATTTACCGTGAGGATTGTATGGCGATCACTCGCGATCACTAACCTCCCCTTTTGTGAAGATACCGCCCTGCTCTATGCGGACTTCGATGTCAACAATCAGGGGATGCCGGCCGTCTACAACAATCTGACAAAACCCGCCGATGCGCCCGATGTGAACGGAGGAATTCTGTGGCCCGACACCGTCAACAAGATGATCTATCTCTACGGCGGCGAGTTCGACCAAGCTTCCCCGGGCAACTTCTCGCTGTGGTCGTACGACGCTCTCTACAACCAGTGGAACACCGTCACCCCCGATTCCTCACAGGCGGGTATCAAACGGGCCAGCTACGGCGCTGGAGTAACGTTGCAAGATCGTGCGGCTGGCTTCTACTATGGCGGATGGCTATCGAACGCGTCGGTCCCGAATTGGGGATCGCAGCGCCCCAAGGCCTTGTCGACGATGCTGCAGTACAACATCCTGCAGAATACGTGGACGAATTCATCCGGTCCCGACACGGTCGGCCGTGCGGAAGGGGCCATGGTGTATATCCCAGCAAGTGAAGGCATGTTGGTGTATATCGGAGGCGTGCAGGCTGCCAATAATGGCACCACCGTTGGCCAGCCCATGGATGTGCGTACCTCATCATTACCCTCTGCGGTTGCCTGTCGACGACTCACATTTGGCAGGAGATTTTGCTCTACGACATCTCAGGTAGTAAGTGGTACACTCAAAAAGCGACCGGCGACGTCCCAGAGCGACGGAGGAGATTCTGTGCCGGTGTCACCTGGGCGGAAGACCATTCATCCTATAACATATATCTCTACGGGGGCATTGGCGCTCTAGGAGGTGTTGGCTTCGATGATATTTACATTCTGTCCATGCCCTCCTTCAAATGGATCAAATGGTACGTCTCAGGCCTTGCATCGGCCCATGGTGGTTAGTTAATCTGGTCTAGGTTTCCTGCCGGGCCCGGCACCGGTTATCCTAAGCATTCCATGTCCTGTACTGTTGTAGATGGGGCCCAGATGCTGTAAGTGCCACTCGAAACTAAGCGATGCTAACGTGGATATCTAATCAGAAGCAGTGTTATGGGCGGCACGCAGCCCAACTCCACGGACTGTGATGTGCCTCCGATATACGGAATGCATAACATGTACCTGGGCAAACAAAATCCGGAAGATGCGATGTGGGCAATGTTCCGATCCAACCTCACGAGCTACGAGGTTCCGTCCGAGATTATCTCTACCATTGGGGGATCGTACGTATCTCGGGTCAACGCATCCACACCTTTGACGCTGACTATTTGTCTCTAGCGCCACCGGGGGCGCCAATACCACTCAGCCTTCCGGCGGCTTCGATAACCGGGACCTTGCCGTTTTCTTTTCGCGCACATATACCGCACCAACCCGCTCACCCACCCGCACGATCCCAACACCATCCTCGGGGTCATCTGGTGGCTCTAAGCGGGTAGGCGCCATTGTCGGGGGCGTCATCGGCGGCGTCGCGGGGGTATCAATCCTGGCTGCCCTGCTGTTCTTTTACCTACGGAGAAAGAAGAAGAGTGTACCGACCGAAGAGGACCAACCGCAGCCACAGCAAGACACAAAAGATCCGGCCCTTGCGGGAGCCAGCGGACCGGATGAACATAGGAGAAGCGAGCTGTCGGCAGGATACCCCGGGCAACAGGAAGGCATCAGAAGCGAATTGCCTGCGGAAGTCGTTGCGCAACGACAATCGGCGAGAAGCGAGCTAGGAAGCCCGGCCCTTGTAGAGTTAGAGGGCGACACGGCGCCATACTCACCCTCCTCACCCACCTCGCCTCCTGGCTCTCCACTACCATCTCATCCCCTTGTCCCTGTTTCTCCACAACGCGGATCGGCTCCAACATCATGATACTAACGGTGGAAACCATGGCAGCCACCGCACTGGTACTCACAACCATAGCCATAAAGGAACACGTACACATAGTAGCATCACTTGCCCTCCCCCCAAACCGAGGAATGTCCGAGGTTTTGCCGGTCCCGTCCCCCGGATGAATGTCTGAATGTTTATAGATGATCTAACAGTTGATATGCCGTGGGACTTGGGCTGAGACTCTTTTCCTAGATTGTGCGATAATTCTTGTTCAAACATACTAATATCCAGTGTTTATATAATACTTTTCTACTATGTTAATTAACCTTTTCTTTTTTTTTTTGAACTATGGCTGCGGCACTATCCTCCCCATACACACTCGCCCTCCGCGAGTAATAGACCGGCTTTTTGCGAAAACGCTGGGAACGCCACATTCGCAGCCATGTGTTGGTACATACGACCAAGGTGTAAGCTCATCGTGGATCATTGATTCGAGTGATTGGTCGATTGGTGATGTCCCACAGCAGATTCTGCTTAGGGCTAATGTGCGCTCCGGCGTTCGACCCCCAGACGTGTGTATTGTACGTACCCCACCTGAGCCACGGCGAAACAAAAGATAACATTCTAGAACTGTCTCTCGAAAGGTTATGAGTGAAGGGTGGTCTGGAGTAATGGTCAGTCTTGCTCGGGCCACGAAATGACGGCGATGTTGCGGTGTACCTCACATCGAGGTTCATCCCTGCTTAGCGGTAAGGGATGCGGGATTCGAGAGATGCCTTCCTTTGATACAGATTTATGAGAGACCTGCAGGAGGCAATGTCAGGCTAGGTTAGGAGGGGCCTACCCAACCAAACTTCGTGTCAAGATAAGAGAGTTTCCATATCCATCAAGGTGTTGACTTATACAACTTTGCCACAGCAGATGTAGCGTCTGGGGATTCGGCTGCTTGTTGTTGGAGATTAGCCAAGTACGCAAGCTATTGAGAAGGCAAGCTCCGTCGATATTGTCTGTGGATTCGTCATATCCTTTTTTGCATCAATAAAATATCTATGGAGGAATCTATTCTTCGCCTAATCTTTGAAGAATTAAACAAGTCAAGGGAACAATTTAATATCCGGAAAGTTACAATTTAAAAATACATAAGCATAATCCAGGTGAAGCCAATTTGCAATTTCACGGTTCCTCCTCCGTTTCAATCGCTATCCCAAGTCACCGGAAGCCCAATGATACCCACGTCCCTGGTAGGAGGTGTCCACTGGATCTCCGATTTGGGGACCGCGAGCCTAAGGCTCGGGACTGTTTGGAATAAAGTGGCTACAAACGTGTCCAGTCGTGAGTTTCCAGGTCTTAGCATGGGATCTGTGAGCTTTTGACTTACAAAAGACAGTCTCTAGCTCCGCACGCGCAAGCCCTTCCGCGATGCACCGATGATCGCCGTATCCGAAGCCCAGGGCCTCCTCTTGTCCTCGCTTTCGGAACATGTCGAAGGTGTCTGGGTCGGGGAAGACCTCGGGATCACGATTAGCAGCTTGATTTGACGCAATGATGCCTTCGCCGGCTTTTATTTTCTGTGATTGTTAGCAGTTGATGAACGACAGGGAGAAGTATAGGATTCGGACTTGTCCACGAAGTTCGATATCCACGGTAGCCACACGCCGAGTAGCGAGTGCGGATGCTGTGTGGTAGCGACATAGTTCCTCTACAAATAGCTTGGAGAGCGATGGATCTTCCATTAACCGCGACAGTTGCTCTGGGTGCTCGAGCAGGGTCACCACGCCCTGAAGAGTCGATAGATCAGCCCAAGCTATTCAACCCTTCTGTGTTCCGGATAGTTTGGTCATACCAAGGCGATCATGCTTACAACGGTAGCGTTACCGGCCACCAAAAGAAGAAATGCTACCTGAACCACGTCAAGTTTCTCAAGGTGTCCTGGTTTCAATTGCTCCATGACCAGGGTGCTTATAACATCTTTGCCAGGGTGTGCAGTTTTCTTATCGACCAGTTTCTCCAAATAGTCCAGCAGCTCCCTACAGAGATATATCAGCCCTGTGTTTCAAGCACGTACACTTGACATGGAACGCCATTACTTGTTGGCAGCTTGGGCGGCAGCAGCAGTGCTACTTCCATTAGTCCGCGTCGCATCACACCCGCGTAAATATTCGAAGTCTTCATGCGGTATACCGAGTATATCATAGATGATCTATGACAGTGTCCGGTCATTAATCTATACGAACACGATATAAGACGATGGAAACGAATGACTCACATGGGAGGGTATTGGCAGAGCAAAATACTTCACAAGATCCACTTCTTTCCCATCCTTACCAACCGTGATCAACTCATTCAGATAATGCTGAACAGTGTCCCGAATGAACGGAAGGCGAGATTCAACGTATCCCTCATCGAAAAAGGCGCTAACCATGCTCCTGCCTCGCTGATTAACCCTAGGTATGCCGTGAGGAGGGATGCGGCAGACGTACCTTTGATGCATATGATCGGGAGGATCCATATCAACGAAGGTCGGCCGGTTTTTCGCAGCTGCCTTTCCACCAGGGGACATTTCTGGAAAGCCCTCTCGCTGACGAACCTGCGACAATATTAGTTAATCCCATCATACTGCACAGAGGCTAGTCCACATGATTGCACCTTGGAAAGTCTGGGGTCCGTAAGAACTTCGCGAACATCCTTGTGCTTTACCACCAACCATGGATGGCTCCCATCCCAAAGCTCGACGCGGGAAACAGGACATTCTCTGAGAAGACGGTGAAACTCTGCAGGTGGTTCATCGCCACTCGGGCGAGCGAAAGGGAATCTGGGATACGCTGGATCTAACTCGATATCAGCGTGAAAGTCCAGCGTTACCGTTAATATACGACATACCTGCACTCATTGTAAAGCTTGAACAATCTCTTTGTGCAGCAAGCTTATTCTGGTGTGTGTGTACCCTGTAATATATGCTATTCTACCTAGAGCCGATCACCCCACGATGTGTCATCCTGCGCCATCCCCTCCACTATCAGGCAATACCACATTGTCATGTCATATGAGACATTGTTTTGGATAGATTTTATTGGTGTGTGGTCCGCGGAAATGCTAGGAACAAGGTACACCCGCGGCTATTACGGGCTGTATGCATGGTTGGAAAAAAGCCATGAAGTCAGACCTGAGGAACCAAGGGTTCGTGGCATTGGTCTCGATTCATCTATTGTGTTGCTATTACCTTCCAGTTACTGGTGAATCAGCCCCTGACCACGTCATTCCAAGATGGAGATATTGGATGTGGGCTTTTGAATATCGGTCATCACTGTGCTATGGAAGTTAAACATAAGGTGTCTTGCATAGACCGCACTGGCCCAGAGTCAATTTAGGCTGGATGCTGACCGTCATTGAGAATTGATGTGCCAAGACTATCTTGCGCGTCTGTCCCACCAACCGTCCTTGTATTCACAATATCTTTTGACAAATGCACTGTATATCGCAGTTGGATATCATTTGTTCATCAATTAGCTAAGCTTACCTGGTAAAATCGCACTGTCCTTTGGCAGAGGGCGAGCTCCCAGAGGTTCGGATCTCCGACCATCTCCTTGGAACGCTCACATCCCAAACTTTGACCTCGAACATACACCACAAGGGCCTCCCGAATGGCTACATTTAGAAATGTCCTAAGTACTGCGCCACTTTCCGGTTTTCCCTCTGCTGAAACTTGATGGAAGGGATCCATGAACGACACGGGTGCTTTTGGTACTGGGATAGAAGTGAATCTTCAGGATTTAAGGATTATGGGTTATCGTTAAAGCAGCTTGATGAGGGGATTGAGAAGCTTTTGCAGCGTGTGGTAAGAAGCCAGGATGAGTGGAGGGAGTTGTCTCAAGCATTATGATTTCTGGGCTAACGGATCTATGTCTGTCATGAATAGAGATGTCACCAAAATCCCTGGGCGCCATGGAACTAACGATACTCAACCAGCCACCATGGGCCCGCGTTGATAGTAGTGGCTTACGTACGGCCGAGCGAACGCAAAGCCTTATCCCCTTAGCTTGTGGTCGTATGCAGTAGATCTAGTGACATTCAAATCCTATAGTACACACAATAGAGGACTACTCAGAGGAGATCCAAAAGCATTGTATGAAGCTATCGCACCCCTTGAACTTTCAGATTAGATACATATAAAACAAAGTCATATAGTATTAACAGGCTCATCCGAAAATAAATACGATAAAGATCCCAGAAGGTAACTGCGTTCAATAAACAGAAAGACTATTCAAGCCCTTCTATCTTCACACGAAATGCTCCTACTGCGTTCATGAGTCGCAGATGTAGGTTACATACCCTATTCTTCCAGACTTTCCTTGTCTATCATGGAAGCCGTAAACATCTTAGGAAATCCTGTCGCAAACACCTTCAAGAGCAAGGCAAAAGTGTATATTTACCAACGTTAATTCAAAAATGCCTTCTCTGTCGGTGATCCACAGTTGACCATAGTGTACGAAGATATATAACAGACGATATTAACAAACAGACCATCATACAGCATGACGGGAGAGCATATTTAACGTCATAGTAATTCGCAAAATTCCCCAATGACTTGATGCCCGGATATCTTAGCAGGAAATAAATCTGATCTACGGTAAAACTAAATGGTCGTTGATAATTCATCAAGCAAAAGCCGGGTTGACATGCGGAGATCTGAGCACGCCTTATACCCACCTCTTGACATTATTCTTGGCCGGCAGTAGACTAACGCACCCACGATGTTTCGCCTAGATCGTAAAGATACCTCAATTCTGCAAGTGGCTGGATGGTGCGACTCATATCAACTGTCACGTAATGAGCCGTAAACTGACATCTTCAGTATTCAATGTATATAATCTTCTAGAATGCTATGACTTGTCTCCCAAATCATCGACACAATGAGCTCTTCCTCGCGTCCATGGTATCGAATTCGGTGGTTCGCCGATGAGGACACGGCTGAGGAACGACGGCTGATCCTGAAGCTTGACCTGCTCATTGTCCCATATGCTTTCCTAGCTTACTGGGTGAAATATATCGACCAGGCGAACATTAGTGCGTTTTCTCTTCTACTCGTGTCGTCACTCATAGGTTAAGGGTTTTAGATAATGCCTACGTCTCTGGGGTTAAGGAGGATCTGAACCTCCAGGGCAATGACTTGGTTCAGCTGCAGACCATGTACACCGTCGGCGCGGTCGTGGGGCAGATTCCTTTTGTCTACCTATTCACCAAATTGCCCATTTCCTGGGTGATCCCAATTTTGGATATTGCTTGGGGTGTCTTCACGCTGTTACAGTTCCGAGCAACTTCCTTCAGCGAGCTAGCAGCCTATCGATTTCTGGTGGGATGGTTTGAAGTGTGTTGTCCTCAACTTGTTGTGAACCAATGCTGACTATCAGGCCGCCTTCTTTCCTGGGATGCATTATATATTCGGTAAGTTCTTCCACCCGCATGGATGGCATCAGGGCTGACACGTACAGGCGCCTGGTACCGTGGTGATGAAATCGCCCGTCGGGGTGGCTGTTTCTACGTCGGGCTCACACTGGGAACCCTCACAGCCAGTCTGATCCAATCCGGCGCATCAGCTCGACTCGATGGCGTGCATGGTCTCGCCGGTTGGCGATGGATGTACATCATCTGCGCTATCATCACCATCCCGGTCGGAATTATCGGTTTCTTCATCTTGCCCGGCACCCCCGACAAGCCCAACCGCATGGTTCTACAGCCCAAGGACGTTGATATCGCAAAGGCGCGACTTGCCCGAGTCGGCCATGGCTTTCACCCAGGCTTCCAATGGCGATCTGTGATTAACATCGCTCGGAATTGGAAGTTCTGGGCGATGCTTTGGCTAGACATCTTCTTTTGGAATGCCTGTCTGAATACTAGTGCCGGTGGATACTTGCTCTGGCTGAAAAGTCTGAATAGATTTTCAACAGCGCGGCTGAATGAACTGGCTGCTATCTCACCTGCTCTCGGTATCTTTTACACGTTGTTCATCTGTTTCGCGTCAGATCTCGTGCTGGGACCGGTATGGGCCATCACAGTCTCACATATCTGGAATATCATCGGCTTGGTCATTTTAATCGTGTGGAACGTGCCTGAATCTGCAAAATGGTTCGCCTTTCAAACGACCTACGCGGCCGTGGCGATGTCAAGTGTGCTATACGGCTGGATTAACAGTGAGTTGCGGGCATCGCCGGCGGAACGGTCGTTGGCGCTGGTTATCACCAACACGATTGCACAATCGACGACAGTGTGGACGCCGTTGTTGGTTTATAAGACAGTCGAAGGGCCGCGCTTTACCAAGGGGTATTCGTTTACGTTGGCGAGCGCGATCTGTCTCATTGCGACGGCGCAATTGATTCAGTACTTTCTCAAACGTGAAAAACGGTATGTCTCTCAGCCCGGGGTCATGGTTGAGCAATTATGCTAACTAACCGTGACAGAAAGGAGGAAAACCCCCCAACCGATAGGGAGAGCTCGATCGAGACACCAGTGCAGGCGCAAACGAAAGTTAGCTTGTAGACGAGAGTTGTTCACTGAGATGTATCCATCACGGAAGCTGTACTATCAATCACGCAATCCGACCCCGCGAAGACGGCATTCTTCACCTATCATTGATGGTTTCGTATCGGCCATCCTGCATGTTATATACTGTGGAGCGAGTGACGAATTATGACCCCTGTCAGACGCGAGATCAGATTCCGATGGTGCCAACGTCGACCTGAGGAATATCAACAATACATAGACAGAAAAGTACACCAAGTAGGATATCACCCATGGGCGACATGCAAAGCGATAGATCAATGCCGGTTCTGCTGAATAGCTTTCACCTTTCGAGAGTAGAACGTTGATCGCCCCGTCAAATGTACTGAATCAATGTCGTCCGTCGTGATTTGATACAATGTTCCGCTCCTTCGACTTGCTCATTGCATCCCTCCCGATGGCTACATTTACGTTGCTCCTTTCTTTACCCAAACTTTGGTTTTCAATTGCCTTACATCATTCAACATTATCAAACACTAACCGCGGAAGAGAGAACCAAATTGCAACACTGAATAGGCGGTTTGTTCCCACCGAAATGGAGCAGAAAACTACACAGCTATTCTCATGACTGCTATTGCCCTAAAGTTAGCTTGTTTGATCTATAGAGCTTGTACCATATCAAAGGGATGTTTAGGAGAATCGGTTCAGGTGGTAAAGATAATTTAATCGGTTTCTTGCATGATTGATGGACGTGTTCGCCTGCCACGAAAGATGGTTTTGCAAGTACGCCTGCCTAAGGCAGCCAGGCCGTCCAGGGCAATGGCAGGACATGTGATCTCCTTGGTCAGATGACATTGGTTGTATGTAGGACAGGCGACTTGTCCTGAGTTCGAGTGCAACGGAAAGTTACGGTTCAACCGGCCAGGATAGTGGGTGCCAGACCCGTTTAGCTCGGGAGAAATACCATAACCTCGCTTGTGCCTTTCTCCTTTCGGTATAAAAATCGCTCGAAGTCATGGCCGCCCCGATCGATACATATGACACGTACTATCCACGCCATTCGAACGATGCTATTTCGGTTTTCACTGCTCTGAAGGAATGGTTACCGGCCGAAATCGTCCTGGAGGTGTTAGACTACGCCGAATATTGGCTTCTATCCCGGGTCGCTAGAGCGGACGAAATGCAATATGAGGAGAGGGACTGTCGCGGGCAAACACCATACCTGATATCTGCACCCATTCAAGGCGAGCGGCACCCCGTGCAAAAGATCCAAATCACAGTCTGGAGCCATGACCAGGGGTGGAGTAGCTATCCCCAAGATCATGGCTCCTTCAACAATTCTTGGACATGGTTTGACCTTGGTATCGCCAGGCCGCCGGGGAGAGATGATATTTCCAAGAATGCGAACTTGCGGCTGGCAACCAATGTGCACGCAAGCAAGAAAACCGTGTGCCATGAGATTACCTACCGCAGTGATCAGAATCTGTGGTGGGTTCGAAACCTTCAAGCTGGCGATAGGATCTCTATCATTCCACGGGCGTTGTTTCCCGGCTGGCGGAACTTTGTGGAAAAGGCTTGTATTGAGATCTATACTACGCCGTTTTGACTTGACCATTCCAATTTATCGATGCCCAGGGGGGTACCATCACGCTACCCAACGATCTAGGCGCTGCATCTACAGACGCGACAAGTTTCCTTCTGAAATTCCTCAGCGCTGACCGGAAGGTTTATTACCATGATTCATGGGGAAGGTCAAGGGTTCCTTTTGACTCATGTTTAGTTGATCTGCCATGATGTTCTTTATTTGTTTATTCATATATTGAACAAATATTACGCATTATTCTGACATCGCCAATCACATTTGCTGGGTAAGAAGAAACCCAAAAGAGTTAACAGAGGGGAATTTTTCTAGAAATAAAAATTAATAAAATAGCCCATTTAAAGTGGTTTCAAGAGAACTCTCGTCCGGGGCCCATAGGGGGATTAAAAGATATCTAGGACGCACTAAATGGGATGTTCGAAGACTGTACATGACTTCCTATAGTCCCTTACGGAGGAACTGAAACATATTAACAAGCTACACTGCTACACCAAAACGAGATATTACGCTCGGAGGATGATAGGTTCTTGGCACCAAAGGGAGGGTCAACTGGTGAGTGCGGTTAATCATCAATCCCGAGAAAAATCTGAAACCTCGGCCACCACCGCATTTAATCATCTACCCAGGTTCATACAGAGACAGCCATACTATGGATCCAGAAATCCAGGACATGGACGTATCCAATAAATACTGCCCTATATGTGGGGTGGTTCTTCTCTGCGAAGATGAACCGGAAGACCCCTCCGAGACCCAGCGGCCATGGTACGCCGAAGTACGTGCGACGGTCAAGCAAGACTACTGTGACAATTTTATGACAGGTGTAGGTTTTCTTGGCTCCCGCGATATTCTCTGTGCTCCATTAGATGAAGAACTGGACTACAGTAACGCGATGGAGCTCGAGGATGTGGAATTGCTGAGAACGGAATCACCTCTGCACGGCTTTGGTCTCCACGATTCCTGTTGGATGTTGCTACAGGACCGTCTATGGCATACAATTGACTCGGAAGAAATTGCCCAGTCCCTGTATGATCAGTTTTTCTGCACTCCATCACCGCTGGAATCTAGTCTCTCTTTCGGTCATGATTATGGGGGTGCTAAGCGTTGGCAAAGAGCGTATGCCGACGTGCCGATGCCGGAGGACATGCCACTACTCTTGCAGACGGATCCATATGCTATTCCACTGCTGGAAAGGCTGGAGGAGAACGCACCTGATGTGGATGCCGGACGGGAAACTCACTCGGCATCTCCTACGTCGTCCACCGACATCAATACTGGATACCTCAACTCCTTCGGCCGAATGTCCTTAGAACTTCTTCACGAGGTTGTATCGTACTTATCGGTCCCTGAGCTCCTGGACCTAAGATATACATGTCGAGAGCTTGCACGACGTGTGGTATTTTGTAGCCTACCACAGTCCTTCTGGAAGAGACAGTTTGCTCGAGGCAACGACATGGATTTCCTCTTCCCTGATCTAGAACAAACACGGGATTGGTTCCGCTTATATCGCGGCACAGTTTCCATCCTTCACACCAAAGATCAATCCCCGGAAAGGCTCTCCCTGCTGAACCGCAAGAGAATCCGTGCGCTCCTGGAACCAATAGCATCTGTTGTAGAAGCGGACAGCGGACGATCGAAAGAGCCTCGCGGGCGCCGGGCTAACTGTCTGGAGTTTCGGCCTGGCCATTGGCTGGTATCAGAGGGCTTGACCCAATGGCGTGCGGAAAATATTTACACGGCATACATCAGCGTGGAATTGGAGGTTCTTCCACATGGATGCCGCGTCCCTCGCTACCGGATTAGCGCGTTCCCACATACCATGTTACATGGTGGAGAAATCAAAATATCAACTGTGCGGCTCGGGGCACGGGTGTTCATTTCTGGCATCAGTCATCATTCTCAAGATACACAAGTGACAACAGAACAGGCCGTCGGATATGGAGACTTGACCGGCGAGATAACGATCAATGTCCCTCCTGGGGCCATATTCAATCAAATCGAGCTTGCCTTTTGCCCAGAAGGCCTTCGGGGGATACGCTTTCATTTTGGCGGAAACACTATATCCGACTGGGTTGGGGATTCAGGTGATGAGAACATGAGCTATGGCGTCCTGCAAATCCCCCATTCGGCCAGTGGGGTATATCATATCCTTGCTGGTACAGATGTAAGCTTTTCTCCTACCACAAATGATTCAACGACTAACGAGTGCAAGACATATAAACTAACCGCTCTTGGAACCATTCATGACGAGGCACGGGCTGATACGTCTAATGATCCCTTTTGGCGGGATTATCCTCTCGATCTTACCTTACCTAATTCATATTTGTGGCAGTCCAAACGACCTAGCTATGACACTCTACAGATTTATCAGTTCCAACCCGACAACGTAGGGCCACCCTATCGTCCTTTGATGAATATTGACTTCGGAGGGCCCGGTGGCGAGTGGCTTGGTTCACTTATCAGCATGGAGGTGCATGTCTCATCTGAGTCCTCTCCGATCCTTGGCATGACATTCAACTACACGGATAAGGCCTTGCGGTTTGGTACATGTACACTGGCAAGACATTAACATTTTCCATTGATGGGCCAGGGGGGGAACGCATTATCGACGTTGTAGGGAGTACAACTGGCCATAGCGACTCCAGCACTATTTATGGCTTAAAGGTGTGTATCCCGCCTCTCCAAATGCCCATACTCTATCTCTAACAGGACTAGGTCACCACAAGCCTCAGTCGAGAAATAGAGTTCCAGCCTGACAATCCATGCGACGGCTCCAGGAGCCCAGGTATGCTTTCGCCAGATCGCCGATACGTTAATGAGCGTCCTCGGGGAAGCGTTATTACTGGATTTGTGGCCACACAACGCGTGAGTAGAACCACCCAAGATTTAGTGCTATCAAGTGCTTACAAATGACAGTGGGGTGAGGAGCACTTTATAGAGTTTGGTATACAAGTTCAATTGCTCGATAGGTCGGATGAAAGCCGGGGTGCATGACAACTTTACTGAGAGGTGGGTCCAGCTGATTAGATACAATCAGAACATAAAATTATATATCTGCTGGCGCACTCTGAAGCTATGCCTATGCGTTGGAGCTGTCCAACGAAGAGTTGTCCAATGAACCAGGCAAACATGCGAGCGTTGGCTGAGTCAAGGCTACGGCAGGTGTAATAAGATCTTCAAGAGATGTTCTGTTCAATGTCTCTGCTTCCCCCAGGGAGGATTTCAAGTCACTGTCTCGAGCAATCCGTTGAATGCCTTGTTCACGTTGACACCACCTCGACATCGTTCCAACCCGCCATCTTCCGCTTGGAAATATGATGTCAACACTCTAACTCGATCATCGGTCAATTCCCTGCGACCAAATAAGATACAGAAATGGCAGTGTATCTCTATCAACATCAGACGTAGATCACTATAGTTGGCTGCGTTGGGTTGCTTTGTCGCTCCTGTTCATACAAAAAAGGTAACAGGTCGTGATTAAATAGATAGCTATATCTGTTTATGTCTACTTGGCCATCGATACTTTCTTTTTGATTGTTTTCGCTCGTCTTTCAGGGCCAATAATAGTGTAGTGATTCTCCAGGCGGGTGGACATTTTGTGGGTATCATTTTCGCTGGACGTAAAATGCTCGAAATTTGAAAACGTCCAACGACTACGTTGAATGCTTGATTAGCCTCATGGACTACATCAGAGATCGATAGTTCCAGCGTAGGGAAAGAGATAATAGTATCAGCAGAATCTAAATCCCACGTCGCGGAATTCCCATATGATTACCGTATTAGTTCAATGGCACGGGGAATAGTTATCCATTGTTTCCTTAAAGCTTTGACTGCACCTCTGCATCCACAGTGTCTCTGGACTTTTCCTTATTCTGGTCCAGTTCCATTTATTAAATAATTGGGCTTTTGAAAATAGGATACGGGGCAAGGGTTGGGGCCAGATATGCATGATCATCCCGGCACCACAAGATAGCAATCTCTCTATACTGCATGTGCTGTTATTGGTTGTGGCTAAAGAGTCTGAACATATCCATCAAATGCGCGAATTCAATCTTGGGTTATAACCAGTCCGGCGGTCTCCAAGCTCACTGTGCCCCCGATAAAGCTTCCCCTGAGACTAGGGCGAAGCCTCTAACCTGAACCTGAACCCGCCATAGTCGAAGTGCCGTATATCGTTCGCTTCATGTATATTGAGTGGATCCGGCTCGGCTCAGGGCGCTCCTGAGTCTACTCCCCGCTTATCACGCGTTTCCTCTTGAATCTAGCCCTTGTATGTGTAGTATGTAGTGCTGTGCTGCCCTTTGGGCTTTGTCTGTAGATTTATTGGCAACACCGTGTTCGCGGAGCCTATTATGAAAGTTTTACGCCGGGCAACGGACGGGATTTGTGAGTGGATCATTCGCTCCAATTGCCCTGCCGCCTTGATTTCATGGCTTTGTTGATAAATGATAGGGTTTTTCTCGGGCGTTTGATTCTCTGTCGACGTTAGGTGACTTAAGACCAACATATATAGAACGAGGCTTCCCACCACAATTTAGCGAAAAGGCCAGCCCCATAGAATCGCAATCCCGAGTCGAAGGACACATTACGTTTCCCCAAGAAGCCCAATCCATTACCCCAACATGCAGCTCATCAAGATCATCACTATGGCTCTTCTCACGACGCTGGCTACGGCAGCGCCGCCTTCCTCGCCCGGCGGACGTGACAGGAGCAGATCCCTGACTGATGCGGAAATCAAGGAGATGAGGGGCCTCAACGCCTCTATGAGAGTGCGATTGAACGCGCTCCTCGCCGATATGGCGGTACGGAGTTGAATTCTAACAAGGCATGGAGATTCTAACCTGACTTACTATATTCAGCCGCCGAGGGTTCTTACCCAGGAGGATTATAATGAGGAGATGGCGTCAATTAAGAGTATTATGCACCGGATGCACGTGATACTCGGAATAGCCGATGAGGATCAGTATGTTCTTCTTCGTTATGCCCACTACATCCAGAAATATCTGCTAATGCCATGGTTGCTAGGGCCACCGCTGGGAATCAGCCCAACGCTGGGAATCAGCACAATGCTGGGAATAAACCCAATGGGGATGCTGGGCCTCCTAAGGGTGGTAGCAGCAACAACCATTAAACACAGGGTATCTGGTTTGTCAAGGGCAGCTTAAGTTTATCTCGTGATTAAAAAGCATGCATAGGCATACGAATGTTATTGAAGTTATCGATATATGTTCACTCTGCCCCATCTAAATAGTGAGAACGCGAAGGTCTCTCCTCAGTAGGCATTCGTTGCGGTTGCCTTGTTGAGTCTCTGACTGCCCCGAACATTTGCGCCGGCGTTGAAGTCCTGATGAAAGATGAAAAGTTGTGCCGATGTAGTACCTATACGGATCTGGTTCCTCCCCCGGTGATGGCTAGACAGCATATCTAATGGGAAGGCTATATACTATATAGCCATCCAGCTGCATCATTATTGGACTCGTGACAATCCCAACTTCTCTTTGACAGTACTCCTGTGGGATTATACTATAAAATAGCCGAACCAGAGATGCCATGGCTGATATTCAGTATATATTATGAATACCAAATAAAGGTGTAGTAGCTTTAGAACCATTTATACTCGAGGTATTGGTAGGTTACAACAGTCGACTCATTAGGTTCTGCTGAGCTACCCTGGTATCAGCCGTGGTACTTTCTAGTCAGTGAACTACAACTAGTCTGATACCAGCTGACTGCAGAGTGGCGGTGAGCATGCCAAGATCTGCAGGGGGCAATCTTTTTCCTGCCCTGAGAAGCATAAAAGTGGGTTTTTTGTAACATGCAGGAGAATCTGAATGGACCGATTCTTCAGTCTTCACAGGTCACCCAAGGCCGCGGAGCCAGATCACAGTACAATGCTGGTACTAGTGATTTGAGGTTCCACCATGGCACTAATCTAACAATACACTATTGAAAAATAATCGCTCTTCTGGTGTGGCTGACGCTGTACGGTCCGTTGTTGTGAGGGTGAACATTTCCGGATCGGCACTAAGACTACAGCCCAGATGTATGACCCACCAATGAACAGTTCATCGATTCACTTGGGTTTGCTCGGTAGCCAGTCATGGGCCTCATGGCGGGAGGCAGGCGCAGTGTAATTCCGTAGATCTGGCGTATAAAATGACAATTGTTTCAACTGTAGATTTTCCGTCATCCTCTGCTCGTGTCCTGAGCTGATCATCCGACTTGAGCGCCCACAGCATGCATTTTTACAAACCAACCTCCCCAATTATCCCGCGCCCGAATCCCATGAAAGTTCTGATATTAGGATTGCCACGGACAGGTACCACTTGTACGTTAGAAGCCAAGTGAATTGTCACAACAAAAGTATCTAATATGGAAGGTCGTAGCTCTGTACGCAGCTCTGAAGGTTCTCGGGTTCAACACATACCACTACAACGAAATCGTTAAGAACAAAAACAATCAACACTTTCAGCTCTGGTTGAAGGCCCTACAAGCAAAGTACGATGGTATCGATACGCCTTTCAAGGGAGAAGACTTCGACCAAATGCTTTGGAACTATGATGTAAGAACAGAATCCCTGCCTTCTACTTTCTCTTTCGAGCAACAGAAGACGACGACATGGCCATCCACACATTATGCCCATTAAGGTCTGGTATAGATGATATTAATCTATGTAATTATCAGGCTGCCTCAGCAGACCCCTGCTGCTTTTTTGTCGAGGAGATGATCGCAGCATACCCAGATGCCAAAGTGATTTTGACAACCCGCTCTCGCGAGGCATGGTTCAGATCCATGCAGGCCTTCCTCCTTGAAATACTTTCTTGGAAGTCCTGGCCGGTGTTGAGTTTCTTTGATGATGAGTTCTCTGGACCATACTATCGATTCCTCAATCAGACAATGTCTATTTTATCAAAAGGCCTCGTACCATACAGCCCGTCGGCGTACCCGGCAATTCTGGAGTCTTTTGACGATCACAATGATTTCATTCGCCGCACCGTGCCAAAGGAGAGGCTTTTGGAATTCCATCCAAGTGATGGGTGGAGCCCGTTGTGCGAGTTCCTGGACCTGCCAGCCCCAGAGGGTGATTTTCCGTACTTGAACGCAGCACAGGACGCCATGAAACAGGAGCAGGCACAGTATTGGTCGAGATGGTCTTGGGTTGCTAAGCGACTGGGTAAGAGGTGTGGCTTGGTATTGCTAGCATTTATCGTGGTGAAAGGGCTAGCTATTAGTTCATAGTAATGTGAGCTGAGCATATTGCTTTTCGATGCCTGCATTGATCGGTAAAGGACGGCATGTAGTCCCACGTGGCCAGAGCAATGCTGGAAACCCATATGTGAATCCGCGCGACTCAGGCGACAATCGAATCGTGCATTGGAAGGAGTTAGGCTGTTAGCTAAGCTTTCCCAAAGACTGAACTTATTGTGGTCCGGCTCTATGGCTGTATGTACCCAATTCCCACTTCAAGTAGAGGTGTATCTAGTGTGAGAGTCGTTGCTTTATCAAATACGTCCAATACAGAAACATGCGCATTTTGTTAAACAGTTAGTCGATCCCTGTGCGTCAAAATGTTGATGTGGACATCGCGCAAGAGGCGGATATCTGCACATGTATGGGATAGCCCATTACAATATAGAGCCATGGAACCTTCCCCCGGATGTGATTCTTGTTAGAAAGGCTTGCCATCTATGGAACCTCCAGAAAGTTGTCATCCTAGTAGTACGATGTTCTCACCATACCTGCTAACGGCACCAAAAGGCATACATGTACATTCGCCTCAAATGGACACCACCAGCCAGGCGACTGAGCGGCGGTTTCGAGCGGCATAATAACACAGAGTTGTTGCACAGTTCACCCAGTCTTATTTCGCAAGTAAAAGGATTGAATTGTGATAGATCGCCCATCCCCCGGTCTACCAACCAGCCAGATAAACGGCACCGGTCGTGCTTGCGCGATTCTAATCAATTCCTGTTTACTATCTTCCAGTTCAAGCTCTTCGTTCGCAACCGAACGCCTAGCCACCCCAAGGCAATAGCCGAAAATGTGATGGAATAATATATTGTCACAGTAGCGAACTGAAAATTTCCCAAGCAAAATTTCCCATGGCGCCGGTTGTCGCAGATATTCGCGCAGTGTTTGATGGAAAAATGTCACAACTGAGGACATCCAGTTGTACTTCCCATCCGTCCTGCTCACCTCAACAAGGCCGCCTAGTTTACTTTTTAGACGCGCGGCCATTTGGTTGCTTCGAAGATGCATATTATCTGGCAAAAAACCTTCAGCGGGATATGTAAGCACGCCAAGATCGTCGTTTTCGATAAACGATAGCATCACACACTGTGGGTTGCCTGAGTCCAGCATGAGGCGAAAGATTCTTACAGCCTGCCGGCGGTAACCAGGATCAATCATCCGCAGCATTCGATCATAGAATTGCTCCAGTTCCGGCGGTAGCGCCTGTACGCGCCGTTCTAGCTCGTCGATCCAATCATACTGATCAAGTCCATCGAGCAACGACCACACGGCCAGCTGCACCCAAAGGAAGACACCGCACGCCTGCTCGACCACGCTAGAGACCAGGGTTTGGAACCGAGCGACATGTTCAGTGCGTAGGATCTGCTCGTACCGGCTATGAGATCCCAGATGGGCGTACACATACCGATAAATATCATTGTAGGTCAGCTCCTGCAGTTTGAGATGCGGGCAGTTTTTGAAGGCCTCTTCAAAGGCTGGGTGCGACCGACTGGATAAGCACAGCTTGTGCCAGCGCGAGTCTCCAAATTTGCTGTCGGCCAACTCGGTGACAAACCGTGAAATCTCTCGATCGGATCCCTCATATTCATCGAGCCCATCAATGAAGAGGCATACCCGGACTGCCGAGACGGTCAGCGCCAGTACTGATCGAAACGCCACATGTAACTCCGTCAACGAAAACTCCTCATCTGTAGGCCGACTGAATGATTTAGTCGTCCGGAGCCTCTGCAATCGTGACCACGAACCGGCAAAAGCTTGCGGAATCCAAGATGGATTCCAGCCAAGTAATTGGAGCAGGAGTGCTCGAAGTAACCCAGCGCGGCTCTTTTCGAGCACGCTTCCCCGATCATAGAAGTAGAAATGACCGATGATGACGGGAGTCTCGCCCGCCCAATGTTGTAAATGTGTTGAGGTTTGTGGGTCGGTGCGAATAAGTTTCATCAACGTTGACTTTCCAGATCCGGCTTTGCCACTAACCCAGTAGATGCCACTCCCTTCGCGGAGCCATGATGCGAATCCTGCTCTTACCTGTCGGTGTCGTACCTCCAGGTTGTGGTCATTGTTGGCGAACGAGGCATCATGGCTGAGAATCCAGGAGAACGTCTGGCTGTGCGCCCCAGCTATTTCTTCATGACGGCTGTGGATTCGGGGAAAGTTGAGCATCTCGAGAACAACTACAACCTTATCAGCAACGCTGCCTTCTTAATAAATACGGGCATTCCAACTTTGTTTAATCTCTTCTTCTTCCTCATGCTGCGACGGCGGTGCTAGAAGGGGGGAAACGAGATTAGCGCCCAATCTTAACTCGTCCCTGTATGGGTTTGTACAATGGAGGCACTACCCACCCTCGATAAAGACGGATTTAACAGCTTTGTCTGTCCGAGTGTATCGCTCCAGCAGGGCCTTTATTGTTGAGGCGGACGTTAGAGCCGCAAAGTCCTGCCATTTTTTGTTTTTGTGGCTGTCCGCATAGTCGCAGACTCCCTTCACCACAACGGATCGAATTTCATCCCAAATTCCCGCGCTTTCCATCTCAAAGGCAATGACTTGGTCATTATGTGTAAACATTTCTCGATGTTCACCCGACTTCATCACCATGTCACCAGATGCGATCCGTCCGATATGGATAGCCGGGTCTTGTGCCTCCTTTTTGCCCTCGTGCTCCAGGTGTTGCTTCGCGTCCAGTTTTTCTCTGTGCACCAGAAAGCGCTCGTTACACGGGATGTCTGTACAGATTGCATGATATGCCTCCGTGCAAATACTATCTAAGGCCGTACTGCAATCCTTGCAATCCCCGTATAGTGACGAACCATGATGTTTGTGTCGATAGCGCGGGTCGAACAGCTTATCCTCCGCCGTGCCGGGATAAACATATTTGCTTCGACGTTTCTTGCGCCTTGCCAGATCCTGGAGACGCCGCAAGTACTGCGCCGTGCGCTCCTGAAGACGTTCCCGCCCGAGCTCTGTCTGGAGAATTGCAAGCAGGGAGCGGACATCCCGGTCTGGCCGTCCCAGATTATCATCCAAGGTATCCTTGCGCACCAACTGGCCTGGATTCTGCCTTCCAAAGTCATACTGGATGACGGTCTTGCTGATCACGACATCGCCCAGTAGGATCTCATCGCCCGTCTCCGGGTGTTTGGGTGTTCCACCACAGATTCCCGCAAGAAAGGCAAGCTTCAGGCCGGGATAGCTCGATCGAAGATTGGCGGCGGCGGCGGCGGCGCTGGCCTTGCCCATGTTAGGTAAAAGGGCCAGAACAACATTATAATTCCCGATCTGTCCCGTCGTGTAGTAGTTTGTGTCGCCAGCAGCGCGTCCGTACTGGTCTCCACTCTCATCCCAAAACCGATCAAAGAGGAGAGAGACTGCGTCGTACTCCAGTGGCAACGCGCAAATGATCGCGATCTCGAACTCTTCACGTTGCGAGGGTCGTCGGGGTCTGGACATAGCGGGGAAAGACAGCCAGCCTGGTCTGGTTGTAACCCATCGAATCCCGCAGAGGCGGTGCTGGCTGTCAACTACTTCGTTGCGATGCGGTCGTAGAGCAGGCCCACAAGATACACTCATGGACTCCAGACCAAGGAAGTTTGTTTCACTCTTTGAATGCCCCTTGATCGTCCGATCTCTTGACCCCGTGATGAATGGGGCGGTGTTTGCCGCGGGAGTTTCAATCGACAGCCTTGTTGTCCGCCTGGCGCAGTGCGGCACACTAAATCGACCACCCAGTCACATCCTAGTATCTTCATGACAGTAACAGCAGTAAATTACAATACATGTATTCGATGGTCTTTCGCCTTCAGTCGATCTGGTCGGTCCAGCACCAGAGCCATCCTCTCTTGACTATGTATACAGCAAGTTCTATAGTCGCTCACGCGAAGTGTACAGCTAATACCCCCCTTTGCGCCAATACAACTGTCACCAACTCGGTTCGAGTCCTTTAAACAGAAGCTTCGAAGTCAAAGGCCTTCACCCCATGGTTCCTGATGAGGAAGTTGGATGTATCGAGGCCCCCGGTGTTGTGGCCGTCACCGAGATCTTGTGTACCTGGAGCGCTTTCTCTCTGAAATCTCCTCCGTTGGGAAGCTAACTGCCCGATGCTTTGTTACTTCATAAAGAAAGTCAATACATTTTGGAGCAAGTGAAAAGCCAGGTGTTATCGAAGTATAGTAGATTAAACCCTCACGTTGAAGCGCTGTCTTCGGGTAGTAGGGGTTCCCCATTCATCCTCCCACCTTGGAAATCGTCTGCAGCGTTGAAAGAGCCCGGTGGCCGTCTGTCCTATCCTCAGGGAGAAGGATGTCTCTGGATTCGATATAGAAAGGCATCTTCCTCAAGATATAGCGACAACACCTCCTCCTTGTATCTTAGTAACCGACCTATCGAAGAGCATCGGGTAAATTATATTTCACATCATGAGCCTGTGCTATGTAAGAATGGGTTGATAGATTGGGCAAGGCATGACATTACTAACCACGGTATATTCCAACTTCGCCATGGAGATATATGGGCTATTTGGAGTATAATGAACAACAACGTGACTTGCGGGCGTTAGGGGATGTTTACTTTTAGTTTAAAAACAGATGTTGGAATACTATAGCGGGAGGTCCTAGGATTGAAGAAACTGTGGATCTACAGTGCCGGCACCGTGTCTTGCTTTTCGTGTCGAAAGTCTACTATACAGGACGTATATTTTTAGATTCATTAAATAAGTTCCATATTGCCACAGTGATTTTCCAGAATCTGCCGTACCGATACCATGGCTCGAAGAATTACTTTCCACGGTATCCATTGATAAAAAATAATGGGATCGTACATCAGTGGGAGAACGGAAAAATATAATGAAAACTAAGCCTACTGACACCATGGTTCTACCATCCCATTTGAGTTTTCTGCCCTTCAACTGGAATCAAACCAAGTATACAGCCCGCACTGGTTCTTCAACCCTAGAACCTCCCGCGAGGTATTTCTACTAGGTACCGACTACGGGAATACGTGCTGCGCGGGCCTGAAGAAATAGCAAATAGATCATCAATCGCAAGCTGAACCATGTATATACATGAGGAAATACGTGGTCCATAAGGAAGCAATCCTCGTTTCCAGTTTGTCGTTTCCAATTTGTCGTTTCCAAATGCATCATTCCACCAAAGTACCTACCATCTGTCCCTATAGTGCAATGTGCCATCTTAACAGGCGGGGAGGGGGCCTAATGGAATAATATTAGTCTCTGTTCCCCAGGATTTCCGGTTAAAATTAACTCACCGCTCCATCCGATATACGCAGCGTTCGCCATCGCAACCCAGTAACCATTCGTCAACTTGGCCCAACCCCTAGTGGCAATGTGATTAGCTCTGCCCGCTATGTCCGCCTACTGAGAGAAACGTACTTGTCACCATTGACCGGTGTAGTGTTGGACCGAGTGTAGCAGACCAAGCTGAGCTTAGTTCCCTTGGCATATTGACCAACCGCGGTGCAGCTAGTCCGGGGACAAGTACGGTAGCGGAGTCCATCGGTCTTGACGTATCCGCTGACCGCTCGCTTCTCCAAGTCCCGCTCGTCGAGGTTCAGGGCAGGAATCTCTGGACCAGTGTAGAAGGTAGGGGCGGCATCTGCTGCATCCTCAGGCATTGCTGCGCTGAAGGCCGTCGCGGGCAAGAGGGTGGCAAGAGCAATAAGGGAGAACTTCATTTTGATACTATGCTCAGGGAATAGCTGGATATGCTTGTGAATCTTGAGATTTTGGCAGTTGAACGGAACTCGATGGGAGGATACAGGGTGGCTTTATATGCTACGGTTGCCATGCCCATGATGTACTCAACACTGAGCCACCACCCGGGGGCGGCAAATGTATGCCATCATTAAACCTGCAGCAGCGTATGATCAAGTAGCAAGGATCGATACGAGATAGAAGAAGAGGATGTATCCATTGTGCTCGTATCACCGTCAATGCTTCCCAACACTAGACCACGGGAGTTATTCGTATTTTCCCTATACGGCCTTGGCGAATTTGAATCTTCTTGATTTCGGTGCAGCGAGAGTATAATCAGGTCAGTACACCCCGCGACAATATGATTGGGCGGTTTGAGTAGATCTTTGCAGATCCGGGATGAGCCTGATCTTCCTCCCGGACTAGTTTGGGGCGTCCTCTTGCAGAACCTCGTATTATTATATTAGACCAGGCAGTCTCCCACGGCTGGGCATGAGGAGAAAGGGGGAATACGATATTCATCCGCCTCTCAAATCGCGTCGGCCCTACCAAGGAGACTTCGCTGCTATATTAGTGTGCTTGGCAATAGCTGGTCCCTTGTGTCTAGGGAATAACATCGTATTCAGAGTGTCTAACTGGAAGTAATCTCTCCGGTAGCAGTTAGAGTTTCCTCACTGGCAAACGCATGACAGTCTGCCATGTTGGCACCTCGGCTGCAGCACCGATGCCGTATCCTCTCTGGTAGCGAAGAATCTCCTTGTTCAATACAGTGCATTGTTGAAAAAGAAAACTCACTTGGGAGGCTATCTACGCCTTGGGTCTCCAGTGAGCCTCTCCTCCGCTCCCCCCTTGCTGCATTCTAAGCTGTAACCGAGCGATGTAACCCAAGGGGCCGAGCCCTTTGGTAGCGCGAGCATCTGGTCAAACTGAGTGTGATACCGGCTGCAGAATGTGAAAAGATTACAAGAGGCTCTAGCGTTCGAGAGGAGCCGTCTCCTATAGGCGTACATGCATCGACGATTCAGCTCTGAGGAGAGGCCCAGCTTGTGGACCATTGAGTTGCCTCTCGTGGGTTTTCTTTTTCCCTTCAAACGAGCCTCATGCGGGGTCCATGCAGTAGGTGAGATCGAGTCAAACATTCTTTGGGGTCAATCATTGTAGGAATTTCATATTGTCAACAACGCGCATTTAAGACGTTAAAGGGCGGGGGGCAATATCTCTGTACCCTGTACGTACGCAGAAGACATTGTCGGGTATTCTCCAGCTGTAAGACTTGGAAGTCAAGGTAAACAAAGGCATGTTACTTGTCGAAGGGGGGAGATACGTCCAGACATTAACGGTAGTTGATGTGTGATGGAAGTCCGCCAACCAAGAAGAAAAAAGAAAAAAGTCGGCCCGAGCCGTGGATCGAACGCGGGACCTCTTTCCAATATGCTTGGGTTATAGGGAAACATCCAGCGCTGGGCAACCGCCTCCTGCTAAAGGCTCAGCTTCTCCAACAAGGCAGGGAGAATAGTTACCTGGTACAATTTCGACTTGGTAAGTCGCAGTTAGAAGTATATCATTTGATGAGCAGTGAGCAATGGAATTACTCGATGGTCGATTACTTTCGTGTTAAAAGGGTGGATTTGCAGTATTCATGGATCAAGTGCCGAAATTCCGTGAAATCATATGCGGATCCCGGATATATATATTGGGTGGTTCCCAGTTCAATCGCCAACCATTATTAACGGTGTGTTCACATAAAGTGGACATAATTTGCCAATTTCAAAGATACATGGGAAGATACCTTGATATTTGGTGTGTACTGCAAGAGAAAAGGGACAACAGAGGGATCTACAACATGGATACTGATCAAACAGGTCGCCTACAGCAAGAAGGACCAAAGGTCTATGGTAAGTCAAAAATGATACTAGATACTGAATAGATTTCCTTAATATATTACAACCAATTTCAAAGATTGAACAGTCCGCTTCGCTGCTTTCCGCGGGGATACACGACCAAGGCCGAAAAAAACAACCCCACGGTGATACCCAGAGCGGTTTGAACCATACTAAGGCCCAGGCCGTACAAGGACTGCTGCACGGCCGTGTTGGAGCTGGACGTTTTAGCGACCGTATTATTTTTGACCGACTCAGCATAGGCCAACCCCGACATGATCGATCCGCTCGTCGCCAGACCTGACGAGACCAGGGTGAACATGCCCGGGACAATGGCCGCCGCCGCATGCCCATGCCATAGACGCGAATACAAGTTGGCAAGCAGCCCAATGGCAAACGCGGAAATAGTACTCGCCAGTCTACTATCCAACGCCTGGCTGAAATAGTTCGCTACGTACCCGCTCACACCCAGGAAGACCGTGACCGGCAGTTGTTTCCACCTCGCCTGGTTGAGCACCGCGGCGACCGCACAGTAGATCGCGACGAAGACAAAGTGCTGAATGTATTCGTTGCCATAGATCGAGAGACTCGCCGACGGGCAAGAGGACTCCGTGGTGGCATTGCTGTCGAGAAGACCGTAGATCGTGATGCCCACCGTGATGCCGTATCCCAAAAAGAGGGAGTAGATGATCGTATAAACTAATCGGATCGAGCCGGCCACGATCTGGTGGGACTGCAACTCAAGACTGCTACACAGAACGGAGAAGCCAGGTAGGATGAGTGCGATTGAGGACTGGGTCAGAGCAGAAAAACAAAAAACAGGCTCGCCACCGACTCGAATGCTTCCAAATGCGCGGGCCAAGAATGACATCAGGATAGCGACGCTGACCTCGAAGACGTTGGAATAGACGGGTGACGCCGGGGCGAGCACATTCTGCATGAACCCAAGCAGGCAGCCGAGGACAAAGATAATCGGCATATCGATCGGCCGCGCGTCAAAGGCCCAGGGCCCGACGGCGACGCTGGCTAACCCCGACAGGAAGATTAAGCTCCACGCGCTATGGTAGCGACTTTTACGCTCCATGAGCTGGTTGAGTTCGCTGATGGCATCTTCGACGCTGATTCGATCATGGACCACGTTTTTATAGATGTTGTGCGTGCGTGCTAGACGTCCCAGCTCCAACCCCGGCACGACCGAAATCATGTGAACTTCGGCGGTCCTGGTGAGTGGATCGTCGAAGGAGACGATCATGCACCCCGGTAAGTACATGAACTGGCCCTGGATCTCAAGCACGTTGGCTGTCATCCGCATGTACTCTTCCAACCGATGGGTTGGGGCGCCGTATTTCATCATTGCACGGCACAGCAGCATGATGTATCGTTGGCGAGTTAAAATCGCCGCAATATGTTTGGTCAATCGAATCTGTTTCATAGGTCGTTTGCCCTTCGACCGATCTCCTTCATCCTCATACCACTTTTGCTTCCGACGCTTCTTGTTATTGGCCCCCGACGGGGAAGCTTCGTCTTGGGAAGCGACCGTGGAAATACTGGCCTGACTAACATTTCGACGATGACCCTGATCCATTTGATGCTGCAGAAGGTAGGAGAACACGCCGCGATTGACATCACGGTCGTCTGGCACGTCGGCATCCTCTGGAAGCTTCCCGCCGACGCCCAATTTCCGGACCAGAAAGCGAGCTTCGGAGACCAAAGTATTCTGCAGCTTTGACTGGTACGAGTCCGGGGGGACTTGCCCGTCCGGCATCATATCTAGCAGGCGCACATCCTCCGTCGCTCCGTACTGTTCGGGATGAGCAGCCGCATCAAGAGCATCCCCTCCATCCGTCGGACGACCGAGGCGGGTGGCCAGTCGTGCGCCGGATTCTCGCAGCGCTCGGAAAGGATTGGGCAAGGAGTTCATGAAGGACGGTGCAGAGGAACGGCGGGGGTCGGGGATGTTATCGTCGTCACTCTGAGCGGTTGCATGATAACGATCGTTGGAACCGTAGGGTATCTGCGACATCCTGAACAGCGGCTGCCACCATGATCTGAGGGTCAACACCGGGCCGCAGCGTTAAAAGTTAAGTTGGAGGATGGGGGAGGGAAATTCACCGTCACGAGGCCTCCCACATTCTTCTCGTAGGAAGGTATTTGACAGATTTAGGGGAGAAAAGAAAAAGTGTCCGTAAGAGGAATAGGAAAATTGAGAAATAAACCATCGTGGAGGTGACGTCGGCTCATTCGGGACGAGAAGAAGGAGTTTCAGCCATTGCGGAGTTTTACTGAGTCTGGGGCAAGAATCCCGCCCAGTGATGAACGTTCGGTTGGGTGACTGGTGGAGCAGCCAGGGAGAATGCCTGGTGACTTGGAGCCGCAGACAGGAAGCTTGTCCTGGTTTTTTTTTTTGTTGCCTCCACATTTTGGCTGGTCCAGGTCTAGAGGGTCGAGTTTCACAGTCGGACTCCGTACTTTTGTTGACGATGTGGATGTGGATCAGTTTTTAGTAACCAACGAGAAAGAAATTACGTGATCGCCCGCGTAATTCCCGCGGCTGTCGTGCGATTGCCGATTGGTGGCTCAGGCGCCTGGAACCACGGGAGGCGCCAGGAACAACAGCATTCCATGGACATTGATTTGATCCAGAGTTTCTTCTACTACTTTTATACTCCCGGCGCACGAATAAGTTACGACATAATATCACCGTCGATTCCGCTATATTCTGACTCACACTTTGTCCCAAGTCACAAGAGGAGAGGGTCGACGGGAGATACTACCCTCGTCATGGGTTAATTCCGAACCTAGATTGTCTCCCGCAGACCCTGGCGTGGACTCTCTTGGCTCGGACGACTTCTTCTGGGATATCTTCCAGCCTCGCAGAAGCAGGGTGCATAGAGAGGCACCGATATACATGAAACCGGTAAACAGTTGTGTGTGTAGAAACTCGTCCTTTCCAGACGTGCGAAGTTCAAGACCGATTGCTTCCCCAACTGTCCAACCTGTTAGAACCAGACATGTGAAAGCTGTGGGTAATCGAGTGAAATATAAAATGGGGAACATACAGGTCGCCGGAACCGCACAAACAAGCCACATAATAGTTAAGAATGACTGAAGGTCATCTAATCCAACAACTTCTGCCCCCAGTGGTCCAACAGCCTGGAGCTCCATCAGCCATTGACATATGTAAGCTGCGCACCGGTGAGGTCAAGAGTGACTTACCGTCCAGAACGTGCCGAAGAGGATTCCTGCGAACAAAGCAAAGCAAAGGAGCGCTGTGTATGTTTTGGCGAACACCCAGAGCAGTAAACAGAGCAACCCGCTGGTAAACGTGGCAAAGGTGGTCACATTGATGCGTCCGAAAACGTCACTGAAATAGCCCACCGCAGGCCGACCGACAATCTGGCCAACATTCATCACCGCAGTTACGATCGATCCTTGACTGGCGGACAAGCCGATGGATCGTGAGTAGGTCGCAAGCGAGTACCAGATGACCATGAATCCCATTACGCTGAAAAAGCTCCAGCCAATAAACAGCCAGGTTTCGTATCTCTTGCAGAGACTGAGGCGAAGAATGGACTTTTTCCTTTCTGATCGGGCTTCTTCTGTGCGATCCCGTAAGAGGAGCACACATATACTATTGACAACGAATTGGATAATGGCCAGAATCCGATACGACCAACCACTGCCGAACCGGTCCAGCATCGCGTGGGTTGCCAACGAGTATATTAGTCCTCCAGTACCGGTCCCTGCCGTTGTAATACCTGCGGCCAAGCTGCGTTTCTTGTGGAACCATTGTGGAATAATAAAGGTGGTCGATAGATACTGCAAGCCGAGACCCCATCCTAAGCAGACGCCTTGGCTTAGGTACAGCTGCCAAACCCTGGTGCTCCAGGACGCTCCCAGGAGGGCCGCAGTCTCAAAGAATACACCGAGAGCCATCGTTGTTTTGAGGCCGAAACGACGATGAATCATGGTAACCAAGGGTGATATAACCAGCGCCTGCGAGGCGGACAGGCCGCCAATCAACGCGAAGTCAAGACTGGTACCACCGGAGATTCTAGAGTTTGAGATGAAGTCTTCCAAGAAGACACCGTAGCTCTGGGATGGTTAGTTTGGAGCTGCAGGGTCTAGAGGATAGGCCGCCATACTGATAGGATTCCCCAATGGTGGGCATTGTTCCAGAATACCGCTAGGACGATAATCCAGCCGTAACCTCCATCGACTGTACTTGAGTGACGCATGTTGTCACCTGAAGATGGTCAAGCTTGGTGGAGCAAAAGGTCGTGAATCGCAGATGGACACACGGTCAGTAACGAATTTAGGGGCTTGGATGACCGTAGATGAGCAACCCGACGGAACGGAATAGAAGGGGAAAAATGAAAATAAAATAGAGCTAAACAAAGTAGAGAAACGGACGGGCTGCGAATATATCCACATGGCATTACCCAGGACTTTCTGATTTTCTCCCTTGTTAAGGAGACTTGCACCACATATTACAGCAAAGAAAACTCGACCAAGTGGAACCGGCTCCCAATCGGTTTTAGATGAGAAATTCCAGGAGAAAGGCAGCAGAAGAGAATACCTGTCATTGCAAACTGAGTAATCACAAACAAGATATTCGTAACAATGAACATTCGCCGGTGGGTACGAGGATGAAATTGATTATGTCTCATAATCGTTATAAATCGTTGGCAAGTTACTAAGATTCCGGTGGGAGTGATGACTAGGAGAACAATATCGACAAGGATAGACGTTTCTCTCTGCTAGACTTTGGGTATTTAAGAAACCCAGATACCAGACTTCTGATCTCATCTCCATTCTTCGTTTCACTCCAGCTTCACTCTACTTCTACGGATCATTCATCATGGCATCTTCGTTCAAGAGTGTGGTTAGCATCACGCACGTTACCACCGCCACTGCTATCATCAACATTGACGGCATCAACTTCCTCACTGATCCGGTGTTCTGCCCTGCTGGATCACAATATATCTACGACGGCTGGGCAAAGGCCCCAAACCTCAAGGATTATGGGTTTGAAGGCCGCCCGCCCGCGGGTGTCCTCCGAAGCATTGAAGGCCCAGCATTGCAACTTCACGACCTTCCTCCGATCGATGCGGTCCTGCTAAGCCACGAGGATCATGTGGACAACTTGGATCCCTTGGGCCGTCAGCTTCTGGACGGTCGCAAGGTCTTCACGACTCCCGACGGAGCGCATAACCTACAACCCCGACCAGGAGTCGTCGGTCTTCGCCCGTGGGAAACCGTTTCCGCCACGATCGGAGGCAAGGAGTTTCGCATTACTGGAACCCCGTGCAAGCACTTTCCAGGAGGCGAGGTGACTGGCTTCATCTTAGAGTCGGAATCCTTTGGTTTCAACGACGCGGGCCTCCCCAACGTTGTGTATTTCTCCGGAGACACCGTGTATCTCGACGAATTCGAGAAGATCAAAGACAAGTGGAACATATCCGTTGCAGTTCTCAATCTTGGGAACGCACTTTTCTCCCACCCGAACGGCATCATCCAAATCACTTTTGACGGCAAGCAAGCGGCCCATTTCATGCGTGTGACTGGTGCCCAGATCATGGTGCCGATCCATTTCGAGTCCTGGGAGCACTTCACCGAGCACCGGGAAGATCTTCTTCAGGTGTTTGAGAAGGAAGGAGTGGCTGACATCGTCCGCTGGCTCACTCCAGGGGTGGAGACCCGGATTATTTAGTCTCACTATTCCCCGTCTGTATTTGTGGCATGAATTATGCCCCAGTGAGTGGTGTGTGGCGTTGCCTGTCCTGTTTGATATTGTGTATCCGCATATAGAGAAAACGTCGACTATTTCGAGATATTGTTGTTGAAACATGGCATCACTACGGGGTCTTCACGTCCACTCGTAGGCATAAGTGACAGCTTAGACATTGATCTATTCAATATGTAATTGCTAGGCTTGGCTGCAAGAGATGGTTGTTTGTGGTAAACGGGCTATCAGTAAGTCTGAACGTCTACCGCAGTCGCGTGGAGCCGAACCATGCCGCGGTAGGCGACCGTTGTTATAGATCCAGTCGCTTGTAAGTATTATTTCGTACGTTGTTATAATCATTTGCGCGATGCTCATAAGACTCATGGCCAGCCACAGTAATATTGACAGTCGTCGACTTTCTGTTAAGGGACTTGGATCATTCAGAGCTGTTTCATACGCGCTCTTCTGAACACCGCCCCTTTCTTTTTTCCATCTTTTCCTGTTCTTATCTGGTTGGGATCATAGGTAGAGCGCTTAAATAGAATCTATACATGTAATATGAATCAAATCCAATTGAACCCGGGATCAACATCCTCCAGCCACCCCCCACTTTCAGATATTAATTTGATTTCTTGACTGCCCTCCGGATTCATGTCTCTGGGGGTTTGTGCCAGTAGATTGGATAGTTCCGGATTGGACTTAGCCTCCCATAAAGCATTGCTATCTGGCGCTGGGAAGCGAAGGTCCGAAAGACGCAGTAGCCGGGAGTCACTGTCTCCATCTGGTTCACCTTGGCGAGCGCTCCAACACCTGTTACATACCTTATACAGAGCTAGCCCCAAGCGCTTAATTTCTTCCACTCCGACCCATATGCAGGTAATATCGTCAATGTCTTGATAACGCCCTAGCATTGCCGGGTAAAAGAACACATTGTGTCTCAGACATGTCTGTACCAGAGCTGTTAGTATCCTTCGGTCTGATTCGGGAAGCTGGATGGTCAAGTCCAGTGAGTGAGAGTAGCGTGGGGCCGATAGAAGAGAGAATATCAGATAAAGGAGGACGCCCTGATAAGTCGCAATCGGCCAAGTTGACGCTGGTCTTGGTTGTTGATTACTTAAACCCTGCCAGGTTGGCTGTATTGTTTTGGGGGCTGTTAGCTCTCCTTACCAATGCCACGGAAGAGAAGCAGAACGACCTACCTGCTGTTGCCGAATACAAGTGCCCAGTCTCCCGTGTAAATCTAGTGCGGACCTCCGGCAAGAATCCTTCCCAGACACCCACATGCCTACCATCACCACAGCATACAGAAGAAGGGTTGGTTCATGCGAAGCACCGAAGGTGGCGCGATGAAGAAACGGCCACCGGGGATGGAAGCGAGTGAAATATAGCTGGATATACTGGTCAATCTGGTACCTAGGATCGTTTTGACTGAGCCCTGAAGGTTCCAGATCAAGGGTTGCATCGAGGCAAGCGGGTGCATTTGTCGGATCTGGCTGAGGAGCAACTCGATCGTCAAAGATGCAACGATGTCCCTTTTCTCGACATTGCTTGCAGGGATTTCCCCCTCGACACCGAACTTTGCCTATGCGACAGGAACGGCATGCGCGAATCGCACGAGAGCTTTGTATTTGTTCCTCTTCGTGATCTCGCCGTATGTGTCGGCGGAGCGTGTCGCTGTGATCGTCAGTCGGTATCAGACAATCGGTGAGGGTGCAGAGTAACACTACCTGCGGGAGAAACTGCGATCACAGAACGGACAGCTCGCTGTTCGAGCGCCGGAGTGCTGACTCTCATGTCGAGTTCGATGTTCTTGGCGCCGGTAACTGGCGCTACAACCTTGATAGCGACAGTAGAAGCGGCCTGTTCCGCTCGCAGGCATCGTGGATATGGGGAACCGTACGGGACTAAGGAATTAGTCGGTGGATAGAAGAACAATCTGACGATAGGTGGGAGAGTGGGCAGTGGCACTTCTCCGGATTCTAGTATTCAATCCCACCGGAGCGGAGCCCACCGGAAGCCCACCGGAAGCCCACCAGAGCGGGATGCCGACAACCCCACCGTCGATTACTGATCCATTTCTTGGTCCAAGGAACTAAATGCCTCCCCAGACCAGACATTCGCCTATTTAAACGCGTGTCAGTAATTCTACCAGACTGAAATCATTCCCATCATCACAAAACCGTTCTTTCGAAGACAACGTCACCAGTCACTAGTTCAGCCATGGCTTCCAATGCTCCATCCTTCCGCCAAACCATTGGCATTCCTCCTTCCACGGCGTCTGTCAAAGACTCCACTCTGATTATTGTCGATGCGCAAAACGAATACGCCTCGGGCCAGCTGAAGGTCGAGAATGTTGCCCAGAGCCGCAAAGTCATCGCCGACTTACTGTCTCGGTACCGGGATGGTGGCAACGGCTCCAATATCGTCCACGTGGTCCACGAGGTGCCGGCCGGTGCCCCCGTCTTTACTCCGGGCACTGCGTTAGCTCAAGAGTTCGAGGAGCTGACACCAAGGGCCGGTGAAAAGATCGTCACAAAGAACTTCCCGAGCTCTTTCGCTCAGACCGACCTCCACGAGTACCTGGGCGGCTTGGGCGATGTGGGGAAGAAGATTGTCCTGGTCGGGTATATGGCACACGTGTGTATTTCCACCACCGCCAGGGCCGGCAGTGAATTGGGCTACGATGTGGTTGTGGTGAAGGATGCCGTGGGTGACCGTCATATCCCTGGGGTTGAAGCCGAGCAGTTGGTGGCGGTGGTGCTCAACGAGTTGGCCGATGCTTTCGGGACAGTTGTTTCCGCGGAGGAGATTAGCTCTTAGACTCTTCTTGTCAGACGTCCTTTGTATCTAGTTGAAATACGACGTTTATATTCCTATTTCTACTCTCAAGGTCTACTGGTTCTAAAGGAGGTCAACAAGGCCGTCTTTCACTGGATGGGCTTTAAAGGTGGTTTCGCAAGACGTAAAAACAGAAGCTGTATCGATCGTACGGTTGACGAACGTAGCAGACATTGAAGCAATCATGTGCGCCTAATGTCTGTAGAAAGAAGCGAAACATCTACCGATTATCACTCGTTCTATGCTTTTTATCCCGCTCATTCAATTTGAACCATCTGTTGTATGACCCCGGGATGGGACAATGTGGGTCCCTCTTCAATCCATGTATTACTAGCCTCTCGAGGGAAGGTGAGCTATCCATGGAGAGGAATCCTTAGCGGCAATGTCACCTCCACGTGGAGTCCCTGCTGACTGCATACAGAGTGACACCCCTCATCCTTTGAAATTATGGCATCGTAAACATATCCTAATCAGGAAATTGCACATGGCCACTGCCACAGATTGTGTCCGCTTCTCTCTTTGGGCCACAGTTGAGCACGCCACCCGGTGGGAGAAACCGGCAACATCAAAACAGGATACATGCGAGCTAACTAGTATTTACTGTCAGCGATGAGGCAAGTAATTTCCGATTGGACTAGCATGAGCCAATACCGAAGATTCTGCGAATGCAATCGGTACCTGCGCGATTAGGGTATAGTCAATAGGCATGGTTACGCAGGTCACGGACGGTTATGAGACTTGACTGACTTGAATATGCCTCAAAGGATCCATAACATCAAGGCGAAGCGAGGACTACATGACCAAGACCTGCCACTCTACCTAGTTAATGTTGCATTTCCTGTTGGGATGATCCAGTGTATATGGATTGTATTGTATAATATCCATATCAGAATCTAGTCGGCATCCCGAACCAAGAGGGTGCCAACCAAAAAGAAAAGACAAAAAAGCACAAAGACAGAGGCCTAGTGAGACAATGAAAACGAGCAAACTTAATCTATCGCCGATTTGTGGAGAGCAGAATTCCACTATATTCGCCGAATCCTTCAGAGTACAAACTCTAATTACGAGCGTAAGATCGTCGTGGAAACTAATCATTGTGGTACTCTCGGGGCCCATGGGGAGATGGCTCAAGGTATGGGTTGCAGCAATAGATTTCGCAACGTTTATATACCATCGGTATGTCACCAGGTCGTCAGAACCACCAGAGTTCAACTGAAGCTCAACGTCCGCGATGAAGTTTAGAAACCAGATCCTGGCTACTTTGGGCCTGCTTGGAGTGACTGAGGCCAATCTGGGCTCAGTCAATGCCATTAAACATGCTGCCCAACAGAATCCAGTCGCGCAGCGACCTCCAAACTTCCTCTTCATTATGTCTGATGACCAAGATCTTTTACTGGACTCGCTATCCTATACTCCGTTGACTATGAAGCACATGAGGGACAAGGGAACCACCTTCAGCAACCATTTTGTGACCACGGCTCTCTGCTGTCCGTCAAGGGTTAGTTTGTGGACAGGACGTCTAGCACATAACACCAACGTTACGGATGTTCACCCACCGTGGGGTAAGAGCCTGGACTTGACAAAGCCCTCATTGTTACTGACTCATTGAATAGGTGGATACCCTAAGTTTGTTCAAGGAGGGTTCGATAAGAACTTTCTCCCCGTGTGGTTGCAACAAGCGGGTTATGACACTTACTACACGGGAAAGCTGATGAATGCTCATTCCGTTGAGACTTATGCTAGTCCACATGTTTCTGGTTTCAACGGATCAGACTTTCTATTGGATCCCTACACCTATGACTATATGAATGCTACTTACCAGAGGAACCACGACGCCCCAGTCAGTTACTTAGGAAGACACACAACCGAGGTACTGACAGAGAAGGCCATGGGATTCCTGGACGACGCCCTGGCTGGAGAACGTCCATTCTTCCTGGCTGTGTCGCCAATTGCACCCCATTCAAACATGAATGGGACATACGGTGCCGGAAGTGGGCCGTTATGGATGGATGAACCCATCCCAGAAGACCGCCACAGGCACCTTTTCCCTGATGCTAAAGTGCCTCGTACAGCCAACTTCAACCCTAAGAATGTAAGTTGTCTTTCTCCTATGCGTAGGGTCTTCGAGAGATTGACTAGAGAACAGCCTACTGGAGTCAGTTGGATCCACGACCTTCCTTTCAGGAAGACACGGAGGTTGAGTATAATGACCATTACTATCGCCAACGGCTTCGTGCGTTACAGGGTGTGGACGAACTCGTTGATACTCTTATTACTCGGTTGGAGCAGAGTGATAAGCTTGACAATACGTATATTATCTACACCTCGGATAATGGCTTTCATATCGGGCAGCATCGACTTCCTCCGGGAAAGACGTGCGGGTTCGATGAGGATATCCGAGTCCCATTTTTCATCCGAGGACCTGGAATCCCAGAGGGAGTGGTGGAAGACTCTGTCAGCACCCATATCGACCTGGCTCCGACTTTCTACGAACTGGCGGGGATTCCCCTGAGGGATGATTTCGACGGCGCGCCTATGCGCATTCGAGGAAATGGCGTGGAGAGTCTGCACGAGCATGTAACCGTCGAATATTGGGGACAGGCGATGCTTGAGGGAGGACTATCTAACCTTGGTAAGACCTCGATACCATTGTTTTCAGCAAGTGGAGCTTGTGGAGTACTTACATCTGAACCAGGCAAGCCAACCGTGCCAAATAATACGTACAAGGTGGTGCGTATATTGAGCGAGGAGTACAACCTCTATTATTCTGTATGGTGCAATAATGAACACGAACTTTACGATCTCACCGTATGTCCTTGTACCGATAAATATGGACAACTCAAGAGAGAGAGAGCTGACGAGCGATTAGAGTGACCCACATCAAATCAACAACCTGTATGTCACCGCGCAGGCAGGTAACTCACAAGAAACCCAGATCATAGGATACAGCCTTTCGAAACTTGTTCCGAGACTTGATGCTCTCCTCTTGGTCTTAAAATCCTGCAAAGGAACTTCCTGCATCGAACCATGGAGTGTGTTGCATCCCGATGGATCTGTGCATAGCCTTCGGGATGCCCTGAATGAGAAGTACGATTCCTTTTACAATGCTCAATCCAAGGTAGCCTTCGACCGATGTGAGTATGCATATATCATTGATGCAGAGGGCCCACAAGAAGCATTAGCGTATAGAAATGGATACAGCCTGGATGCGTGGGTATGAAATCATACGGGTTGGCTGGATCGCACTTCTTGACGGATAGAGTTCGGTAGTGACAAGTGGAAATTTCATTTTAGAAAAGATAGGTCCGGAAATGAATAGGTTATCAAGACATACACATATAGAATGTAGTACATCACAATAAGCACCACGTACATTCAAGAATGACATGGATTAGACACACCTCCTTGGCTTTGTAGCGAGTGAACCAGCTCAATAAAAGATGGCTCAACTTTGATGGGGTCAAAATTTGAAATGACATGTATATTTCCGGGCTAGCTAATCATATCTGGCTCAGCGATGCTCGGCCATGAGTACCTCGGTGTATGTACATGATGACTATACACACCTTGACAGTGTACAGTATAAAGGATATGCGGTGCTCAAAACTCAAAGCTTTCGTCCCGCTTACAGCTGTAGCGATTGTACCGTGGTATTTAAAAGCTGAAATTACGCGTGGTTCTTCACGAGGGAAGTGATACGGAGATTGACGGCGCATCATAGGAGTGTTAGGTCCAATTCTTGAGAGTCGACTAAAACGGACTGGGTTAACTGATCATCTAACAAGCCTCTGCTCTCTCTGGCAAGCGCCGACTCCACCTCGATAGCCACGTCGCGCATCCGTGCCATCGAAGCCGCTGCAATCGCCCACACATGCCCCATGGACTTCAGGACGCCGATATTTAGCGCTAGGAAGTTGCGGCCTGTGCGAGTCGACTGCTGGGGGTCAGCTGTAAAGATGGCTAGTTGGACGATGGAGCTTAGAACTAGCGTGCAGACAAAAAAGGGGCTATGACTAGTCACGGTGGTCGTTAAGGATGCCAGCTTAGATAGGTTAACCGCCGCACCGTATACTTTGGCTGTGTGTATTTGAGGATTTGCTGAGCTGGACGTGAAGGTGGGGGGTCGAGAACAAAAGATGTGGCTGGTCACGGGCAGGAAGGCGAGCAGATATGATTTCGGAAAGTGTAAGTATATTGAAGCGCAGTGCATTATCATGAAAGATTGAAAGATCATTTGATCCACGTCACCGTTATGATGCAACATAGCCTGCTTGCCACTAGGCAAACGGTGAAACCAGGCCGAGATGGTAACGTCGAGAATATTAATAGTTTCATGGGAGACATGATTACCGCTCGCTATCAGGCACCTTCGAAGGATCGTGGCTGCTTCAACCCTATATGCGGCGGATGAGAAATCGCCGTCATTGTGAAACAGGGCTTGACGGTCCATATCGCGAAGAGAGGTTGGAACGATTCCCAAGCGGCCATCCTGGTATTCGTCCATTTCACAAGGCAGGGGAAGGCCCGGTGTCTCTATCGTCAGCTGTAAAGCGCCGTCGACTTGTACAGCCGCGAGAAGGGTGTCGATAATGAAGATCTCCCACCACGTCCGCCGGGCACTCTCAGCCCCCACAGGATTCTGGATCTCCATAGCGTCGGAAAATTCACGACAGTGAAGGCCAAGCTCTAGACTCAAAGCAATCGCCTGTCCAAGGCATTCTTTTGCCTCTCGTGGTTGGGTTCGTGCATGCATGATGATAGACAGAAGCAAAAGTGCCTGTACCTTTTCGAGACTGGCATCTGCCTCCTGAACGGCTGTTCTTAGCTGATGCGTGTGGTCTGGAACATTACTCGGTGGGAGGTAATGTAGGCTGATGAACTGTACCACATCCAGCAAGTAGCTGGGGGGAGAAGAACGAAGGAATGCGTCGCGAGGCGGCAAGAATGGGTGCGCTTGATGGAAGTGAAGGAAAAACAACGGAACCAGCTGGTTATCCATCGGAGAGGGGAGCGAAGAACAGATCACATTCCCATCTGGAGCAGCACATGCTAAGGAATCTAAAGGACTCATCATTGCATTGCCCGTGGGCTCGACAGGCAGTGGAGGGTAGTCTCCTATTGCACCTGAGTAGGGCCAAGGCCGTCCTCGCCTCCCTCGGCGACTGGGTACAAAGTGGCAAAAGAGACTTAGGTCTTTGCACCGGGTACATCCCGTCAGATTACCATCGCACTTGAGATGCTTTTCGCGACAGTTGAGACAGGCGACGGGGACCGAAGGGGGTAGGGTAGAGGAGGGACTTGACGAGTGGTCCATGATTGGGAAAGGCTGAGTGGACTTGGTATAGTCAATGGAGTGCGGTGGATGATTGGGAACTCAGTCGAATTAAATACTGTATTAAAATACACGCAATCAGCTGACCGTACCCAGCCGCCAGGCACGGGGGCCCAATCAACCCTAAATGTCGGAGACAAAATAAATTACATCTAACGTTTAATATCATCTACACCACATGGAATTCCAGTTCGCAGAGAATATCCACCACACTGGTGCCGACGAAGCAGCGGTACCTGCCTGGATCTATCTTCCATGAATGGGCCTCTTCGTCATACCAACGCAATTCTCCCTTGCCGATCGGAATAGTGAGGTCTTTCGATTCTCCCACAGGTACAAACACCTTGGAAAATCCAGCCAGCGTTTTTTCATACGTGACTAGCCCTCTCTTTTCAATCCGTTCAGAAGGGCTAACATAGACCTGTAATACTTCAGAGCCAGCTTGTTCACCAACGTTGGTGATGCGAGCGTGGACTGAGATGGTGGACGCTGTTGTAGTGGTCATGTACCCATCAATACGAATGTCAGTGACCTCAAACCGCGTGTAAGATAGTCCATATCCAAACGGCCATAGAGGCTTGATACCGGCCTTATCGAAGTGACGATATCCAACCAACCCTTGCTCCCCAAACTCGCATGAGTCGTGGGCTGCCCGCCCCGGGAACCATGCATGAGAACCGTGGTCCTCCAGCTGGCGAGGAAAAGTGATCGGAGTTTTACCAGAGAAGTTACAGTGGCCTAAGAGAGCGTCTGCCAAGGCATTCCCGTTTTCCTGGCCCTGGTACCAGGCCATGACAATTGCGCGGGCTTGGTTCACCCACGGCATTGTTACTGCACTGGCTGCCTGAACGACAACGATTGTATTAGGATTGGCATCGCAGACTGCCTGCACGAGGGCATCCGTCCGGCCTGGCAATTGCATGTCGATGCGATCGCCGCCTTCGCCCTCGGAGTCCTTATTGTGACCGACAACAACGATAGCTATATCGGATGACCTAGCGCATTCCACGGCGCGGCCCAGCAATGCCCCCTCATCCTGCTCCAGGGCAAGACCAACCCGCAGGCCTGAGACATTCGGAAAGAGGGTGTTATCAAAAGATTCGAAAGGTGGCAGGGTCACTACATTATCCACCCTCAGCCGATATGCTTTTCCTGCTTCTAAATGCATCCGAATTGTTCGATCTTCACTGGAGCATCCTAGGAAGCCTCCGGTTATCCGTGACCACTCCGTATTATCAATAACCATTTCATTGTTGATAAACAGCTTCGCTTTGCCTGTATTGGCCACACTCCACGTATACCAACCAGATACCTGGGGTGTCACAATGCCGGATGCCTGGTAGCAGTATGGGCGGCCCTTGAGCGATTCTGGCACATCACCGTCACTAAAGAGATAAACAAGGGAGTCATCCCAGTAGCTGGTTGCTACTACGGGTCCCTGAAACTCGTGTCCGGAGTAGAAAGTTACCTCAAGCCCCTGCCGGGAGCCGTCAGGTATGGTGAGCGTGGCACCTAGTAGTGGTGGGCGGAGACTAAACGGAATGCCTTGCTCATAAGCAATATCCGTCTGTGGGCTAGCTTGTTGGATGGCTGTCGTAATGCATTCTTCAGGCGTAGTGACGTAAAATGGATTGACAGCAGCACTGCCAGCGCCACCCGCAGTCGGACGGCGGGCATTGGGGCCCAAGATAGCAACCTTTTGTAGAGCGGAGAGCTGCAAGGGTAAGAGACCTTCATTCTTCAGGAGAACGAGACCATCCTGGGCAGCCTCGCGAGCGATCCGATGAAATGTCGGGTCGTCTGGCGCTTTCTCAGATTCAGCCTCATCGCCCTTTAGAGAACCACCAGATGATGAGCAGGACAGCAGACCGACCTGTTCCAGTAGCTCCAGGATCCGTCGCACACTTGGATCCACATGCTTCGCGACGTCGATCTGACCTTGTGCTATGGCAGCCAGGAGCTTGTCACCACGTCTCACTGCTGGTCCCGGCATTTCCAAGTCGGTAGTGGCAATTAAGCTCTCAACGGTGCTGTTTAATCCCCCCCAGTCACTCATGACTATCCGGTCAAATCTTAATTCATCACGCAAAAGCGGCTTCAGGATGGAAGGGCTCAAGTCGGCGTGGTATCCGTTTATCTTTGGATAGCTCACCATAGCGGTCAATGGGTTCGCATCAAGAGCCATCACAAAGGGCTTCATGTATACTTCACGCAGAGTGCGCTCGTCAATGGTTTGGTCGACATTAAAGCGCCGCGTTTCGGTGTCGTTCGCAATGAAGTGCTTCATGCATGCCGCAACACCCTGGCTTTGGATCCCCTGGATCATGGAAGTCGATACCTTTCCAATCAGGTATGGGTCCTCGCCGTAGCCCTCGAAGTTGCGACCACCTAGTGGTGAACGGGACAAATTCATTGTTGGTGCTAGAAGGACCTGGCAGTGCTTGCGTCGTGTCTCCTGCCCTAGAACGCTGCCCACTTTCTGAACCAACTCCGGATCAAACGTGGCCGCCAATGAAATACCACAAGGAATGAAAGTCGTCAGTGAACCGTATGTCCATTTCGACCCTCTCGCTCCAGCTGGCCCATCGGTCATCTTCAAGCTAGGGATCCCCAGCCTGTCAACGTTCATTGTCTCCCACATATTTTTCCCCGCCAGCAGGGAGACTTTCTCCTCCAATGTCAAAGCCTGAAGCAATTCCTCCACCACGGGTTTCTCATAGTGACCCATATTCAGTGGACAGGGAACCCCCTTCGAGCGAGATAGAAAGAATGAGTTAATGATAGTTACAGCAAGAGGAAGAATAATCGAATATACAACTTCAAGTACGCTTGGCCATTTTCGTTATCTCATTTACCCTTTAACATTTTATACAGTGGAGTTCGAGCCCCAAAACAAGCGTGATAGTATCCTGCTCGTATCCGGGGCATCTTCGCAACGCAGCCTGGTGGATCCGACAGGCCACTCGGCGACCCTGAGATTTGCGTCTCGTGGAATAAATGGAACTTCGCCCCACCGGTCGGCGAAATAGTGGATCAATTCGAGAGGTTCCGTGAAAGGGTCATTTAAACTCCCGGTGGGATAATCTAGCGCCTGGAGCCAAGACTACTAGGAGCTGAGCCAACTGTGAGAGCCGGTATGTCCATTGGCATGTTTCTGTTCAACTGGTGTACTCATTGGTTTGCTTAGTATGGAAATATCCACTTCTATCCTTGTGCATTTTCATCGATATATTGATCTTCAAGATGACAGTGTTGGAACCTACATGGCAACACCCAGTAAGCTACCTTGCATTCAAGGCTATATTACAGTGCGTATACCGTATACCACTAGCCTCTTACTATACCAAATGTTGACCCTAATAACGGCTTATCCAAACACCAACGGCTCGGGATTGAACTATATTCCCTCTTGCCTATAGACCACCATGTGGTTCCGTCAAACGCTATTCCACATGGCTGAACTAAGATACGAACAAAGCGGGGGCAAGGCATGAGCTGGGGCTAGATATTCCTTCTCCATAATCCAACCCCGTATTTTCCTGTCATAGGCGGAGGCAAACCCTGGAGAAGACTTGTTGGAAATTTCCTCGGCCAGGAAAGGTGATAAAAGGCGAGCAGTGGTTTCACCCAAGCCATAGCTCAAGGCCCTTATATTCACATTAGTTAGAAATCTGCCTTCTCCTGCACCTATTATCTGTGATATGGCTCGTCGCACAGACATCACAATGCCATCGACAACGTCCAAGTACACGTGGACTATATTCATGGTCATGATCTTTGGCTCCTTATCCTCCGCCGGATTTGGGTTTGACCAGGCCTGGTGGTCAGCTATCATGAGCTTGGACCAGTTCTTGCAGACATTTGGATCATATGACGAAGGCCAGGAGAAATGGGTTCTCTCCTCGAGAGATCAGTCGATTGGCACTGGTATGGGTTACGTTGGTGTCATTCTAGGCGTGATATGTGGCACGCCGTTGAATGAACGATTCGGTCGCAAGATGACGCTCTATATCCAGTCCGTTGTGGTGGCAGTGGGTGTCATCATCGAGTCGACCTGTACCACGAGCTACGCACAATTTGTTGTCGGTAAAGCCATTGTGTACTTTGGCGGAGGCATTGCCACCAACGCCATCCCCACATATCAGGGCGAGTGTGCTCCACCATCACTACGAGGCTCATGGCCGGTACATACAACGCGTTCCTCATGATTGGCGGCTTGGCAGCTGCACTCATCGTCTACCTGTGTCGCCATATCACTACCGACTGGGCCTGGAGAGTCGTCGTTGTGGCGCAAATTGGTATCCCTGCCGTGGGTTGGATCAGCTTACCTTTCCTGCCGGAGTCACCGCACTGGCTCATCAGACGAGGCCGGCTTGACGAAGCAACCAGTGCCCTTCGCCGACTCCGTGGCCCCGAATTTCCTGCGGAAGAGGAGGTCATAATACTGCAACAGACACTGGAAGAAGAGCGGGAAATGCGAGAGGCTGCCAGCTGGAAGGACTGTTTCTCTAATGCGGTTAATCTCCGCAGGACAGTCATATGTATCGGGGCTCAGGTCTTCCAGCAGGCTCAGGGAATTTCATTCGTGGCGAACTACCAAGCTGTTTTTCTATCCCAGATTGGCTTTCGCGAAGTGCTTCTTATGTCTGTCATTGTATATGTCATAGGCGTAGTAGCCAATCTCTTAAGCATGTTAACCGCTGACCGATCCGACCGGCGCGGTGTCTTGCTTGGTGGTGCAGTACTCCTCGGTGCGTGTATGATGGTCATCGGCGGGCTGACAACGGGGGGGCCGTCGCATATGTCACACTCGATGCAGGTCGCCGCGGTTGTCATGTTGATGCTCTGGTTCTTCTGCTTCCAGACCACCTGGGGCCCGCTTGCCTGGGTTATTACCTCCGAGGTTCCGCCAACCTCCGTCCGAGAGAAAATGGTTACGCTCTCTGGGTTTTCAGCCTACGGTGTAGGTTTGATCATTGTATTTGTGAACCCGTACACACAAGACGCTATTGGTGGTAGCGTTGCCTTTATCTACGGATCATTGTCGGTCCTAGGGTTCCTATTTGTGTTTTTCTTCGTCCCCGAGCTACGGCAGCGAAGCCTGGAGCAGATTGACGAAATGTTCAATGAGCAATTGCCAACTCGGAGGTTTGCGTCGTACGTGTGCAAGCGTCCTAGTGAAGGACGCGCGGAGAAAGAAATCGAAACCGTGGAATATACCGAGAACCTTCCTTGAGTGCGAGCCTAGTCTCGTCTCACTCAATGGGTTGGCGTTAGGTTGATACAACCACTGGCTTTCTGGTTTCCTGATGATGGTCGCATATTTTATTCCTTTTTCATGTATGGTCACTACGAGGTACTGATATCAAGAACATGTCTTTTACCAGTGGACCTCGGAATGGAATATGTATAGAAAGTTCGATGGGTGTAGTAAAGGAGGTTGCAGGTGGTGATATGGTAGCAGCAATGGTAACGCTGCATCATAATCGATAACCCTATCGTGATCATTATTTTAAGTAGATTGTTTACCATAGCTACTAATCTCATTAATATTTCTGGCAAGTCCTTCAGAGATTGCGCAAATAGTAAATGGCAGGATGTTTTCACATTCTTTGTGTCAACGGCGTCCACCATTGCTAAATACGTTTAAGAAGCCCTTGGCCCTAGAGGCGAAAGTTTGGCTCCCAAAGGCAATACTCCTTGTAGAACATCTGTTATTCTCTTATCTGACCTTTCTTTTTATCAAAGAGAGGGCCAAGTAGAACTCCGGGTGGGAGTACAATTTACTCCACATATGCTTCCTTTCGTGGTGAAGCAATTGAGTTTGTTCGAATGCATACTAGTTGAGAACCAAAGATTATATACCATATACCGGCGAGGCTTTATCCACCGAGCGGGCCGCAAAACCTTCAGATTGACCAGAGATTCCTCGAATACAGCTTGTCTTCGGGTTAGGCAATCCATCTCGCCGAATTAGTGGGTCGAAGGAATATCCACCGGGCTTTAACGGTGGATCACGATTGGCCACACGAACAACTGAGGATAGACATCATCCCCAAACACACTCCAAACTTGATAATCAACGTTGAATGTACATTCCGGATAGCCGATATATGTACTTGAACCTGGGCTATTCCCTACTAGGATGTGTCTTGCAAAGTCTTTATGTGCTGTATCATCCGCCATAACCGATTGCGCCAAGCTGGCATGCACATATATATATTTCTATGACTAGCGAGATGTTGAGAAGACATCATCAAGCACAACCGCGGTACTATGAACCCAACCAGCCCTGATACGGAAGCCAACAGCATGGCTTCCTCTCCAGAAAAGCAAGAAGGGCCACTAGACTGGGCCGTCGATCCAGCTAATGCCCAAAATTGGAGTTTGGCTAAGAAGTTATACAACACATCCGTTCCGTCCCTCCTTTGTCTGCTTATGTCGGTGTTCACTTCTGGAGGTGAGATGGCGATAACAAAGCTAACCTTCGCGTGTACTTAGATCCTTTGGCTTGGCCATCTATTCGCCGTCCCACGCTCACGTCCAGGAGGACTTTCACATCAGCAACACCCTGTCGCTCCTCCCATTCACCTTATATGTGTATGGCCTAGCTTTTGGCCCTATGATCGCTGCACCTTTGAGTGAGACCTTTGGGCGCCGCTTCGTCTACATCATCATGACTCCACTAGCCTTGTTATTCATCCTCGGTGCTGGCTTTGCTCACAACTTCGCTACCCTTGCCATATGCCGTTTGTTGGGTGGCATTCTGTGCTCTGCACCTCTCGCCGTGGGTGCTGGGACCATCATGGATACCTGGACAGGCCAAAACACCAACCGCGGAGTAGTTGTGCTGATGGGGATTGCTTTTCTGGGCCCCGCTCTGGGATCCCTGGTAGGTGGTTGGATCGCCGAGTACAAGGATTTCAGGTGGTCTCAATGGACAACTTTGTTCCTTGGAGCGGCCCTATGGGTCTATTCGATGGGTGCACAGGAAACATACGCGATCCCTATCCGCCGCCGCCTAGCCAAGAAGATGGGCCTGCCTGCTCCTCCAAAGCCGATCCCCGATGGCCTCGCAGGAGTCAAAATGCTCATGACAGTCACTCTGGCACGACCTCTCTACATGCTAATCACCGAGCCGATCGTCACCCTCTGCTCCCTCTACTCCTCCCTGAACTTCTCCGTGCTCTTTTGCTTCCTGGCTTCCGTGCCGCTGATATACAGCACTAATTATGGCTTCTCACCTGGACAGTCAGGACTGGCCTTCATTGGAATCGCTGTGGGTTGCATCGTCGGTGCTGCGGCGTTGATGATCCTCGACGGATACACGTTGTCCAAGCATCGCGCGCGTCAGCCAGGCGAGCCAGCACCCCCAGAACGAATGCTGGTGGCCGCGATGGTGGGGAGTCCTCTGATGCCCACGGCATTATTCTGGTTTGCCTGGACCTCGCAGCCGGGAGTTCATTGGATGAGCAGTATCATCGCCATGGCGCTCTTTGGTTGCTCGAACATTATGATTTTTGTACGTCTTCCGTCTGGCACAGTCCGATGTGCTGCTGACACCATGTGAAATGTAGGTCTCCACGATGTTATATCTTACCAATGTGTATGGAGCCAAGTCTGGGGCCTCAGCTCTGGCCGCGAACGGCTTGTTGCGATACAGTGTGGGCGGCTCATTCCCCTTGTTTACTATTCCAAGTATGTTGTTGTAATCTAGGCCATTAGCCCGGCGCCTGGCTGACCGATCGATGTAGTGTACAACAATCTTGGGTTCACGTGGGCATCCAGCCTACTCGGCTTCCTCGCTATCGCCTTTGCTCCTCTGCCTTGGATCTTCTATCGCTTCGGAAAAAGGATCCGTCAATCGAGCGCCTATACAGCGTGAACCTGTAGTCTACTCTAGGACAATCGCAACATGAATAAGCACCGACGCGACATATTCTACAAGTACTAGCTGAAGTGCCTACGACAACGACGGCAGACGGGGAATTTCTTCCTAGTCAGGCGGCCGACGGAGAAATGCAAGCAAGGATCTCACATTTCAACCAAGATTCATACTGAGAATAGAAACATAGACACAATCAACACTTAATGGCATTTTAACTGAGCCACCTGGCCCCTACCATTCTCAAATCCCCCCCGTCGAAGCCTTATCTGGAAGGCAAACCGAAACGGGATCCGAAGCTTTTAGGCTCTTTGTGGGATTTGAAGTAAGCCCTGCACAGCTTTTCACCGTAGAAGAAATGCTCGCGAGAAGCTGGGTCAGAATCAGGAAAACCCGACACTCTTGCCTTACGCTCAAACATAATGATGCAGTCCGAGCCACCGAACGCAAAGTGTGAAATCTCTTCACCCTTCTTGATCTTTTGGCCTTGAAGGTCCTTTCTCACGTTAACAGAAGACACCATGGCCATACCAATGGGAAGCACAGCAACCCTGCCCAAATGCTCATTGTTGATCACCACCACCCCGCGCGTCTGGAGGAACTGATACCCTGGAGTGTCTGGGGCCTCCAGGGTATGGACGCCTGAAGGGTTCCTTTGCTTTCCGGCGATCTGGCGGCAAAGCTCCAAATAGTTGTGTCCGACCTGCTCGTCTGTCTGGACTAGGACGTCGAGATAGGCGGCGCCCTCTATGAGGTCTATGATTTCAACAGTCCCGGACACAGGGGCATGCTGCCGGTGATAGTCAAACGAATTCAAGAAGACGTGAGTCCAGAGTCCGTCTTTGAAGACATCTCCATATGTTTGGGTGCTCTCATCGGGCAGCTTCTCGTCGCCTTATTTACCGAGAAGGTCTTTCACTTTCCACGGAACATGTTTCAAAATCACCTGCTCGTTCACCACCCTCCATTCCTTCTTCTCCAGGACTACCTCAGAATCCTCGCTGATGGCATATGCCCCGGCGAAGGTTGAATCGGCAGGGAAGGTCACGATATGATCATCATCGGGGCCCGCGATCGTACGAGGGTTGTCAAGCTTTCGGTAGAAGAACTTGTTGAATGTTGTCCAATTCTTAGCGTCTCCCTCAGATTCAAAGACGCGGAACAGTGGAGAGTTTCGAAATGTCATGATGGAAGCCTCGTTGATCAATGACTCCTTGTCCATACTGCTACCGATCTCCTTGGCGTATCGGACCACCCAGTCGGAGAGGGGCTTCAGCGGCTTGTTCAAGCTGAGCGGTTGGATTTTGGTCAGACGAGAGCCCAGTGGCTCCTAGGATAGCATGAAATAGAAGACACAAAGGATGTAGTAGATGTCACGGCCTTTGGTTGACTCAGTAGGAACCCAACCTCGGACCAGCCAGTCAGCAAAGTCGAGAAAGCCTCTGGCCGAGATGATGCCGTACTTGTCGAGCTCGGGGATATCCCATCTATGAGCGTTCTTGACGGCCTGCTCAAGGTCATCTTCCTCCCAGAGCAGCTCCTCTCGAAGTTCCTGGACAATGTCGCTGTAGTCTGGCATGATGGATCAATGGTGGGACGCTTTGCATGGGAAGGGATGAATGGAATTGTAGGGAAGATTGGGAACCACTCTAGGCATGAGCAGATGTTGATGTGGCACTTATACATCTCCATCTATCTATCATATGACGGAGTAGGAAGAAAATTCCAAAGCTATTACATGGCTTACTGTATTTAATGAGTATATCAGCATTCTAGACTTAGTATACCCAGCTTAGGCAAACGCCCACCATCATATGAGATCGGAATCAGTGACCGCCAGATGAGAGGGATAAAGGAGAAGCCTAACTTGCACCTATGAGAAACAAGGATGCCTTCCACACAGTCCTCACCGCAGAAGGCTATATATGGCGCTTAGGTCCTTCCCAGCTTGCTACTTAATGTTTGTTGTTAGCGAATGATATGTCACAAAATAAACCTCATCTCACACCATCGCTAAAACAGACTTGGTTAATTCACGAACCGCTACAAGCGTACAGCCACCTGTAACTTGAGTTCCGGACAGCTTCCACAACTTCATGACCCACTGGAGCTTCCCTCGTGAGACACAACCGCATACGACGTCGATGTTGCCCATGAATCTGAACTGTAGCCCTTTTGTGAAAGAGATCGCTCCTTGACACAATTATACGTTAGTGTTTAAAAGAGGATGATATGCTCCGCTGGCGTCACGGTGACATGACTTCTGGGGTCTGTATCGCTATGTGGAGGAGACGGCAATCTGTTCCAGATGCCACATTATCCACAGCCTAATCGTAATGATGAGCCAATAACTTAAAATAACGATAAGCTCTTCTACATTTATCATCACATGTACACGAGTCTGAACGTCTCGATGTTACCTAAAGTAAAAAGATAAGACCAATCGACACTCGCTAGCATCATCTAAACATCGATGCATGGTAGACTGGAATTCCCTACGACGCCCTATGCGTAAGTGGTGATCATTCAGTGGGTGTTAATGGAATAATCGCTCGCAACCTGCTTGAGGTCATGCTGAATTGTGGTAGGGCTCCTAAGCCAAAACAGCCTTGTATAGAGATGTAGTAGGCGTGGTTTCTAGGGCTACTGCTGTTCTAGGGGATATATCAACTGGCTAACTAGGGAAAGAACATCGTTCAAATATAAGTCTAGACTTAAGAAGAGATTACTTATTAAATGCAAATTGTCTAACATAACAAGTTAAGATCAAATAAACCGACATTGGCTATACAATCACATAGGCGCCTATAGGAACAAAAGTCCCACTGTAATCCCTACCTCATTGATAGCGTCGCGCGTTGGGCTCGTGAGAAAGGATCTGAGAGAAGACATAAGATTTCGGGCAACCTGATCCGACTCGGTGCAAAACATGTTCTGACAGAAGCGAAAAACAGGAGACCGACTACGTTACTTTTTTGGACACGTTGAAACCGGATGCACTATCTATATGACCTGGTTGCTAGTCTGCACTACGCGGAGAGTCGGCGAATTGGACGGAAGAGAACTGTTCGTTTCGCTATTTCGATTAATAATATCAACATGTGGCAAATAAGGAATTGGAAGAGGTTGAGGTGTGTATGGTGTACTCCACGCTCAAATTCACAGACAGACATAATCAGATTGTTAAGGATCTAATATGTCTGTATCATGTGGCACTAGAGCTACTTGGGTTCTCGAGTTAGGCTCCAGGCTGGCATCGCCAACCCCGCCAGCCCCTCAATTACAGATTGCCAAATGTCCCACAGATACCATACCACGACAATAAATATGGCCCATGAAGAGCTTTCAGAAAACGCCAAAGGGATCGTTGAGAAAATCAAGAATATCAAGGAGAAGAAAGTCACGATTGGCCAATACCAAGCGGGTGTTGGCTGGGAATACACTGGCGAGGAGATCTCGAACGAGGCAAACGAACTGAACAAGGAGTTAGAAGAGGATAACTTTCAAGTAAGATAATTCCACTCAACGTGTACACTGTTCTCATACACTAGAACCAGGTTGTGAAGTGCGATGTACTTCACCTCGTCAAGAACGGGACAATAACAATACAACCGGCCACCTACTTATATGTCCACTAATCGGAGCTGCAAATTTCGGACCAGACGAGCCTGTCCAGCAGTATCACCATATCCAGCAAACGAGAACAATCTACGGCCAGAATCTTGATCTTATTATAGTGGCACTGAGAAGGAAATGATGTACGAGAACAACTTATTTGTACAGTGGGTTACAAGCGAATGTGATATCCTATAGTCTGCATTGTCATAAAAATTGAGATCTTGACTTTGCTAAATAGGAGAACTAGTGCTTATCAGCAACATACTTCCCTGTCTCTAAGGCCAAAGCCCATTCCAACCTGCAAGCCATTCTTCAACATCTTGTGGCCTTGTATAGGCCTTTCAGGGTCTTTTGATAGTGACCATACATACGAACCCGAACACTGAAACTACGCACTATGATGATACTTGTCCTGGATATACTTACTAAGACCGGACAGAGTTGCAAGAGGAATAATTCTCAGTCAGCTATGCATCTATCAGAGTGCATATAGCGAGTTGCTTTCATGGCTGCCCTAGAGGTCCGGAACAGAGAGTAGTGTGCAATGCCTGGGGATAGTGGCTGATCGCTTCCCTGTTGAGCGTTCAGACCTTCTCCGGCAGTTCCACGGCTATGGGCCCTTTCCATGCATTGCCCGATTTACTCTTAAAGAAAGGGATGAAGATCGATAGTTTGTCGAATAGAAACCTAAGTGAACATGCATCATGCTGTCATTCCGGTAATATATTGTCCAGAGTTCACCGACTGCGATCTGAAGTGAAGTTTCTCGCAAAGGAAGTGGCACTGTATCATAGTTACTTCGCTGTTATATCTAGTTCCACAATGTGGTAAAGGGATCAGGCCCGGTATTGATTGTCATTTACGAATTCAGGGCCAATACCTACCTCCTATCAATTCATCGCGTAGGGTATTGAGACGGGGTTGCTCTAGTTCGAAGTCGTTCTGCGCGACCAACGCGAACCTTCATGGCGCAAGATAACACGGGAGTGGATGGGCGTATGCAGGCCCTTAAGATGCGACCGGGGTCTATTGTGGAATGGGGAGAACGGGAAGCAGGATGAATGTCGAATGGGCCGGAGACGTTGTTGCATTGAAGTGGGAGGAATGGACACTAAGTTGCTGCTTTGACCATTTTTTATGAGGTATGGTGACTGGAACGCGAGGACGTTCAACACGATCATCATTCATGATATAAAGTCAATCGCCTCTATCGTTACCAAATTTGCAACCAGTGCTTCGAAGCGTGCTCCTATGGTTTGATTCGTAGAAAGCCAATCAATGGAAGTATATTAGCCTCAAGGGGCTAGCCCATGCTCTGCCGCATATATATCACCTGTTTTTGTACCAAAATCACCAAGCTTGCGCAGGATCCAGTAGGCTATAGTTGTCCGAGTTGCCAATCTGGTTGACGATGGTGAAAAACTCGTACGACGAGATCCCGATGTTGTCAAGGAACTCTATGTCACTGGTCGTGTGAGGAAGGACGTCAGGCGAAGCGCTTGGGTCTCCAACCAGCGACAAGTCGATTGGCTCAGTCTGCAGCATTGGCTCCCCTACCTGATATTCCTCGTCGCAGGATATGGGCGGCTCGTTCTCCGTCGGACTGGACAATGTTAAAGTCTGCAATCCACGCTGCTCGATCCGTGTTGCGAGATCCTTGAAAAGTGCTTCTAGATGTGCGAGTTCGCCTTTACGAACCGCGGCTAGCCTGTTGCCTTTGTAGATCATCTCGTCAAGGATCGCATGTACCTCCTCATTGTATGTTTGACCTTCAACCGAATGCGGAAACAGTATGTTTGCCATGGCTAAATGGATCGCAGCTCCGAAAGTGAATTCGAGGTCAAATGGAAGAAATACCTCTATGAGATAATTAGTTCAATTCCTTATTGGTTTCTGAAAGCGAATAAAGCAACTGTACCGAGGAGGCTGTCTTCATCCGTCAGAATCTGCAGCGTCTTTGCCGCTGACTTGATCCCCGTTGAAATTAGGCTCTTGGTAGGAGCCAAAAAGCTCTGCCAGTCTTCCTCTCCATGATCGAGCTTGTCTAGTCTTTCCTTGAGCACAGAGAGGAGGAGAGGTCGTGTGGCAACAATAACACACTTTGTGAGATAGCCCAAGTTAGCGGAGAAAGCAGGGCAAGGAGCGAATCAGAGATTATGAGGTCCTATGGATGTTTGGCACTAACCTGGTGGTATAGCAAGGTTATATGCCGTGTTCCTTTGGGCATCGTATCTACCGAATTTTGAACCTTCATGTGAATGATATTTTCAATTTCTTGCGCGTGACCAGCCATTGTATGCAAGATAGATCTGGTCGTCTCCAAGAAAGTTCCCAGTTGCGTTTTCTCGTTCTTGTAAATTGCTAAAGCAGACTTCAATCAGCGCACTAGTTGCAGTGGGGGTTCATGGATGTCTAGGTCGTCTTACAGGTCAATATAGAAGAGAGCAAACGTGATAGTCTGACCTGCAGACTGAGTGTAACATCTCGCTGTGAGCATGTGCTCGGTGAGTCTATTAAAGTAGTTATGTCGCTATCCTGCGTTGTCATTGGTAGCCCTAACGATGAGGAGAGATGGCGATCCATGATATATAAGGTCCACCAGAGATTGCGACACCGAGTGACCGTCGCTGCACCTAGCTCATCTTCGGGAAGCTCGGTATGCAAACCTTCCAATTGAGCTATTCGTATCGCTTGACCGACCTGTGCAGAGAAGGATTGTCAATGGCACAGAATTGTCCGAATGTTCTGGAGCACTTTACTCACATATACGTGCGCTGACTCTCGATGATCAATACAATATAAGTAGAGCCCAGCCAGCGCCAGTGTCTCACTTGCTAATAGGCTGTCTTTCCAGAGGGAGGCGTGGTCTGGCATAAGCGCCATTGCCCGCACAAAGAACTTGGAGCCGGGTGGATCCTTTGCATTCCTTGACTGCAAGAGAAATGCATTTCCAAACGCCAGAACCAGTAGAAACTGGACAAACCAAAGGCGAGATCTAGTAGCCTTCTCCGCGGAATTTCCGTAGTAAAATTCGTGAATATGCTCCAAGAAAGTACGTTCCTCAAAGAAGCGATATTTCACACCAAGATGAAATTTAACTGTGTTGAATAGATAAAGCGCGTGGTCGACTGAGGGCAAGCCACTAATGTCGGGAGGTCCTTCAGCTGTCGCCTGCTTCCAGTGTAGCGGATATATATCTTGGTCGAGCTGGCTCGGTGTTGTATAGGGAGATTCAAGTTGCAGTTTCTCGGACAACATCACGCTAAGCCGCGCCGTAAACGACCACACTGATGTAGGGGCTAGCCAAACTGTACGTATGTATGTTAGTGGGTATACCTCCGTACTGACCTATCCATCACGGAGATCAGGAAACATACTCCAGTTACGTTTATTCTTATATGTATTCTTGATGGTTCTCGAGGGTAAAGTAAACGGGCTTGTCCAGATGCTGCGTGCATGGTCAATCGTTTTCGGGGGTAAAGTTGGTTCCTCTATCGGAGGATAAACCAGCTCTGTGTCCTTTCAGCTGCAGGAACTCGATGCAAGGATGAGTACGGAAACCCACCTTCGGACACATCGTCGGCCTCGACTGCAGGGCCAAAGGCTATATCAGCAGAACGTTTGATGCTCGTTGGACTCTGGTGCGCTTTCGCCTGGCGTCGCAGTTGCTGTAGGTAACTGGAACCAACATAAGCGCGGTTATTTTGCTGATGCGTGATATAACTCCTAAGATGCTACCGACGAACCTTTCCGTCACTGTGATCTTGTTGCTTCCTTCCACGTATCGGCATTTCAGAGCACGACGTTGGCAGTTGGCGCACGGCTCTTTGCCGGAGCACTTGATTTTGCTCTGACGGCAAGCAACGCATCTGGTGATGCCAAGCACATTAGATTAAATATAGACTAAAGCAGAGGAAGGTTATTTACGCATTCGCTGTTCGCCTTAGCTTGCGGGGTTCGATTGGGACCTGCGTTGCCATCGCGGACCGAGAACTGAGATGCCTATCGTGGTGATGTTTGAGGTGGGAGATCGCCACAGGGATCGGATATGAGTTGATAACAGTGAGGGGAGGCGCATTCGCACTGACCTCGTCTGCATGTCCCCCGCATAGTTAGAGGCTAGTTTCATCTGTTTCCTCATTGGTAGTCTCAAACGGATGGAACCGCCCAGTCTCTCTTCTCGTGGGGGGCCATTCAGATGCCAGACCCTGGAGGACTCACTGCCTCTAGCCCTAGCCCTAGCCGAAACGAGTGACTTATTCCACCAAGTATTCCTGTTGGGGCTCTTCTTCCTATAGACAGAAAGAACGCCTGCAGATCGTATGAACTATGAATTTACACTCACCGTATCAGGGTGCTGCATTCTGGGGCAGCACTTTATGGTTATCCTTAATTTGGCTTGCTATTTGCTTATTTCTTGGACCTCTCCCTCTCGCCCCCCTCCTTCACGGACTTTTGCTTTCCCCTTCTCCCATGGTTTGCCTCCCCTTTGCTGGGTCTCTGTCACATGTTCATGAGCCAATGACATCGACATCTGTTCCTTGGGTCGACCTCTGGCCTGGAGCTTGTGCCAGAATTGGATGCGGGGAGTGGAAAACCAGATAAGCGATGGGATCCACATACCGAGACAAGTAAGGTAAGCGAAATGCAGAGTCGGATAAGTACCGTCTTGTCGCCCTATGCCCCATTGGGTACTGCAATCCCGTCTAGGTGGAGCCGACTGAACACTTCTCGTGTCTCTTGACACGTTCATATATATCCTTAGCTATTGTACGTGGCAAGACGTGTAGTGTACTAATCATGGCATGGTCCCGTTGGTACTGGATGTAATATTATTGTTCTTGTGGTCTATGCAATATAGAACATGATTTCCTGGTTGTCTCGGTCACCCAGCCTGAGCGGCTACCTCTTCTTTCACATCTAGAAAAGGCTTTTCTGAAGATTATACCACGTCAAATTCGACAGTGCCCCAGCCCTCAAACGTGCAAGTCCAATGGCCCGCTTCCTCCATGGGGACGGCCTGTAAGCAACTACCCGGCAAAACCACTTGGCCTGGCTTGAACTCGATATCATAGGCAGCCAGTCGATTGACCAACCACGCCGTAGCAGAAAGGGGATTTCCGAGGATGTTTGCGGTGTTGCCGGACATAACCTCTCGATCATTAAAACGTAATGTGCCCCGGGTGTCGCGCAAGGTTAACTCAGTAAGCTTCCGTGGAGTACCACCCAGAATCACTGCGCCAGTTGAACCGTTATCAGCCAAGGTATCCGGGAGATCGATCGCCCAATCCTTCACACGGGAATCAATAATTTCGATAGCGGGAATGGCATAATCCACCGCATTTATGACGTCGGCAACGGTGCAGTTTGGCCCGCGCAGAGGTCCGCGAAGCACAAAGGCCGGCTCTAACTCCACGAACGGTTTAATATACTGCTTCCGATCGAGGGTTGTTCCCTCATATACAAATGTACTGGCCAGCAAGAATCCGTAGTCCGGATGGTCAAGTCCGAACGCATCCTGCATCACCTTGGCAATGTTTCCTAATTTATATCCGACCAATCGATCGCCGCTTTTAATGGCTTCCTCAGCCGTGATCCGCTGAACTTCGAAGCCCCCCTCGGCATCGAGGGCGGGCCATGTCTTTGTGGGTGTTTCGATTGGGGTTTGACTGCGGCGGGCAGCGCGCAGGGCAAGGGAGACTTCGCGCAGTTCACTCGCTTGCATGGTTCGGTTTCAAAGTTTTCAGAGGGTACAGGATGTATAGCACGTGGAAAGCGTAATGAATTAAGGGTATAGATAGTAAAAGTCTTCGCAGACCGCAGGCGCATGCAATAAATGTATAATTCCAAGAATGCGTAAAACATGAACTTCCCTTCGCACTGCGCGCCTCTTATACTAGGAATCGCAAGGGTATCCCGACGTACCGCGATCAAGCACTACATCTTGATGGAGCAGCAATCGAGATGAATATCCCGCGCTCGTTGATAGCCGGCAGCCGTTCCCCGAGCCTATCTCGGATTCCTCAACCGATATCCCGAAAGATCCGCTAAGCTGTCACTGGTCTCATCGAGATTTCCGAGCTGGGCACGCAGCAATTCCAGAACAGTGCCACATGGCTAAAGATACATCTATTCTCGTTGTAGTGGCAGAACGCGGATCTTCAATTCTGCGGATTCAGGTTGGGGCTAGAACCCGCATCGGATTTCTCGGGTGGGCAACAGTACACGCTCCACGAAAGCTATGAAAACGCTTCTCCCGCCTGCATGCACTGCAGAGAGGGTAAGGTGAGGTACCCCAAAAAGCGCTATGTTCCTCTTGTAGCTTTACTATATGTTCTTCGTGCGCACATCCTTAAATCGTATCACGCACAGCTTCCCGAAAGTTCATTTGCATGAAGGACAGCGGCCACGGTTAACGATATAGAAGATGCTAGTGCTGAGTCAACCGACGTCTTAAATGATGACCACATTCTCAGATTCCCAGTAGATGGTGTTCGGCTGTCTAACAACGACGGACGGGATATGGGCTAAGACTCTACAGGGGCTTTCTGGGTAGCATCTACCTTCACTGGGCCTTGCAGTTTATCTCAAAGGAAATGACAGAATATTTAACATACGAGGTGCAGGAAATTAAAGCAAAGCTCCTCAAAGCGGAATTAATGCAGGAATGAAGGAATGTGGCGCAGGAAATGCGACCTTGAGTGTGGTGGAAGTAACATTCCTGACACATGAGAGTCCTTGGCTGCCACCAGTGCACAGAGTCAATTGGCCGCATACAGTCGTCTGGAGATTCTGGACCTAGGTCGAGCACTCTGAGGGCTTACAGGCCAGCACCACTCTGACTACACTATCATACATGCGATTTAGATACCAGATCCGGCCTTTTCGGGCAGGTGGATCCGCGTGTAAGCTGTTCACCTCATATAGGGTGATCCCAATGCGGGGAGGGTCGATTTCGAGCACTTGAAGATAGATGGATTGCACCGGATTGGCCAATGGTGTGCTCGATGAAGGACTGAGGAGATAAACACTCTTTTGGATCTATTTTGATAGAGTCACATCCACCATGCCACTATCCACTCTGTGGAACTATAAGTATTAATGACAGGACTCATATTTCCCTGTCGTTTTGAAAGGACGCATGTACCATGCTATCTGTAAAGCTGTGCATCAAGAGCAGCATAGTCGAAGCGACGACTAGGTAGATATAACCAACTATCTGTTTACTTTAAGTCGTACCAAGTGAAGCTCAATCCTTACGTGCATCCACTGCCCTATCGCCTCTAAAGATATCTTATTGACGACGTTAGCTAGCCGGCGCCGTCTCTTCCAGCACTATGCGGTCTACTTCCATCCTGCCCACCGCGACTAAGAAGCATGACGAACTTCCAGAGCCAAAGCAGTACAGCCTTAGTGAAATTACCGCAGGCGAAATCCTGCCTGCTAGTTCAACAGCCCTTCAGCGACATCTAACATCCCGCCAAGTCCAGTTTATTGCCATTGGCGGCTCAGTTGGAACGGCTCTGTTCGTAAGTATCGGATATGCACTGATGCAGGGAGCTGGCAGCACGTTGGTAGCCTTTATCCTCCACTGTTTGATTATGGCTCAAGTAAACAATGCGGCTGCCGAGATGACTATTTTCATGCCAGTCAGTGCTGCCTTTATCCAGCATGCGAGCGCCTGGGTAGACCAAGCCTGGGGTTTCATGGTTGGCTGGAACTTTTGCCTATATGAGGGCCTGCTTGTTCCATTCGAGATTACAGCTGTGGACATGGTTCTTACGTTCTGGCGGGATGACATTCCTTCCACCGCCGTGATTTCCGTGGCTATCTTCTTCTACGCGTGGGTGATACATCCTCGGAAATGTGACTATCGATACTGAGGCATACAATCTAGATTGACCAATTTGTTGGCCGTCAAATACTTCGGAGAAGTGGAGTTCTGGCTGGCTGGAGGCAAGCTTATACTCATCATTATCCTCTTTCTGTTCACTTTCGTCACCATGGTGGGCGGAAACCCGCAGCGAGATGCGTACGGATTTCGGAATTGGACAGAAACAGTATTCTATTCCCTCGCTCATTGAGTGCCTCAGTACTGACGCTTCCTATTCAATAACAGAGCCCTTTCGTGGAATATATCTCATCAGGCGATCTGGGTCGCTTCCAGGGCTTCCTAGCAGCCCTGTGGCAGGCTGCCTTTACAATCGTAGGCCCGGAGTACATTGCGTCTGTTGCGGGAGAAACTCAGCGACCACGCAAAACTCTCAAAACGGCCTTCAAGTCAGTGTACTGGCGGTTCGGGCTTTTCTTCATCGGTGGTGCTCTTTGCGTCGGCATTGTTCTCCCCGCTAACGACCCAACGTTGATCCGGGTGCTGCGCTCCGGCGCCACCGGCACGGGCGCGGCCTCCCCATTCGTTATTGCCATGAATAACATGCAGATCGAAGGCCTGCCTCACGTTATTAACGCGCTCCTGGTGACCAGTATCTACTCAGCCGGTGACGCACTGGTTTACACCTGCTCTCGTAGCTTGCACGGGCTGGCCCTGAATGGCCATGCCCCCAAGATCTTCCGCAAGTGTACTAAAAATGGAGTACCAATATACTGCCTGCTGGTCGCCTTGGCTTTTGGCTGCCTCTCGTATCTCAAGCTGGGGAGCGGTTCCGTCCAAGTCCTAACTTGGTAGGTGAGTGCACAATAGACGTGAATTTATGCTAATTGCAGTAGGCTCACAAACCTGATCACCGGTGGTGGGCTGATAACTTATATCGGCATCTGTGTTAACTACCTGTTCTTCCACCGAGCCTTGAAGGTCCAGGGCTACGATCGAAAGAGCCTACCATACTGCGGTTGGTTCCAACCATACGGAACTTGGATAGCTTTGTTTTGGCTCCTGGGCATTGAACTCTTTTACGGCTATGATATTTTCCTCAGGGGCCGTTGGGACCTCGGATCCTTCTTCAGCCATTATACCATGGCGCTCCTCGCTGTCTGTACATTCTTTGGGTGGAAGATTGGCAGTCGAACTACAGTTGTACTGCCAGAGAAAGTGGACCTGGTATGGGCCCGCCCAGACGTCGACAGACACGAAGCTGAAATGGGAGAAGAAAAGACCATGGGATTTCACAAACGATTTTTGGAACTGCTGATTAATCCTAAGAGGCTGAAGCGCTCCCAGGTTTAATGCTATCCCTTAGTGTCTGTGTGTTGGAAGGATTGCGCATGTCGGCATGGCGAGAAGGCTTATTGCCGACCGTTGCATTTTATTATTATTTTACCTTTACTATATGATGTTCGAACTAGGTAAAATCAACCTGCCGCCTCTGTGGGCCTTTGATATCGTTGCAATTGTTCTAGACTTGGTGCATGGGAGGTCAAGGTAGGGTTCACGCAGTGTTATATATAGCCTCGGAATCGTGGTTTCACATAGAGCATGATGCCATGGAATCTGATAAGGGAAGCCGATCGATAATGCTGACATGCTTTATGGCTTTTGGTGCCACATAATCCTGCGGTAAACATGGACATTCTCCCACCGATGGCGTAGTACCGAATGTTGAGAATGAACGAACCTCGGGAGTTCCCAATGCGGTATAAAAAATGAGAGCACTCCACCCGATAGCAGACCCATTCTCCCCGCATTGAGTAGATCGACTGCGGGGATACGATCTGCTTAAGAACAGTATTTGTCTATCCCTGTTTGCTGAGCTATCAAGAGTAGAAGAAAGAAGAATAACTCCTGTTGACGTCGAAAGCACAAAATCACCATGACTCGGCTTCCGCTCCCGACGCCAGCCCCGATCGATCCCTCTTATCAGCCCACAGCATCCATAGAAAAGATCCCCGCAACCACACCGATCGAGTATATTCTCGCAATCCTCGAGCGTGATGGCGGCGTGATCCTCACAGATCTTGTCTCAAAGGACGAGCTATCTGCGATCAAACAGGACCTCCAACCCTGGAACGAAAAGCACCGTCGGCACCTGGACCCAACTGTCGACGGCGATGCATTCACTACGATCCCTCCCCAAACAACACTTGTCCCCGGGTTAGTTGGGAAGTCTAGAACTGTCGCGCAAATCTGTGAGCACCCGGTTCTCGAGGAACTGCGACAGCGAATCCTTCGCGACGACTTTGTGCTATATCGTGAGGGCAACGCCGAGCCCAACACGCTCGATCCGTTGCTCAGCCTCAGCGTATCCATGAACATCGGCTACGGGGCCCCAAGGCAGCTTCTGCACCGCGATGATAACGTTCACAATATCCGGCACACGCGGAATCCATTTGTCCCATGGAGCTTCAAGCAGGTGAGCCAGTTTGGGTGCTTGATTGCCGGGTGTGAGGTGACTCGAGAAAACGGGGGAACGATGTTCGTCCCGGGAAGTCATAAATGGGACGATGACCGGTGGGCTCGCGCGGACGAAGTTTGCTTTGCAGGTATGTAATCTCCAGCTGAATGGGCCACGCACGATCCGATAGGATGCGCATGTTAACTGGAAAGAAATGTCGCCCGGCTCGGCCTTGATCTTCCTCGCGTCGGCCTTCCACGGCGGTGGGCATAATTCTGTACCTGATTCTGTCCGAACGATGCACAGCTTATTCTTTATCCGTGGTCATCTTCGGACCGAGGAGAACCAATTCCTCGCCATCCCCAGAAGCAAAGTTCGCGAAATGAGCCCCAAGATGCTGGAACTGTTGGGTTACAAGAAGCCGACCACGGCACTGGGTATTGTAGATAACATGAGCCCAGACGAGGATGTGGATGGCATCTGGGCGAGGGCAGTGCAGTAATAAATCAACGGTGTGGCTTAGGCGCGCCAGCTCTGGATTAATTATACCTTGACGTGTGAATCTCGTGATGCTACGGTCTGCAGCCTAAAGTGACAATATCATATACTTTGTATTGTTATTATTGCGCCGTCACCCTATTCTGGACTCTATTAATAGGTCACAGAGCCATTTCGCAGGTACGAGTGCCAATATACCCTCAGGAATTCATAAAGTAATATGTACAGGAAATGATAAGCTGCTCTTGTAAGCCATTGAATGTTCCAACACTTAACCGGGAAATCGCCATATGAAGTACCCGGCCGAGTACTATACGAACATCCAATTTTCCCCTTGTTCATACAGGTATTCAATCCAAGGCTGTGACGTTCCCTCAGGGGTGGCTTGTCGCTGCCAGATCTTCTGGAGAACCTCTAGCGCGTGGCTAACATTATGAGCGCGCCAAAAGCTCCACAGATGCTCGAACACCTCCATAATTGCGGATCTCTGATGCTCGGTTTGTGTCTCAGCTCCAATGATGAACGCTGGCCACAATAGTCCTTTGAAATGAGTGTCCCCCGGGCCTACCGAGGTGAAATGGGCAATTATGGAATCCAGTGAGCTGGGCATATTCGATTCGATTGGGTAATACTGCTGTGATGTATGGGAAAAGACCTGAGACATGTAGATCAACGCGGCTGCTTTGTATATGCATGCAACATGATACCGGACGGTTAGGTAAGACATATTGGGCGTTGCAAAAGCCCATTTTCGAGGAGAGAAGGTCTCGATCTGAGAGAAAAGGTGAACGATAACGTCCGGCCCCGGGGCGACCGGACCTGAACAAGCGGAGTTGACGAGTGACAGTACGTAGAGAACGTCTGCGGGACAGCCCGTCCATGTTAAGGACTCAGACCGTTTGAGGATGTCAATGATCGGTATTGATGTGAAGAGAGGCTTATATTGCTGTTTGGATTTTACCAATGTCGAGCCGAGAATTTCGAAGCTGCGATGTTAGGCATCCACCGGTTCAAGAGAAGGTCATGGGTTATACTAACATGGCATAGCTCGTGTCAAAGTATTCATAGAATCGGCAGAATGCCGCAGTCAAGCTGGTTGACGGCGCTGAATTCATAGACAGGATCTGGGCCTGCATAATCTCCTTCAATCCGTTGAGATGATATGCCCAGGTGTTTCTCCCGCTTTCCACACACGCTAGCCAAATGAACAGGAGGACGGAAGCAATAACGCCATAAGAGTCCTGAGATAATGCCTCGTGGTACCTAGTCCTTAACAGATAAAGAGCCTGTTGTTTGTGATAGAGATAATCGTAGAACCGGGGTGAGTCTCTTGCCCGTTCGGCAGTGTCCAGTGCTCCAGGAAACTGCTCGTTACCGATTAATCGGGTACTACTTAACTCCCGCTGCGCCTGGTGCAGCGCCGCTATGGAAACCATAATATGACAAAGCCCCCGACTGGACGGGATTAGGCTCATGAATTCTTTGAATGGGTTATTCGGTCCCAAGTCATATATCACACACTCTGGGCTGCAATTTCGCTCGACTACGCGCCACGATCAGCATGTTCCCGTGCCATGTCAGGTTCATCTACGTACAGTAGGCGATATTCTCTCGCATGGGCCTGGTCAGGTCTTGGAGACCAGGATCAATTAGTAACCGACCGATTGACATCGGCGATCCAACGCTTGGCACGGTCTTTCCCATCCATTTCCCGCGACTGGCGACGCTATTCGTCCACCGGAGGGGCCGTTCCTTGGCGTATCCGAGGCATTGATCTTGCATTGTCTCACACTTGCGACATGCTGGAAGCAAGCGGTCGCATCTTCTGCGACGGCGACGACAAGTCCAGCATGATTCTGCGGCGTAAGTCGAGGATGGCTCGTTCATCGCCCGAGGTGATTCATGCCAACGGGTGGAGTTGTCAGAGTGAAGATTTAGGGCCGGTCAGAGTCATCCGTGGCTCTCACTATTCCTCTCTGAGCACCACCCGCCAAGGAGCCAATGAGCGTTGCTTAGAAAGCAGACAGCCAGGCATTTCTGCCTGAGGTGTACAGGCAGCACATCAGGGACTCGGCTTTTACTTTACTGCTTGCCAAATAAAAGACAGACCAAGTCGCTAATATAATAAACACTTTCGACAATATAAGAAACAGAATAATCTCCCACATGCCCCTAGATAAGTAGAAGGCAAAGCGCTAACGGATATAGAAATGTCGTGAGCTCAGTCAATTACTTGGTCCAGCACAGCTCACAGAAATATATCTCGGAACAGACCTACGGGGCTTTTCTAAGACCATCTTGTACAATGACCACGAGGTTCAAGGTAGTGCTTTAAATAAACCACTACTGGAGAGAGATACTAGTGTGTCTACATAATCTACCTAGAGCTGACGATGCTTCATCTATCTAGAAACTGGAGTCGACCCAATCACTATAGTCATCTCCTAAGACTGTTTCCTTTGTCACGGCAGCATCAATAGTGCTCAGATACTCTCGCTCCGATGTGTCAGATCCAGCACCAGTGTTATTGAACTCATAGTAAAGCGGTGTTGCACCATCCGCCATAGTATGCCAACCTTTGGCATTGACAACATCGGATAGGACTGAGTACTGATAGATCACGCGGGCGAGGACTCGCCAGGGTCGGCCCAGATAGACATCACCAGTCAGATCCACTCCGGACGCTGCCTTGATGTTGCAGTGATCAATGGCGTACCACGCCGTGTCAGAAGTCTCCTCTCGCGACATGGCGGTGACGTAGCCAGCACCATTCGAGACGATATCGCAATTCTCAATCCAGGCGGAGGCATCGCCAAAGATATAGTCGACCGCGCCTGTGAATAGATTAATTCCGATCTAGATCTGGTTGAAACCCTTGAGGCCGGAAAAGGGCCACTGCGTAACCCACCTTCAATTCGAGAATTGATATAGTACTGATGGCCAGATTTGGCATAGAGAGTATCCTGGTACCCTGTGAATTGACATGCATAGAATCCCAGTCGGTCGGCATTAGCCACAACTCTAGTACCGGGCGCAGCTGCATGTCAGATGCGTTTTTGGGTAGCTCTTGCACACAGTGGAAAAGAGTAAGTGCTTACGCTACTGCCTGCGCGCCCGACCCATATCCATTCGCTATATTGATGTTGTATACCGAAACCAAGTCCGACTTGATATTGACAGTGGCACTGCTATCGAGAGAGCCAGACTCCGGAGATGATAAGGTATGGGTGATGGTGACGGTATTCTGCTTATATGTTTCGGTATCATTTGTCTCCCCGTACAATGCCAAGCGGCCCGCATAGTCAATAATCAGCTGCTCCTCGTACGTGCCGGCTGCAATGTAAATACATGCGTCCGCCGTTGATGAGCCCAGAGCGTCGAGGGCGTCGCCGATCGTTGAATAATTGCCAGACGTGCCTACCGTGGAACACCCGGATGGCGCGCTGGTTCGACCCGAGTCCCTGGGCAGCACAGATGCAGAGCTATAGAGACTGAAGCCCAGTAGAGCGATTTTCAGAAGGACCCCGCGCATGTTGGGTCTGTGTTGGAATGTGATAGGCAGATCGGATGTAAGCAGTGCTTGTACTCGACTAGTAATGGTGTTCATGAGCATGATTATAAGCCCCCTGCACGCCGGAGTGGCTGGGGCTTAGCACAACACATTTGTTTCACATGCCTCCAACGAACTATACTTCGTATCCAGATATGTTTTGGTGTTCCAGAATTCTTCCATCAATCGGCAAGGTGCAAGTGCCGGAGTTCGCGGAGGCCCACAGGATAAAAGCGGGTGCTCATTTAGCCGGACTATTCCCACCCAATGTCTTTCTCCCCGGACGATGATCAATTCCCCTAATCTCGGTTGGAAGAGGAAGGGCAATTTAAGCAAAACAAGCTTTAGGCAGCGCCCGGACGTGACGGACAATCTTGATGAAGACGTTGTTTCTCCGTTAAGGCAGCCTGCCCTACCTGGAGCCCTGGACAGCCCTCATGTTCGAAATGGCACCTGTGATCGACAGAACTGGCACAATGGTGAGACGCTGTTGTGATTGGAGGCCATGAATTCTGCGTCCTGAAGCTATATATTTGATCTCGCTCGATTCTATCCTTCCATGGGGTAAACTGGAAATAAGCATCTGTGAGCCTAGTGTAAATCAGTGCGAAAATGGTCGGCCTCAATATCATTGTATTGCTCTCGCTATTCGGCCTTAGCAGAGCTGCCCCGTCGAGAAGCGAAGCATCCCCCGATAGGACTATCAAGCCCCGTGCTGCTTGCACGCCCACTGCTGGCGGAAGCTCCTCGACCGACGACGTTCCAGCAATTCAGGAAGCGATCACATCATGTGGTGACGGAGGTACGATCGTAATCCCGGCCGATACGACGTATTACTTGAATAGTGTACTCGACTTCGAGGGCTGCTCGAACTGTGACTTCCAGGTAGAAGGTTTGCTCCAGTTCACCAGCTCCACGGATTACTGGAATGGCAAGACAGCCATGATCAGTGTCTCGAACATTGACGGGTTGAAGCTTCGCTCGGTAACGGGCTCTGGAGTTATTGATGGGAATGGCCAAGAGTCGTACGTTACCTCTCACTTATATTGAACTATTTCTTGACTAACTCGGGTGTACAGATGGGATAAATTTGCGGAAGACAGCAGCTACAAGCGCCCGACCCTGCTTTATATCACCGGGGGCAGCAACATCGAGGTGTCCGGACTGCGGCAGAAGAACCCGCCCAACGTGTTCATTTCTGTCAAAGGCGACACATCAAATGCCCAGTTTACAGATCTGACTATGGATGCCACCTCCGAGTCGGACAATCTTCCGAAGAATACAGATGCCTTTGACATAGGCGCCAGTACTGATGTCACCATCTCCTCGGTCGCTATCACGAACGACGATGACTGTGTGGCTTTCAAACCAGGTGCAAACTATGTAACTGTTCAGGATGTGACTTGCACAGGATCTCACGGTATATCGGTGGGCTCACTTGGGAAGTCTAGCGATGATATCGTCCAGAATGTTTATGCCCGCAACATAACAATGATCAACTCAAGCAAAGCAGCAGGCATCAAAACCTACCCTAGTGGTGGAGACCATGGCCTGTCAACGGTGAAGAATGCCACATTTGAAGATTTCATCGTCGATGGATGTGACTATGCCTTCCAGATTCAAAGCTGTTATGGTGAAGATGACGAATACTGCGAAGAAAATCCTGGCAACGCAGTGCTGGAAGGCATTGTCGTTAAGGGATTCACAGGCACCACGAGTGACAAGGAGGACCCTGTGGTGGCTAATCTGAACTGTGGCTCCGAGGGCACCTGCGATGTTACCATCAGCGGCTTTGAGGTGAAGGCTCCATCGGGAGACGCGAAGATTCTGTGTGGCAACACCCCTTCTAACCTCGGTGTCACCTGTAGCTCAGGTGCATCTGGGTAACAGGATAGCTAGTTGAGACCTAATGTATACCACGCTAGGTGAGCAAGCCTGACTTGTGGAATAGTAGCAGGAGATTCTATTATCTGGCAGAGGACTTGGTTTCTGTAAGCCTAGCTAATGCTTCTTCCTTCGATACCTTCTCTTACGATGTGAATGTCGAGGGAAACAATTGGAGTAGCCGAAAGAACTGAATATTTATTATGAAGAATGATATGCATTGAACGGGGCTTGTAAGTCGACTTGGTGGGGGCCATGAACCTGGCGCTCATCAGCCGAGTTTAGTAGTGTCGCTAATGAGAGTTCTATTCTCTATTGTTCTAGCTCTAGTTTGATGTTGTGTTTATCGCCAGTGTCGTAGCATCAACATAGCATGAATATGCATCACTCAGCTACAATCGTCTTGAAACCTCGCCAATGCGGTACTCGCAATCCTGCTATGCTCAGTAGCCTATCTAGTCCAGACGGTCCACCAGGGACTAGCCATTTAGAGTGTAGTCATGGGACTACACAATGGTTGCTCTTGATTCCAGGGTCTTCAGAATCAGTTCAACCTCGGCATCTGCTGCTTCGAGTATATGCTCGGGTGGGTACTGCGGCTGCCAGCCGATCTGCCTGCCATGGACTGGAGTGAAGGTACAGCTGGGCTGGGTTAACTTTTGTGGGAAGATAGGATTGAGGGTCGCAAATCACATACTTGCCGCCCACTTGAAAAGGTACAATAGATGGGTCCACTCCGAGTGCTTCGCCCATTTCCCCCAGTGCTGCTTTGTCTGCCTGTGCCACCGTACTGTCACCAACCACACCACTCTTAGATAGAGCTTTAGCGAAAGCGTCATATATGTCTTTCCAAGCTACACTTCCCGAGGCAGCAAGGAAGAACCCGTTCCTGTTATACCCGATATCATTGCCGAGCAAGATCTGCCGCAGAATCTGCAAGTAGAGAGCAGTGTTGTCAATAATGTGGCAAACAGGCCAGATCTGGCGGGCATATTAGCACTATGACAGAGAGTCCATGATGATCCATGCAACTCACAGGGTCATCAGAATCGACCATATAGACACGACCTGTTTTTTTCGCGGCTTTCACCACTGCAACGTCTTGAATAGAGATACGGTTACCGAACCCCTCCCCTTCTCCATACACGATGCAGGGAGCAAATATGTAACTTCGCACACCGTTCTCCTCTGCGGTGTCGATAACAGCGACATTGGTTCTCACGCCCTATTCAAGATGTGAGTGAGTTTAGCATTCATGTTGTTGTACGTGCCACATCAGGAAGGCTGATACCTGAGTAAACCATTTATACGGCGGGTCGGTACTTTTCTGGATGGCGTAGAGCTTCGGGTCGGTGTCAAGTACAGTTCTGTCATCTTGAACGCCTCCATGTCGACTGAATTGTTTGGCGCCGGTTGTATGTAAGAAATGCACCGATTTACCTGTGCGTTCTTTTACCTTCCCAAGGGCCCTGATCATCACTTGCTGATGTGTCTGACCGTAGGCGTCGATCAGGAAATAAATCACAGAAATCTCTCTGTCAATAATTGCGCTTGTTAATTGATCATGCTCGCCAATGTTGCAGAGCAAAGGCTCTGCGCCATATTGCTGCACACATTGGGCTTGTGTCTCAGAGCGAACCAGGGCATAAAGCTTGCCATATGGAGGTAAGTCTGTCTGTTTCAAGCGCGCCAGTAGGGTACCCCCAAGATAGCCCGAAGCACCAGTGAGGAGGATATTGTGAGCCATGGTCGATGTGCGAATGTTAATTTGTGGTGTATACGGCGGTCGACCTGGTGTTTTATAATCATAGCTCTTTCTTTTAACGCTCCAACGACGTCATCGCCATGGATGCGTGGATTCAACTGCAGGTGGAGATATGCACGTCTTCTGCCGAATCCCAAGCGTCGACTGAACACCATGCATATCCGATTATTAATTCTCCATTATTAATAATTACTAATTGACGATTCTCACTAGTTAACTAACTATCTCCTCTGCACTCTGTCGTGTGATATGAGGTTTGTACCGTCCAGATTTAGTCTCCTGGACAAGCTTTGCCCCACTGCATCCGGACGGTGAAGGATCTGCGGTTATTTCTCACGCGAAATTATTCCCATAATGTTCCAAGTAATATACCTGTAAGTTAATATCTCTGTCGCAAGTTTTTAATTCTTTTTTGTGTGGTGCGCTGTATAAAGGTTTGCTTTACTCTATGTGCGAGGCTGGTTTACTCCATTCGGCCGTTGACCAAGTCTTGTGTGATTACACCAAGTATGCTGGACCAGGATACCTGTGCTTCTACTACAACTTCAATTGGACCTCCGTCTTTACGACAATTTGGGAATCGTCCTCACGTTTGTTTTTGTATCTTCCTCTCTTTGGTCGCGCTATGCACTGTATAGGAGCATCACCAGCCATGTGAAAGTACAGCATCCCCATATCGTAGTGATCAGCCGCCAAGGACGGGACTAGTCGAAGATGAGATGCAAGGGACTGAATCCTTCAGCTCATTTCCCCCTCTTGAGATTGATTCATAGCTTCGATAACCCACGGTCATATGCCACGACAGTCGAGGGATAGTGTGAAGGAGGCGGAATACCGATTCACTTTCGCGCCCAAAGAGATAAGATGAAGGCCTCACTTTGGCTGATCATTCTCGGCGTAAATCTATCCCTGGCCTTGGCTGTGGGAACTGATTTTCAAGCCTCGTGCCAAGCCTTTTCACCCGATACGAGAGATACGAGTGCTCATCGTGAGTTCACGGAATATGTGCCCGCCGGGACAAATCTCAGTTTGCCGTACAATGATGCAACCTGTGCTCGCCCGTATCAAGTTGTTCCTGTAGACCTTTGCCGGGTCGCATTATACCTGGAGACATCCAACCGATCCAGCGTGACCACAGAGCTCTGGCTCCCTCGAAATTGGACGGGAAGGTTCTTGGGGACTGGAAATGGCGGTATCGATGGTTGTATGTTGACACCGTTTCAGAACAGAGATTTGCGTGATTGTCAAGGCCTACTGATGACGAGTGACTGAACCAGGTATAAAATATGAGGATCTGGCATACGGGGCCGCGAATGGATTCGCCGTTGTCGGGTCGAACAACGGACACAATGGCACGACTGCCGCCTCGTTATACCAGAACTCGGATGTCATCGCGGATTTCGCTTGGAGAGCGTATGTCATCCTGTCGACCTGTGTCAATGCAGCTCTAGATAGCTGACTGTTAGCAGACTTCATCTTAGCACAGTGATAGGCAAACAAGTCACTAACGCATTCTATGGGGAATCTCATACAAAGTCATATTATCTGGGTTGCTCCTTGGGAGGACGGCAGGGGATCCATTCCGCTGTGGACTTCCCGGACGACTTCGATGGGATTGTTGCGGGATCGCCCGCACTGGACTTCAACAATCTTGTCTCTTGGAGAGCAAGCTTCTTCCCTATTACAGGTTCCACCGACTCCGCTGAGTTCATCAATGTATCAACATGGAAGAACGTGATTCACCCGGAGGTGTTGGTCCAGTGCGATACGCTTGATTGTGTGGATGACGGCATCATCGAGGATCCTACCTTGTGCAACTTTCGTCCGGAAGTGCTAATGTGTACGAATGATAGAAAAGATAACTGCCTGAGCCCTGCGCAGGTAGAGATCGTACGGAAGGTGTTTAGTCCAATGTACGGTGAAGATGGGCAACTGATATTCCCCGCAATGCAACCAGGGAGTGAGCTCGAGGCGGCAGACAAGCTTTATGCAGGAAAGCCATTCAGCTATTCTGAAGTATGTGCACCTGGTCGATCGCAATCTTATCGTGTGCTGATGCAAGGTGTAAGGAATGGTTTCAATATGTGGTCTATGATCCGTCGTGGGATCCAGCCGAGTTTGATATTCATGACGCAAAGGTCACGGATGACTTGAATCCACAGAATATCCGAACCTGGCCGAACGACCTGTCGAACTACGCAAAACGAGGAGGAAGGATAATTACCTTTCATGGACAGCAGGATGGTAAGATCACAAGCTTCAACACGGTGCGGTTTTACAATCATCTTTTGACAACTATGAACTTGTCTGCTTCTGAGCTCGACAACTTCTTCCGTTTCTTCCGTATCTCCGGCATGTCCCACTGTAGCTCGGGTCCAGGCGCATGGGCATTTGGGCAGGGTGGCAGCCCTGCCCCAACAATGACACCGTTCAACAGCAATGAGAATGTCTTAGCTGCGTTGGTGGCTTGGGTGGAACGCGGGATAGCCCCAGAGACAATCACGGGGACAAAGTACGTGAATGACAATCCAGAGCTTGGGATTGCCTTCCAGCGTCGTCATTGCAGGTTAGTGATAGTGCAAAAACTGGATACAAGTGAGTTGTGTTAATAATATCACACAGGTACCCACTAAGAACTACCTACACCGGGGGGAAGCACTGGGAATGTGTGTTGCCATGACCACTGTCTACTGAAAAGCCAGGAGTCAATGTGCTTCCTATATTTCCCGTGCGTATAGCTGCCTTGCCTTATACCGGTAGCCTATTGGTAGCTTGTTTTACCTTTGCATAGGTGGCGTTCAATTCACTGGACGCGTGTCTTTTTGTGCCTGATATTCACTGTTAGTTTTGTGTTGCTTCTCTTGTAATAACCAAAACACTCCTTTCGCGCACCGCGACTTCTTCCCACTTCTCCTCCGTGAGATTCGTCTGTCTTTACGATCACCTCTTCATACAATCCCATAACCTCGATGAAAGAACTAGTATTCAAACCCTACCACCCCACGGCCACATCTGAGCAAGAAATGAGAGGAACACGCCGATTGCGACGGGGAAGCAATCCTCGCCGTCCCTCACCAAAGAGACAAAGGACTGTAACCCCTGGTCCCTCTACATCCACCAATATGGAACAGTCCCCAGTTGAGTTGTCCGAGCCGAAGCTTATCCAATCTAACCTCCCTGGCAATAGACATGCTGAAATCAAGAAGGAATCTACCGCCGAGGCAGAGCAACGCACTGGTGACGAGGAGACCCCAAAGGAAGGAAGCCATGAGAGCCATGAACAGCACAGTAGCACTGGTAGAGAAGCTGGCGTCTTTCAGAACCAGCATCCGTCGGTCAACATTGAATGCCGTGGCTACCCATTGTTCTGGTTTCTTCCTGACCGTTTTGCTGCTCACGCCTATCGACCCAGCGATATTCTGTCTTTCACGGAATGCCCACCTGAAATACCTACCTATCAGGAACCTAGATTGGGTACAGTCCCGGTTGGCATGGTCTTAAACGTCCCGGATCATGTGGATCAGAATTCTGGTGTCAGAACTCGGGTGGCATTTGACGTTGCACTTCTACACGTTTCTCTTGATCCCCCTTTTTGGACTATCGCTAGCAGGACCGGAAGACTCCTGAATAACGCAGACTACTGCCTTGACCCTAGCTTTGCTACCGAGAAGCTTAGACTGATCCGGGTCAGAGAGATGATACAGACGCATATTATCGAGCTGACTACTTATCGTCATAATTTCCTCTTGTTGTTACGCTCCTGGCGCAAGGAACGAAGGCTTTGGGAGGTTCGGCTAGCCCTCGCTCAGATCAGACGGGGTAACAACTCACTATTCCAGCATCCTCTGACACATGAAGATCTTGATCATATCTGCATTTGGTACAGAGAGCAACAAGCAGCCGAGGACCGTGGAGAGATTGACCCATCCTCGTTTGGCCGGGTTACGGGCATGGTGAATCCGTGTGCCAAGGAGATCGGCGCCAATGTACAAGGCAGTTTGGTGAATGATGCTATTGTCACTCGCTTCGAGAAGCTCAAAGAGGCTATAAGGGGCGTTCTCGCTAGGATCAGTACATTGCAGGCCCATGAAAACGAGAAGCGCCAGCGCCAGCGGGAACAACGCGCCAGGCGGGAGCAAGGAATAACTGAGAGTGGAAACGATGGTACGAGCCTTCCCGGAGATGCCTTGTTGGTAGATTTCGAATTTGATACTGAGGACCCCTTCCCGTCAGCTCCTGTGATCGATCCCCTGCCCACTGACCTCGAACATCGCGCGGCACACTATCACTGGCAAGTCGAAAGGCATGCGGTTTGGGCCTCGAAAGGCTTGTTCAAGCGTGCGACCTATCTTAACACATTTCAACTTGCAGCTCCGGATGACCTTTCCTTCTTCGATAAACCGAGAGCACAGTGGCCCCGAGGACACCAAGGTCTGCTGTATGCACATGTGGACTATATCGACGATTTCCAGGTGCATCCTTGGGGAATACCAGCAACCCGCTTCACTCAAGCTCTGCGTCACCAGCCTCGTTATACTGCTGATGTCATATATTCCAAGAAGGCGCGTATGGTCCTCAAGAGCATTGAGAAATGGTATTTCGCGAACAGAGAGGTTGCGCTCGGCGGGATTCAGGATTGGCCTCTTCCGTGCCGTGTTCGAGACAGTCTTTTGGAGGCTATCAGGGAACTGCAGTGATCTAAGTATGATCCCGTATCAGGCGCGCTCGTGAATATTGACTTCTTCTCTATTCACTTCGTTCCGATCTCAAAGCTTTGTTTCGTTTGTTATGGATAACTATCCCCGTCGGTTTTATGCACTGATCTTCGTCGAGTGGAATCTCCTGGTCTGACTAACGCATGGTGGACTATTTGACCTGTTGTTCCACTGATAAATATCTCTGTAGCTGGATCTAAATACAATACAGATTTTAAAAATAAGATGTTCACAAAAGTTGACATTTCAAGCCTTTCATTAGTTAGGTATTGTGTCAACCACCCTGTGACAAGACTATCGCCCACGTACTCCAAGCGGCCGTCGGTATTTTCGTCGATCCACTGGGCAGTTATCACCACTAACACTCTGCTCGCCGTGGTTGGAGGAATGATATTTATGCCCGTATCCCCTCTCTCAATGATGCCGGCGCCGTTGTCATCGTGTGCTTATGCGATCACTAGAAGGGAGTATATCCTGCGACAAAGAGCACTATGCTAGAGTCTAGCTGTTATTCCAGGCTAGGCCCATCCAAGAGTCAGGGAAATTCTACCGTTCATCACCTCTATTTAGATTTTCCACCAGCAGCCCTCTTATAGCGATCCAAGGCGACCGCCCGTCTCGTCGCATGGTCCACGATCGGTCTCGGATATCCATTCGTCTCAGCCAGATCGCCCGCGCCGCGCTCATACGGATCATGAATAGCCGATCCCTGGATTTCGCGCAGCTCCGGTACCCAGCGCCGTATATACTCTCCGTCTGGGTCAAATCGCTCGCTCTGGCGTAATGGACTGAAAATACGAAAGTATGGTTGCGGATCGACTCCGGTGCTGGAACCGAACCCCCAGCCGCCGTGGTTAGAGGCAAAGTCGCCATCGATCAGGTGTTCCATGAAGTATCTTTCACCACGCCGCCAGTCTATCAATAGATCCTTCGATAGAAGGAGGCAACGACCATGCGAGACCGGTTGTGCATCCAGGCGGCGCTATTTATCTGTCGCATGGCAGCGTCGACGATGGGGTATCCGGTTCTTCCCTCGCACCACGCATTAAAATAGTCCTCATTGTACTCCCATTCAAGGTCTGTAAACTCAGGCTTGAAGCATTTGTTCATGCTGAGCTTATTAGCTATACGCGGCATAATCCATAAAGCAGTGGCATATCCTTACCATATAAACGGCCAATGAACCAGCACATGTCTGTAAAAGTCCCTCCATGCTACCTCACTAATCCAAGATACAAAGCCAAGATCATTGCGGTCCAGTTGGTTTCTATTCGCTTTCTTAGCTTTAGCCACCGCAGTTCTGGCACTCAAGGATCCAGAAGCAAAGTACGGACTCAAAACCGATGTGGTCTGCTTAGATAGTGAATTCCGCGTATCATCGTAGTCCGTGGCCTTCTCCGCCAGAAACCTTTCAAGGCGATCCAAAGCCTCGTGCTCTCCCGCTGGATATAGTTGACGAAGATGTTCCCTCTCTTGGTCGGATAATCGCTTGTTATCCGGTGCTCCGGGGACCTCGCTTGCGAAAAGGCCCTTAAAGACTTTCCGAGCATTCCCAGGATTGGAACCAGGTTCTTCCGACACTTCCAGATAATCCGGGTTATCCATAAGAAACACCTGCCACGTGCGAAACCATGGACTGTATACAGCATACTGCTTCCCCTGTTGACTACTGAGTAACCCCGGAGGAACAACACAGGTATCATGTAGCATGTCAAAGGCAATACCGCTCTCGACACACAATCGGACCAGCTTCGCCTCTCGACGGAGCTCATCCACTTCGTACTCAATGTTTGCAAACAGATGATTGGCGCCCCACTCCTGACATAGATCAATAATGCGCTGCGGGATATCGCTCCGTTTCTCCTGCGTTTCCATATACAAGGGAATGTCCAACTCGCCCAAGTCCCGCTTCAATTGCTCCAACGTTCGCAACGTCAGATCCACCCGCGCGGGACTGCTCAAATGCGCTGTGAGATCCTCGGGCGAGAGAATGTAGAGCGTGATCAGTGGGATGGAATGTTCGCGCGCAACCTCATATGCCTTCCGCAAGGCACGATTATCGTGCAATCGGAGATCGGACTTGAACCAGTGGACCACGGCAGCATTCGGCCGAATTGATCGACGGGCATCCACCGTTTCTTCACAGGCCCGATTCAATGCGTCCATCGGTCGCTCCAGCGTGCCGTCGTTGTAGGCTTGGCATCGCTCGTTGCTCATCTCGGGCGGGTAGAACTGTCGCAAGACTATGCCGAATTCCTCCGCTTGTCGCGCATTGGGATGCGGCGATGATAGATCGGGCTTCCCCCGCTTGTTAGCGCGTGAGGTGCTGTTCGTTCCATTTTCTCTGGTAATATTTTGCGATGGCTTGCGCTTTTGTGCCATGTTGCGAACGATGGTAGAGGACCGCGTAGACCGAGCTCGCGACGAGAGTGTAAAAGAGTATAGGAATGCGACGCGCGAAAGCCTAATTACCGGGGGAAATCTTCTCATTATAACCACGGGGTGTGGTTATGATTGCGATGTCCCCTGGCGATCGCGTTGACTTCATTGACCGGATCGACGCAGTGAAAACCCTCTGACGTCAGGACCCGATCGACTTCTGAACGTGACAATGAAACCTGAGGAAACAGGTATACACAACATTCCTGTTCCGGCCTGGAAATACACCCACGGACTCCTACTTAGTATCAGTATGCGACTCTCCCTCTCATCTCCCTTTCACAAATCACTACATACGAGTCGATATGACCTGCGGTAGTGATCAAAATTCAGAACAATCGCTCGCCGGAGATAAATGAATATTCGCCATACCATTGGCCTCTATGAACTCTGCAAGGGAGATCAGGTCCATTAAGTCGGCAAATCCAACAAATTTCGCTGTGTCACAACGTCGAGCCCCTAGTTATATGGAGGCGCCGCTATGACAAGGACGGGACATCGATGCACCTGCCAAACGAGATCTCGGACTAGAACATTGCTTGAATGACTCTTCTAGCGTCCGGGCACTGGTTGTGGTTTAGTGGTTTCTTCGTCTGACAGCATCGCAGACCCCACAGTGCCAGCTGTTGGCAACTTGGATCTGCACTTGCCAGAGGCTCAGCGCAGCAAATGACTCAAGCTGATTCGGCAACAATAGTGGAGCATTATTCAGCCTCGCTACTAGTATCATAGCAGGGCGCGAAGCGCTCTCCTACGTATTATACTATGCACATCATTTAAAGGCTGCTCTCCCCCTGTATTGTTCTTCTACCCCGTACGTCGTCGGCACTTGTTCTTTGCTGGCAATCATACACCATGAGTCTCGACACACTTCCTAATGAGATCCTTTGTCTTCTTCCCCTCTACATCGATAACATTGAGACCTTCACCAACGCAGCAGCATCATGTCGCAGACTCCGTGATTGCCTATACACAGCACACCCCAACACCATCCTCCGGCTCGCTGCCGCCTCAGCCCCCACATTCTTCTCTCCCCACCCTCATTTCCTCGTCGCTGCCACGGCCCGCCAAGTCAGTGACTGGGCATTAGGAAATGAAACACGTACATCCGACCTTCGCGAAGCCTTCCAAGGTGGAATCGACAGCCTCTACGAGTTGTGCCTCCAACACGCAGGCCTAACGCTAGAAGACATCCGAAGAACACATCTAGCGCGGTTCTCGACCATTAACCCTCTCTCGGACAAGATCGACAAGATGGCCGGTAGGCAGTGGTACTCTACGCCGAACTTCTGGGATGGTGGAGTGAGCGAACCTTACACCGTCGCTACGGAGCCAGATCGGGCTACCTTCCAAATTATCACCTACGGGGAGTTGTTTGGGCGAAGCATGGACGCCTTTCTGCAGCCGGAAAAGAATCTCCCCTATTTCGATCTACGAACACGGATCGAGTACTTCACCTATTGTCTCCCCGATTGGGTCTGTTCTAGTTACCCCGGGTTTACAAGATTGTCGACCGGTCCGTATGCGCCGCATCTTGAAAGACCGAGCCAAGGAGACCAGACGGCGATGCATCATATTTTGCATTGTGGTCGATGGAGGCGCATGTGGGCCGCTGCCATTCGGTCGGTCCTGGGCGATGACAATGTGTTTACTGATGAGAGTGAAGAGGATGAGCCCTGGCGGAAGAGGATGCTGCGTAATGCGTTGCAGAGTCAGGGGCTCGAAGGGATGCAATTAGTGACTTTGCCCGTGGAGAAGATGGATCAAGAATATGTACACAAGGTGAGGAGGATGAAGCAACAGATCGATCAGTTAAATCAACCTCCACCAGTCGAAATGCTGGGGAAGGGGACGCTCACCCCTGTGTCGTTTGCTCCGGACCCTCCCAATGATGTTGAGATTCCATGTAGGGACATGTGGGGACCATGGGCGGCATTCAACCAAGATGCGATGTCAGATGAGGACTCAGAAGACGAATAGGATCCGGATTGGGAATTAAATGTTGAAGTGATTGAACAATGATGCAGCTCCTCCGGCAGTGCTATCTACATTCATTCTAGAGTTCCAGCATTCCCAAAATATATATACTGGTAGAACTTCTTGTGTTCTTAGACACGAGACAATAGCGATCTAATTGATTGAGAAGTTTAGAATGCCTTTTGTGCGGGGTTCTAGTAGACTCTGCGGTCCATATCAGAATTGAAGTTGAAAAATGTTATTAATCCCAGTCAGAGCTATATCATTGACGAGTTGAGGATGGCTTGTATGAGTGAAGCTCCTTGATGCTATTTCAGCACATGAGTATCTAACGCTAAGCCAGGTTAAGTATAGATCGAGTATGACCCGTTTATCAGGCTTTCCAATTTCTGGACGAACGCCTGTGGGTTCGAATCCCGCGTAGATAGAATAGAATGTCTTCTTTTTTCCAACGGATATTTTTGCATTGCTCGGCTTTAGGGATTTCGGCGTTCGGATTCACACCTACTCAGTAGTCTCCACAACTAAAACCGATTCTTCTCTTTATTTCAAGAAGCAATCGTCACATAAACGACGCTCGATAAACCCACCGCCTACTCTTCTCATTATGCTATTCATGCCTCGGGAGTTCCTTCTTGACTCTACAGACGGCACAGCCCGACTCATCCATTCTCTTTTTGGAATATGAAACTGTCTTTCCTGGCCGATGATTCTCACGAGTTGACGGAATCCATGGATGGTCCTCGATTACTTCTGTCTCCAGCGGAGCCAAGCTACGAGCATTTGTGATCATTCCGCGTGACTCATCAAGATATATCCATGACATAAATCACTGAAAGATACAGCCCGGAGACAGATCTAGATCAACCTGAAAAGCGCCAAACGGGTTCTAGTTTTCTAGAAATGTTCTCAAGCTGAACCGGTTCGCGATCAATGTGAAACCGCTATACCGATCGCGAGTTAGTCCGAGAGTGGTTCCATGGTTCCACCCTGGATCACAACCGAAACCTGACGCTGATTTTCCGCGTGGTACCGCAAAGACCAACTCTGACATCAGTTCCAGCCCGCCTAGGTATCGAAATGCCATCGAGGACCACGTCCACTCTACTCGAATCGCGGTGGGCTCCCCGTCCAGAGGAGTCCACGACGAAGCGGTCATCATCCACGCCCCGAGGGGGGAACCACCCGCCCCCCTCACAGGAACTGGCCCGCTTCATGAAAATCGTCGGGCGATTAAAATGGAAATTGCCCTTCCTGGCGGAGGGCTACCGCCTTGCTACACTCCCCGCTGACGGTGGCGTGGATGTCGCGCATGCGGAGATCATGTTCAAGATCGATTTCTTCGAGTACTATGCACTTCTGGAGCGGGCGATCGTGCATTTACTCGGCGTCTTCGGCGTGACAGTCACTGGCGCTATCTCTAGATCGCAGTCGACTCCAAGACTGGGGAGGAGTGGGTCCCCGGTGGCTACGCATCGGTATCATGCCAACGTGTTGGATACGCTGGAGAGCGAGAACTGTCCATTGTATCCTGTTCTCGGGACTGGAAACGTGCGCGAGCAGTTGCGGAAGGCGAAGGAACTGCGTAATCGCTGGAAGACAGCCGACATGTCGAAAGAAGAGGCGGAGAAGGACTCGTTCGTCGACCGAGGGAGACTGCGATGCCGCTTGAAAGCTACGATTTTGACCATATTTTATCGGAAATCTTTGTCGGTCTAGAAGATGGGCTGGCACTGGCCCGGGAGCATGTAGCTAGGGTCGAGAATGGCACCGGTGACGGCTTGTCGGGCGATTCAGAGGCAGATTGGGATTTCATTGTCGATGCGATGGATTGGGAGGCTGTGTGAGGATTCCTTCGCCTTTTAATTTTCTTCGTTATATTTTCCGGGCTTCGTGCGTTCGCTGGCGTTTGTCTTTCCCCCTTGTCGTTGTAAATTACTGTCTTCCTGTACAATATAGAATGCCCTGAAGGATTGCCACGCGGTTATGCAGACTACACCGTCGTGTCGAAAACCCAAGAGCGACACGCAGGGTACCACATAAGAGATTCATTATAAGACTATCAACAACACACTATATTCCCGCTAATAATGTGGTGGTTTCGGGTCAAGGTCGACTAGTTGTACCACACTGTTCGAATCATCCCTTTGTGACGATGACGAGTACCGAACCGTGTAGCTGACCGATTTGTTGATCTTGCTCTGTCCATTCGACTGGCCCTTGGCGTACCAGTGGCTCGGTCCAGTGGCATACGTTCGTTTGGTGGACCCGCTGAAAACACCGGGGAAGAAGTGGTTGAGCAGAGCGCGGGACGACGGGAGACAGGCGCAGATGATGGCCACTTGCGATTCGATGACGGACCAGTGGATCAGGGGATATATACCAGCTGAGTGGGATTAGCAATGGCCATTCAGAAAAACACAGGCGATACAAGAACCACGTACCGGTCTGATTCTGGCCCCAGCGGTTGTTCCAGAACACGACCACTCGGATGATGCCGATGACAGTCAAGCTGTGACATATACTATTAGCGCCACGACAGACAACGAGGGGGGAAAACAGAGGGGTTCCATACACAGATCCCATCACGAACATCAGACCGACGCTGAGCTTCTTGTACAACGGCAGCTGCAGTTTGCTCACTTCGTAAACCGGCATCAGGACCATGATGGCGTCGACAATGATATTCACTAAGCAGTTGCCCAAGATGGCATCAATGAAATCAATGCAGGTCCCGGGATCCTCATTCTTCCAGCCATCCCATGCTAAATGGACCGGAGTGCATCTTAGTCCATCCACAAGTGCCCATGTGATTCCTATCGATGCGTTGATTCCGATGAGCGTATATGCGAGCGTGCGGAACATCCGGGATTGGAAGATCCGGAGCAGGAACAGACACACGGATATCTTGGCGAGGGAGATTTGGATCTTGTACATCACGGCCAAACCTTGGAAATACTAAAACGAAAGTTAACACTGACACGGCTCGACCAAGGCAGTCGGATGGCGGCGATGGCTGACCTTGTAGAATTGAGTGATGTCATCGAAGGGGATATCCCAGATATTCTTGCCGAAGCCGTATTTGATCACTAGACGGTTAGCCTTAATCATTATCAAAACTTCGAAGACCAAGCTTACTATAAATGTTAAGCACGAACATGGTCACACCCATGACCTGGAGGAGTTTAGTACAGGGGTTACCTGTTGCACGAGAATGGTGCCTTACATATGAGATGATAATGGTCAGGTCATCCAACCCCCAGCCACCACCAAGATTGAAGCTTTTGGCCGCGATTCGGATGGTGAAGAAAAAGGTGGCTAGGATGAGGGGTGCCAAAGTCGAGCCCTCAATGAGGGGGGGCCTTGGCGGGGTGTGATATTGCAGGATTCTTCGGTCAATCGCTGCGTGACTGTCTATGGTTAACCTCTCGAAACGGCCCATCAGGTCTGCTGAAGACTCACTGAATTCTTCCTTGGTTGTACCATTCCTGGCTACGCAGTCCACTAGGGTAGTCTGCCGTGCCTCGTCGGCGCAGAGGTATGTCGTCGAGTTCCACTCTCCTTGAAACAGCTGGTGCATACACGAAATCTGATGCAAGCACACATACACAGTCAGCGACGAGCGACATGGCCCAGACATGGCTCAGGACTTACAGCAGATGATGGAAACTCATTGGGGTCGGGGTCTGCGGCATGCAAGCCCACCCCCAACGCTAGTAGAGAGAGCACGATCTGGTAGACCTTCATTTTGACAATGGAGGCACTTCAATCGAGTGACCGAGCAGAGCATACCCAGGAGATAGAGTAGGTATTATAGATTAAACCGTGGATGGGCCAGCCTCGCTTCGATATTAATTGTGCCCGCTGCCCGCGGATCAATCTACCTTTTTTTTTAATTTTATTTTATTCTATTTTATTTTTTTCCTGTCGAAGTTTGGAACACTGGGCCAGCCCTCTCCACCATGGCAAGTGACCCCGAAGGGGAAGTTTCATACTACACTAGAGAGGTTAAGCTTATTTGTCGTCATTTGGTTTCCTCGTGGCAATGTGGCATATATCCTGGCGGCTTAATATTTGGGACGCCAATTTTCGGTAGTCAGGGTTGGATCGCTAACAGTGCAGAGCCTTTGGCGCGTCTCTTGGAGCCTTAGCGTTCTCAGTGATCAGCCCTCACGATAGCCTCGGACTCTCTGATCGATCGGTTCTCGAAAAAGAAAAATTGGGTCCAGTGAAACCCAGTCAATCAACAAGCTAACCCTAGTCTTGGCTGCCGTGAGGCGACCTGATGAAAAACTTTTTCGGTCCCCGGGTCTCCACTTAGGACAAGATCTCGGTTGCGGATTGATTGATGGATCCTTCTCCAATTGGATTAACCTGGTCCCTTGAATGTTGAACCTGCCCCTCAGGCCAATCTTGCTGGCTTGTGCCTGGGATATCAACCGGTTGGTCACGGCGTCCGCAGTGCACACATGGTTGGGAATCCTCTTGATCGGTTCCGTGGTTGTTGCCTGGTCTCATCCGTGACGATTCTCTGACCAAACCACGTTTTCTACAAAGTATCGCCCTCTGCCACCTGCTGGGAATTCTTTTACCTTTTTTATTTTTATTTTTATTTTTCTTTGCCCGTGTGCTTCGCCCGCTCGGTGTCCCTCAACCCCATCGCGTGAGGGGGAAGGACGGATAGTAATTAATTAGGATCACCTCGCCGAGTCATGAATCCCTGCGCCTTGCGGGCTTCAGTTACCTGATGTAAAGAAACCACTATTTGAGCGTGCACACCAGTCATCACCGGAGTACTTCCCCTTTTCAGTGAGTGGCTTTTCCCCTAGGTCAGGGGAAATCGAAATAAGACTGCTCTCCGGGCGGAGGGGCAAGCCTTGGTCTCAGACGCCTCTTTCACGGGGCTCTTCTCCCAGGAGGCCCGGATCTGCTTTGGATCTGCCATCGATTCGCCCGGAATTTAACCTACAGAGGAACGTGTGAAATGCACTGCATAATGCGCGCATATATATCGGATTGTCGGTACTCGATATTCCGTAGAGCGGGCGTTGATTAATCATTATCATTCGGTAGGGCTAGCTTTCGGCCAAGCCTCGGGATTTAATTACGCGGACTTGCCCCGAGCAAATTCCTCGATGAGATCACTTCAATGGCTTTTATCAATCGGTGTTCTCATTTTTAATATGATCACTTCCGCTATCGTCCGAGAAGTAAATCCCCACTTTACGGTGCAATTTAATTTGCCCCTTTTTACTTTGGTTCCTGGGCCCAAAAATACATCGTCAACGTAGCGTAGTGCTTTACTGTGGCTTGCACAACTAACCCTGCCAGCCGATGCCCCTCTAGACTCTTTGCCAGACAATATTCCCATAATATCTACTTCGCAGTACATGTATGGTTAGGCGATCTACAACCTCGAACATCCTAAAGCTTTACGTTAAAGGAAATGAACAATCTCATGACCAGGGTTCTTCAAGGTTGCCGTATCAGTGTGTACTCCCAAGATATTCTCACTGCTTGTCTTCAATGGCATCCTTTCTTAATAATCAATATCTAGAATCATCTTCAGGTGCAGTCATACATCATGAATTGTGACTTTGGTATGGGGTAGTGGATACGAGAGACTCTGCGCTGTAGCAGGGAGAGGGTGTAAGGTACGCGGCACCTTAGGCTATCCAGTGCGCTACTTAGTAGGTTCTAGGGCCCACGGGAGGTGTCTCAGGAGTACTAAATGTTGTCCTTTTGGTAAATGGCTTCGTATGACCCCTAAATTAGGTGTCTTACAGAAGGCCAAGGCTGACCATCGCCTGTCCCGAAGACCATGCTATACCGTTAGGTGGGTAAGTCAGGATGGATTCATAGTAAACACAATTTTCGAAGACGCAAAGCTATACGTGTAATAGACAGAGTTAAGATGGTAGGTCTTTGCCCAGGTATTAGTCTTAAACCTACTGTAAAGAGGGCGCAGGTCATCACACTGCTACCATGTCAAACCCCGACATTCAGCGCTCACGTCGTCGAACACACATTCCTACACTACCAGCTGGGACGGCCCCTGAGAGAATGGAGAACTTGTCTGGTTTTATTATCCCTTAGGAACTAGCTCCCGATTATACGCAGGGGTTGGGGGGTCACTACCCACTACCCACTACTTCCGAGGGCCAAACCTTCCCCAGGACTCAGAGAACCCAGATCCACGCACCCACATGTCGTTCGACACTTCTCCGACAGAGTCAATAACTAACAAAAACCAGCATTAGCCTGAAACCCCCACTTCGCAATATAGAGGAGCTGTCTTACCCATGTTCCCAATTCTCAGCCACATGTCGCCAGTAATCCTCAGTCCTCTCTGTTCTGCCTCGGCCTCATACTCATGGCACAGCTCCTGGGCGTGCGCAACTGTCCGGACGAATTTCGCCAGATGCCGTCGTCGCTGGGATGCATATAGCTCCTAGAAAAGATTTCTGGCCAGCCCATATGGATCGGATAGCCGTTGACATCGGCGATTCGAGGTGGCGGCATCTTGCGTGACGCCCATATCAGAAGGTCCATCCGCGCTTTCATCTCGAGAAGGCGTGCCTTGCTGTGAGTGCTGAGGTAGGGAAGATCGAGAATCGGCTTGAAGAAGATCGAAAGATTGAGGCTATGGACAAAATAGAAGTCGAACTTGATCTCCTTCTCAGGATGTTGAGCAGTCGCAGTTAGATATGCTATTGCAGATTGATGTCATTAGTTCTCATGGATTGACATTCTCTCCCAGTGATGTACTGACCAGCGGCATTGACCATTTCAGCAAGCCTCTCACTTATCCTATCGTCGGGGACGGTCCACTGGTGGCAATACTGCACAAGCACCCTGGGAGCTCGTTGCAAAATCCCGCTACTGAAAACCTCATCATCACCTGGGTGTGCAGCCGCACGCAGTGTTTCGTCCGCCTGCATTTCGTCCATGATTTGAACCAAAGTCTTATGCATACCACGTTGTCCAACTCCCCCAGCAGCCTTTTCAGCAGGGAACAGAAACAGCTGACCGAGGTAGTCTTCATGAACGGCAGCCTGAGCCAGGGCCTGAGCGACGATGGCAGGTTGCTGGAATTCAATCGCAAAGCCTAGATGGATAATGGGATGGAGAAGGCCGGCAAACATGACCGACAGCATCGATTCCGCCAGTCTATCTCCGCTAAAGAGATATTCATTCAGACGTCCGGGACGCCTTTGGTAGCAAGTTCATGCTGGAAAAAGGCTAGGAAGTTGGGTAATGTTCTTCCTTGCTCATGAGGCTCATGAAGACCTCTTTGTCGCTGAGAGATGAGATAACGGTCTCATCCCTGGGCATGCAAGGCCGTTGACGATGGTGTTCTCTCTCATACTGGCGTTGAATTGTGTCAGGAGACGCACCCAGAGCCCAAATCGTGAGCATGAAATGCACGATGTGGTCTAAAAATATATTAGCAATGCGCTGCTGCTCTGTGCCCCACCACCACAGCCCACAGGTATCTGGGCTTACCATGAAATCCGCGATCATTGAGATAGATGTGATGATTCTCCATATCATGCTGAAGAACTTCACTGACTTTCCGAGCCGATGCATGGCTCAGCCCGGAGGTGGAGAAGACGCCATGGCTGTCTGGAGTCAACCAAATTTTGTATGGTGTGGCCATCCTCTTTAGGGTACTGCAGTTAGGAAGTTATAAGCGATGGGTGAACTGCAATATTGAGAGGGAAGTTAGAGAAACTACAGGGTATTTATAATAGGGAAGCATACATGCGCAGGCAATGGGGTGTTGGGGAATGATAGGATTCTAGGCTTTTGGGGTTGGAAAGATCGTGTAAGCATAGTACGTCCAGGTCATACCGGCGAAGGTGAAGCCAACAGAGCTTGAGATTCCAAAGCCTACCTTAGTAACTACTACTAGTCTACTCGTCGCTACCTGCTCAGTCGTGATGCCATAGAATACCGTAGAGCCTATAGGTACATGGGACATTTTGCCTTTTCCGCCAGATCCGCCAATCGGATTTCTAAGCGTGGGGCAACTCCCGGATCTCGGCTTTCGCATCTCGCATTTGATACAATTCGCATCAGCCGTCGTCGATGCTACTCAAAGGGAACTTCTCGAGCATGCTATCAAATCGTCCTTGAACCTTAGAGTTCCCCCCTTCCTTTTGCAATCAAGAAATTGGCTCGGATCATATCCACCGCAAGTATGAGGACCACACTTGCTTGTCAATGGTGTCGGTGAGCTCCCCGCCGTTGATTCCGCTTGGAGATCGAGTTCCGGCAGCTACCGATTAGAACATGGACAGTGCTGGACGACCTCATGACATTCATTCATTCATTTGCAAAATGCAACAAACTGCTAAGAGAATAAAACTATATAGAAGTGCCAAGGTCAAATGTCATCATGATGGCTCCCCACCCTGTCGGTCCTGCTCGTTGAACCCCGGACGGGAATGTGTCTTGAGCACACCGAAACATCAGTCGAAACGACATCAAAATTCTCTTGGATCTAGACGAGATCGGTTAACCCGAGTTTCCAAGTCTCCTAAAGATAGTGAGAATCGAGAAGCAGCGATCGGTCGTTCCGTCTCCCACACCGAGTCCGCAAGGGTCCCACCTCACCGAAACGGTACACAATCCTCGTCATTCAACGGTGAGATAAGAAAGCAGAGTAAATTTTGGACGCAGTCAATAGAAACGCTCGGGCCTGGGGATCCTCTGGCAGGCCTGGATGGCAAACTACTGAAGGATGCTTTTTATGTCTTTCTTCGTCATTTCCCGGAGTTCGGGTTCTTTCATCAGCCAACCTTCTGTATACTCCTTGATAAAGGAGCTATACCAACATTACTGCTTTGTAGCATCCTGGCCTTAAGTGCCCGGTTTATGCCGGAACTTGCCAATCTCCACGGGAGTCCCGAAAAAGCCTCGGAATATTTTGCGAATTATACTCGTCAGAATATCATGAGTCACGCCATGACAGCCATGGATATCCACACAGGCCAGACGCTACTCATGCTGAGCTTGTATGACTGGGGAAATGGCGATGGCTCCCGCGCCTGGGTGTATAACGGCATGGCTACCCGGATCGTTCATGGGGTTTACGCACAAGCCAAAGAATCAGCTAAGATGGACATGTCTTCTTTCAAGAATTCCCGTCTAGAAGAGGCATGCAGGACTGTCTGGGCTTGCTTTCTACTTGACTCTATGATCGGATGTGGAAAATGCCAGGCGTCCAATTTTTCGATGAGCACAGGTAAGATTCCTCTGCCCTCGGGCGAGGACGATTTTGCGTTTGGAAATAGTCCGTCTTCTAGACCAACCTTTATGGAAGCGTGGGATTTTGAAACCAATGACTATCACCCACAGAATTTATCCTTGCCGGACAAGATGGGTTGTGACCACAGCCTCGTTTTGATAGTCCAAGGCTTCCACATCTGGCAGGCGATTTCATCTTGGGTCTCTACTGGAGGGAGAAGACGCCAGTCACCGTCATCAAGAGAGCCTCCTTGGCGAGGCTGCTCATTTTGGTCTCGCAGCATGGCCGCTGTGAAAGATTGGCGTGCGTCACAATCTCCACAGTTGATATTCTCTGCGTCGAATATCAACATTCACGTGTACATTTCACGTGGCGAGGGTGAGCGTTTCGCTGTTATTAACCTTCTCTACTACTTGAATATAATCCTTCTTCACCGGGAATATATCCCTTTTGTCCCTCACTTGATCAATCGTCCACAGGGACCAGTACAACCCCCCCTGTTGATGGAAGAGGCTCCTTTTGGATGGTGGGAAAAGAGTGCGCAAGACATGTTTGCAGCTGCGTCAAATATCATCGAGATGATGCGGGAGCTCAATAAGGGCGGGGTTCAGTTTCAAACGCCATTTGCATGCTTTTGCGTCTTCAGTGCTGCGTCTGCTCTCTCATATGCGACTACATGGCCGTACATGGCACCCGGACTCGATCCTCAAACTTCATCAAGTCTGTTCTCATGGGCATCTACATGGTTAAGCCAGGCTTGCAAATTCTGGAAAGTCGCAAATGGCTGGTATAGTACCATGCTCACACTATGCCAACTTTATACGCAGATCAAAATGGATCCATCTCAGATACTGAATGTGCGACGAGATGTATTTGTGGCCTTGGAAGAGAACATCCAACGACTAGCAGGTTCCGAGACCCTGGATCTAGGCGATATTCCGACCGCAAACATTCTTCTACTGCTGCAGAGACAACAAGGGCAAACGGAGGGCAACAGCGAGGCGAGCATGGGAGGAAGAAACAGCTTCTCCGAAAGCAATGTAGAAACCTCTCAGGGGGTGCGCGACATAAATACACCAATCTTGGTAGAGTCTGGACAAGACCCTCTCGCGCCAGTTCATCCTCTACCCTTCTACCTGAACTCTGAGCAGGATTTGCTTGCAAGTATTCTGTCAGACCCCTCGGGTGACTGGACTCGGCCTTTTATCGACACTACACAACTTCCTGGATCGTGAAGGCTTTGATCAGGAGGGCCTCTAAAATAATAAATTTTGTGACTGCGAAGTTTTTCTAGGCAATGACTTTTCATCATTGTCCGTGCTAGTATTGTCCTTTTGAAGAACGAAGTTTTACTATTGACAGGTCATTCGTTGCGGTCTTGATTGCACAGATTTGCTGCCCAAGATACGCCCCCGATGTATGTCCTTTCCCTGCGCAACCACCGCCCTGAAAGATCGTTATATCAATTCCCACAGGATTATATCTCCAGCCCTCAATGCACCAATGTCAGCGCGCCCTACTCTAGTTGACCCTTTGCGAGATGTACTGAGCGCTGAGGATCATGTAAAATTAAGAGCAATGTCGGAGGGCCTCGGTTTGGCCGAAGAAGACCTTAGTATAGGGGTCAAAGAATGAACGACTAGCATGAGCTTGGATATGAATGTCAGCCGTTATGACCCACGCAGGAGATGTGTCATGCAATATACGTAGTATCTGGTGTTAAAAGTGTCGATACAAATATCGGTCAAACTCTGGAGAAACCTATGGAGCATCATTTTGTGGCAAAACATGACATTGGTGATGGGATCGCCCATATAGCAAGACATTGTCTGGGCCATGCCAAGCTTTCCCATCACCTATCTAGGATTCCGGGCCGGTTTGTTTATCCACTGGCTAAGGTTAGCTCGACAGCTAATGTTTCATCACACCACAAGCTGCCGCGGAGCCCTAGCTCCAGCATTGTTGCTCATTCGCGTTGGAACTGGTATTCCAAGAGGAAGCCCTATACTATTCAACCAGGACGATTTAAGTTTCTAAGTCTTAATTAGATGGGACCAACACAAAGGCGCTGGTCATGTAGCATGCCCTAAGGGATAACATCTCGGCAACGACATAGGGGATATCCAAATCCCAACATCGGTACATGCAAGTGAGACCCTGCGCGATTCCCATTTCGCGCCGCAGTGGAGAAAAAGTCCGTTCGCGGACTATGTTAAACACAACAAATGCCATGTTATTGGTGGAGGCTGGGTCTAATATGCCGAGGGACTCTTGGCACATCAACTCCTGTCTGAAAGTGAGTCCGGAGAAACCTGATATGGCTTGGCATTCCCCATCTCGTGGCCCTACTTTTTGCAGCCATGGCTCTATCCATGTGCTTGATTGATGGAGAATAGGGCTACACGACCGACTCTCCGACACTCCGCTTCTTTGCCTAGAAACCGTCGTATCGGACAGATTGTGGCCATGTTGATGAATACTAGCAGGTGGTCTCGAACGAAGCCAGGAATATATAAATATCATGATGCTTTACTACTCGTCTCGACAAATACGTGATTCTCTTCTCTGCTTTTGTCCTTGTTGTTTTTCTATATCTTAATCCACTCATTTTCTTTTATTATTTCGTTCTGTTAATTTCAAGGCAAAATGAAAGCCGTTCTTTCTCTCACAGCCCTCCAGCTGCTGGCCAGCTATGTGACGGGTCTCCCGCTGCAGGACAGCTCCCTGGCCAAGAATGTCAAGCGTCAGGGCACCAGCTCCTGGAATCCTCCATCGGAGCTGGTGACCCCTCTCAACGAGGTAATACCTCCACTCGCACACCTCGGACCTTGACTAACGATACACGAAACCAATAGGTATGGGAACACCAAATGTCAACCTACAGCGACCCTCTCGGATTCCGCAACTACGGATACGACCAGGTGATCGACGGCAAGGGCAAGATCAACTACTGCGTGCGGTGGGACTCCACCCAGTCCGTGACCCAGGCACAGCGTGAGCAGGTCGAGACGGCTGTGCGACGGTCGTTCAACAAGTGGATAGCCGAGCTTGCCGGCTTCGATGGGTTCCCTTACAACACGGTCGATGTCAATGTTGTTGGATGGGCTGTCAAGGATAAGGGCCTGCTGCAGGGCGACACCTCGGGTATTGAGGTGTACACTACCACCGATGAAGAGGGTATCCCGCAGTGTGACCCAGGATGTGGGCGATTCTTCCACCAGGATAACGACTACAGTGCCTGTGCTGCTGGGGCTGATCGCCACTACGGTATGCCATTTCATTCTTCCTGCACGTTTGCGTAGTCGACACGTACTAACGACAACACAGACCAAAGCCTGTGGCTCACTGATGGCTTCGAAGGCGGCGCCGGTGGTGACTGGGGCCAGCGCATCGGACAAGAGTATTTCATGCAGAACCTTGAACTGGAGGATATCCATATTCTCCTGCATGAGATGGGGCATACTTTCGCCCTGGATGGTATGTTATTCCCCTTCCTTTCAGTTCCAGGAGACAGCGATATTGATATTTCTAGATTTCTATGACTGGACCCCGACTGGTCAGACGAGCTTCATCATGCTGGCTGGTAGCGCGATGAAGATCACTGAGTTTGACGCGTGGATGGCAAAGGACTGGTGGCGCCATCTGAAGTCTCGCTACAGCCTTTAGATATCCCTTGGTATACCTGACATGGGCCTGTGAACTTGGGGCGATATCAATATATGTGGCCGTGTGGGAGAAGCCTTAGTTTAATTGAGAGTAGGGTGATACTGGGATTGACTCTCAGCAGCATCATTCAATTCAATAAATCAACTTCTCTGCGTTAGGGGTAATTCTGAGTACAGTCTAATGTTCAGACTACCCTGAATACACAGCCATCATACTACTTGTCCAGAAAACAGTGTAGACGAGAAGAGATATAAACGAAACTCGAGGAGCCCAGATAAACGCATGAATAATCTATAACTATTCTCGTCTGAGCAAGTACTTGGTCGAACCAGCTATTATACTAGAACTAACGGCGGAGCGACTGGTACATAATAAGGGTATCGACTAACATAATGACGCCGAGCGCAGGCCCCGGCTGATCAAAATAGCGTTTAGACTTGGACCATTCGTGCGCTCCGCGATGCCGCTGCAGGGGGATCCTTCTTTCCAAGGGGCCTATAACCCGGAAGATCGGATTTCAAGATTCCAGACATGCCGAGGGCGACAGCGAGTGTTAACGCGCAGAAGACAACCATGCTCAAAGCAAATGGGAAGTACTCTATATCTCTGTGTGATGTGTGGAACACGAAAGGATACAACGAACCATAGCAGGACAGCGAAGGCAATGATCACATTCACGACACCATCGTCCCATATGAATCCCACAGTGAGCTTTTTCTTTCCGTCTCGGTAGATATGAGATTCGTTACCGCGCCATGGAATTTGGTGCAACGAGGGGTCACTTGTCCAGGGTCTAGCGGCCAATATACAGTCCTCATAAAAAGGTTGATACCTCCTAGGGTAGATAAGAGTAGTCCTAAGGTACGTAGAATTATTTCACAGCCGATCACATATGCGGCGCATCCAATCAATGAACGCGGTCATTGGTTGGCTTGAGGCCATAGAGCCCGCAGTTGGAAGCAGGGGATCGGATGCTGCCACCTGCACAACGGCTTAGCTTCAATGATGTGAGGTTAACATTGATGAGGAATAATTCGTGTCATACCATCTCGGTTTCCTCAAAATCGTGTATGCTGTAGGTGCAATTGTCAGTGTGTGGACAACCATCATGACATTTCTAGCCATCTTCAACTGCATTCCAATCAGTGGGTTCTGGACCGGCCAGGGAAAATGCATCTCATTTAGGAAGTTTGCCATCGGATATGCCATTGTGAACATCATCACCGACTTGGCAGTGTGGCCCATGCCGATCCCGAACATGTGGAAGCTGCAGCTCCCAACCACACAGAAGATTACTCTGACGCTTATCTTCGTGCTTGGCCTTATGTATGGGCCCTTCAGCCACATGCGTAACTAATTGAGGACCAAATGTGGCTAACATGTCATTTTCGTTAGTGATTGCAGGGCGGCCCTCGTGCGACTCTTTTCATCCCTGCTCTTCCTCGGGAACTGCGATGTAACATTTTACTATGCGCGCGGATTCATGTGGTCCATTATCGAAGCTTCTCTCGGCATTATCTGCACCTTTCTTCCGACCATGCGCGTGATTCTAAAGATTGTCCTCAGTCGAAGTCTCGCTCGAGGGTTGGGATTTTCGAGTTTGACTCCGAGACCCCACCGTTTAAGCAAAAGAGGTTGGGTGCGGCCATCTCAATACAATGAGATCTCGGGGCCATGGAGGGTGCAGCCTGGCGCTGGGACCCAAAATCATAGCGATGTGACCACAGGGGTCAAACGAGAGGATGGTGCTAGCACAGCACGAGAGATTCGAGTTTTGGAAGAGATCAAGATTGAGTTTCAGCATATTAAAGCACCCTCGCCTGCAGCGTTATGATTGGGACCACGACGGAAGGCGAAACTCCGTCTCGGCTTCGGCGTGCTGACGCTTGTGAGTCAATTTGCGATCAGATCTAGTATTGATAATCGAACTGATGTGAAACAGGACCAGTGAGATACACGAAGTCTTCTAGCATTTCGAGTCAGACCGGTCAATGCCAAGACGTAAATCTCAGTCAACCTGAAGACCACTCCAATTTCTCCGAAAGAGCGTGATTTTTGCGCCAACAGTGTCACCACCTTGTTCAGTGCTTTCAAACACAGTACGAGTATGCAGAGGACGTGCAACGTGTCAGCGTATGGCGTCATGAGCGGAGTTGGTCACCTCAGAGCTCGCCATTTCTGTTTGTTTGGTCGTTCAGTGTATCGCTTGGCGGTGGACACACACAGTGGGTGCTTTGGACGATGGCGAGAGATGTCGGGGGGACTTTGATTGAAGGTTCACCAGGTCGCAGAGACAATCGAAGTGTTCGCAGTTGGGACGGAGACGAACACATGGACGGAAAAGCGTTTAGTCACCTGGACCCACGTGAACGGACCAGAGCTCTCGGATAAAGCGTGCCGAAGGATGGACGCCGGCGAGAGAATTCGGTAAATGCAGCCCAGACAGAAGAAAGAAAAAGACCCCACGGGGTAAAAATGACAGTCGGGAACCTCCGCTGCGGGGGCACGGAATCATTCCCGCCAATAAATAAATAAATATGAATGTCCGACGCTTTTTGCTGGGCTGTTCTCGGAAATTTTCCAAGCATGACAGACATGGGAATGCAAGAGAAATTCTCCGGGCAAGCCTCCCGAGACGATGATCACGCCCAGTATCCCGATCAACGCCAGGAACAGACCGACAGTGCAGAACCAGAAAAGCCACCTCCCAACGGAGGTCTGAATTCGTGGCTCAATGTGGCGGCGGCCTTCTGTGTTTTTGTCAACACCTGGTATGTTTCCGCCAAGGAGGTCGATATGCAACACAGTCGTATAGGTATACTAACCGACTGATGAAGGGGGTTAATCACCACATTTGGTGCGTTTCAGGAGTACTATCGAACCGTATTGCTGCGCGACCAATCCTCCTCGGCGATCTCATGGATTGGTAGCATTCAAGCCACTCTGATCCCCATGGTGGGAATGGTCACGGGGCCACTGGTTGACGCCGGATATCTGCGTATACTAATCTTGTCTGGCAGTTTTCTCATCGTATTTGGCATGATGATGACAAGTCTAGCGACAGAGTACTATCAGGTACGACCCTCTCTGTAGTACCTACACCCCTGTACATCGCATGAAATCTAATCCTAGTCCACAGGTACTGCTATCACAAGCCTTTTGTACGGGTTTAGGTGGAGGAGTCTCCTACATCCCCGCCATGGTGGTGTTATCCTCCTCATTTACGACGAAACGAGCAGTGGCAGTCGGCTGTGCATCAATCGGGTCCAGCGTTGGCAGTGTCATCTTCCCGATTATGTTTCGTCGCCTGCAGCCGATGATTGGATTTCCTTGGGCAGTTCGCTGCATAGGGTTCATCAATCTATTCATGGCCATCATCGCGTGCTCGATCCTATGCCGCCATCCGGGCAAGAAAACCCGTGCGCGAAGTCTAGTTGAGTGGAGAGCTCTGAAACAACCAACTTTCATGCTCCTATCGGTATCCCTTACCTGCGTCATGCTCGCCTACTACGTTCCGATTTTCTACGTTGCCACCTACGCACGGGTGAAACTGAACACGGAAACGAACCTGTCTTTCTACCTCGTGTCCATCATCAATGGAGCCTCGGCATTCGGACGAACCGTCCCTTACCTGTTGGGCTCTCGTATCAACACCATGTTCGTCCTGATCTCGTGCACCGCTGCATCGGCAGTCGCCATGTACACCTGGATTGCAACCAGCAATACGGCGGGATTCATTGTCTGGGCCTGTTATTGGGGTTTCTTGAGTGGGGTCCTGGTCACCGCACCGACCTCAATCGTTGCGCACCCTGTTTTCACTCCGGACAAGAACTACCTCGGGACTCGCATGGGCATGATGTGGGGAATCAGTTCCTTCGGAGCGTTGGCCGGGGCCCCCATTGCGGGAGCCTTGGTCGATCTTGAACATAAGAACTTTGTTCGGGCCCAGGTGTTTGCCGGGAGTCTGATGGTGGGGGCTGTGCTGCTACAAATGTGGCCGACTATTACTGCACTTCGGTACGATCGTAATAAAGATCGAGAGGCCAAGCAATAAAATAGAGACAGGTCAGGATAAAAGCCACTGCCGATAGTGTGCGTAGTCTCTACACCCTTGTGAGACGACACTTTGTATCACTTCGCTCATGCACCATAATTCATCACGTCTTCTGTAAATACAAGCAGACACTGATATCTATTTTTAATCACATTATGAGAGAACACAAATCTACAAGGATTTAAAGTAGCCCTGATTATGCCTATCTATTATGTTACATATATCCTCTCTTTACTATCAGCTTAACTTATTAATACTCTCTTGACTAATTGAGTATATGTATTTGACAGATCTGTCCTTTCTATTTTATACGCCCACTTCTCAGACTATATATACCACATGTACTATCATACACTTACACCATTTTCATATCAAGTTGTGTAATTCGTGATCATTATTATTAACCCACCCTAGGTAACTCACCATCGACCACTCTATTTATAAGCTTATTCCTTGTTCCTGCTCATTCCGGGCCATACACGGCCTTAGTTGAGGGCCTATGTTAATGTTACATTGCATCAAGCTAGTCATGCAGCCTGCCGACTGGACGATGGCGAAGTGCATTGGTGAACCACCAGGCGTATCGCCGGGCAGGGGTTTGCCCTAATAAGGCTGGCGGATTGGAGGAAATCCCAGTCAGTTAGCCTCGGGGGTCTCGCGCCAAAACACCTCATTTCCCTGAGATGCAGGGGTTGAACTTCTTTATAACCGTGTTATTCCCTGGAAATGTAAGCCATGGAGTCTGTCCTGCTATTCATTGTCGCTCGCCTCGGGGCGATTCTTATCCACCACGTCCCCGCCCCCGACTCCCATGATTTAGCTGTTTCTACACCGCATAATCTTAACTTGGTCTCGCACAGGCGTCTACATATCGATTGTAGCGCTTAGGTCGCCGTGTTACTCAGACTACATCGCTAGAGTGGATTCCTATTGTTTTTTCCTCCAAAGCGCTCCCCCGGGTTTTAAATCTCGACAGCCTGAGGTAGATCTTCACAATCAACTCCGCCAGGATAAATCGAGGAGCCCTGTTGTATATGTTATCGTTTCTGGAGAATACCAACCCTCTAGCGTTCACACAAGTGGTGTTGACGAAATAAACCGACCGGGTTCCAGGCCGACACACGGTAACGGACAGCAAGACGGGTGGAGTCCATGGAGAGAAGGCACAGTGCTGAAGGCCTTGAAGTCGCGCGATTCGAAGGCCTGGAATACAATGGAGACGCCGCCGGTCTCCAGTATGTACCTCCGGGAATGGCGCGCAATGGCGCAGCAAATGGTCCACATGTGATCGAGTCTCTCCCGGAAAAGGGGAGTCCGCAGCGCAGAATTTGCGGCCTACCGAGAACTGGTTTCTGGATACTACTCGCGTTAACAACAGCCTTCATTATCGGCGGCGCGATTGGTGGAGGAGTGGGCGGTTCAATAGCAGCCAAAAAGGGCAGCAGCCCACAGCCACCACCCGCGTCAACGACAGCTTTCACAACTTCATCTACTCCTGTTACATCTGCTACCAGTACTCACTCGGAGCGGTCGGTAACGGCTTCGACAACTTCTTCTGCTCCGGTTACCTCTGGCACAAGTGGCATCGCCGCTAACCCGTGCCCTGGGATCAATCAAACTGTAGTGACGGGGTCCACTGGCTCTGCGTTTACTGTTCTGTGTGGTGTTGATTGGCCCAGGGGCATCCAGGCCATGAATGGCAAGGGAAAAGTGAGTGATATTGGTCGTGCGACTGTATACTCTATACAGGAATGCATCAACACCTGCGTCGGTTCGCACAAGGACGATTGCAAAGGTGTAACGTATTCGGCCAATTTGACATCCTCATTTGACGGTGGGCAGGATGGAAACTGTTTCTTCAAAGACCAAGCTGGTATCTACTTCCCAGGGGGTGATACGATCATATCTGCAGGAATCATTGGGGGTTAGTGACTCCAAGGCTCCGGATTGATGTATAATACAATTTATGGTAAAGTCTATGAAACAGTGGCCTCATCTGAGTCAATACGCTAGCAGTACGAAGTATATACTATCAAGCATCACAATAACATGACCCTCGATATCCTTCACAGCCAACTAGCCCGCCATGGATGCAGAATGGCGAGTAGCGGGTGATGATGGTTTATGCTTTGTTGGTGGCTGTTGAGATGTACCAATCAACCGGAATGCCAACGAAACCTAATCTTAACGGAGCTAAGGAGCCATGGAAACAGAGAGCATGGCGAAGGTTATATGCGATGGGGAAGATAGGATTGTGGGCAACCTGGCAAGATTCCCTCCTAGTAGTCCATACCCCTCAAAGGGGTTATTTTTGGACTGATCGAGACTTATAGGTCCCGCTGGATGGCATGAGTGTCACTAGTGCTTATGCCAACGAGGTCGGGATCCCTGCATGAGAGAACAAAGAGATCGATGTTTATTGGGGCTGGCATCTTGGCACACTGCTCCTCGTCCAGCTTCTGGCGAGGCTTACAGTTGTCACTATTCCGTTGGCGCCTAGATTCAGCGCTCGCTTGTTTCAGCCTCACGACCCAACACCATGACTCCGCTGGGTTAAATCGTCTATAAACTACGAAGAGCTGAGCTTCTTGGCAAAAACCGTGGCCCCCACGTCTTGGCTGCATGGTAAAACATTAGATATTACTTAAGAGGGTATAATATAGACAGCCATCGGCATTCCAACCACCCCAGATCCCTGTAGGCAGACAAAGAAACACAATAAAAAACGGTGCGACCCCTGGGAGGGAGATGTATTTAAACCACTACCGTCGCCCAGAGGGACCTCTATTCTCCATACGGAGTATACCCCTTACATCTGCCATACACTACTACACTAACCATGCCGTACAAATCCCGCTGGCAGGTCGACGTCCCCGACACCCACCTAGCATCGCAGCTACTGACCTCCCCCACCGCACCCCTCTCCAAGACTGATAGATGTTTCCTGGACGCTGAACGCCCGGACACGCATTATTTCACGACCCATGACTTCCGGCTCTGGAGCCAGCGGTTCGCGGTCGGACTACGAAAGTCGGGTCTGCGCCCGGGGGACCGCGTGCTGATGTTCTCCGGCAACGACCTGTTCTTCCCCGTGGTGTTCATGGGGATCATCATGGCGGGGGGCATTTTCACGGGTGCGAACCCGATGTTCGTGCCGCGCGAGCTCGCCTACCAGCTCAAGGACAGCGGAGCGACGTATCTTCTCTGTGCGCGTGCCAGCTTAGACACAGGGCTTGAGGCAGCCAGACTAGTTGGCATGAGTCGGGACCGGGTATTCGTGTTCGACAACACGCTATACGATGGGCACGGTGTCGGGGAAAAGGGATGTCGATACTGGGGCGAGCTGGTAGCAACCCCAGAAGAAGGGGCGGGATTTGCCTGGGACGAGCTGCGAACCCCCGAGCTGGCCGATCGAACCCTGGCGCTCAACTACTCGAGCGGCACGACGGGACGCCCCAAAGGCGTGGAAATTACCCACAAGAACTACGTCGCCAACATGCTGCAGTTCACGTACATTGAGCACCTTCATCCCAACTATGAAGAGAAGCGGGCTCGCAAACGCTGTCTATGCTTCTTGCCGCTGTACCATGCCATGGCGCAGATGATTATGATCGCTGCCACTTTGGCCCTGAACACGCCCGTGTATATCATGCCGAAATTCGACTTCATCCAGATGCTCCAGTACACGCAGAAATACCGCATTACGGACTATGTGCTCGTGCCGCCGATCGTGGTTGCCTTGGCCAAACACCCGGCGGTCAAGCAGTTTGATCTGAGTAGCGTCGAGGATATAGGGTGTGGCGCCGCGCCATTGGGCAGGGAGGTCTGTGAGCAGGTGCAAGCTCTGTGGCCTCCGGGGAAGATGAATATCAGGCAGGGCTATGGAATGACTGAGTAATGGTTCCTTTCATTTGCAATGCAGTTGGAGATGCTCATAGATGTCTATAACAGAACCACCTGCTCCATAATCAATTGGGATCCCCGCGAGAAGGGCTTCTCGGCTGCGGTTGGGGAGTTGAACGCCAGCTGCGAGGCGAAGATCATGGCGGAGGACGGCGTAACTGAACTCCCAGAGCGCAATCAGCGCGGAGAGTTGTGGTTGCGCGGACAGAATGTCATGAAGGGATACTGGCAGAATCCAGAGGCGACCAAGGCGACCAAGATGGAAGACGGGTGGCTCAAGACGGGCGATATTGCTTTCGTGGACGACCACGGCCAGTTTCACATTGTCGACCGGCTGAAGGTGGGCATTGTGTTTGATCAATATAGAACATTAACTGACGGATATGGCACAGGAGTTGATCAAGGTCAAGGGCAATCAGGTTGCCCCCGCTGAGCTGGAGGCCTTGCTGCTGGAACACCCGGCTGTCGCAGATGCTGCTGTGATCGGAATTACCACGTAAGTCCTTGTTTCTTTATGGCTTGTCGATCGTTGCAGTGGCTAACGTGAATGTAGCGACAATGACGAGCGGCCCCGCGCCTATGTTGTGCTCAAACCCGGTCAAGCCGCTTCGGCCAAGGATATTGTGCAGTTCATCGATGGCAAGGTGTCACCGATCAAACGGATCACTGGCGGGGTGGTCTTCGTCGATGCCATTCCCAGAAACCCATCAGGGAAGATTTTGCGCAAGACGCTTCGCGAGCAGGCTCAGAAAGAGCTGAAGAAAGGCGTCCAGGCCAAGCTGTAGACAAATTGCGCAACATATGGTACTTTCAGTAGATGCGCTGCCAACCTTTGTACTTCATTAGCGATATACTAGTTTCTTTTGTCGATCCAGGTCACTCTCCGGACTAGGCGATGGTTTTGTTTCCTTATAATGCTCCAAAAATCGAGAAGCGCGGACGGTGGTCCAGTTAGGGATATTCTGCGTAGACGTCACCGTGTCAAATAAATACCGAGCAAGTTCCGCTTCTGGTTCGCCAATAATAGAGGATGCATTCTGGTCTTTGGCCTCCAATTCTGCTTTTAGAGACACCACGGCGATCGAAGCGGCAAAGGTCGAGCTAATGATACCTTCATAATGGGGCCAGGAAAGCAACGCTTTGATTGCTCTGAGTCTGATGGAATATCGCGGGCAATTCACAGCCACCGTATGGAGCCCTGGAATAATTCCTAAATCCAGGGTAATTGTCGGACGTTCCGGGAACTTGGCCATGTATGCCTCATGGGCTAGGAGGAGCGCCTCGTAGTCGGGGGTCAAATCATTAGGTACAGGTTTCTTCATCAGACAAGTCTTGACCGTGACGAGCTGACTACGATATTGTAATCGAATAATATCCGCGCTTTGTTGCCCCCTGTAGCTCAAAGTAGGATAATAATGATCGTAAAATGTCTCAAATTGGTGGCGGAAACGAGTATATAGAAATAGGATCCGCTGCTGCCTGAGGCGCAGCTTGCTGTAGTTGGCCTGGACCTCCGCACTGGAAAGCAGCCAGCGATTGGCGAGAAAATGGATACCAGGATGTAGCAGGGAATTCATATTGTGCCGTACTTCTTCCAGACTGTGGAGGGGGCGGAGGAAGTCCTCATCGGACAGTTCCTTGAGCCCGTCGTTCGCAAATAAGAACGGGCCGGATCCAAAATGCGCCGACTGGACGTCCAGCTGCCGGAGTGCCTGGATAACGCAATGGGGGATACACTGTTTCGAGATTTGTTGTGCCTCCTTTAAGATCTGGAGGCCACCTTGCAAATGCTGCAGAGCTCTGGTATACTGTCCCAATAGCAACTCGGCGAGCACAAAGAGCAGACAGCATAGCAGTACTATTTCGAGGCGTTCGGGATCCTGGGAAGCACAGCGTCGGTTTAGGAGGGCAAACGATCTGCTAGCCTGTTCAAGTGCGAAGCGATGTAGGGGTCGCCGGAGGTTTTCGCCAACTAGCAACAGCTTGGTTGTCTCGGAGTCTTCGTGGAGGGCGCTGAGCGCATTCGCGGCATGGTACACGGCCGGGTCGGCGCGACTCATCTGCAGAGCCAGTTGCTGCCATAACTGGGAGTCGAAGAATCCGGCCAGGCTTGGGATGGAACGATATTGGAAATAGGAGAAGCACCGTTTCTCGTCCGCGGTCGGCACCCAGGCCAGGCACAGCTCCACTTCTGGAATCCTTCCCAGCGGGCTCTTCCTCTTGATTGGCAAACGGCACAAGTCATAGCCCTCGCACTTCAGCCCTGCGGAGGCGCAGTTGTTGCATTGGGTGGGAGCTTCATCGCATTTGATGCGGCGAGCGCTGCGCCCAAGATGATTAGCCGAGGTTCACCCACGCGTCGGTCGTTTGCTTACCGGCAGGTCCGGCATCCCGTCATAGACCGCCTTCCGCGTTTCCTCCGTCGTGGAGGAGGAGCTTCTGTCATTTCCAGACCAGGTTTATAATCCTGCGCGGGGGGGAGTCAAGGGGGTAAAATACAGCAGGTCTATTAAGCTTTTGCCTAAGTTGAGCTGGACTGCAGCTAGGGCTGAGCACATCCTCCCTGGACTTGAGTGTTCAGAAGAGCAACTCGCTTATGCGCGGGTGGATGATCTCATGCCTTCTCCGTGTGGTTCGTTCCAAGCCAAGTCCCCACAACTTACGTGGCGCCATCATAATCTGTCGCGCTAACGAAACGGGGTTCTTCTTGAATAACTCGCAACAAGCATGTTTGTGGGTCTTTTCAGACTCGTCAGAACTTTAACGATAATGTGAGCGCGTTTGCTCCTTGACTCCAGAGTCCTTACGTCCATACTAGTACGCTGTGTCTGCGCCACGGTCTACAATCAGCATGCAAGTGGGGAATGGATATAGCATATAAGGAGCGGGATGACAAAACAGTCTAGCAGGCTAGTGGGATTGACCTTGGTGGTTTAAGATGCAGGGCAAGTTCGTTCCCATGTCATTGCAAAATGTGATATCGATTACGATCAGGTGATCGATCTCGAGCCAAAAGTATGTAAGGCCCAGGTGAGCCCATTGCAGCCCAATGTCGGTTGCGGCGATCTGATGTCGAAAAGAAGACTATTGGAGGTCGTATGACGACGAGACAGGATTGCAGGGCATCGATTACTAGTATATAAATTTCCGTAGATTAATTTGGTGGCGGCCACGTGGAATGACCAGGAATCCCTGTTTCAAGGCCACGCGCAACCGTGGTTCTCATAACATCCAAAACATTGACCCTGACATAATGTAAATAATACTTGGATATACGACTACGTCCGCTTGCTATACGAGGTGATCCCAGCTCCTGAGTCTAGACACGTTCTATAAGTTGTCCTCGCACGGTCGATGTCCTCGTACCTGGCGGCCAACCCACCTTTTCTAAGGTCTCATACTACCCTCCCCGGATGAGTGAGCTGAGAGATTCACCTCGCACCTCTTCGCCTCTAGGTTTTAAGTCTGAGGTGCTTTCACGCCGTCAATCGGAACATTTTGCGGTAATTCTTGAGAATTTATTGCTCAACCCAATGTAGGCCGGCCTGCTACAATCAGCCCCCTCGGCACGGGTTTGCCAGGGAGAGCGTGTGAGCTCTTCGATATGCATTTTGGGCTCATGTGGTTCCTGAGAATGTAGGGGAGCCTATTGAGCGCGTCGAAAATCACGTTTATCGCTCACGGGCTGCTTGGCGTCCTCCCTGGTGCACTTCATGCTAGTCTCCCGCGTTATTATCGTGCTCGAGCGCATCCCAATCAACACCAAGGTGCATACACAAAGCGAGTACTGCGGCGGTTAGGTGAGATGCAATTACAATGTTTCAAATGCTCTCAAGGACGTGAGTTGTCGCGTTCCAATGCTTATAATCCAACCCCATGGAAACTGCAACGGCATCTTCTTCAAGACCATACTATTGAATGTACTCCTAGAGTTTGGGCCATGCAGATCAGTCCTCGGTCGGCTAATTTACGTGACATCCTCCGCACAGCCCGTTCTTCTACCATTGGGCCGCGCCTATACAGCTTATCCTGTTGGGGAAATCCCTCGGGAGCGGCCGTGGGTTGTCAAGCGCGTCGTGGACTTGTCGTACTGCGGAGGAGAGTGATGGATGGGCGGTTCTGGATAGTTGATTGGGCGCATATTGCAAAGGAAAATGTCGGCCAAGGGCTGTGGCATTGGGATACGAGCAGATCACTGGCCTACTCGCTGGTGGATCGTTGATCCCATCCCCTCCGTAGTGGGTCGTATAATGTATTGGTGGATTCCCGCGGCGGCTGTGCCATTGCGAGATACGCTAAGTGGGACGGGATCATGGAGGATCTCGGGGAGATTGATAGGGGAGATACGGCACTGAAGGCGGGGTTGAAATGCATTCAAGAGGTTGAGCATTGGCCCAGACACGCCAAATATACATCCTCCTGTGCCTGAAATGCCAGTCCATAGTGCCTGGCACAACACGTCCACCGCCCTCAGCACCGCTTTATCCTGAAATGGTTTAGTGTGATGAATGCTAGGCTCCGAACAAACCAGGCAAACAGTCTACAAGAATGCGCTTTGTTCTCCTGTTCTGCCTCTTTTGAATTTTTGTGGTATTTGCGCTATGCAAGATGATGTAAAACTATGTAACGAAGCCAATGAGTTTTATGCTGCTTGCCAGAGCAGATATGCAAATCTAGCGATCTATATGCCGAACGCCTTGACTCAATCAAACGGAAATTTTTCAAAATCAAATCCCAATCGCAGCAACCAGCGCATCCATGGCAGAGCTATGTGTCGAAGCGTCCACCTGAGAGACGGGGCCGGCCCAGTCCACACCCAGCTGGTTCTGCGCATTCCGATCGTTGTGCCAGATACTGTTGGCCGACGCGTTAATGACCTTCACGTACGCATCGTCCGGGGCGACGGAGTGTAGGAGCTTCAAATTCCGGATGAAGATCCCCTTGAACTGCGTTTCGTTGCTGTCACAGCTGTCCGGTTCACACGACTCCTGGATGACGTGGTTCTCGTCCGCCAGATACGCGATCGAAGCGTTGGCAAGCTTTGCTGCAGCATCCACGTATGATTCGTTCGAGACGGCTCGGTCCAGTTCGGCGAGACCTCCTAGAACGACTGCTTGGTTGTAAGACCAGCTGTTCCGGTATGGTTAGTCTTCAGCTCCCATAATGTGTGCTTGGGAAATTGAGTGGTCAAGACTTACATTGTTCCCCCGTTATTCTTACAATCGCTCGATAATCCATCGTTGATGGTGTTGTTTACGTTGATCATCCCGCTGTCCTTGAACCACGTCCATTGTCGACGAGCCCAGTCGACGTAATAATCGCGATTCGAGGCACGATTGGCCAGATGCGCGGCGAGCGAGAAGAAAAGCTCGTTTGTGATGGCATTCACGTAAACATGTGTAAAATCGGAGTCAATTCCTCCATTACCACATTTCGATGGCCAAGCTTGACTCTGAACGGCCAACTGTTAGCAACAATGCCGAATGCAAGAAAAGTAGAAGGAAATCCCTACCAAATGCTTGAAAATCCCGGCTGCCAAATCCAAGTAATCCTCGACTCCGGTCACATCGTACGCGGCGATCCACGCTAGCCCCCACCATGCATCGTCATCATAGGACCCATCAAGCCATTGCGTGGCGTCTACAGAACGCTTTGTGCTCACGGCACTGGAATAGTATGAATCGTTATTCCGGTCGGGATACGGGTTCGACACGGGGCCAACGCTGAAGGTGTTGGCGAACACTTCTTTTACAGTAGTGTTGACCGACTCAGAGTCGTCGACGAGCGCCAGGTCGGCCAACACTGTCATGCAATTGGCCCCGTTCCACCACCCGCAGGTATTCCACATGCCTGTGGATGCATTATACCATGTCTGCAGCGTGGTGAGAGCGGTTTCTGCTCGGGTAATAGCGGCGCTCTCTGCGGACACGCATGTCGCCAGAAGCAAGGGGGCCAAAAGCGACCGGGGTGAGGGAGACATTTTCGAATTGGGATATGACGGACAGGACGAGATAGGTCAGCAATCAGCAGCCATGGCCCTGTCCCTGCTTCTTATAACACCGGGAAAAAAAAAAAATCAAACATAGACCCCCACTAATGCAGGGGCCAAGGGAGATGGAAAACACGTAAGTGTGCAGGCAACAAGGAACCAGGGGTGCATATGCCCTCAGGCATTCTGGAATCCATCAAATGGCCCTGTCACATCCCTGGTATGCAAAGAATGGAGCAAAGCCCCATTCTTGAAACTGGAGACCCATTCGTGATACATCACCCGATTAGCCGCCGTTATTGCCGAGCTTAAACTTCAGACTTTACATCTCTGCCTGTTCCTGACACTGTACCTGATGGGTCCTGAATATCATTGCCGTATTTGACCAGTGATCCATGGTTGATCGCCGGCAGAAGTTTTGCGTTGCCACACATCTCCGAAGCGCCGAGCTTTGAAGTCGGCCACTTCCCGATATATTGGTCGGATTTTCAATAGTCACCAGTGATAGGCAATGATCATTCCGCTTCTACAAGGTTACCAACAGCTTGGACCGCCAGGACTTATATGTCGACTGAAACAAAAACAAAACTCACGACGAAAGGGGCTATATTCTCTAACAATCCAAGGGGTTGAATAATCCGAACCTTAGGTGAGCATCCATAGAATTTGAGCCTCGACCGGATCCTTTCCATGGTTCGGATGAACTCAGATCTATCCTATGCTTTAGACCCGGCTATAGTTCGCTTTCACAATGCCCAAGTGGGTATTGATTAGTTCAGCTCTAGACTTCTAGGCATTCTGGGTAGTGGGAATGTATCGTGGACAGCCCTATTGTGGGAATTCGAATTTTTGACTGAAAATTTTGAAGTACGTATGTCCTCGCACAACAGTATCGGATAGTAGTTAATTGGCCCTTTCGTTTGGCCAATTGTTGGGAAATACGTCTTTTTCTTGACCGAAGAATTACTTATGTAGTTACTTTTTGTTTTTATATTATTAATATTTTTTTTTTTTGTTTTTTCTTTCCCTCTCATGTCACTCCTTAGTATAATGCGTTCGTCGGCCGGTCTACAGTTACCCGCCGAATAGTCCAAAATATATAATCAGTCCCGAAGAATGTTTGACATCTCCACCGGGCGTCGCCCCTTCAAATGTCACTACTCATGCAAATCCCAATGTCACCGTAGCTAAATTCCTTTGTGGATAAAATCTGAAACTCGAATCGACTTTATTCCAACGTCAGAGTAGTATAGAGCTCGATATCGGCGTCGTTGGATCAGTCATCCATATCCGATATGACGTGCTTCCGGTATCCGATGAGCAACGCAATTCCACGCGATTGATTGGCGCCCGTCCTTGAAATCGGTGGGATTCAATCTCGCCTGGTAGATAGCTCCTTTTAAATACCCACTAAGAAGAAGCGAAGGTTGTTATTTGAGTAGGCCCCAATAGTGTCAAGCAGCTTCTATGGCCCGGTCAAAGCTTAGGGCCAGGGACGCACGGCTGTCGGCAATTGCGCCATCGGGCTAGCTGAAGCTGTCGTAATGATAAAATAACTTATTCCCCTTCGTTCCTCGCTACATCGAGGTTTAGATAGACGACATTCAGGCACTGCAGTTATGGTTGTCGATGCAGATGGCGTGGCTCGTCCCGATTCCCCTCAGCAGGGACGGGACGGAACAGGGTCTCCTTACCAGGCTATCTCGAAGGACAGCGATAGACAGCCAAATGGCCATGGCAATGACGAGGAAAGTGCATTACTTTCCCCTCCGACCGCAAATGACGAGCGTGAAGTACACCTTTCGACTAGTGTCAGCACCATTGTGGCCGTCTTACTACTCGGTTAGAACCGATACTGGCTGGATGAACGGAACTAGGTGACTGACTTGTGATAGGCGAATTTATCTCAAATGCCGATAGCACGTTAGTCATGGCTGCGACGGCAAAGGTGTCGTCCGAATTCAACAAGCTTCAAGATGCCAGCTGGCTGTCAACGGGATATACTCTGGGCGTCTGTGCCGCGCAACCGATGTACGGAAAGCTGAGCGATATATATGGACGGAAAGCGCTTCTGCTTGCGGCATACGTTCTGTTTGGCTTGGGTTGCTTGGTCTCGTAGGTTCTGTATACCGTGGTGTTGCTCTTCGATGCTAACCAGTGGTTGTTCAGGGGCATCGGTCGGGATCTTTGGACGGTCATCCTCGGCCGAGCAGTCAGTGGTATCGGAGGTGCTGGTATCATGACCCTTGGCTCGGTCATTATCACCGGTAGGTGTTCAAGGGACCATAATAGAATTCTTGCGACTGACTTGCTTTGCAGACATTGTGCCCCGACGTGAGGTCGCCTCGTGGAGAGCATATATCAATATCGCCATGACTTTGGGTCGAAGTCTCGGAGGCCCTGTCGGTGGATGGCTGACGGACGCCATCGGATGGCGCTGGTATGCTCTCACAGAAAGTCCTTGAAGAATATCATTAACACTGCGATCTTACTTCTGTCCTAGGCTGTTCCTTCTCCAGATCCCATTCATCGTCATCGGTGGTCTTCTGGTGATTGCCAAGTTGAACATCACATACCACGCCACATCGAAAGCCTCTATCCGCCGCGTTGACTTCCTGGGAGCGGGACTACTTGGAGTATCTGTGGTGGCCATCATCATGCTCCTTGATCGAGGCGGCCATGCCTTCCCGTGGATCTCACTGCCTTCCTTCCTGTTGGGCGGTATCGGCATCGCATCACTTCTGCTCTTCGTTTGGGCGGAACGCGTCGCAGCCGAGCCCATCTTCGATCTTCGGATTCTTGCCCGACCAAACGTGGCATCCAGCTATATGGTTGGGTTCCTTCAGATCACCAGCCAGCTGGGCATGCTCTTCTCCGTCCCGTTGTACTTCCAAGTCACACAACGCGCCTCCGCGACGGTTGCAGGCGGTCATCTGGTGCCAGCCGTGGTCGGCAACACGATCGGAGGTTTAGTAGCGGGCAATTTCATCCGTCGAACCGGCCGCTACAAGACATTGCTAGTCATGGGAGGGCTTGTCGCGGCACTTACTCATGTTCTCATGCTCCTCCGATGGAACGGCCACACGAACGTGGGAGAATCCCTGTATATCATTCCCGGCGGTATCGGCACAGGTATCGCATCGGCGTCTGCGTTCGTCGCTATGACGGCTTTACTAGAGCCCCAGGACATGGCAATGGCGACGGGTGGATATATGCTCGTCGTCAGTTTTGCCATGACCATGGGTATCACCATGACCAACACGGTTCTCGGACTCGGATTCAAGCATCAGCTAGAACAGAACCTGCACGGCAAGGGAGCGCAAAAGGTGAGAGTCCTCGACAGTAATCATTGGACAATATGTGTACTGACCATTGTAGATCATTCGTCGCGCGACGTCGGATACTAATTATATTGCAAAACTTGAAGGAAAGATCTGGGAGGTTGTGGTGGGCTGCTTTGTGGCGGGCTTGAAGAATACTTACGGTGAGTCCTTTTCACAACTTCAATTAGGTACATTTATACTAATGGATGGGTAGTGATCTGCCTCGTTTTCTCGATCTTGGGCTCGTTGATTGCATTGACGATCCGTCATCATCGTTTGTAGAATGCTAGATGGGGTAAGAAAAGTGTCAGGGATAATCTGTGAATTGACATGACCATGATCAGTAGTCTTCGTTTCTTCTACAAAGTCCATTCGCTAGTTTTTACAAAGATAATTTACCTGTGAATAAGTTCCAAATGTTATTACTCTTAAGGATGGCGAGCCGTTGGTGATCCGTAGCTAAACATTAGCTTCAGGGTTCTGACTTGGGAATATAATCCACAAGGCACTTTAGTCCAGGACTACCCACCAGGTCTGAGCAATGCAAAAACGGGAGTCAGGAACAGTATGCTACATTATCAGGGGCAAGTTCTGTGAGAACGTTAGCGGTCAACCAAATCGTCTGTGCACTGTTCTTCGGACAAAAGTCTTCGCAGGGAACTTTTCATAAAACCCGGGCCCGCAAACTAATTTAATCGACAAGAGAGACTGGTCAGCGCTAAAATAAGACATGCAGCCGCACCTTGTTGCGAATGGCTTATTAAGACAAGTTAGGTGGCATAAATAGGACGGTGACCTTGAAATAATATTCATTCTTTCTGCAGCATTCGCCATCATCACCACCCACGTTATTCGGTTCAAAATCTCAGCAACACCATTAGGGTTAACATGATTCTCAGTGGACTCGAGGTGGTCACCCGCCAATTAGTGCGTAACCTACGACATGTCACCCAGCAGCAACAGCCCTGCGGTGTCGACCTTACTCTCCGTCAAGTTTGCGAATGGACCTCAGCGGCTCGCATAGACTTCGATAATACTCAGCGTCAGGCGGCCAAGACGTCTATCCTGCCTTTCGACAGCATTAGCCACGCAATCACATTACAGCCAGGCGCCTACTTGGTTGATTTCAACGAAACCGTTCAAATCCCCCGGAATTGCATGGGAAGCGTTTTCCCTAGATCATCGCTGTGGCGGTCCGGCGTCGGGATTGTTGCGGGTGTGGTCGATGCTGGATACGAAGGGGCTATGGGAGCTCTTCTAGAAGTGAAAAACCCCCATGGAGTCGTTCTTTACCAAAACGCCAAGCTCGCACAGATTGTATTCCAGGAATTGGGGGAAGCGGTCGAGGGATATAACGGTATCTATCAATCCTCAAGAAGTTCTGTTGGGCGCGATGGGACAGGAAGGATGTAATGGTTGAGGAATGCCTAATCTTCGGAGCTTCGAGCCAGGAAGGGTAGTAAACACCCTAGGAAGGTGTATACCAAGGACACGAGAACTCGTGAAGGTTTCTCTGGTCTGCTATATAGTTGGTTTTATTCGTGATGTCTTGTGCCTTTTGGCTAGAATGTTATTGTGTCACTCGGTATGCCTACATATTCTAAATGTTTACCCAAGAGCTTGGGGACAAATGATGGGGTTGGGCTGAATATGCAGGTGTATATGTGGGCGAAGGTCTGAATTGACAACCTGATTAATTCTCAATCAAGTCACCTAAATACACCACCGCTGCATGTTCCACGAGAAGGATTCAACGAAAATGGCTGCGGCTCATCACGAGATGTATTGAGATAGGAAATATGAGGTATCATCCCATGATGATCCCAATTGTTGACCCAGTTCAATGAAAGTCTTCCAGCAGCCATAGGGTTTGTCTAGCCCTTGTCACACCCTGGGAGCCCTTTGTGACATCGACTTCGACAGGAACCTGTTGGTTGTAAGCATTTGGCCCCTACGATAGCAACCACTAATAAATTAGACTGATAAGCTCGCCAACAACCAACAAATATTGCCACTGTCGTGGTCGGAATTGACCAGGCACCATGAAAATTGAATTTCAATATTTTGCTCGCCATCGCCACACTTAACACTACCAAGAAGCAAGGCCCAGTGAATCTCGTACAACGTATCAGAAAAAATGCTTCTGAGAGCGTGAATCTGCGAGATCCAGCACGTCTATGTAAAAGCCCGGGACTGTGGTCAAAATAAGCAAGGCTGCGTAAACAATAGGAAGCCCTTCACTATACGATGTCCTGCCGCCTGCATTCTCTGGCACAGGTGTACTGTGATGTTAAATATTATCAGTCGAGTAAGACCTGATATCCTACAATAGCTGTGGTAAAGGTGAGCCAACAACTTTGGCTGTACGCCAAGCCTAGATCAGATGTGGCATATATGCCTATTATACTTGTTAAAAGTAGACGGTCGTCACATATTCTATCATGGCCCCATAATGGAAGTAGTGATCCACTTCCACAGCAATATCAGTCAAATCAGCTCGCCCCAGGGGCCGTTATATTATGCGTCTGTGGCCCAAGGGATGAACAGGCTTTCTGCCAAGAAGAGCTATCCCCACAATGCGTCGTGTTCTGCCTAGTGCTGCCTAGACTCGAGAGATTAAGTACTGGTGAAATTGAACCAAGTTAACTACCCTAAGTCCAAAACACAATATACACACCATCCAGGCCTATATCACAGTGCCATATTACCAGCATCCACAAACCACAATGAGCTCAACAACAACATCAGTCACCCCCTTCCTCATGTTCGAAGGCGACGCCGAAGCCGCCCTGAATTTCTATGTCCAAACAATCCCAGGATCCAGCATCATCTCTATTACGCGCTATGGACCCGGAGAAGCAGGCACGGAAGGGAAGGTTTCCATGGCTAGAGCGAATATCGGGGGATCGCTTGAGGTTATGGCGATCGACAGCTACGTGAAGCACGCGTTCAAGTTCACCCCTTCGCTGTCGCTGTTTGTCAAGTTTACTGAAGAGCATGGCGATGATGCGATCGATCGCATTGTGCGTACTTTGAGTGACGGCGGGTCGGTGCTTATGCCTGTGGACAACTATGGGTTCAGTCGCCGGTTTGCGTGGGTGAACGATCGATTTGGAGTTTCGTGGCAGCTCAATCTGGAATGAGTAATTGGGGAGGGATTTCGTTAAATTATATGGAATAACTGCGTTTGACATTGGTGCAGATGTGGAATGGATATGTTCGTTTGTATGGATCAGGGATTTGTTTCTACGGGGCCAACAGTTTCCCGCAGCATGTTTTACAAAAGCATACACGGTTATGCGCAGTATAGTGTTACTGATAGCTCTACTTCAGCTCTCCTGTTTTCAGACAGCATGGTACAATCAACATCAAGCAAGCTCATATCGGACATGACTGCTATCTGCCTCCTTTATGCTACTTTCGCCAGACAGTTCATACACCGGTCTACCATCGAGACACATAGCCTCTGGCACGGCCAAATTGGTGCAAGTCTTCTCAGAAGCAGGCTCTGCGCAGGGCCCGCCATGATCGATGGATGGGTTCCGATTCATTCGCCTCTGCAAGAAGAGCAAGGCACCAATGGCAGCGCCACAGAAGGGCACGCCCAAGCCAACACTAATCCCTATCGCGAGGGCTTTATCATGCGAAGAGCGTTCACTGTTTGATTCTGCAGCATTAGACGGCGTTCCGGAGGGGGTGGCACTAGTATGTGATCCGCTCGTTATGGCCGCAGATTCTGTGGGCGTGGTTATGGGTGTGGGTGTAGGTGTAGGTGTAAGGGTCGGTGTAAGGGTGGAGCTGGAGGGCGCATCCTGATTCCAACCGATCCAGAATCGGGCGCTCCATATGCCTCCAACTGCCTGGTCTTCGCTCGAACCCTGTGCATTGACCAGTCGGAAAACGAACGGTTTGGAGTCATCTCGAGTCGGGTACCCGACTCTCCATTCGTGCCATGTAGATGCTGTGTTCACTGTAGCTGTTGTCAAGATCACCGGAGTGTGATGTGTGGGTGCTCGCTGCACTTACATGACAGGGCAACTGGATCGTCGTAGTTGGCGCCGTGGACTAGATATAGATTGGTCGCCCTGTACTTGGTTTCCCAACTGATATTCATGACGGATCCTTGTGAGAAGCACTGGGGCGCCCCGTTTGGGTAGAAGAATTTGCCATCGGGCCAAATGTCAGGTTGTGGAAGAGGCACTGCAGGACATCCAGCCAGAGCGTACTGGGCCAGGAAAAGGAGAATCCACAGCCACAGGAGCATGATATCATAGAACGGTTGATCAAACAAGTCGAAGTCTGTTATAGACGTACCAAGTAGGGAAGATAGTCTGCGAATATGTCATCGATCATGGTACTTGTCAGTCTACAAAGGTCTACACACGACTTTAAGCAATCTTTCGATTTGCCACGGTGGGATAGTCCGCTCGTCCCTGGCTGATATGGTACTGCTCTAGGGCTTAGTAAGGAGGTTGTATTCATCGTGAAGCAGGACGGAAGGATCCCAGTCCAGCATTGTGCACTAAAGCCGTGGAGCTAGGCAGGGGTCCCGTTCCTCCCATTGGGCCCGTCTCTGGATAGCGCCTACCTGATAGATGACTGTCCTATCAAAAGTATCGAGATAGCGTTCAGGGTCCATTCACCACAGAAACAAAGACATTGACGGGCGCTGACTGGTGCCGGCGAAAAAAGGCCCCCATCAACTCGATGTCACTCTATAAGTAGTGGAGACTCCCTCCCTCCGTCCATTCATCCTTCTGCCAGGGTCACCCTCACCCCTCGCACTCCCTCCCAGCAATGATTTCCTCTCGTTTTCGAAATATCCCCCTGATTGTGGCCCCTCTGCTGGCTTTTATTCTGCTAAATTATCTCTTCTGGTTTAGAACGGACACGCATGCTGCTGAGACGGGGTATATTCAACGAGAAAACAACACCAACGGGGACCCAGCCACATCGAATCCATCTGGCTGCCCCGAACTACCGGGGATACACGACGTGCTGGTGGTCCTAAAGACGGGCGCCACCGAAGCATTGGAGAAAGTGCCCGTCCACGTTAACACCACCCTTAAATGTATTCCGAATTTCGTTCTTTTTTCCGACTTCGAAGAGGAAATTGCTGGCGTCCAAGCGCATGACGTCCTACGCGGTGTGGACGAGACGATAAAGCAAACACACCCGGAGTTCGATCTCTACAATCGGCTACGTGAATCCGGTCGGGCGGGGCTAACAGTAGAAGACATCAACGACGATCCAAGCACGCCATCCGGCAAGCCCGATAATCGGGGGTGGCTGCTGGACAAGTGGAAATTCTTGCCCATGATCAATGAAACCCTCAATATTCGAGCCGATGCAAAGTGGTACGTCTTCATCGAGGCAGACACGTATGTGGTATGGCCGAACCTTCTGGCATGGCTAGAGAAGTTTGATCCCAGCCAGCCATACTATATGGGATCGGGGGTAAACATTTTGAACATCAACTTCGGCCATGGAGGGTCTGGTCTTGTTATATCCCACGCCGCTATGCATAAGGTTTCCGAGTATCGTGCGTCCAGAGTGAAGGAATATGACGATTTTACCGCTAGCCAGTGGGCCGGCGATTGCGTTCTTGGAAAGGCGCTGAAGGATGCAGGAGTCGGTCTTTTTTTCTCAAATCCCATGCTACAGGGCGACACACCTTGGACCTTCTCACATTATGGACCGAACAATGATCATCATTGGTGTACGCCTGTGGTAACCTATCACCATATGACTCCGGACGATATTCGCGAAACTTGGGCGTTTGAGCGGACTTGGTGGGCAAATGTAAGTAGATGCTGGCCCTGGCCCCGAGCTAAACAGAACTATACTTATTCAGACACTACCAGACACAAAGGCAGACCCTTCTGCATGCCGATGTATTCGAAGAGTTTGTCCGTCCACAAATCGGGCAGATGAAGCAGGACTGGGACAATGCCTCCTCCGATGAGAACATTGAAGGCACCGACAGTCAAGAGATCTGTCAAGCGCAATGCGAGAAGGATCGCAAATGCCACCAATACTCCTACGAGCCGGGAAAGTGCTTGACCTCCAAGGTAGCCCGGCGAGGCAGTAGAAAAGCTGGCATGGGCTCTGGCTGGATGGCTGAAAGGATTAATAAAACCATGAACGGCCTCGGTTCTTGCCGAACGGTAAAGTGGATTACTCCACGATAGTCCTGGCTCTCTATTCATGGTTGGTGAGTCGATTAATTGCCAAGCGGTGTCACTTTGGCCCTTGTACATACATACACTCATCATCGGTTATGGATTTCTTAGAACCCCATCTGCAGGCGGTTGGGGGAAACTCAGGACATACACAACGAAGACGAAGTTTTTTCATTTGATTGACTGCCTACTTTTCAGCTCCATGTGGCTTTCTGACGTGGAGTGACCATAAATGCCAAATGGCCGTGCTGCATGGCCTTCGTCTGACAATGATTGCCGGGCACCTTCGGTTCCAGCAGGGCCATCCAAATAGTAGACATTATAGCTGAAGCTAGTAGGGGTATTAATTAAATAGTACTATCCCGACTATTCTCCTATTCCGGCATCCCAGCCGTGATGCGGAATTTATTGACATTAAGATATTTACTAAAAGGCTGTTAGCAATCGCGACATCATCTGTACGTAGATACAACTCACATCCCATGAGTTATACTTGTTCCGTACTTGAAACTCAAAGTGACCATCGTTGTTGAACAGCCAGTTACCCACCATGAGACTAGCGGAGACGAAGTTGCCATGGTTATTCAGAAGCTCAGCACGATGGACAGGCAGCTTGTCGGGACCTTCGAAGCTGAACGTAATGTTCCGGGCATGTTGAGAGAATTGCTTACCTGCCACCATGAGTTGGCCCATATGAGAATAACATGATTAGAGACTCAGCTGGATAAACGAAGAAAATAAAGCATATCATTGAAATTGCCAAGCTATAAGTCTAGATTGATGTGCGAAGACTTTTGGTTGTCGCCGTCCAAAAGGACAACATGGAAGGTCGGACCCTCCATACGGACGCTGTTCTCAGCAGCATTGAAGTAGTTCTCATTCATAGTGAATTCTTTAGGATGATGATTAAAGATTTCAGTGATTGAAGAAGAGTGTGAGGAGATACTGAAAGGAGGAGGAAACACTAATCAGGGCAAACCTCCTGACCTACATATAGTAAGATACAGACCTTCCCCGTTCTTCAGTTGGGTCCTTGATTCTCATTTGGCTTTGTATCTAGCCATATCCTTGGTATTCATTCGCTTATTACCATAGATCCTCACAGGCGTAGTGAGGATCATAGCCTATCAGAGCTTAATGAGATGGCTTTTGATAAGATGAAAATCGACCATTCGATCTCGGCACCCATAGCGACTTCTTGATTAGAGGGGCAATGGGCTTGTAAAGTATGGGTGAAGATTAGAAAGCTTCAGGAGTGGGTGAGAGCAAAGGAACGGAAAATACAGCAAAAAAAGAAAATACATACAACAGGAGGGATTCGCTGATAGTCACCCACCCAACTACTAACCTCCCGGCGTGTGGCTTCTGCACGGTCAATAGATCGCTGCGTGCCCTTGCAGAGTAAGTACAGATAATGATACCTAGTCGTCGCGCACCTAGCGTGGGTATATTTTAGAGAGATATAATAACTTGCCACATTCACTATCCTGTGGCGATGGGTCAAAACATACACCCATATCTATCTATATCTACCTAGACTATCGGCGGTGCCAGCTCTCTGATTTAGTATATAGCCTCATTCAGTCAGACGTCCAGTCTCTTGGGAGTTGTGCTTCGCCACCTTTTCTACTAGTTAGCCAAAGCTGAATAATTGAGTTGTTTCGGATATAACAAGATTAGTATGTCAGTCTCCCATATTGATATCCTTCTCTCCCGTCCGGATTTTGGGCGAAACCTCGGATATATCCTTTGTTCAGGCAGTCTCGAAAATCTCATCTCATTGTGTCATAAATAAATATAAAGCATTGATAAATAATTCCTGATAGTTCCTATACCCTCACCTGTGATACCCTAGTCCGCAGGTATACTTCACAGTCGAAGAAATGTAGTGAAGCCGATATATCTTGCTCTAACGACCCAAGTGAGAACCTTCACGGCGAACAGTCTAAAGAACACAAGCGAAAGACACAGCGATCGGGATCGGGAGAAGGAGCCCCCAAACGGCTTCGAGTTCCTCATTACCAACAAGGGAAGATTCCTTTACCGGCCCTCGTTCTCATTTCTTATCTCTACCGCTTCATGAACGTTTGCAGTTCCTTTCTTGGCTATTCGAAGGTGCCCTGCCACGTTGCATGCCTGATACTGGGTCGCCAACTTGTAAGGAGGGAACTGCATGGCCAACCTGTCAGTCAACTCCCCTACGTGAAATTGAACAAAGCCAGAGTGACTACAGTGTGCTTCAGGGAAGCTCCAGGAAGCGCATGCCATGGTCGGAAGAGGAGAAAGCCCTTTTAAGGAATTTGAGGAAGGAACGAGGTTTGCCTTGGTCGGAGGTCGCCAGCTGCTTCGCGGAGCAATTTCCCGGTCGAAACCAAGGTTCCATACAAGTATACTGGAGCTCAAAACTCAGTGACATATCAAGTTAGATAATTTTTTCTCGTACGCCTGATTTGTCAGCCGCATGGAAGTTAATGTACGTATTAATATTATTTTATGCCCTGCTGTCTCTTACCGTTTATCGTTAGGTTCGCTTTCCTCTTGGCGATCGGTCCCGGAGCGTTATCTTCAGCATCAAGTGTGCTATGCGGAAAGAGTGACATACTGGCTCAAAAAACGGAATGGAGTTGAAGTAGAGAGACCCGACTTTTCTGGTCAGAGCAGAGGTCCGCATAATAGTGAACTGTGTGAGGGATGTAAAGCTGGTCATTGTCCCAACTCGAATGAGGATTTAGCATTGGTACTGGCCAGGCAAGTTTCGCACCAGGATTTCTCATACACTAACCAACAATTCTAGATTGTCTATCTGAGTACTACGGCTGAGGTGATTAAGCTATACCATGCTAGTGCCTTGAGGCAAGGAAATGTCTATTAGTATGGTTTTAGGGCTTCCTACAATCTCATGGTTCCGTTGTCGTTATAAAAGTATTTTCTAAGGACAGGCTCCAGGAGTGCGATGGCCAACCTCGAGGCAATTTTCATAGCGCGAGATGTGAAATAGTGGAGTGCGAATTGGTGTCCCAATGAATACCATTGCATATCCCTTTAGAACCATGAGATTTACAGCTCGTAGATGAAAGGCACGGGTTGGGATATCCAGCGGATATCAAACAGGTCGAACATGCCCAGTCTTGTGACAAATATTATTTATACAACATTTCTATAATTCAGGAGAATAAAACGAGTTCCAGCTCTATAACCATATACACTTCTAGACGGCTCAATGCTAGTATGCTAGTATGCTAGCATGCTTTAAGTTGTATATTCTTGCTCTATCAATTCCATCCCTCTCTTAGCTCTCAGAATAGCTTGTTTGGTACAATCGTCAGCCTTTTCGCCAATATAACCAAAGCGACACTTCCAAAATTGCCACCTTTCAAGGCAAACCACGTTGGTACCAGGATATAAAGATCCTGTTGCAGCCGAGAGGCATTCCTCATGGCCTTCTGTCCCCTGAATCGCTGCCCCGTAGAGGAATACACCACTGTGCTTGATCCATTCTGCCGCTGCTCTGACATGAAATCCGCCCCCGAGAATCCCAGACGGCTCTTCAAGGGCTTCCCGGAGTTCCCATATACCAAAGATGGTCCATGATATCGCGTCGAGCTTAAGAAGTCGCGCGGCGAACGCATTCAGATTAATCCACTCCTCCGCCTCATGGCTTGCAATGGGGCCTTCAGTGGATGAGGGTGCTATTCGTGTGAGCAATGACCCAAGAAAAGGATAACTATGAAACTCACCAACCCAAGCTTCTCTCATGCTAGGACCCAGCAAAGGTAGATCCGCCCAGAGACGGATGGTCGACTATAGATACTCAATGCTCAGTCCAAGTGGCCTTCTATAATTAACGTGATATGGAGATAACTCACCTGCCAAATCTCAATGCTCAACGGAGGCAACAGTGTAAGAGCCTCCACAAGGTCTACCATGCGGTCTTGAAAGGGGTGGGCGTGGGGAACCTGCCGGGCAAGACGGATAAAGGCATCCCACACCAGCCAGAGAAATTCCTCAAGTTCGTCCTCCTGGACTTCTTCATGTGTTTGCTTTGAGCGCCTCGCAGGATTAAGCTTGTCAATTTCCTCCGCGGCCACTCGAATAGAATCCGCATCGAAGCTATGAAGAAGGCCTTCGAGAGTATGTAACACTTGTTGTTCAACAACGCCTGCCTCCTCATGGATGAGGGCTTGTAAGGAGAGGCTGATCGACATTGTTAACAATTTTTCCTCTCGTTCCAGGGGAAATCATGTAGCTCGACTTTTGGTCAAGAAAGGAGTTTGAAAGCACGCGAATCGTCGGTTGTCCGGACTTACAGCTAAACCTTTGTAGGTTGGCATCGGACTAGGCTCTACGAAGGTTCAAACAGCCTAGACAGCGACACTCTAAACCTTGATGTTGTAGACGCAGTCGTCTAGAGCACCTGTAAAGAGGAAATACGCCTAGCGAATCCACAGTTGTAGGGGTTATATCACCTAAAATACTCTATATTGGTAATTATCGACAGAAATCCAGCTATCTAGTCTTAACTGCCTTTGCGCAGAATGAGACTTAAGCCACGACAAGCCCAAGAAATTAAGTTATCAGTTCACTATTAGTTGTTTCATCTAGACCCACCACAAACTATCTGTCGTTGGGGTGGCCTGTCATCAAGGTACACGATAGACGACGAAATTACTCCGAAATCCAACTGGTTTGGTCTGATGTAACCTCTTGTCTACCATGGGATCGCGTTTTGACTAGAAGTCTGCGACGGTGTGGCGTTGGATCAGGGCTTGGCCATGGCAGGATCGACGAGACCCACAGACCATGTTTTCCAGACCGTTTTAACCTTGAAATTTTATTGCCTAAACTGCTTGGCATGTCGAGGATATTACTACATCGAGGCCTGCCTCTGTGAACTGTTATTCTCGCAGATTATGACCCTATTAATAGGCTACTGACTAGATATTCCAGAGGAGTAACTTGCCCTCATTTCCATTAGCCATGTCTGATGTGCAGATAAGCAGCTCAGCTGGGTCTGTCAGAGACGCTATTCATTACACTATATTCATTGTGCGACTAGAGCTTGACTTCGTATCTGACAATTGTGGAACCTTAGGAAATGAGCCACGACGTTATAGCAATGATAAGCTTATTATTTTGAGTTGCCAAGTTTCTTTTGAGTACAGACTAATAAATAGATATTACAGGTTACGAAATGTACGCAGGCTACTGCAGGGTTTCCTGCAGCTCCTAATGGACAGGTTTGCACTTATATCGCACCACAATCGATTCGTAACGGAGCAACGCGGGTGGTAGTCAGTAAATTAACGCATGGCTCCCCTAAATGCCATCCACTTTAGCCACACTCCATAACATAAAGCTGCATTCTAGACCGCATGCCAAGTGCCGTGCCTTTCAGGGGGCTGAGACTATAGGGTACCAACAACAGAAACACGCGCAAAGTAAAAATACTATTATTATTGCCTTTCGGATCCGATAGAGTTGAAGGGCACATTGAATCGTGTGATTGATCAGGTTTCTGCTGCGGTGAGTTAGTAGCCTTGATATAGAGACATTTTGAGGTAGTTTCACGAAGCCCCAGACACGCCACGGTTGTGGGAAATAGAACATGTCTTTGTTCAGGTCGAATGTGAAGAGGCGTGGAAAAGGCCCGTTTCAGCAAGTGGAACTTGATTTAGAACTGGGCGCTCTCTGAT